CATGTCTGACGGTTATCCCATGAAAAAAAATAATAATAAAAAATTTAATTTCAAAAAATGCATGAAAACCCTGCAAGGCTATTATAGAAGAAAAAAATAAAAATAAAAAAAAACAAAAACAAAAATTGTTTATCCAAAGAAGAAAAAAATAAAAAAAAAAGAGTTTTCTTTTTTGTTTTTCTTTTTTATATTATTTTTTTTTTTAAAAAAATTTAAACATTATTACTAGGACTGGTTATGACGCACTTTTTTTTTAACCCCCATTTCTTTGCTAAAAAGCAAATGATAGTTCTATTATTAAAAAAATGCTTTGTTTGTATTTATGAGCTGAATATCATTTTTATATCTTGATTATGGACTCAAAATGGCAGTTTTAAGCTGACCTTTTATTTTATTTTATTTTTGAATGTGTATTCGGTGAAATATTATTATTATTATTATTATTATTATTATTATTCTCTTTCTTTTCCCAAACACTTGGTGTATATAGTTGCCTGATACATTTTTCCCAACCAAAATCAAAGCACCATTTTTACCGTGATTGACGTGTACGTTCCCCCTTACCTGCTGGCTAAATGAATTGAAAAGTAGTCTGCCTGTACAAGAGTACGTCTCTGTAACTTGGTGATAGGTGTTACTTGACGTTTTGTTTTGTAGCAGCGGGTAGCAGCGCACAGAAACTTTCTAGCGTTGTTTCTCGACCGGATCAGCACCCGGTACCCGGTACACTATGCGTTTATGAGTTCCGGGATATTTCTAGCAGATAATGAAGATGCGTCTGTTAAAAAGTAATATATATATTTTTTATTCCATTTGTTGTGTGACTTTTTAGTATCCATCTTTATAACTACTCATCTTTCATCTAATTTCCATCTATCCAACCTGGTAGTATATTTAAGTCCTGTTTATTGACTTGCCCTTCAATCGTATTATATTAACTTGCAGATATATATATATATATATCTAGCTATATAGCTATACAAGACTCAGCTTCGATTCATAATTACTGTGACACAGACGGACCATACTGGGATGCTGACCTACTGCTCTAGCTCATCCCTTGAGCTCATATTCTCTTATACATTCTAGTTGAGATCCGCATCCTCTATAGCCTCTATCTATACGTATAATTTTATCATATTCATTCAAAGGCTTTGAATCTACCAACAAAATGTTTACGATGAATCATCTTGAGCCACTACAATGGATATTTGCGTCTACTTTTCAAAAAAAAAAAAAAGAAAAAAAACCAAAAATAAAACAAAGGCACTCCAACCTTGCATCTCATACTATCTTGTATTATGATATGAATTTACACAATTGCATAAGTTTTCTAAAAAATGGGGTTTTTTCTGAAAAAATGTTATGACAATCCAATCAAAATTTTTTTTTTTCATATCACGGTGAAAAATTAGCCGGACAATTTATTTTGGTGTAAGAAATTTTAAAATCTGTTTACATGCAAAAAAAAAGTCAGAGCATTTTAAAGTTTGACTATCAATTTTGCCTAATTTAATAGGCAATTCCATAGTAAATCATCAAGACAAGTTTCCAATGTTATTCTTTTATTTTATTTTCTATATTAACCCTAAAAAACTTTTTTGTAAATCAACAGAATTCCGGACTGAGTTTCCGAATATTTTGAAAAACTGAGGAAACAACTTTTCAAATGAAAAAAAAAAAAAAAAACTAATAATAAAATGGCACAAATATCCAATTTTGGCAAAACATTCTACAATCGAGAGTATACTAAATCCTCAAAATGAACTAAATAAAAAAAAATTGCCACCCATTCATATATACATAAGTAATTATGATTAATTAATTATTTAATTAAAGAAATAAAGAAATAAATAATAGCAAATAACGCGTGCAGTACAGGTAGTGGCAGAGAGACAGAGAGACAGGCAGGCAGACAGGCAAGCATCCAAGTTGAGTAATCTCCGCGCTCTTTATCCAATTTTAACATGCATTAAACAGAAAAAGAGGTGATGGGCGTGGGGGGAAACCAAGAGCATTATTTTTAAACAAAAAAGAATTTAATAAAAATATTATCCAAATTAAACTAAAACTTGAAAAATAAAAATAAAAAATAAAAAAATAAAAAAATAAAAAAATAAAAAAATAAAAAAATAAAAAAATAAATAAAAAAAAAGAGTATTTGCACAAGACCCCTTTAAAAGAAACTCTTTTTTTATAGTGAAAAATATGTAGTTTTTTTTTTTTTTTTTTTTTTTTTGTGAATGTGTGATGAGTACAACTTTGATAAAGATTATTTTTTTTCTTTTTTTTTTATTTCTACCAACAAAATCAAATATTTTTGTTTAAAACTTAACTTAACTTAACTAAACTTTACGTTACATTAGTATTAACTTGACCAAAAAAAAAAAAATTCTACAGAACCTATAAAATCCTTGGAATCTTTAGGTAAATAGTGACTATGGCAAAAAAAAAAAAAAAAGGGAAACCCTTAGGAGAATAAAATGTATCTCTGGATAGACCAATTAAATCGCACCATTTAAATATCCCTCTTTTTATCCTGTACAATAATTAAATAATTGAATTAAAAGAAAGTACGATTTAAAGTAACTCTTATAAGACGAGTCTAAAATGAAGTATACAATTTAATATTTTACTACAAGTGAATAAAAATGTTAATGCTAACGAATAAACAAGATGAACCAATCTATCCAACCAAATTTCTTTTTGTTTTTAATTTTCCAAAAATGAAAAAACAAATACTTGTGACTAGTATATCATTCAAAAATACTCATATCCAGTATCTAGTTTCAAGCATCTAGTATCTAGCGTTTAGTATCTAGCGTCTAGTATTTAGTATTTCGAAACCAAATAATAATAACAAAGTGACTATACAAGATAGTTATGAAGTGCTAGAAAGGTTTTACTGCAATTCTTAAAGGAAAAAAAAAGAGGAACAGGAAGAGATAAAAGTATAGAAATGAGGTTTGATAGAGATTTGTTTCATTTATCGTTATTGGTATTATAAGAGAACTATTGTGCAAGGCTTTTTTTTTTTTCTTTTTTTTTTTTTCAAAAACACAAGTGTTATATATACATTTTTTGTTTATGTAGATAAAGAAATGAATAGAACAAATGACAGTTGATTAGATTAAATTTTAAAAATTACAAAATTAAAAAAATTAAAAAAAAATTATAAATTATAAATTATAAATTATAAAAATTTTAAAAAAATAAAGATATATATGAGGTTTATTTGATAAAAAAAAAGAATCTTTAAGCTTTTGCTTTTGTATTGAAAAAAAGAAAAAGAAAATAATATGTTCTAATTAAAACACCAGGTGGAAATTAGGTACTATAGGATTCATATCCTCAACAGTTATTATTTTCTATTAAACCATTTTTTGTTTTTTTTTTCTATAAAACTTTACTGATAAATAATAATCATTTTACTTTCTGAGTTACCATTTTGAAAGATGAATACGCAAATAAAGTCATATAAAAATAAAATCTATTATTTTAATAAGAAATGTAGAGAGACATGGAATGAAAAAAAAAAGAAAAAATTGTGTTTATTATGAAGTTTTTTGTAGAGTTATTTTAAAAAATAAACAAGAAAATAAAAAGTATATATATATATATATATATAGATTTACAAAAAATGAAAACAAATTTCTAAACTAGAAATATTAAAAAAACCAAAAATAAATAAATAAACACATTCTTGTTAGCAGAAATTTCTAATTTTGAGTAACACAAACGATTAAACAAAGAAATATAAATAAAAAATAAATAATCATATGAAAAAAGAATGTACAACTTTGATACGGTAGCAGAGTATGCTATAATACAAGTTGGGTTCATTAATATTGATTTCTTTTTTTTTTATTTTATTTTATTTTTTTTTTGCTATTCCATTTACTTTTTCTTTTTCTTTTTTTGGCGGGGATTTAAATCAACAAAATAAAATTTAAAGTGATTCAAAAAAAAAAAAACTAAATAAATAAATAAATAACAAAAAAAAAAATTAATAAAGTTGTTTCTTTTTTTCTTGATTTATTTTTCTTTAAAATTTAGAATAGAGAAAGAAATTTATATATAATGATTGTTCAAGTGTGTTGGATTATTGATTATGGATGATTCATTCATTCCGAAAAAAGACTCAAAAAAAGGGGGTAAAAATAGGAACCTACCAACCAGCTTTTTATTTTAATTTTTATTTTTTGTTTCTATATATTCTTCTTCTTTTCACTTTTTTTTTGTAGTTTTTGATATGGATTGTTGATATTTTCTCTCTTATTCTTTTTAATTAATATTGGTTTTTTTTTTTTTTTTTTTTTTTTTTTTTCAAAACTTAAGAACCAAAAAAAAAAAAAAAAAAAAAAAAAAGAAGAAGAAGAGAAAGATAATGAACCAACTTCTGAAATATATCCATGTTAATTTCACCTAGCTTGGGTTGAATAAACATAGCAACTAATTAGTTGGAGAAAGACAAATATAGTTTTCATAAATAATAATATATTAACAAAAAAATAAAAATAAATAAATACAATACTAAATTCAAATGTCATGAAAAACTTATAAGTTTTAGAATAATTATTCATCAGGGTTTTTTTTTTTATCTTCTAAATGTTGCAATCAGGTGGTTTGATTAAGGTTTTCTTTTTTTTTGTTAAAAAAAAATCTTTGAATAAAAGCAACAATCCAAGATTTTTAAATTGTTAACAACTTTATTCTCATGCTCTTCATTACAATATTCTCATAGAATCTTTGAATGAAAGGTATATCATGATTTTTTTTTTCATTAAATATTATTATTAACTATTATTTTGCTTTTGCTTTTGCTTTTTCGTTTTTTTTTTTTACTTAAAAAGAAAAAAAAAAAAAAAGCTATTATACTATTTAATACACTTGTAATTATAATCATTTTCAAATATCAAAAGCTCAATTGTAAATCCAAAATAAATTTTTTCTTTAAACAAAAAAATTTCCTTTCCTTCAAAATAAAAATACATTGCCACTTAAAATCCCGGGTGGTGGTACCCCGCCGGGGCTCCACCATGAGGAGGCAGTTGAGGTAGATGCTGCTGAGGTGCAATATTTCCTACCGCTGCAGACGACAAAGATTGTGGACCCTGTGACTGTGGTGTAGCTGAAGACGGTTGCGCGTAAACAAGGGACCCCAACATGGAGTGTGGTTGCTGCTGCTGTTGTTGCTGCATTTGAATTTGTGAGGAGGGCCCCGCAGTTGATGAAGATGAAGATGGCGGTTGCGGAGGCAAAAGCAAGCCCTCATCTATGTGCTCCAACTTGTGCACCATCCCAGTGCCACCACCATCACCACCACTACAATCTTCATCATTATTAGTAGCTCCCATTGCACGACTGCTGCTGGCACTCGATTTATTTGGTCGTTTGCTGCGTCCACTACTGTTTCCATAACGCGACTCCTTACCACGGCCCTTGATGCCACGGTTTGAATTTTTGTAGAGATCCGCAAAGTACCTCAGCATTTCCATGTCCTCGTTTGAGATATTTGGCGGCTGCTCACTATCTCCTGGACTTGCAGACCCACCTGTAACTCCGGGAGAACCATTGCCACCACCAGTAAACAGCTTAGACTTGGCGTAAATTTTGAAAAGTTCCGTGAGCCGGAGCAGTGGACCTTGGTGGAACTTGTTTTGGTGAGCCTTGAGATTACCGAGCTGAGAAAAAGTTTTGCCACAATTGTCAAGACGACAAACAAACGGGCGGAAAGACTTGTGGATCAACAAGTGGGCCTTGTAGTTGCCACATTGCGCAAACCGCTTACCACAAGACTCACATGTATAAGGCTTTTCGCCAGTGTGCGACCGCTTGTGAGTGCGCAAATTGCCGTGTTGTGAGAACCGTTTGCCACAGCCGTTAATGTCGCAGACATAAGGCCGGTCACCTGTGTGAGAGCGCCCGTGAATCACCAAGTGAGTTTTTTGAGAAAACGACTTGTTGCAGTCTGGGAATCCACACTTGTACTTATTCTCGGCTTTGCTTTCCCGCTTGCCCACACCGCCATTCAACATGCCTTTGGAGGGAACAAGTGTTTGCTCATTATCAAACTCAAGGGGTGCAACAGCCTCACCAACCATTAGCTTCTTCTCCAGTTGTTCTTGTGCCTGGATAATAAGCATCATCTTGTCAACCTGTGTAGCACCAATTTTAAGGTCTCCATCACCAAGAACAGGTTCTGAGGATGAGCTTGAAGTCGATGTTTGTGGCGGTGGTGAAGTGATGCCTCCATTTCTTTTTCTTCTTCTTCTTCTTGGGCCATCTCCTTCTCCTTCTGCACCTCCTTCTTCATTTTTAATTTCCACTACTCCATCTGGGCCTGACTTGTGTGTGAGTCCTTTATTTTTTCGTGATTCTCCAGAATTTGTGCGGCCCCGTTTAGCACGGGACTTTCCAGGACCCGAAGAAACATCAGATGATGTGGCGGAGGCTGCTGTTGTTGTTGTTGTTGTTGTGGAAGAAGACAATCCTGTTGAATTGGTAATTCTGTTGGAATTCGTGCCAGAGTTACGGCCACTGCTACCACCGCCAACACCTGCCGTGGCAGATATCAAATCAGTGTTACCCGTTGGCCCGGTGCTAGCTCCAGATGAGTCGCTAGCACTTGCCCTTGGGTCTGAACCGACAACAACCACGCCTGAGCCAAGAGTACTACCTCCACTACCAGTGCCGTTACTCCCGAGCACATCTGCAAGGCCTCGCCGTTTATGGTCCGCGGACACAAGTCCGTGCGAGTCAAACGGCTGAGATCCGTCAATATTATTATTGCTGTGATTGGGGCCAACACCAGCACTACCCGCCCCATTTAAATATCCTCCTGGATAAGCGACCGAGGACATCATTGTTCCGCTGCTGCTACCACTGTTGTTATTGTTGTTGCCAGTGTTGCTGTTATTGCTGCTGCTGCTGCCGCCGCCACTGCTGCTGCTGCTGCTGCCGCCACTGTTGCTCAATATTGATGTTGATGACGTAGACCCACTAGCGCTGTTCGAATCACCTCCTCTGTATCCCATTCCTAGCCGGTGGTGGTCGGGTCCATTTTGTTGTTGTTGAGGATTTGAATACACTGTAGCTGAATACGATCCGGGTAATGCATCTGCCGAAAGTGCAGCTGCAACCGACATTGAATTCATGTTATTTGCATTGCTGCTACTTCTGTTGTTGCTGCTGTTGCTGCTGTTGCTGCTGTTGCTGCTGTTGCTGCTGCCACTCCCGCCTGCAGGGTTGTTTTGATTTCCAGTTGCAGGACCCGAAACAAGTTGTTGTTGGTGTTGTTGTTGGGAAGGACTTTGATTATGGTTATGAGATTGTAAATGTAATTGATGATGATGATACGCATGTCCTAAGGACCCTGACGTTAAATAAGGGGATGACGCAGATGTCGGGTCATGTTGTTGTTGTTGTTGCTGTTGTTGTTTAGAATAATCATACTGATAATCTTGATGAATGGAGCCTACACCATTTAGAGTGGGCATTTGTGTTGATTGTGGGCCAGAATTTGATCCGCCGGAAGTTTGTTGTCCGTGGGTTAAAGATGAGATTCCTCCTAACCCCACGGACGAAGTAGACTGTGGAATGTTTAAGCGTTGTTGTTGTTGACGTTGGTGAGGTGGGGGGAAAAGGTGTGGGGGTGTTGCAGATGCAACGGCTGCAGCAGCTGCTGCAGCTTCTGCAGCGGCAGCGGCAGCAGCAACATCTGGGTCATGGTGAGCCGAAGAAGACGTAGAAGTAAGACCATGTTGTTGTCTTTGTCCAGAAGACGTTGATCCTGGTGCTGTTGTAGTAGAGGTTGCAACAGATCCTTCATAGTAGGAAGTATTTGAAGAAGAAGAAGAAGAAGATGGGGCAGACTGGGCCGCAGCTGTGGCGGAAGATGTCGACAAGGTAGAATATGGTTGCTGTTTGCGAGAAGGGGTTGCAAATTGTGGTGATAATGGCTGGTGTTGCTGAGGAAGAGCTCCAAGATGGGATTGCTGTGAAAAAAAGTATTGTGAAGAAGATGAAGAAGAAGATTGAGTATTAGGTTGAGTAGAAGATGGAGAAGAAGTAGATTGGTTATATTGGGATTTCCCAAAGATTTTTGAAGAATTGGATCCTGGGTCTGAAGCTGGATTTGTGTTGCCAAAAGAGTAAGATCCTGAAGATTGTTGGTAGTCACTCCAAGTATGGTTTTTTAATCCAGCATGGTGATGATGATTGTTATGATGGCTATTTGATGCTGAAGAATGAGTTGGAGAGTTTAATGAAGAAGCATTTTGTGCAACAGTTGTAGTAGCATCAGCGTTCAAGAGACTTTGCTGGGAAGAAGATGAAGAAGAAGAAGGATGAAACTGGGATTTAAGAATGGAAGAGTTTTGAACATGTGGAGTGTTTTGAGCTGAAGTTGAAGATTGCTGGGGATTAGCAGAAGATGAAGATTGTTGTTGATTAGAGAGTTCGTGAAGAGCATCCATTTGGGCTATTTGAGCATTGAACTGAGCTTGAGCTTGGATTTGGGCATCAAGAGTAGAGTTTGCTGAAGACGAATTTTGAGGAGAAGAGGATGAAGAAGATTGTTGAGCATGTTTCTGGTAATAAAGATGAGAAGAATGTGATTGTTGTTGTTGTTGCTGTGACGGTTGCTGTTGCTGATGATGCTGGTATTGAACTTGTGAGACAATCTGGTTTGGAGATTGGGAATAATGATTATGAGATTGTTGAAGATAAGAGTTTTGGTAAAGACCTTGTTGAATCATATAAGATTGCTGTTGTTGCTGATTCTGTTGGTTCTGTTGATTCTGTTGATTCTGTTGCATTTGGGTTTGTTGCGAACCATAGCCCAGATGACCATAATTATATTGGTTAGGCTGTTGCTGTTGCTGCTGCTGTTGCTGCTGTTGCTGCTGCTGCTGTTGTTGTTGCCTTGGTTGGGCAGAATAGTATCTATTACTATTACTGTTAGGCCCAAATGATCCTGAACCAGAGTTCATTGTAATTTCGACGCGATGAAATGAAAAATAAAAGTTGAAACGTTTGCGTGTGTGGAAGTGGAAGTGGATATATATTTTTATTTATTTTATTTTTTTTGTTTTTTTGTTTTTTATTTTTTTTATTTTTTTTAGTTTTTGTTTTTGTTTTTAATGGTTCGTAGATGAATTTAAAAAAAAGGACAAAAGTATAAATTAAAAAAAATAAAATAAAAAAAAATAAAAAAAAATAAAAAAATAAAAAAATAAAAAAATAAAAAAATAAAAAAATAAAAAGAAATCACTTGTAACGAGAACAGACTTTATTTGGTTACAGCCTTTTTTCGTTTCTAATGTCTTCTATTTAAAGTAAAAAAAAAAATTGAAGAAGGAGCAAAAGATTGAAGATCTCAAGAAATTTGATGATTATGATAATAATAATAATAATAATAATAATAATAATAATAATAATAATAATAGTGCTGATTATGATGATATTGATGATATTGATATTATTGATATTGATATTGGGCACAGAAACGACAACAAAGAGCCGAACGAGGCTAAGACCGAATAACCGGAATCAGTGGCTGGACCACAACATGAAAAATAGGAAAAAGATTTTTTATTTATTTTTTTGAGAGGAGGGGGGAAAATAAATAAATAAATTGAAAGGAGGATAAAAAAAAAAAAAAAAAAAAAAGAAAAAAAGGAAATAAAGAAATGTTGAAGAAGATATTTAAGTCTTTAAACAATCAATGATATTATTATAAGTTAATAAAATAAATAAATAAATAAATAAATAAAAAAGAAAGAAAGAAAGAAAACAAGTAAAAACAAGTAAAAAAATAAGAAAAAGAAAACTCTCCTGAAGTATTTAAAAGTGGAGTTGGTAATTAGGAATAAATTATTATTATTATGATTAATATTAATATTATTAAGGTAGAGGGTATATATGTTTTGTTTAATAGAAAGAAAAAAAAATGATAAGAAGAAGAAAAAGAAAAAAAAATTTTGATAAATATTTATAAAAACAAAAATAAATAAATAAATAAATAAAAGTTGTTATAGAAATATTTAATAAAAAAATTGTTGAACTTTTGAACTTTTGAAATTTTAAATTTTTTCCCTTTTTATTATTTTTTTTTTATCAAAAATATGATGATGATAATGATGATAATTATTATGATAATATTTTTTGAAGATTTTTTTAATTTATTATATTTATTTTAATATTTTAATATTTTAATATTTTAATATTTTCCAATTATTTTTTTTTTTTTGGGCACTGCACTTGTGCTTGTAGATACAGCCGCAGGGGGTCTGGCAAAAGATTTTTTATATTTTTTTTTTATTATTTTGTGTGTTCAATAAAAAAAAAAAAAAAAAAAGAAGAAAAAAAAGAAAATTTAAAATAAATAAATAAAAAAAAAAAGAAATTTTATTTTATTTTTTTATTTTTTATTGGCAAGTGGTTTTTTATTTATATTTTAATGTTTGAATTTATATAACGTGGCTATGACGATATGGTACCAATTAGAATGAGGAGGAGGAGTGATTAGAAAACCAACTAGAGTCATGATTATACTTATGTAATCATACAGAACTACTCTACTCCTAATTCTAATTCTAATTCTAAATAATTTTTTTTTTTTATAATAATAATATTAATATTAATATTAATAGTAATAATTGGCATTTATTTTTATTTTTGCCTTTTTTTTTTTTAATCACAATGAAATTACGGCAAGAAATGTCCTATGACGAATATATAAATATATACAACACTATAATTCAATATAAACATTCTCACATAAATGTGATAGGCATAATTAATGTCAATATATATATATATATATATATATATTAAAATATTCAAATATTCAAATATTCAAATATTCAAACAAATTTTGTCATTATTATTATGCTTAATATATATATTTATATAGTTTGTTAACAGATTTGTTTGGTTTAGTTTAGTTTGGTATGGTATGGTATGGTATGGTATGGTTTTGTAAATCTATGGAATTTTGTCCCGAGCGACTTTTTTTTTTTCTTTTTTTATTTTATTTTTTTTTTTTTTTTTGCTTCTAACGGCAATCTCCCCTTTTTTCTTCTTTTTTTTTTTAATTTTTTTATTTATTTTTTTTTTTTTTGTGCTAATGTGCGCGGTGATATGAGCCACAGCAAAGCACCTTTTAAGAGAACTTTATTACAATAAGTCACTGCAGCAACGCCGTTACGAAAATTAAAAAAAAAAAAATTTAAAAAAAATTTAAAATAAAATAAAAAAAAGCAAGCAACCAAATAAACAAATAAGCAACAACAGCAAAAAAAAAAATCTTCTCATTTTTAGATTTTTTTTTTTTTTTAACGGAACCTTCAAACCGACAAACACATGAACCGTTCTATATACTTTTTCTTTCATCCTTTCAAAAAAAAAAAAAAATAATAATAATAATAACAATCACGATAACTAATAAATAATAAAGGAAATTTCATATTCATTCAAAAATTAATATAAAATAAAATAAAATATATTGTATATACATTTTTCCGACGGAAGAATTCTACAGTGGCAAATTTCATCAAAAAAAATTAAAAAAAAAAAAACAATTCCAAAGGTACAACCATTAAGTATCTTTCTTCTCGTTTGTTCCTTCTACTTTTTTTTTAAGTAGTCTCTAATTTTTCATTGATATCAATGGAATTAGTTAGCACACATTTTGAAGGTCACAAAAAAAGAAAGAAAGAAAAAAATTAAAATAAATAAACAAAAAAAGAAATAAAAAGTAGTTTTATTTGAAAATGCAAAATTAAAATCAATCAATGAGGTTTATTTTCAAGATAAATAAGAAGAAACAATAGAATATTAAAGATAGTTAAACTATCTTATGTTAAGTTAGATTAAGTTAAGGAATTAATTTGATTGATTCAAGATATTTCATTTCGTTTCATTTCAGTTTATCATTTTATATCATTTAATTTAATTTTATTCCCGTTTTTTTATTTTACCGAGATCTATTCAATTTTATAAATTAAATAATATATAAATAAATTTCTACATTTATGAACATGAACAAGAACTAATAATAGCTTATAAGCTAATTAATGATTGAGTTAAGATAAATAATTTTCATCTAGACATTTATCTAAACATTTCTTTAAATATTTATCTCATAAATCAACTAGTTATCAAGAAATGAAATATAATATTCATAAGAATTAGTAAATAAATATACAGTAGAAATTTTCTTTTACAAAAAAAAAAAATACAAATACAAATACAAGAATAATAAAAAAAAACAGCCGCCTAGATCAATCAAAAGCTCACCTTATTTATTTGTAAAATAAAAACAGACCATCTTTATTATTACTATTTTAGTTTTTATTATTATTATTATTATTATGAGTATTTTATATTTTATTTTATTTCATTTTTTTTAAATTCATCTGTTTGTTATCATCATACACTTTGTTTCTTTTTTCTTTAAAGCACCCAAAAAAAAAAAAAAAAAAGGTCTTTAATAGCCCTCATTTGTTTGTTGATATTATTCTATTATTTTACAAATATTCGGAAGGTTCCGAAAAAAAAAAAAAAAAAAAAAAAACTAAAATATTCAAATTCCAACTGAAAAAAAGAAAGAAAGAAAAAAGAAAAAAAAGAATTTTAAACATGCTGCTTTTATGCCTTAGTTGAAAATAGATAATCTTTCTTTCTTTTTTTTTTTTTTTTTTGCAATCTTTCAAAATATACTTAATTTAAATTATCTTAAAGTAATATATCTCATTACATCTATATAAAATCTGTCAAATTTCATTACTTTGGAAATTTTTTTCTTTCTTTTTTGCTGACAAAACGAATAAATAGTCCACAATTCTTTGTATTTTTTTTTCATATTTTTTTCACCATTCTTCTTAAATGAATTTCTATTCTTTTAATGATTAAGTATAATGATCAATTTAAGGGGGAAAAAAAAAAGCAAAAACAATATAAAAATCATTATATTAACAATGCAAAATGCCATACCCATGGAAAGCTCAGTTATCGCACGTGATGCACGTTTTTCAACACTTGATTGTATTTTCTTTTCTATTTATTAACTGTTTTTCTTTTTTTTTTTATTATTATTAAATTGATATCTTTAAATTTAACCTAGTTTATTTAATTTTGTTCATTCAATTTTTATTTTTTTTTTTTGGAGATTTTTGTTAAATTAATTCAAATTAAATCAAAAAATTGTGTATCAATCACAATTATCAAGTAAATTTCCCAGTACCTCAACATGATGACATCATCACTTCCTGTTACGTAAACTCTTTCAGAGAAATTTCTGAAATCCAATCTATACTAAAAAAAAAAAAAAAAAAAAAAAAAAGAGAACAAAATTTGAGAAACTTTCATTCTGAGCCGCAACTCTATTAACCGTGCTGCCCGGCGGCCCCACCAATTTTCTTCTTCTATCTAATTTTTTTTTTTTTTTTAATAAAAAAAAAATTTGATTAGAATCGGGCCCGGCACATTCACGCGCTCTTACTATTATGGTATAGCAAAATTTCTTAACAACTGTTACACAAACCTCCTTTTTCATCTTGATTTTTTTTTTTTTTTTTTCTTTTGAAATAGTGTCGTGTTCTCGCTGTATTTTGGTGGCTTTAGTAATTAATAAAAGGTCTTGAATTAAACTAATAGTCTAAATTCTTTATTAGCTTCCACTTTACTTTTGATTCAACTTATCCACCTTCTTAACTTGGATCCTAAGATAAACTTGGTTCCCTCTTGAGGTATTGTTTGATGTCAAGTTCAAAATTTACCACTCATACTTCTCAAGTTCTCTGTTAAGTTGATACTTATATTATATTACCCCTAACCATTTAGGTCACGTGGAACTGTGGCGTTCTGTTACGGGGAGGAATTTTTGCCACGCTCAATGTTTATGAGTGTGTATTTGTATGTCATTGCTATTACTTGCCGAATTTAGGTCATTAGGCTCCACTCTCTTTTGGATGTATGTGATATTTTTTATTTTTTTTTTTTTTTTTTTCATTTAATATGCAAATACCTAAAGAGGAATGAATTAACATTGTTAAAGGTCACGTGAAATGCATAATATTGTAAGGGAAAATGATCAGCCTGTGTTCGATGTTAGTCAATCTGTTCTTATTTTTGTTTTTTTATTTCTCTCTTGATTCATCCTGAAAAAGAAAAAAAAAATTAAAATAATAATAATAATTGAGAATCTCTTTAGAAAAAAAAAAAAAAAAAAAAAAAGACTGGCATACGTCATGCATTTCAAAAAAAAACTAACGCAAATAGTTTCTCTTTTTGTCTTCCCACACCCACCTCCCCGGATTATTTATTTTCTTACTTGTCACTAATTAATTACAACTGTTTTTAGTTGTAACAAATTTGTAATGTCGTAACCAAGTTAAAATTTTGTAACAATATGTGACAAATATGTAACAAACTATCATTCAAAATTATGATCACTAAATATTATTCATATATCAATATTATTTAATATTTTCTTTTCCGGCCACGTTCACAATAATCAACAACTCCTTTTTTTTTTTCGTGTATTTCTATTCTTCACAACCACCAATTTAATCATAACTTCCTAAACCTCCCCCCCTCCTCCTCCCCAACTTTATTAAACCCCACCCTACAATCCTCACAATGACCAAAGCTCAACAAACAATTTCTCAGGTCGCCACTATTGTCTCAATTTACGTCGCACTGGTGGTTGGTCTTATTCCAATTCCTGCAACTGTACGCTCTGAAATTGTGCCTGTGCTTCCCTGGTGGGGGCTGGTTGCATTTGGATCTTACTCTCTGGCTACCTTGGGTTGGGGGATTTTCTCTTTCAAGAATAAGGAAGCTGAGTACCATACTCTGTTAAAGGTAATTATTAGGATTGAAAAAAAAATTTTTTTTTCTCATTTATTTTTATTGGAATTGTTTTATTCTAACAATGGTATTTTTATTTTAGGAAATTGACGAAGCTAAGCGGGATCTTAAATCAAAGGGTGTTACTATTGAGGAATAAGTTTATTAAAACATAATGATTTTTTTTGTACAAAAGTAAAGGAAATAAATAATAATAATAATAATGAATGAATGAATGAATAAAAAGAATATTTATGACTTTTGTTAGGTAAATTATAGATCAAAGATCAAAATCAAAAAATCAAATAATCAAAAAATCAAGAAATCAAGAAATCAAAATCAAAATCAAAATCAAAAAATCAAAAATCAAAAATCAAAAATCAAAAAATACTACAAAAATAAGGGCTTAATCACGTGATAACTTGACACTGCATACTAAAAAAGACCCTCAGTCTCGCAAACCGAGAAACGAAAAAAAAAAAAAATACGCCCTTTACCAACAATTTTTTTTCTTCTTTTCCATCATCACCAACCTTTTCTCCATCTTTTTTATTTTATTTTATTTTATTTTAATTTTTTTTTATCTTTACACGAAACCCACTTTAGATTACACAATTATAAATTCCCTCCCCTACTCTTTTCACAATGGCAGTTGTTCTCACCCTTCTGTCTTACGTAGGCATTGCATCTGCATTTGTTGCCCTCACCCTTGCAATTGCCTCCGGACTATATATTTTATCTGAACAAGTTGAAGAACACACGGTCACAACTAAACGTCTACTGACCCGACTGATCCATGCCATCATTGCCATTCACATTCTGCTTCTTCTCTTTGATCACTTCCCGCTCTGGACAACTCTCTTTTCCATAGCATCCAACTTTGTGTATCTTCGCAACCTCACCAGATTCCCCTTCATCACTCTAACCTCAGGCACCTTTTTATTATCGTGCGTGTGTGTTGTTTCAAACCATTATCTGTGGTTCCGATATTTCACAGATCCAGCCATCCCTCCCTATGCTATCTTCAAAACAAACCCGCATTTTGGTGGCCAGACCCATCCACCTTTTGCTCAAGTTGCTTCCTTCTTGGGCATTTGTGTGTGGATGATTCCATTTGCCCTCTTTATTTCGCTTAGTGCAAACGATAACGTTTTACCAATGACAGATCCAGCTCTTGATGACACTGGAGCCGCATCGGCAAAGGCTCGCGCTAAAAGCACAGGTTTGGCCAAGGTCATAATTGGCACGGCGTATGACTGGATCAAGAGGGTTAGTAGGGCCCTGGGGTATGAATTGGATCCAAACTATGGTCGTATAGTGTAAAATGACGAATTGAATGAACAGTTTAAAAAAATTAAAAATTAAAAATATATAAAGACCTACTACTATTCTGTGTAACATGATTTTTTTTTTTTTTAAATTTTTTTTGTAAGTAATAAATGGTTGATAAATATTTTTTGATTTGAAATACTCTTGGTATTATTTATTTATTTATTTATTTATTTATTTATTTATTTATTTATATATTTATATATATATATAAATTTTTTTTTTTTTGAATACAATTGAATTACAATAAGAACCCCTAATCTCTTGATGGCGACCCCTCAATGTTATCTGCTAACACGTTATGCCACATATATATACACACGCACACTCACACACGCACACGCACACGCACACCCACAAATAAATTCCCTCCCCACCACCACCACCTCTGTAAATTTCTTCCTCTTCTCTTTTTCTCTCTTTTTAAACACACCACCACTTTATCTTCAACATAAAACACCATTTCCCATCACCAACTTCCATCATACCTGCCACCATTACCGTCTTCTTTTTTTCAAACTACTTATAATTTTCACCAAGTTTGAAAAAGGTCTTCTCCTCATTCTCATCACTATTAATTCCCGTTATTCTCAATCGCATATTAGATATATACACATACATAAATACGCACACATAAACACACATAAACACACACACACACACACACTTCTCTATAACTCCCAGCAATGCGTGTCTCTCAAGTCTCTACCGCCGCTAAGCGCATGGTCGCTGCTGCTGCCACCGCCAAACAATCTGCATCTTCCGCAGTCTTGACTCCTAAGCGTGCTTCCATTGTTTCTCCTTCGATTGGTTTCCAGGCCGCTCTTAGAACAACCTTTCCTCACAGAGAGTCTTCCACCGTTGGAGGTGCCACCACCACCGTAAGTATATATCTTACTTTTCTTTTAATCTACTCAATTCAATTGCCATTTTCTTTTTGAAATTGGTAATTCAGACTGCTTCTTAAAGTCGAATTGTGCTTTGCTGTGACTACTTTTGAAGAGTTTTTTTTTTTTTCGTTTTCCCGTACAATGGAAGCCTAGAGCCCGTGCATAGTGCGGAGTCTTGCTGACTAGATAAGCCGTGGCTGCCTGACTGACTGCCTGACTGCCTGTGCTGTTTGCTGCTTACAACCAACGCTTATCCGATACTTTACGACAATTCTTGAATATCATCACCATTCTCTTCAAGTTGAGAAAAATAAAAAAAAACACTCTTTTGTTCACTTGTTGATTCTGTTGGTGGTTTTTTTTTTTTTTTTTTTTTTTTGTTCAATGCCTTTCTTGCCGGCTTACACCAGCCCATCACCTCCCAAGGCGGGGCTGGCCATGTCAATCTCTCTCTGCTTGTTGTTTATGTATGAACGCGGGGCCGCGTGTTATTCAGCCCGTGTTTGTATGGGCCACAGCCAGCCTTTCCCAACCAGCAAGTCAGTAAGCCAGTAAGCCAGTATGCCAGTAAGTCAGTATACTAGTAAGCCAATCTGCTAATCTACCAGTCTGCCAGTCTGCCCGTCTATCATCCAGCAAGTCAGCAAGTCAGCAAGTCAGCATATACAATTGAATACCAGCAAAAAAAAATATACCCCTCTCTTCTTAATTTTTTCCTCCTCTTCCTCCTCCTTCTGTCAACCTCTTGTGAGGGGTCACACAGTGGCTATCGGCTAGCACAGGCGGTCACCACTCACCTCCACGCCGAACAACCCAAACCCTACTTTCCCGTCCACACCCTTGATTACCCTATAATAAACCCTAACATCAATCCCTCCACTTTTTTTTTTCTTTAGATGACGGTCCGTGATGCTCTCAACTCCGCGATGGCCGAAGAAATGGACCGTGACGACAACGTCTTCCTCATGGGTGAGGAAGTCGGTCAGTACAATGGTGCCTACAAAATCTCTCGTGGCCTGCTGGACCGTTTTGGCGAGCGTCGTGTCATTGACACACCCATCACTGAAATGGGTTTCACGGGTCTCTGTGTCGGTGCCGCTCTTGCCGGCCTCAAGCCCATTTGCGAGTTCATGACCTTCAACTTTGCCATGCAGTCCATTGATCAAATCATCAACTCTGGTGCTAAAACTTACTACATGTCCGGCGGTACCCAGCAGTGCAATGTCACTTTCCGCGGCCCCAACGGTGCCGCCGCAGGCGTCGGCGCCCAACACTCGCAGGACTACTCAGCTTGGTACGGCTCTATTCCAGGCCTTAAGGTCGTGTCACCATACTCTGCTGAAGACTACCGTGGTCTTCTCAAGGCCGCAATCCGTGACCCTAACGTGACCATTTTCCTTGAAAATGAAATTCTCTACGGTGAGTCTTTCCCCGTCTCTGAGGAAGCCCTTTCCCCAGACTTTGTTCTGCCCTTTGGCCAGGCCAAGATTGAGCGCCCTGGTAAGGATATCACCATTGTTGCTCACTCACGCAATGTCGAGTTCTCTCTTAAGGCTGCAGACATTCTCAAGAAGGACTACGATGTTGAGGCTGAGGTCATTAACCTGCGCACCATCAAGCCCCTTGATATGCCCTCCATCATTGCCTCTGTCAAGAAGACCAACCGTATCATCTCCGTCGAGTCCGGCTTCCCTGCCTTTGGCGTTGGTTCCGAGATTTGCGCCCAGATCATGGAGTCTGAAGCCTTTGATTACCTTGATGCACCAGTCGGCCGTGTTACTGGTGCAGAAGTTCCTACCCCCTATGCCATTGAGCTTGAGAACTTTGCTTTCCCTACCCCAGAAATTATTGTCAAGGCTGCCAAGAGCGCTCTGTACATTGACAGCGAGTAGTTTATTCCAGCCACTTTTGCTTGACTGAAAAAATAAAAGGAATAAAAAAAACGAAATTTAATAAAGTAGACTATAATAATGAAAAAAATAAATAAACAAAATGAATAACTGGTTTTATTTAGATTTTAAATTTTATTTAAATTTTATTTAAATTTTTTTTTAAATTTTTTTTTTTTTACCACATCTATGAAATTTCTTTTTTAAACTGTTTTTAATAACTAGGCGACTCAACACGCCAAGCAGCCGTGTTGAGGGACTGCAGCCGCGTCATCTTACCTTTGATCCACGCGAAAAACAAAACAAGCCCAATTCCAACACACAGTACATTAGCCACATAGTATCCATCCGTCTTTATTTCGCACGCGCCTTGGAGTGACCGGCATATCGCCTTATCAGCTTCCTTGACGCACGAGAATGGCGTAAACGGGGTTGTTGCATTCTCCGAGAGTGATGTTTCACTTGGAGGCTGACATGTTGCGCTGGTGAGCCAATCGACGGCATACAACACAATGAGACGGGGCCACTGGCCTCCCAAATTAGAGATGGTGTTAAGGGTGGTCATGTAAGTGCCACCAATTGCTGGGTCTGCAATCTGTGTGTGGAACGCATTGATGGAAACAAACTGGATCGTCGACATAAACGAGCCCAGAACGTGCGTCAAAATAATCACAAGTAAATACCCGGGTCCTACCTTACCAGACCGTGGGAAAGCAGCAACAGCAAACATCGATAGCACAGCACATGCAAGACGCCCAAGATATCCGAGCATCCACGGGCGCAGAGGCCGCGCACCTGTCGACCATTTGGCCGCATAGTAGCCAAAGATGATTTCAAACGGGAAATCAATCAGCACAGTCAAAGCCAGGTCTTCTTTAGAAAGTCCGCGTTCCAGTAGCTTAAGGTTGGTGACAGCCTCGTTTGCTTGGAACCCGATCTTGGCCACAAGGTGTACCAGAATCAGGACCTGGATATTGGGTAGTCGCAGTACCTTGTACATGGACCGATATACGGCCGAAATTCCTCCAGAGTCGGCGTGTGTGCGCTCCTCGCGTTTAAGAATGGCAACAAGAGCGGTGGCTACCAGATAGATCCACCCCCACGCCGCCAGGTACTGGCTAAGTGAAATTGGTGGCACATCTGAGGATGCAGCGCGCAAATACTTGTTTGCAAAATCTGGTGAATTAAATGCCAGGAACACTGTAAAAGACATAAAGTAGCCTGTGTTGAGACCCACAGTTTGGGCTGTGGATGCGTAAGAGAGTGCTTCTTGGGACAGCAACGTAAGGGCCCAACCATCCACAGCAATATCCTGGGTAGCGCAGAGAAAGACGAGAGTGAAGAAAGACATTGTGATTTTGAAGAGGTTTTCCTGGGCGTTTTCCAAGAGGTTTTCGACGGTTGTACTCAAGTAAATGAGCACGAGGGCAGACACAGTTTGGATCGGGACAATCCACGACTTGCGCCGCCCAAACTTGGGGCTATAAAAGGCATCCACAATTGGCGACCACAGAAGTTTAAGAGAGTAAGGGTATGATGCCAGTGTGAAGATACCAACCTGGCCGTATGACAGCCGACTTTTAAGCAGAAATGGAATTGATCCAAAGGCAAGGCCCACAGGGATACCTTGGAGCAGGTACAAGAAGACCAACGCTAGGAAGTTTTGTCGGTCAATGGCTGTGAGTTGTGTGAAGCTTAATGATTTGCGTGTTCCATCGTCGTTGTTGTTATTTTCATCTTGTTCTTCTTTTGTGCTTTCTGTCATTCCATCAGAGTTACTACCATTCAACTTTTCATACGGGTTTACAGATGCTAGTGTCCCAGTAGTCCCCGTGGACGTTGATGAAAGAGTGTGGGTATGACTACGGAACTGGGAGCTTGATGAGTCAATGGAAGGGATGAACATAGGCTCTCCGAGTGAAGCACCTTCAGCCCAGTCAGCAGAGGCTGTGGGCAGGTAACTTCCAGTTTCATAGTCGGTGGAGGAGTGATTCGCCGAGGGTGACGATTGCGCTGGAGTGGCTCGTTTTCTATGGGAAAGCTCGATGCCATCCATTGTGGGGAAAGTTAATTTTTTTTTTATTTATAAAGTATTAGCCTTTGTAGGTATTTATGATTAAAGAGAATGAGTTAATGGTATATGTATAGTACTTATTAAGAAATAAAAGTCTATGATATACAATTAATGGGGTTGAAATATTGGAAGCGAAGGTCGGTTGATTAACCAGAATGAGCAAGAGACGTATTAATTTATATGGGGGGAGGAATAAGGAAAAAGCAAATTAAAGCAAAATAGGTAATAAGAAAAAAAAAGAAGGAGGCTTCTCGACTGGAAATGCACGCTTTTTTTTATATATATCCAACTAGCAGATATATAAAAAAAAACTCTTTTTAATGAGCAGCAGGAGTGCAGAATACAGAAAGAGGGTTAAAGTTGGCTGGTGGTTATGAAAGGGGAGGAGGAAGGAAAGGAGTATTTTTTTTTTTTTTTTCAAAACAAAAAAATACTAAAGTAATAAACTGGCTGAAAGAAAGCCAGCAAAGGACTTTTTTTTTACGTTGCTTGTTTTTTTTTTTTTTGTTTAACAAATCCTGCGGCTTAACTGATACGACATTCTAATGTGCGCGCTGGCTTTTTTTTGAAAAAAAAAAATTATAAATAAAGTAATTAGATCAAATATCTAAATCTCAGAAAATCTCAAGATTCCAGTTTATTAGAAAGGTTTAATTTTTTCTTTTTAAATTAACGGTTGGGGGATTTTTTTTTATATATATTCTATATATAATAATTATATATATTATATATAATATATATTGATTTTTTGATATTCTGGTAGTCACCAAAATAAAAATCAAATCAAATCAATCAAATCTGACAAATTCAGGCAGATATGGAAAGTAAGATAAAAAAATATATATATACATATATAATCACATGACATATTACAAAATTTAATATCTGTAACAAACGCGAAATCACATGAGCACGCGTTTATTTATTTTCATTTATTTTCATTTATTTTCATTTATTTTCATTTATTTTAATTTAATTTTTTTTTTTTTTTTTTATTTCCCACCATAAACAACAACCGTCAATTCTTTCCATCTAATAAACAATCAAATTTACTTAACCATAACCGCAAGAAATATCAACTTCACAAAACACTTCAAAATGTCAATTATAAGCAATAACAGGCGGCTCACAAGTTGGCTTTCTCAATCAGACTTTGTCATCGATGTTAGGCCACCTTCTAAAGATTCAATAACAAGTACTACACCTTCTCAAAATGATTTACCCTCACCACCAACAACTTCAAAACAACAACCACAACAACAACGTTTTCTTGTCCAGCTCACTCCAAGTGTTTCCAGCGAATCTGAAGACTCAAACGAGTATAAATATTATGCAAAAAATGATATCAAAGAAAGAAAAGAAGAAGAGGAAGACACTGTAGATGACTTTTTCCAATATGTTCACAAGGACCAACTAACCCAACTCACAAACCCGCTCACTCCATCTGACGTGGAAATGGAATCAAACCCAGATAAACCATACACGCGGATTTCCATACCTCATCAACCAGCAAAACGTTTATACCCAGACTTTGATTTTACCATGGATATCGACGATGACTACCATGACTCAAGTTTAAATGATAGGCTGGAACGTGTGGGGCCTGTCACACGCGATAAAGAGGCAGATGCAATTGCTGAATATACAAACAATCTTCCACCAGCTGAATTAGACCTAGATAGGTTGCTTGGGGTCGGCGCATTTATTCTGGACCAAAATGACGGACTTTTACAAGATAAGAGCATGACAGATTTGGGCAAGGCCTCATCCACACACTCTGCACGGTACCTTGGGCTACGGTTTGATTTCTGCGTAGATCCTCCCGCAGGTGCCGATCATTTGCGGCCGCACTATGTCATTTTACGTGAAGCTGGTGGAACCAATTTTTCGTCTAACCCCACACTAGAGGTATACCGTCATTCCATGCCTGCATTTGTTCCTGTGGAGCGGCTCGCACACCGTCACCTTAACACAAATGCTTCTGTATTTGCACGTAAGCTGCGTGAGTACTTGGTGCTGTATAATACACGGCGGCAGTACTTTGAAGCAGCTCTTTTTGAGCATGAGCAGCGGACAGCTGGAAGTATAGAGACTGAGAAGGACCAAGAACAGGAGTTACTACCACAATGTGTAGTTGCGTTTAAATGGAACCCAGAGTACACTGTGATTGAATTGATTTTGGTTTCGCCTTTAGTGGCCGGTTCTAAGAAAAATGATGATAAAGATGGGAAATATGACAAAGAAGAACAAGATGAAGAAGAAGAGGAGGAAGAAGAAGAAGAGGTGACTTTACAAGAACTCACAGTGACATGCTCGCCTAAGACAAACTTAATGAGTGTGGCTAAGCTTAGCAAAATAGTGCGACCAAAGGAAGATGTGGAATTGCTGCGGCGGCTACAGCGAGGAACGTTAACGATAAACCGGCTTGGACAAGTCATTGAATCCTGGAAAAGGTCCATTGAACAATAATGACTGTAATGAAATAAATAAATTTACGATAGAATTTGATTTTAATGATTAATGAAACCTTTAATATCCTCTTTTTTTTCTTTCCAATTCTTTTCATTTCATTTCATTTCAAAAAAAAAAAAAAATAACAAAAATATATATAACTTCCCTGACATACCCTTCCTTTCTAACCATATAAACTCACTTTAATGTTGGCCCTCAACCTTGCTAATGAGCCTGTTGAAACGCAAAATTGCTGGGAATCCCTCAAAAAAGATAGAGACGTACCACCAGGCGCGCTCCTCTTTCGGAACACGGTACTTGGTGACCTTGGGCCGGATCACAAAAAGTCCTTCAGCAAAATGGGCTGTGTATGTAACAATGGCTGGAATCCAAGGCCAATTGGAGCAGAATGACACAATAGGCCCCCAAAAAGCACCGCCATCTGCAGGAATACCTAAAAGGCTGGCCAAGGCGCTGAAAACTGGAGTGCGGAGAGGTGGCAGAATAAGAATGGCAACCACAAAAAGAAGGGCCATATCATGGACTGGAGTGGCACCGGACCAAGGCGGAACATAAGAGGAGATACGGTGAGTTGCATAGCCGCGAGTACCTGCTGCGGTTTTGGCCATATCGACAAGGGCGGTTCGTGCTTCACGTAGCGACTCCATGGGTGGGTTAATGGGGAACTGGGCATACTGGGCATTGGGAGAGTCAGGGTATGTGTACCGCAGAGTGATGTAGTTGTTGGTAATGTCGGTCATTTCGACGCTGGAGGAAGCATTATCTGGGTCAAACTCACGGTGCATGAAATACGACAGATAGTCAAACAGCGATAGAGCATGGTCTTTATTCATGTGGGTCAAAATGCGAGCTTTGGCAGCAGCCTGGGGCGAAACAGAATCCGTAGACCCGGTTGCTCCATAGGAAGCAGGAGCAGCGGAGGTGGACTTGGTAGAGGTGGCGTGGGGACTGGACCCGGTTGCAATACTGGTCATTTTTGGTTGTAGTGGTGGTAAAAGGATTGGTTAAGTTAAGATGGTGGTTGTGTATAAATTGGGTATTTATTTCTGTCTAATGACAAGAATAGAAGGGAAGAGAGAGAGAGAGAGAGAGAGAGAGAGAGAGAGAGAAAGAGAAAGAGAGGAAAGTTTGGTATTTGACTAAAAAAAAACAGCCCTGCTAACTTATTTCAATTTAGTGACAGAAGCAGCTGAGAGTGATGAGATGCAAAGAAGAAAGTCTTTTGAAGGCGAGACTCAAACAACAAAGTGGCTCAAAAATGGTCAATTGGCTTAAAAACTCCAAAATTCTGACAGGTAAATTTGTGTGTGTGTATGAAGGAGATTTATTTTTTATTTTTTATTTTTTAATTTTTTTGTTGGGAGATTTGACCAAAACAAAATACACCTGAGGGAACCTTATGATACGTCCATCTTTTAACCCCTCAATGTTATCTCTTTAAAAACAAGAGCCATCACAGCCACATGAATGGAAATTAATCAAACAAATAATGAAATAAAAAAAAAGGGGGTTTTAACAAGTCAGTGGTTGGTGGTCGATGTTGTGAGGGTGAAGTTTCTGGCAAGTGTTCCGGATGGAACCTATGTTCTTACGGGACACTAAATAGACAAAGACCCGAATGTGTTCTCAATTAGTGCACACAAGAGCCTGCCCGTTTGTCCGCGGGGGTTCCTGAACAGTTTATTGCAAGGTTACCCTCTTTTTACAACTTCCCCTCGTATTTTTTTTTGTTTTTTTTTTAATTTTTAGAAAATGCGTTTAAGCACTACATAGATATTATTAAAGGCACATTTCTCGCTAAATCTTGCCATACAAAAAAAGAACTTAGGTTTTATGTTATAAGTTTTAAATTAGGACTCAAGAAATCAAAAAAACTGTGGGAAAACCTTAGGTTAGTAATCTAAGTTACATGTCGCAAAAATTTTTTTTTAAAAAAAAAAGGCGTATGGTACATAAAGTTTATTGTCTAAGTTATATATTCTATAAATAACCCTTGCCCTTTAAGTTTTAAATGATGTCACTCTCACAGAATTTTTTTTTTTTTTTTTTTCTTTTCAAATTCTTTTCATTCTCCAAATAATCAAATTTTTATTACCAAAATATACTCCTTAAAAATACCAATATTTTTTTATCCGACTCTATTAAATTATTTAAATTGAATAATAGTGATTGCTAGGCTGACGTTGACATTTGCTGCAACTTTTTTTTTAACTTATTTCAAACACAATACTAGACAAACTATTGTATGTTTTCTAGCAACTTTACCTAGCAACTATTGAACCACAAACCATTGTTGCTATTTTGCCATCCAAGATCTAAAGCTAAATTATGATTAAAAAACTTAACAAAGAAAAAAGCTTAGTTGAGCATCAAGGTATCTTTCACAAAATGCGAGATTATTTAAGGAATAATGAGTTAAGGTACCTAGTTTATTTTGAATAAAATAACGTAGAAGATCTTGCTAATCCTAACTGAAATAGAAAGAGGGTTGAACAGACTGGAAATAACTAACCTATTTTGATTGTTGATCATAGACACTATACCAATTCTGGCTATAATTTGAACAAAATCCAGTTAGTTTTGTGGCAAAAATTAAGGTAAAATCTGGTTTATTATAGATCTGACTGCTTTAATGATGGAATAACTACATTCTTTTAATTACCACTTTAAAAACCATTTCATTTTTACAAGCTAATTATCAGATAACTTTTGAAAAAAATGGATTTTTTAAAAAATCATTAATAAGGATAACCCAAATAATGATATAATATATATGAACTAAACTGTATTTTGAACTTTTCTTAATACCATGCAAAAAAGAAAAAAATTTTTAAATAAAAAAAACTGCTTATTGCTTCCAGCAGATCGGGGGGACATAATACAATCCAAGCGTTTCTCCTAATATTTGACAAGATTCTAACAATACTAAATGAACTAAAAATGTGACAAATATTAAAAAACCACTTACACAGACACATTTGAAGAAATAATTTATACTTAATACACAAAACGATTTTATATTTTTTAATACCTTTCACAATGAAATCTTTTCATGTCATTATAAATAGTGGAATTTTTTTTTTTTTTTTTTTTTTTGAAGATAACCACATTTAGGTAAGGATGCCTATGTATGAGCTACAATATTATTGAATTTACTTTGAGGTTAAATTAATGAAAACCTGCTTTTTCCAATAGAGATGTGCAATATCTTTTTAATTTCATAATGGAACAAAAAAAAAATAGTCGAAATTTATAACACAAAAATGGGATTAAGCACAACTGAAGATCATTCTTTTTTGTATATCTATGTGGAAAACGAAATACTACCAATTATTGTTTGATAAAAAGTAATTATAAACATTATACTAAATGCTCATAAACGAAGAAACAAATTGCAATAATTCCAAATTGGGCTTGTCTGCTACAAACTCTTTTTGAAGACCATCCTATAATTATAGGTAGATTCTTAGACTTTCATTTATATTGAAGAATATAGATACTTTGCAGTTACCTTTTTATATTGTACTATTTCAATTTTATCGTATTTCAATATACAATATAATAACGTAGTTTGAAAGGAATTCTCTTACAACAGAGTCTAGTTATACTCATTCGCTTATAAAGTATCAGTTCAGTCTCTCATGTACCCTAACTCTTAACTCTTAAGACCTTGATATATCATGTTTAATACACAATAATATAGGAGACAGAATTAGCCTTATGTTTCATTCTATATTTTATCAAAAAACCCAGCACACTAACGCATTTTACTTTCTACTTTCTACTGGATTGTTTCCAGCCCGCACCTTTAACACAATCTTGTACCTGTGTCAGCTCCATAATGAATATAATTGTGTTTTTCTAGTTATATTTATTCATTAATTTATGAATTACTTATAGTAGTTGTTAACAGATAATAAATCTTAACTTTTCGTAATTTTTTTATCCTAACCATAACTTTCATGTCGATGTTTTTTACTTTAACAGCCATACATAGTGCTTAAAATGAGAAGCATAGACCTCTTACCCTAACCCTACACAAAACTTTAAATTATCCCTTCTGAATTCCTAATCTTTCCGACAAGTTCTCGCCGAATCACCTCTACTGATTAGCTCTTTGGTTGTCTAAATACCTCTTCACACCAACCCTACATCACCCTTTTCTATCAATCTCATCCTGGTCTATTCCCTTCTATAAAAGAAATCACAATGACTGCTTCTAGTGCTGATCCTACTTCTGTTCCACGTACTCTTAAGGTCCTAATCGTCCGCCATGGCCAAACCGACCATAACATTCGCCGAATTCTCCAGGGTCACCTCAACACAAGACTCAACGAACAAGGTCGTTCCCAAGCAACACTTCTCGGCAAGTATTGGGCTGCTCCTGCCACCTCTCAAAACATCGATGCTGTTTTTTCTTCTGACCTCCAGCGCTGCATCACTACCAACAACCTTATTCTCACAGAACTTGGTCTCGTAGCTCCAGCCGATGATGATTCTGATAAATCTACAATAAACCCTGATATTAACACTCACAAGTACGCAGTTCCTGTCACCTTTACGTCTAACCTGCGTGAACGTGATCTTGGTCCTCTTCAGTCTATGTATGTTAAGGAAGCCCATGCCAAAGCTGCTTCCGAGGGCAAGTCGTTTGTAGACTATGGCGAGTCAATGAAGAGTGTTCGTGGGCGCCTGCGTCTTGTTTGGGCCGATTTGATTGATACCGCTCGCAAGAATCCTGATATTTCTACCATCATGATTGTGTCTCATGGTGGTGCTATTTCCAAGCTCTGCGCAGATCTTGTCAATACTGGATCTGTTAGAATCGCAGATGAAGTCCCAGTCGAATCTATCGCAGTTCCGCCTAATACTTCGGTCACAACGTTGCTTATCCCCCTCGACCTCGACGAGGACCCGGAGAAAAACGATCTTAAGGAAGGCAAGGTCCACAAACAAGGGAAGCTCGCTGATTTCGGAAACACAGAGCACTTGAAGGTGCCTGTTACAACATATCAGGATGAGCAGTAAAAATATATATATATTTCTTTAGGAGTGGTTATCGTAAACGGCTTAACTATTTTTTTATCTGTTGTATCTTAGGTAATGTGGATATAGTCTATTAGATATTGTGAGGGTTGCGGTTTTTACCTATTTGGGAAGTCTTAAAATTTTTTTTTTTTTTTTTTTTTTTGGACAAAAATTTTCCTTCAGCCTGATCCCTTTTTATTCAGCACACATAACACTGTTATACGACACCAATAAATCAACATAAAAAATGGCCAAGTTCAAGAAGAAAGTCTCTACCATTACTCGTGAAAATGAATCACAGATTAAGACAGATAAGTTGGCAGCTAACCGTTTAGCCTACAAGTCAAAGAACTATCTGAACGCAAATGACAACAAGAAGAAGAAAAATACAACTGGCAAGGTTACCAAGGTGAACCCCCTGCTACCTAAGAAGGTTTGTATATCCGTTATTATTTTACTTTAAAGGAATTTCTAACATGTTTTTTAATAGAAAAAACCAAGAGTGTACACAGAAAAAGAGCTGGGAATTCCCAAGCTTAACAAGTCGATAGACCCTGAAGGTGTGAAGCGATCGCGCGGAAAGAAGGGCAAGATCTTTGCGGACAAGGATGCCATGATGCGCATTCTGTACAGTGTGACTGAGCAGGTTGATAACCGCAATGCATCTAAGCTGGAAAAGGCGCGCCAGCTCGAGGCTATTCGCGAAACTAAGCGCAAGGAAATTGAGGCCAAGGAGAAGCAAAAGTCCGACAAGCTGGAGCAAAAGAAGAAGGAACTTAAAAGCAAAAAGAGCGGTGGAAATAACGACAATACTGATACCAAAAACAGAAAGCAAAAGAATACCAGAAATGCTTCGTCCTCTGAGCCTGCTAAAAAGAAAAAGGTTGCATTTGCTTAAAATTAATATATTATCATCCATTGTAACGACTTTTAATGACCAAATTAATACAATATCATAAATTATAAATCACAAAATCAATTTAAAAAAACACTTTTACATAAACAAAACTAAAAATAAGACTAATCCTAGGCTTCATATGTAACCTCTCCTCTATCATTCTTCTTACCTTCCTCAGTAGAATGGGCAATAACTTCAGTATTGTACTCGGCGTCAATGGCATTAAGTTCATCTTCCATCTTATTGAGATCCTTAAAGAGGAACCAGAAAATGACACCGGCAATGGCGGTAGCAACTGCCAAACCAGTGTACATCCAGACCAGCTTAGGATCAACGGCAGTTGAAGAAAGAGCAATACCCAGAGCAGCACCAAAGGCATTTGTAACCAAAAACATCGACATAATGAACGACTTCATATTAGTGGGAGCCTTGGTGTAAGCATACTCAAGACCAGTAATGGAGGCAAAGATTTCGGAAAGTGCAATGAAAAAGTATGCAGGGGTCTGGACAGCCACGTGAATGTTATTAGGGATAGAGCCATCCATTGAGGCAGCGCAGGCCAGAGGAGCATCGTAACAGGGGCCAGTATTGTAAATCAAATGTTGGACAATAGCAGCGTAGGCCATGGAAATGGCGGCAAACATAAAGCCAAAGAAAATACGAGTGACAGGCTTGAAGGGAATTCCCCACTTGCGCAGCTGTGGGTAAACCAGGCGATCCATAATGGGGATGAAAATGATAATGGCAATGGGATCAATGTTTTGCATAATGTCATTGGGAATGCCATGAGTATTCATTTGACCAGCCTGTGAAATGAAATTGTTAATCATTTGACCGTAGACAACCCAGTAAATGGGGTAAATGATAAACACCTTGCAAGCAACCAGAGCACGCTTCAACTCGTCAACAAACAAGTCTGACCAAGGAACAACAGAAAGACCCTCAGCTTCGCGAACAGAAGGCTTGGCCTTTTCAAGACTAAACTTATTCTTAACAGCAATCGTAATAATCTTGAAAGCATGGGGCATGACAGAGCCGGTAGGAGGCTTCTTAACATAGTACTTTCCAAAGATTGCCAAAGATAGAATAGCAACAAAGAAGAAGCAAAAGGGAAGCAGATATGCAGCCCAAAAGTCAATGTTAAGCTCCATCTCAGTTGTGGCAATTGCAGAAAGAGAACCCACATTGATACACAAGTAAAACACCATGAAAATAGACTGAACAGTAGTTGAGGGGTCCACAATAACACGTTCTCCAGACTTGAGGGTCTTAACATAGGGTTTTGTTACAGTGTACTGTTCAGCAATCAGAGGAGAAACATTCGACTTGATACCACCAGTACCCAAACCAATGATAATCATGGCAGCAACGAGGCCTCCTAAGGCAGCATTGTGTTCAATAGCAGTTGGAAGCGAAGTAACAAACAAAAGGAGGGTACCAATAACATAAATTCCAGAAAATACGCAAATTGTCTTAAACTTTCCCCAGTACTGATCAGAAATAATGGCAGCGAAAATGGGAGTAATATAGCACCAAAATTGGAAAAAGTAACTGAGGGCACTGGCACCTTGCTGTCCAAGTCCAATAGCACCAGGTCGGAGCCCGCCCCGGGGATTCTGCATATAATTTTGAAATGGACCAGTAATGCCGTAGTATGTAAATCGTTCGCACAACTCAACAACTGCAACAGACCATGCAGACATGGGCAATGAGTCTGGGACTTTGCGCAGAGTCTCGAGTTCCTCTTCTGTGGGGACATATCCCTTAAAGTTTTGTTTTCCATCGTAAACCTCTTCGAGCCCGCCCGATGAGGTTACACCCAGAGCAAGTTCCTGGTTCTCAAACTCAATGTCGAGTTTTTCTTCCAACACCTTATTATCGGCGGTAATAGTATCGTTGTTTGCCATTGTTGGTGGGATGATATTTTTGATTTAAAATGTTGCAGAATAAAATGAGGCAATCTGAAATTGAGGAGTGAAAAAGATTGTTGATTTAATGCCTCGGGATTATGTGATGAATGATGATGTATTAATAAAAGGAAAAAAAAAGAGAGAGAAAAGAGTTTTTCAGAATGTCAAGGGAAGAATATTTTATTTATATAGAAATAAAAAATGAAAATATTAAAAATGAGGAGATAAAGGGATTTGGGGAAAGGCAGACGAGATTAGAGGAGATGGTAGAAAAGAAAGAAGAAAAAAAAAAAAATAAGGCAAGTGGCTTGTTCCCAAAAGGGAAATGAAAAGGCTCCACACCAAAACGTAAAAAAATTGTCTATTTTCTTCTTTACTTGTTTTCCCAATTTGTATACTCCAATAGATGGATACCAATATTATTTTTTCTATTTACTTGGCACGGTAATAAGATAAACCTGAGCTAAAATATTTTTTTTTTCAAGCTCATTATCTGGATTATAGCATGGCTATCTTGCAAATGGAATCAAGAAAAGCAGCTACAAAAAGCAAGGCATTGCATTATCCTCAACTTATCGGATGTCAATAAACTAAAAAGTTTTCGAGATAGAATATTTAATTTTTTTTCAAGCATATAAACTTTTATTGCCAAAATAGATAAGGGAACGTATAATATACCGTCGGCTATAGTTTTCTTTATTTTGTTTTTTGTTTGGAGTAGTAGTCTAGTATATATTATCATATACATAATTTTAGTTTATTATAGTGGCAAAATCTGAAAAAAGCAATCCAAATGTGAAAAAAAAAATTATCATTTCTTTTGATTTCATCAAACAAAACAAGTGTATTTCTCTTCTAAATTTGGTTTATCAAGTCATTGAAAATAGATTAGTAGAAACTGAAAACAATCAATTCCTTTTGTTTTAACCCCACAAATTCTCAATCATCAGATGAATTGATGAGACACAATGATGCTCAATTTTTTTTTTTTCAATTCCAAATTTAAAGCTATCAAATATTTACAAATGAACTTTTTTATTGGCTAGTTTAAAAGCCAAGTTTTCTTTCTTCGTTTTTTGAAAAATAAAACGTTGCGGATATTCACTTCGATTGTTATTATTTTTTTATTTTTTTATTTTTTCCCTTTTAATACATATCGCCATTATATCGAGACTTTTTTTTTTCTTGATTGGCCGTTTGATGAGCTAGTATTCAAAAAATAAGGAAATAAGGAAATAAAGAAAAATCATTACGTCTTCGTCATTTCCCTCTCTCTCACCGGTACTAAAATCCTAAAATGGGGTTCACCAAAAAATCCCAACGGCACCTATCAGCCCTCGAGATATTAAAAAAAATGGTCCATTAGTCTTTATCCCCGCTCTAACCATTTCCCGATATTGTACTTTTCCGTATAAATCAGAGCCACTCCTTTTTGATATATATCAACAAAAAAAAAGCAAATATAAATCTGGCAATATTAGTGCCGTTTGACGCGACCTGTCAAAAATAATACTCAACGTAAACCCCGTGTAAAATAGCTATTAAAAGGGTAATTTGTCCTTTTTTCATTCATTCAAAGGCCACACCTACCTAACAGTATCGTTTGCTTGCATTACCGTTAATTGCCGACAACAAAAAGAAATAATCTATATTTACCTGTCATTCCTCGAAGATGAAAAAATTTAGAGTGATTAACAAGTAAAAGTCTCATATTTATTTGAATGTAATATTCCTTTGATAAACAAAAAAAAAAAAACTAATGATTTGGATCAATCCAGTTACAATTTCTTAGGCACAAACATATGGAGGTCTTGTAATCGTTAATTTTATGCTTTGCTATACGAAGACTACTGTTTTCATTCAATTATATTATGTCTACTACTACTAGCAAAAAAAGAGCATTTTTCCTACCTAATCCTCGGCATATCCAAACAAGACAGTGGAGCGAGAATATCACCGAGTAGTGCTGTGAAGTAGCATTTTTTATATTTTGATATTCCATTTTTTTATTTATATTTTTATTTTTTTTTTCGATATGGCGGGGACTAATCGGTTAGAAATGACAGCAGGCACTGGCAGTAACAAGAGCAGCCCATGGTTTACAGTGCCGCAGGTACAAAAAAATAGTACTGTCTAAATAAGGAAATTGTAATAAGTATGCGGCGCATGTTGATGCCGTGCAACGGTGCCGTACAGAAAAAAATTCAAAAAGGAGAGAGAAAAGTTTGGTGATAATTGAGGATATCAAAAAAACACAAAACAGATATCTTTTCCAAATGACAGCCTATAAAAAGTGTGATTTTGTGAAAAATTGTTAAATGTTGAATGTTAAATTTAGCAAATTGTTTGTCAGACGACTTTATAAAAAATATTAAACAACTATAGTTAAAAGAACTTCAATGAAAAACCGATAAAGAAAAAAAAAAGGCAAACTCAAACAAACAACACATTTGAGCAGATCAAATAGATGATTTTAATCTGTGCAGTCTCAATCACCGACAGAAATGTCACAATACACACCCAAAATGCCCAAATATTTTTCAAAAAAGAAAAAAGGATAATGGTATTTTATAGCGCCTTTAAAATCTTAAAGCTATTACAGACCGGCGTTTGAATAAATCGCATCCGAGTTTACCGTCTCAACTTGTTTAACAAAACAAGGATCTCGGTTAACCAATGACTTACGTATCTGCTGCCAAAAATCATATCAACTATTTACCAATATTTTTTAAAGAGAGGGGAAAGAGAATAACATAGAAAAGGCGGGTTTTTTTCTTTCTTAAGAGTCGCGTTATCTCCACATTAAAATATGACATTTTTACCAAATGAATAAAATTAGGCCTGCCTGTAAACTTTTCATTTAATTTCAAGGCATTCTAACTATATATATTTTTTCTTTTTTTTTCTTTTAAAAGTCTGTCAATATCATATTAAAATGATTACCGCGGGCTTAATTATCCAATGTAATTTGAACGTCATTGTGTAGACAGAGTCAGGTCCGAGGTCATCTTCATCAAAAACTTTAAAGAAAATGCATGCTAGAGTGTGTCCTAGTCCCAGAGAAAAAATTCAAGCAATGAATGCTATGAAAATATGTATTTCATAAAAAATTCAAGCATTCTTATTAATACTCCATGCCAAGAAGTAAACCTTGCTATTTTTTTATTCAAATATCGGCATCAACGTATTCTTCATTTTTAAACTTGATATATATATCCATATTCGTTTAAAAAGAAGGATTATACAAAAAAAAGTAGTCATACTAAGACTTTTTCAGTGAAATTTCCCATTTATTCTCTCAGAAAATACGAAAAAAAAACTAACAAAAAAAAGCCAATCAATGGTGCCGTGTGCTGTTGGGGTTTTCAATAGACAACCCCATCTTTTCATTGATGGTAATTCTAGGAGTAAGAATGGCAATGTGTATAAGTATTACTATACGTATTACCGATGATAATGCATTAAGTGGAAGGTGCCAGTTTGGTAAAATCAACTATAAAATTTGTACTTAGTACATTTGAATATTTCAGGCCTTGTTTATAGACCGTGGCAACATTTTCCGAGACCTGTTTTTTTTTTCTTTTCCCCAGATTTTAGCGCGTGCTAAAATTCACATTGATTAGTAAAATATCAATCATATAGAAACAATTCACAATCAATTGACTCGTCATCTAACAAATGGTTTCAATTTGGTGTACCAATTGCTTTTAATTTTCATTGGTTCTTGTAGCATTTGAATCCGCTTCGTCAGGTGGATTCAACCTTTTGATTTCAAACCTAGATGTAGCTTCATTTATTTGGACATTGACAACTTACAAAAGCTTTATTGATCTTCTGATTAGCGCGCTTATGCTTGATAAGAGTATGTATGATTCTCTTCTAATAGAGGTTATAACAAATTTGAATATTGTCCTTCCCCCCAGTATTTCCACGTGTAGTCTGTATCACCATGAAATTACTAAGTGATACTTTGCAAATAATAAAAAAGGCACGGCACCTCGGTTACGTTTGCATTGTTAAATACGGTACACGGTACTTGTATCTAAGATACATCACCAACAACAAAAAATAAAAAAAAAATTAAACATATCAAGGATAACCGGTTATCTAAACTTTTAAGTGAAAAATTAAAACTTAAATAAAGGTCAAGAGATAAGACAGTGAACCCTTTGGTAACCGAACAATAGCCTACAAAGGATTATTTCTCTTTATCTTGCCAAAAATAATTATTAATCGTTATTAACCGCTTTTTTATACTATTTAATTCCATTTTGTTTTTTCTTTTCCGAATTCAACTTCTCTTGGGTCCGTAGGTCTTAGCTCCAAGACTCCCATTTGCTCTTTTAGGCTTTATTGGCGATCTTCTCTGCTGTCGCTGCTGGTGAAACTGAGCCTGCGCTTGCTGCGCATTATATGTAGCCCAAAGCTTATCCAACTGATCCATTGTCCACCCAGCCGCTGCTATAACTGAAGAAGACGGTGTAACTAGCCCAGAAGCAGTATCTTGTTGTGTTGGAGCCGCCCTTTCCTTTTGCAAACGAGACTGTGTGCGACGCTTTATTGAGCTCTGGCCCGGGTTGCTTTGAGAGTAAGCTGAGCTTCCACTGGAAACTCCATTACCCTTTTCAGGATAAAAAGTGGCCGTATAGCTTGATAAGATGGGCATACCACTGGCATTCCCCATTTTAAGGGCAGTGGTCCACCAGGAGTCCTTCCCACTATCTTCTTGATACTGAACCCGTGTCGTTTCATCATCATCATCATCATCATCTTCTTCTTCTTCATCCTCTTCGTAGCCATCTCCGCTCACAGACTCATCTTCATACTGTTCACAGTCTTCATACTCATCGCCATCATAATAGTAATCTCCTTTCCATCTTCCACCATCATTATTATTGATTCCAGCAGCCATAATGATCATTGACTGACTTAGTCCTACAACAAATGCCAATAATAACCCTTGAAGTGATTTCCCGATTCTACGACCAAATTCGCTATCAAGCAACACTTTCTTTAGTACACTTGTAATCAGAACAGCTGCAAAAAATGCAATTCGGATAGCATTGATAGCTAGCGTGCCCAACTTTTCCAAAATCCGTAGTCTGCGTTCTTCAGCAGCAAGTGCGCCAATAAGTTCCTTGGCATAAGGTGCTGCAGTCTTGAAAGCAAGACAACCAGAACGCACCGATGTTACAACAAACCGTTCAGCAAAGTTCTGTGGCTCGTACACCGGTGGAGGTGACGGAGAGGATCCATATGGATGAGAAAGTCTGCGGACTCTTTTGCCACTTAGAGGTGTGGTTTGCTTAGACGACTGAACAAGAGTGTCCGATGATGTATCCATGCTATTTCGTCTTGCAGGTGATTCTTTCAATGCTGAAAGTACCTGGCTAATATCTTCATCTCCATTTAGTCGACCATTGCTTGCTTCTTCAATAGTAACAGAACTAGTTCCAGGCTTTTCGGGGTCCATCTGAACTGAAAATGTTCTTCCCCGCATCAATGGTGTTAAACAAGTAACAAGCATTTGCTCATGTTCATGTTCACTAAGCTTTTGGGTGCCATCCGATCCCTTTTCAAGCTCAGAAAGAACAGCACCTGCCAGACGACCAAGGCCATGGACCGTCAACGCACGACCCAACTGCGGGTCCTTGTTTAATTGAGCCAAGCCTAAAGTCAAAATATGAAATGATTGATCAGTCTCGCGTTTCCATGCGGATGCAGGTGATTTGACTGGGACTGAACCTCCCGTATTAACATGGACGCCTTGAGGGGTATTTTTGAGCTCAACCTTGGGTGAGATTTTACCCGCAGATTTAGGGGTATCTGAATATCTTTCATATTTTGCAGAAACATCTACAACGCGCGGAGTTCCGGGAACCGTTGTTCGGGTGGAGCTAACCACACTGCTTTCTGAAGAAACCTCAACACTGCCTGTATAAGGATTCGCGACACCAGTACGGTTTACGTCACTATAATATCCGGCACCATCGTCGCCTAACTCCTTAGTATCTTCATCATTATCTGTGCCACTTTTGAACGAAGTATTTGCTTGTTCATTAAAAGTGGAAATACTAGGACTTGTAGCAAAAACAGAATTGTCTCTTTTTTTCAAGGGTATTTCCAACAGCTCGGTTCCAGAGGAGGCATCCGTTTTGGCAGTTTCAGAATCAGAAGCAGTGACTGCAGTTGGTACAGCCCAGGACCCAAGCCCGCCAGCCAGCGAAGAGAGACTATTAATGCTTTTTGAGCGCACGTGTGAAGTTATGTCTGCAACAACCTCGTTGACTGCTGCACGCTTGTCTTTGGAATTATTGACAGCTGAAATCGTGTTAAAAATTAATGCTGTTTTTTCACTTAGTCTGTCTCTTAATGTCGGTGTTGACGAGGCTGTCTCTGCAGGTGTTTTTTGCTGTCTGGGTGGGGTTTGTGGTTCTTCATTCTGTGGTGGTGGTGGCGGGCTTTCCTTTTGTATTTGTGCAGCAGACCAATTAGTCTGATCATCTTTTAATCCTTGTTCTGATGACATAATGCTTAAAGCTGTGCTAATATTTCGAGTAGAAGAAAGAGAAGAATAAGAAGAAGGAGCCGGTGAAGTGTCAGTAGAAGAGTTTGATTGTGCTCCGTCGCTCCGAGGAGGATCCAGTAGTGTTTCCAGAGATTCTGACGGTAAAATAGTAGTAGAGTTATTGTTTGCTGGACTTGCTTTTTCTTTTTCCTTCTGTTCAGGCGTAGAACTGCGACTCTGGCCGTTATTAGTAGAAAAAATAGTTGCAGGGAAGGATGGAGAAGCTGAGAATCCCAGAAGTGAGCTCATTTGGCTTTGCAGATTTTGCTGAGAGGATAGGTCTGATAACGCATGGCTTGTTGTTGTTGTGGTGGTAGAGGCAAGCTTAGTAGTGATTGGCAACGAAGAATTAGCACGTGAAAATTCAAAGGTTTCTTTCTTGCCTGACACTTTAGAAGATTCTGCCTTTGTTTGAGGGCATAAAGAATCCTTTGAGGTGCCTAGTTTTCCCATTTTATTGTTTTCAGCTATATTTTTAACTTTTGAATCTTTTTTCCAAATATGTGGTGATTGAAAAAAAAAGGGAAAAGGAGAGGATCAAACTTATAACAATAAGAATAACAACAATACCCAAATCCTTTTAAATCTTAATATCCATCATTCCACAGTCATTTTCAGTTTGTTTTCATGCAAAATAAAGTTGCTAGTTCTAGTTGACGTGTTTTAATTAAGCTTTTTCTAATATATATATATATATATATATATATTGATTTAGAACTGAGAAACCTCTGGTTGAACCACTGTATGAATAAGTGAATGATACCCATGTACATTTATTATCAACTATTATTAACTAAATTAGACTACAAATTAATAATTTGATTTTTAATATTTAATTTAGGTATTGCGCTTAAAGGAAAAGAGCACCAGCAGCAGCAGCAACAGCAGCAACAGCAGCACCAAAGTATGAGCCAACATTAACTGCACCATTGACTTGAGCAACAGAAGATGAGGCGTGAGTGCAAGTACCATTCTTATGGCAGATAGTTACTGTTTCAACAACCTGACTAATAGGGCTAGAGGCAGCGGTAGGAGCGGAAGTGACTTGAGAGCTGGCGATAGAAGATGCATGGGAAGCTGTAGAAGAAGAGGATGCAACGGCCGAGTGGGAAGAGGAGGCAATAGAGGATGCAACAGTGGAAGAAGCAACAGACTCAGAAGAAGTGGAGTTGGTTTCATCCCAGACAACACGGAGAGCAATACCAATAGCATTACTTTGACTGTAGCCAGCACCGTTGTAAACATTGTAGGTGCTATCACCGCTAGAAAGAAGGTAGAAGTTGGAGGTCCCATCACTCAAGGTCAACCAATTGTTGTCATCGACACCAAAGTTTTGAGGAGTGGCAGTAAGAACAGCCAGTTGCTCGTCGGAACCAACAGCAAGCCACGAGTCAGTGCCACCGACACGAACACGGCCATCAGGGAGAAAAAACCCAGTGAAATCAGTACTGATAGAAGAGTCGATAACCAACTTTCTATTGCTGTCCTCCTTGAGGGAGGAATACTGGACAGGGCTACCAGAGCGGATGACAATAAGTCCAAAGGCAGTGTTTCCTTGAATGGCGGCCTGAGCAGCAGCGGCAAAGACAGAAAGGGCAATGAAGAACTGCATGTTTGGTTTATTTAATTTAAATTAAACGAGTGTGAATAGTTTGAAATAATCTATTAATGAATGTAAGCGATAAAGACCAAAAATAGAGAGAACAAATAAAAAAGTTGAGGAAAATTGAATCCTTTTTATACTAGAAACAAAGATTTAAATATAAATATCATGTATTATCTGACAAAAAAAAAGAGGAAAAAAGGAGAAAGTTATTTCAAAACCTTTTTGATGGACTGAGGGTGCAGAAAAGTGAGAATGACCTTAAAAAAGGTTTCAAAGATGTATAAATTTAAAACATTAATTTAGATTTATGGCTATAATAACCCTTAAGTCAATTAATATCACATTAATAATAATAAAAGTATTGCACTCAAAGGTTTGAAGATTACTTGCTGCAACAGTTTCACTTGAACGATTTTAACGGTAGTTACGCAATTTTGCAGAATTGATCTAATATAATAAAATTATTTTCTATTAATACTATTAATACAAATATATTTCTAAGTATTCGTTTTTTTTTGATATTTCTTTTTCTTCTGTTTTTTGAGGAATGCTAAAAATTGTTGAAAAAGAATGGATAATCCTAGTTGAAATTAGACTTTTTTAGCGCGTTCCCTTTCTCCACCAGAGAAAATTTCCCACTTTGGGAAAATAAAACACAAAATAAATATTATCCACGTGACTTGTTACAATTTTTTTTTTCGTTTTTTGATTTTGACATAATTATTTTTTTTTTCTATCCAAAGCTTTCATGGGCCCACTGTGTGAAAAGTCTAGCAGAAACAGCCTCTCCACTTCAAGCCAGCTTTTTTCACTACCACCCAAATCCACCAGCATTCATAGCCTACTCCCCCGATCATTGAAACTTTTAGGTGCTTCTCCGGAGTAACATATTAAGGCTTTTTGCGCAATTCATCAGATAGAATTAAACATAGGCCATACATTTCATACACTACCATAGCATGCCTCAGCAACACAGGGTCCTTAATGGATCAACTGGACCTGGCCAGCAGCTCCAGCAAGATCCTTCCATTCTTAGACAAAAAGCACCACAATACTTTCAAAGCTTACGCACGTTATCAGTGCGCGACATTGCTCATAATCTTTCCGCATCTTCAATTTCTTCTTTTTCTTCTATTGATTCCCCAATAAAAGCCATTGCCTGGAACGCAGTTGGTACACGTGTAGCTTGTGCCCATGCAGACCGATCAATATCAATCTGGCCCGTGGCTGATGCGACTGGAAACATGGGCGGCGGGTCCGCAAGTGACCAAAAATCGTCGCGGGCGTCAAGTGCTTCTAATGCGGATCTTTCAATGACGGTGGTACTGCGAAGCGCACACGATAGATCAATAGAGGGCATATCCTGGGACCCCCTCCACCCAAACAGACTTGCTTCATGCAGTGCTGATGGAGCTGTGCGCATTTGGGACACTGCTCCTCATTTGACAAACCCTCTTAGCTTCCCCTCTTCTTCACAAATGGCCGGGTCTCGTGTTCGCACCATCACCAATGCCGTATCTTCTCCTGCCCTCCTAGCAACTACATCCACTGATATTGACAACTATGTGGTCAAATATTCACCTTGTGGTCAATTCCTAGGAATTGGTACTCGCTCCGACCAAGTTATCATTTATCGTGTTTTAAAAGAATACAAGATTGTTCCAGTTTCACAGTCACAAGAGAACCAGAACCACAATGGCAGAAGATCTAAAAATAGCAATCAAAATACCAGAAACGCAAACCAGACAAATAATAAACCAAGATTAGTGATATCTTTAGTTAAACTTTGCTCTCACACGGAACATGACGAGATTTATGATTTGTGCTGGTCAAATACATCAAACATCTTTGCCTTATCTCTAGGCAATGGCAACATTCGCATTTTCCTTTTTGACTTTAAGGAAGTTTCAGAATTGCAAAAGGTTGCTGAAGTCAACTCTATAGATCAGACAGCTACAGAAGATGTTGCAATGCTTGATGTATCAACAGATAAAGAGGGTGCTACCTCTAGCGATTCAAAAATAGAAGCATCCCTTCAAGTGATCCATACCCTGCGAGGCCATCGTACTGCTGCAAGTTGTGTGGCTTTTGATCCCAAGGGTTGCTACATAGCTGTCGGCTCAAATGAAGGAATTGTTAGTTTATGGGATATTTCTTCCTCCGACTTTATTTGTTTCCGTACATTTAACAAACCAGACCATGCAATTAGCTCCTTATCTATTTCCCACGACGGAGTATACATAGCAATTGGTGTGGAGGGCGCATCAGGAAATACCAGTGGTAGTGTACAAACTTCAGGTCCTGGCAGCAGCAGCAGCAATATGCAAAATATAGGCGATATGCCTGTCATAATAGGCTGTGTTGAATCAGGCGAATATGTACACTCGATAGATTATCCTCATTTCTTTTTTGCAAGTGGCTCCAGTATTAGCACTCATGGCTCTAGTAACAACTTGACTGGATTAGGGGGAGGTCCGGATGCTTTAAATTACTCAGGCAGTCTACCACACAGTGGAGGAGGCACTCCTAATATTAATGGGATTCCCCGAAGTGATACAATTGATTACGGCGGCGATCATCCTTATCCTAGCAACAGCTCAAACAGCCACACAAACCATAATCTTCAAATTGCTCGTTCTAAAGGAGCCCGACCTCTTGTCATGTGGCATCCTTTGAAATATTATCTTTTGTACTCAGCAGACATGTCTTATAGCTCTGGAAGTGGAGGAAGTGGAGGATCTGGGCAGCCTGAGCGTGGTGGCTCTCTCCCATTAATGATCTTAGGCCGATTTTAATAACAATAAAATATATGGCACACTTTCATAATGAAAACCTTGTACAATATAGATTTTAAAAAATTAATCGTTTGATTTTATCTTTTAGAAATTTATGACGCGTATTCTTTTTAATTCAAAATCCGGCTAGTTTAAAACATTAAAAAAGTCAATTAATTACCAAAAAAAAATTCATAATGTAAATCCAAACCGGCTGTAAAAGACATGAAATTCTATTTTAAAAAATCACGTTAACCGATTATTGTTTACTTTTCGACACTGAATGAAAATAAAAATGGCAAAAAATAGAGGCTAGGGAGAAATAAACATTCTGGATAAATTTAACAATTGCAGTGCGCAAGGCTTCGATGTAAGTTTTATCCCAATGTTCAGCAACGTTGCCTAGCCACAACTGACGATCTGTTTATTTTTATTTTTAACATGCACTAAGTTTAGAGAAATTATTACACTGAAATCTTCAAGACTGATAGTTAAAGTTCACTTCAAAAATTGGGCGGCAGTGATGCCTTATTGATGAACAAGAAGTGAGAAAAAAAAAGAATTTATGCAAATTAAAGGCAGGATCATTTTTTTAATCGAGCAAGCAGCAACATATTTTCATAGTGTGTAACGCCAATTTCCCATTCTTTTTTCTCACACAGGAGTCATTGGAAAACAACCATAAACTAGACAAAGAAAGAACTTTCATGTCCAGGGATATTGGTTCAATAGCATTATTAAAATCTTTTTATACAAAAGTAATTACTTATATATAAATATGCATTTGCACTATTAGAATCTCTTCAAAAGAAAAAAAAAACAAAATTTAACAGTCAGAACTTTACAACTATCACTATTTGATTTTAAGTTTTAAAAATAAGTTTGAAACATCGAAAAGAGGAGCTTTATGGCGTTGTTTATCGTCGCTAGCCCTTTTTCTTTTTTTTTTTTTTTGTAATTTAGGGAAATCATACTCAAATAAAAGCTAATATTTTTTAAACTAGTCCTAGAAAATAAAAATCAAAAGTGTGCTACTGATATTGACTGTTGCATACGACTTCTGGGATAAATAAATTACATGTAGCTGATGATTTCAAAACAAAAGACATGGTTCTTACTCTGAAAAAAATTCAATTTTTATTACTGGACACAAGGAAAATAACAAACTTTCCTTTTTTTTTATTTTTATTCTCAGTGATATCAAATATTTGGATTAATCCTAGTCTTCCCCTTTCACTTAAATGAAATTTTAAGTGGTATCAAGATTTTACAGGAATTTGTTATTTTCGAAACAAAAGAAATTATAAGAATGATGTCTTTTTAAACTTCTTGTTTGTCACGAACTCCAATAAATCCTTTAATAAAGATTGAGTTCCAAGTTCTTGTCCTCAATGCCTCATTTATATATCAAGCTTTAATAAAATCACTTCTCTCATTTATTATTTCAGCAGCTTAACCTTTATTTTTTCTCATTTACTATTTCAGCAGAGTAACCTTCATTGATATCGTAGGCATTAGGGTTTTGTTTAAATTTTCGGTACAAAAATTTTATTAATTCTGGCTGAAATTTCATTACCGAAATTGTATTGTTTTCTTTTAAAATATCTGTCAACTTGGAAAAAATGATTTTAAGCAGGTTTAAAAACATTTCAGAAATAGGAGGAAAAACGAAGATAAACCGTTATTTAAACGAGTGTTGCAGAATACAAATCAGTTGGTATTCAATACGATTTTTGTCCACCCTCAAAGTTACCAAAAAATCAGTTTAAACTGATTTTCAAATTTGGAGATTTCTTCTAAACTAAACTAAACTCATTGAAATCAGTTTGACAAACATAAGCTTGCTCAAATTGTTTATGAAAACCGGACTAATAATTCTTCTTCTTTTTCTATTGCCAAAATATCTTTCAAAAAGGAAATTGTTTATATTAAACTATTCTTATATAATACATATAAAAAAATGAATTCAAAAAGTTGCTTAAGATACTGATATATTCCTATGGTAAAGCTATTATGGGCAAATTTCTTTGGATTTGATTAAAAAAAGAAAAAAAAAAGGCTTCACAAATTGGTTACAAATATGATAGCTCATGTTACAAGCGTTGTAACACAATAACGTTAAGTTGAAATATAAAAATCGAATTTAAAGGTCAAGTAAATTGTAAATTCAGTTAACGTGATAATATGTTTTTACGGGGTTCTCGTTTGGTAGTATTAAACTTGATATATCAAGTTTATACATAATCAAACTTCTATACTTAGTTAAAGATGGGATTTTTTTTTATTTTTCACTAATAGAATTAATAGAACAAGTTTCACTTCTGCATCCTTAAAGGAAATATGTTCCCTTTCTAACTGCCTGGACATTCTTACAGAACTTTGGATAAACACACTCATGAATGTGTATTGTTTCTAAAAGTATGGACATATCAAATTATTTACAAATAATGAATAATTACAAATCATAAAAACTCTTCTTACACTGTTACCCTTTTCTTCTTTTCTTCTTGATCTACTGGTTAGAAAGCAAAACTTCAACCTGCTCCCAGTAGTCCTTGGTAACCTTCTCCTTAATTTCCTCCTTTGTCAGCCATGCGAAATCAGCAACACCCTTTGCCGCTGGAACAAACTTGCCGTGAAGAATGTGTGATTTAATTAAGTACTCTTTGCTCTGGGTCTGCTCCGAGTTGCCGTTCAAAATGGCCTTGCGCTGAGCATCACTGTATCGTAAAACAGCGCAGGGGGTATTACTGACGGTCCAAGTGTACATGTTGGGACCACCAATCTCGGTAAGACCACGTTGGGCAGCTTCATGCAAAGGTTCCTTGGCCTGAAGACCAAACGAGGGGAACTTCCACTCCTGTTGCTTGACAAGGAGGTACAGAGTGCGGTCGAGACGGCGTGTGAGGGCCTTGGTGTCACCCTTGGTATCAGCCTCAGTGATTCTGGGGTTGCCGACAATGGGACGGAGAACGGAGTCCTCGCTGCCTTCGTCAAGACCGTTGGCAGCGTTTTCGCGGGGGATTACAATCTCTTGCTTGAAACGACGCTCACGGTTGAATTTAACATCGGGAATACCTCTGGGGTACCAGACACCGGGCTGGCGAGTGACGGGACCCTTTTGAGCAGCCGCAAACTTACGTTCAGAAAGAGTACCCTTCTTGAAGTAAAAGTAGGCTGGGAAAGTCCACATGAGTCTGCGCTCAAGTTCGCTCTGGTATTTGTAGTAGGCTTTCTCAAATTCAGTCAGCTCAGGAGTGACAATGGGTATCCGCGACAAAATGAGAGAAGAGTAAACGTTGGCGGGAGGTTGGCTGGGAGCAGCAGGGGCGACAGGAGGCTGCTCGGAAACAGCATCAGCTGCTGGTAATGCTGAGGTGCTGTAAAGTCTCATGGCGGCACCTAAAAATCATGATCTGGTTAGTATTTAAAGATGAAAAAAGTAATTTATGGAATGAATCAAACAACTTACGAGGCAAAGATCGCGCGCCGGAGCTCCATTGCTTCAAACTCATGATGGATATAGGGAAGTATTGAGAGTGGGTGGGAGGTCAAGGGCTTTATGTCCCGGGTCGGTGGTTATGAAAAGAGGATTTTCTGGTGGGAGGGTAAGAAAAGGAAAATTTTTCTGGTGGTAGAGGTGAAAAGTTTGGCAGGCGGTGGTTGGCCCAAACCGCGTGATCACGTGCGTTGATTTTTTAAAACCTCCCTTAACTACCGGCCAACTATCACGGTCATGGACTTTGCCACGATTTGACATAAATAAATAAACCCACAAACAAACAAAAATGTTGGTGGTCCAAAATACATCTAGAGCAGCCTCTGTGGCTGCTGTTGTATCACTATTATATATACCATTTTGTGTTGTTCTTTTGGTTGCAGATGCTGCCTTGGGCTTCATTATCATTCGCAAAGTATCCTGTATGTATATTTATATCTTTTGCACCTTAATCTAACGCGTCTTAGATACTGAAATCGACTGGGTCGCATATATGGAGCAAATAACTCATGTAGTGGACAATGGTCAACGAAATTATACATTGATTGAAGGCGGCACAGGCCCCATAGTGTACCCTGCTGGCCATGTTGCTATTTACACGTTGCTTTGGGCCCTTACGGGCAAGGGTGCCGATCTGCTCACTGCTCAAAATATTTTTCTTTATCTTTACTTTTTGACCCATGCTATTGTTCTGCTAGGTATTTACAGGATTACTTCGATTGCAGATCCCGACCGAGAGTCTGATCAAAGCTCATCGGGCAATCTTTTGCGGCCATCGACAGGAGCTACTCGCGAACCAGCCAAAAATCCTCTAGGAAACGCAGCTCCTAACCAAGACGATTCAATTAGTGCCATTGCACGTGCTTTACCAGGTTATGTCTGGGCCGCTGTTCTTCTTGCTCTTTCTAAAAGGTTGCATTCTATTTACGTGTTGCGATTGTTTAACGATTGTTTTGCCACTTTTTTTGTTGTGATTGCAGTAGCTTTGACCCAACGTCACAAGTGGTCTCTTTCAGCTATTTTTTTTTCTCTTGCTGTTTCTGTGAAAATGAATGCTTTATTGTTCCTTCCAGGTGCCGCCATTATTTATCTACAAGCATTAGGCATTTTTGGTGCTGCAAAACGTACAGCAGTGCCTTTTATTCTAATTCAAATCCTTGTCGCACTTCCCTTCTTAGTCGACTTCTCACCTCTTACTACCCTTTTTAAAACTCATTTGGCTGTTGCCTCTCTTCCACTTTACGAGCTTGGAAGAGCCCCAGAAACACCCCCCACAGTCATCCAAACTCTTATACCCTTGGCCGCGGGATACCTTCAAGCACTCGGATCTATTCCTGTCACACAGTTCATTGCCGCTGTTTCGCAGCTTCGAGTTTCACCATATGCTTTTGATTATCTTTCTCGTGCGTTTGAATTTTCACGTGTGTTTCTTTATAAATGGACTGTCAATTGGCGATTTGTCCCTGAAGATATTTTCCTGTCTCCTGGATTTGCAAAATCTCTTCTGGGAGCCCATCTTGCCACAATTGTATTTGGTTTCGCTTCACATCGTGCAGGTTGGTGGCTTGCTCCATTGAAACCTGCAAAAGCTGTCCGTGCAGCTCCTGGAGGATCTGACTATTCACTGGCAGCCCTTGTCCGGTCACTATTTTTTGAAAATAGTCGCGTCGTGCTGGCACGTCGCGTCTTTGACGGTATGGATCCCGACTACGTGCTATCTACACTTGTATCATCAAATCTGATTGGTATTTTATTTGCACGATCACTTCACTACCAGTTTTATTCGTGGTTTTATTGGACAGTGCCATACGCCCTATATCGTGCATCTAAAGTTTACTCTATTCCCGTAGCACTAGCTATCTGGGCTTCCCAAGAATGGGCCTGGAACACTTATCCATCTACGAAAATAAGTTCAATTGTTGTTGTCAACTCGCTAGCTCTCATGGTGCTTGGCTTATGGCTTGATGGGTTTAAAAAGTACCGTGCAGTGCGCAACAGTACAGGAAAGTTCAAAAAAGATGCTTAATGAAACCTTCATAATTCTCTAGTAATATAATGTTTTTTTTATTGTACACAATAATAAGCAATTTCCAAAAGAAAAATAAGAAAAAAAAAATAATAACTCCAGTAGATATAATCAATCATCAGATTTTACCACCATCTCCCCGGTGGTCCGTGTTGTTTCTATAGTTCCTGAGTCCTCAGTGGCGGCCACGGTTGTCGTCGACATTGGACTAATGTTTGCACTATTATGAGTGGGTTGGTCATCTTCCAGAACTTCAATTCTGTTGCTAGTGGTCACTTGATTTGTAAATGTAAATGTTTCTGTTTTCTTTCTCAGTGGTGGAAACGGGTATGACGACAGGGGAGTTTGAGTCGAGGATGCACCATCAAGCGGATAGATTCCATTGGACTTGCGAGGAACACCGGGTCTTACAAACTCGCTTTTGCGACTACTTGAGGCGTCCATAATACTACCGCTACTACCGCTGCGGCCCGTTCCACGAGCAAGTTTGTTTGCACCTGCATCCACATTCTTTTCTTTTTCCATTTCTTCAATACGCGCTTGACTGCGCACGTCTACCATAGTAGCAGCACGTTGAGACAATCCACCGGGTCGCACGGGGATTTCTGCAGAGGGAGATGAAACAGAAGAAAGAGGTGAATCCGGAAGAGACGATGTGGCGCCAGCGCCATCTGCCCTAGCAGCAGCAGTACCTTCTCCAGGACCAATAATAGTTTGATCAGCGGTGCCAACACCATAGCCCTTAGGCATAGTAGCACCGCCAGCAGTTGATGATGGAGGGCCCAATGCAAGATTCCGGAGCTGATTAATAGAATGTGCACACTTGTTTATAGTTTGGACAAGAAGAGCCGGTTTGAGGGGCTTTGAAAGATACTCGTCCATTTGGGCTTGCATACATCGTTCACGGTCTCCCAACATAGCGTGGGCCGTTAATGCCACAATAGGAGTGCGTGTACGAATTGTGATGTTCTGCCTCTCCCATTCACGAATCTTGGCTGTGGCCTCAAAACCACCCATAACGGGCATCTGCACGTCCATGAGGACAACATCATAACGCTTACGCTTCACAGCCTCAAATGCTTCCAAACCATTTTCAACTACCTCAACCTTGTGCTTGTATTTTTCCAGAATGCGCACAGCCAGCTTCTGGTTCACGACATTGTCCTCAGCAAGCAAAATATGGAACTGCTTAGCTCCATCGCTGTTAAGAGGAGCAGCACGGCTTTCCAAGGCTGGCCGCAAAACATTGCCAATATCATGCACCGAGCAGGGTGTGTTACCATAAGATGTGATACCCAAGTCCAAGCACAGCTTGAGGTTAACTTGGGGGATGCATGGATTTAGCAGAACAAGGGGAATATACTTGAGATGGTTAAGGGTGCGAAGCTTAGTGGCAACCTCAAGTGTGTCGACAATGATGGTATCAAACTTGGGGCCTGTTCGATCTTCAGGAAGTGGAGCCTCTTCTACAGAATGAACAACCCAAGCGTTCAAGTGAAGACGTGCCATATTTTCAATAAGCTGTTCAGTGACGCGCCTTTCGTGGACAGTATCAATAAACAAAACAAAGTGGTTCCGGAAAGGAGCAATGGATTCAAGAAGCTGAGTCAAGCCTGTATCAGCAGGTTGAACAGCCAGTGTGAAATAAAATTCAGATCCTTTACCAAGTTCAGAGGTGACCCAAATATCGCCACCCATAAGATTGATAAGACGCTTAGAAATACTAAGACCAAGACCAGTACCACCAAATTTTCGAGTAGTTGAACCATCGGCTTGGCAAAAAGTATCAAAAATAACGTCAAGCTTGTCGCTTTGAATGCCAATACCCGTGTCTGACACGCAAAACTCAATCATCATTTCATCAGGCTCGCATCTACTTTGGTCAGCCGCTTTTCGGACGCTAAGTGCAACCTCACCGCTCTCAGTGAATTTAATTGCGTTACCAACAAGGTTAAGAATAACTTGACGTAAGCGGAATGAATCACCAACGAGATTATCAGGGAAAGTATTATCAACCTTGTAAACCAAGTCAAGTGGCTTTTCATTTGCCTTAACCGCAAGAGTCTTGAGTGCACCAAACACGGTTCCACGAAGAGAAAATGCAATCTTTTCAATAGTCATTCGGTTGGCCTCAATCTTGGAAATGTCAAGAATATCATCAATAATTGTCAAGAGTGAGTTTGCCAAATTGTGAACAATAGAAAGCATTTCACGTTGGTATTGTGTAAGCTCTGTATCGAGTGTCAGTTGAGTCATTCCAATAATACCATTCATTGGGGTTCGAATTTCGTGTGACATATTGGCCAAAAACTCTGACTTTGCACGGTTAGCCAGCTCGGCAGCTTCTCTAGCAGCAGTATTACGCTGAAGGGATTCACGCAGATTAAGCACCATTTGATTGATCTTAGTCTTCAGGGCGTCCATTTCACCAGAAGCCTCGACAGTAATAAAGGAAGTGAAATCACCGTCTGTAGCAGCAGCAGTGATCTGTGCAAATGCACGGACCTGACTTGTAAGATTGGCAGCCATGGTATTGACATTAGTGGTAATTTCCTTCCAAAGACCATCAACATCGCTGACTTGAGCCTGAACACCAAGCTTACCATCGATACCAACATCTTTGGCCACACGAGTGACTTCAGAAGCAAAAAGCTGGAGTCGGTCCACCATCTTATTAATGGTTGATTTAAGAGCGAGCATCTCTCCCTGAGCATGAACATCAATTTTCTGAGAGAGATCGCCTTGGGCGACAGCAGTAGTAACATGTGCAATAGAGCGCACCTGCGTTGTGAGGTTGGAAGCCATGACGTTGACATTTTCCGTAATTTCTTTCCAAGCACCTTCGACATCTTCAACTTTGGCTTGACCACCAAGGATACCTTCAGTACCCACAGAGCGAGCAAGAGTAGTAACTTCAGTGGCAAAGTTTTGAAGGCGGTCAACCATCTTGTTGATTGTAGACTTGAGATCCAAAATTTCACCCTTACAATCTGCAGACACCTTTTGAGACAGATCGCCACGCGCCACAGCAGTGGTAACATTTGCAATATTTCGGACTTGATCAGTAAGATTGGAAGCCATGGCGTTTACATTGTCTGTAAGTTCACGCCAAATACCCTCAACCCCTTCAATTTGAGCCTGACCACCAAGCCGGCCTTCGACACCAGTTTCACGAGCAACCCGAGTGACCTCAAAGGCAAAAGTTCGCAGCTGATCCACCATGGTATTGATTGTTTTTTGAAGTTCAAGAATTTCTCCTTGGGCATGGACATTAATTTTTCGCGAAAGATCACCTTGTGCCACAGCTCGCGTCACATCAGCAATTTCACGGACTTGATTCGTAAGATTGGAAGCCATGACGTTTACATTATCTGTTAGTTCACGCCAAACACCAACAGTACCGTCGCTTTCTGCTTGACCACCAAGAGTACCACCAGCAACTTCTGTTGCGACTTTTGTGACTTCGTTGGCAAACCTTTGAAGCTGGTCCATCATGGTGTTGATTGTTTCTTTAAACTTGATAATTTCAGGGTCCATTTCACGAGCATGGATAGTAACTTTTTTAGAGAGGTCACCTTGGGCAACAGCAATGACAACTTCGCCAATTTCGCGAAGTGCCTTTTGGAAAGCTCTATTTGCATTCTGGGACTTTGTAAGTTCTTTGTCAAGTAGATAGTGGTCGCGGGGAGAAGTTGAGGGGTAGGGGAAAACGTCTATGGATGTAGGGGAAGATCCGTTTTCGGCAGTTGTTGCTACATAGTGAGCTGCGTGTAGTGGTTGGAGGGTTGCTGCTGCAAAGGGTGATGTGGGAATAGGTTGCGATGCCGTATTTCGATGGGACAACTCTGGATTCAGCTCTGAAAGCTGGGATTCAAGCATGCGGATTCGGACTGATTGAGCTGCCAGTTCAGCTTGTTGAGCTTGAATTTTATTAAAAAGAGCAGCCACAAGAGTTTTTGTGTGAGTGGAGGGAGAGAAGTTTGCTGAAGCTGCGGAGGAAGGAGAGGAAGAGCTGCTGGAGGAGTCACCATTAGTGCGTGATGTGGAGGTCCTTGTTGTATCGTTAGAATTGTTACTAAATTCGTTAGAAGTCTCATGCAGAGACCTAGAGTCATAATCATTAGAGTCATTAGAGTATGTGTCGTCTTCATCTTTATCATTGTTTTCTATGTCAGTATCGCTATAAAGGTCGTCTTCTGAGGGTGTATCGACGGTAGCCGGTTCTGAGACAAAATGGTATAGTCGTGGGTCAAAAGGACTCTCGAAGCATGTATAAGCATTTTGGAAAAGCGAATTCAGCTGGTCTAAAAGGAGTGACTTTGTTGGAGTTAACACACCAGGAAGCGATGATGGCAGTTTGGATAGCGGGACAAAGGGTTCATCGTTATGAATTACAAGCGGTTGGAGTGAAGTATCCGTTGATGTCTCAGTTGTTTGAGTTGTGTCAGAGTTAGAGTTGGAGTAGGATTTAGATGATGATGTTGCCTTTTGAGATAGATAAAATGACAGCGAATAAATAATTTCACTGAGTGCCAGAAATGTTTGGTCATTGGCACAGCAGCACTCAAGACACGGACCGGACCCAGTAGAGTGGGGAGTCCCGCTAGGTGGTGGTTGAGTGGAGTCGGTTTTTGTCTGGCTAGTGCCCTGCGTGCCATGGAAGATGCAGGAATGTGAGGTTAGGGACATTTGAAGAATAGAATAAGATTGGTGGTGGCGTTGTATATATATTGTATATTTTATGAGAGTATATTTAAATAAAATAAAAGCCAAATAGGAGTGATGATTAAAAATAAAAAATAAAAAAAGTGAAAAGCAAGAAAGAAAGAATTTTATGGTTGCAATTTTTTTATTTTTTTAAGCAGACAGGTACAAATAAATAAAAAAAAAAAAAAAACGAAAAAAAGAAATGTTTAATTTGATTTATTTTAATAATTTATTTTATTATTTTAATTATTATTATTTTAATTAACACAAAATTTAGTTGTAACTTATGTAAGAAATTATAATAATAATCAATAACGATATATATAAACAATTGCATCATAGGGGAGGATTAAAGTAATAAAAATGTAACAAAAAGCCCCAGATCATTAAAAAAAAAGATATAAATATATATAAAGTATCTTTAAGTATCTTGAAGCGCCTCTCCTGCAGGATCTAAAATTAGACTAAAGAAGCATGTGCTCATGTGTAAAATATGTCCCCTGCGAAGATCACAGGCTATTGTTCTACACCCTTTTATTTTTTTTCAGCTTCATCTGTCGCTAAATAAACAAAAACAGCCACAAGTCTTTAAACTATAGCAGGTTTTAAAACTACACCATCAATTCTATTCTAATATATCAATTCCAATCCACTCCAAATCACTACAAATCATTACAAAAAAAAAAAAAATTATACAATAATGACTACCGATATTGAAGCTCTTAAGGCATCTTACAAGGCTGCAGGCCAAGATCACGTTTTCACCTTTTGGGACAAACTTTCTAAAGATCAACAAGATGCTCTGGTCGCGCAACTTGTCGAGTTTGATCCTTCCGAAATCTCCACAATTGCCAAAGACACAATTGAGTCTTTTACAAAGCTGACCAGTGGCTCTGCTGCTCCTGAAGACTCATCTGTTGAACCTTTGCCTGAATCCGCAACATTCTCGCTATTGGACTCGTCAAAGGAACAGCAGGATAAGTACTTTGCTCAGGGTCTTGAGCTCATTGCTGCAAATAAAGTGGCTGTCATTCTGTTGGCTGGTGGTCAGGGTACACGTCTTGGATCTTCAGCACCAAAGGGTTGCTACGATGTGTTGCTGCCATCGCACAAGTCGCTTTTCCAACTTCAAGGTGAGCGCATTGAGCGTCTCCAAAATCTCGCACAGGCCAAAGCTGCTACTTCTTCTACCAAGGTAGCCATTCCCTGGTACATTATGACATCGGGTCCCACACGCAAACCCACCGAAGAATTTTTTGAAAAGAACAATTATTTTGGTCTTGACAAGGCCAATGTTTTCTTTTTCGAACAAGGTGTCTTGCCCTGTCTTACTACTGATGGTAAGATCATTCTCGAAAGTGCAGGTAAAGTGGCTGTTGCACCTGATGGTAACGGTGGCTTCTACAAGGCTCTTGTCAAGGCCGGTGTTATTGCTGACCTCGAGAAACGTGGCATTGAACACGTGCATACTTACTGCGTTGACAATTGCTTGGTCAAGGTTGCTGATCCGCTCTTCATTGGTTGGGCCGCTGATCTCAAGCTCGAGGTCGGTACCAAGGTTGTTCGCAAGCGCGATGCCGCCGAATCTGTTGGTCTTATTGTGGCCAAGAACGGTGCTCCTGCCGTCATTGAATACTCTGAGATCTCAAAGGACCTTGTTGGTCTGCCTGATTCTGCTGATCCTTCGATTCTCAAGTTCCGAGCTGCAAATATTGTTAATCACTACTACTCTGTTCCATACCTCCAGTCTATCCCTTCATGGCCTGCTTCTGTCTTGCCTTATCACGTTGCTCACAAGAAGATTCCTTACATTGACTTGGCCACAGGGGTTGAAGACCCTAAGCCTACCAAGCCCAATGGTATCAAGCTTGAGCAATTCATCTTTGATGTCTTCCCTGCACTTTCTCTTTCCAAGGGCCAATTTGGCAGTATGGAGGTTCACCGCTCCCAAGAGTTTTCGCCTTTGAAGAATGCCCCAGGATCTAAAGAAGATTCCCCTGAGACTTCTCGTGAGCATTTGCTTGCTCAGTCCAAGGGCTGGCTCGAAGCCGTTGGTGCCACTTTCCCAAATTCTGAGACTGTTGTTGAGGTTTCCCCCCTAACAAGTTATGGTGGTGAAGGTCTTGAAAAGTTTAAGGGCACTGTTTTCGATAAGCCTGAATACATTATTTAAGTGACCAAGGAATTTAGAAGTTAACAAACAAACAAAAAAATTATTATTAGAAATTAAAATTAAAGAATATAAATGCAGGTATAAAAGAGAAAAATTAGTTTAAACATTCATTTGGCTGCGTCGGAAATCCAAAACAGACCCGAGCTCCAGCACTAGGTTACGCGTCACATCTGCTGACGGTCGTGAGTAGTCAATGCAACTGGCATCATCGTTACCATCACTAACATCGTCTTCATCTTCATTATCCAATCCCCCGTAGACTTGGATTCCATATTTGGCACCCACAGTTTCTTCATCCGGAGAAGCAACAGCAGTTGAAACACCGCTTATGCCAGACCGTATTCCTACACCAGAACTACTACCACCGTTTGACACAAGCGTTAGATTAGAAACACCAGAAACGCCGGAAACACCAGACAATTCGGAAATATCGCGTCGATGGTGTAATACACCTCTCGCACGTACTTCCTCCATAATTCTTCCATATACGTGCTGCTGTTGTATACGAAACTGTTGGGCTGTTAATCCAGGGGAAGGTCCTCCTACAGGAATCCCAGTTCGTGAGACAGGTGGAGATGACGAAACAGAATATGGTGAACTAGTTGGTGGTCGAGTAAGAATACTAGAAGACACAGGAGGTAAAGTAGGCGGTGTGGCAGTGGTTGAGAGTGGTTTGCGTGCCGGCAATGAACCACGGCGCAATACTCTTCCACTTCCTACTGAAGCTGCTGGGCTGTCCTGAATTTTAGGTGTAGCTTCAAATCTCGGTGCAAGTCCTCCTCTCATGCTGTCACTGTTTCTTCTTTCCTCATGGGTGTTACGGAGTGCTCCTGCCGCTATAAATTCTTTGCGTGCGCGGGCCCAATTTTCCAGCAAGTTTTCAATTTCAGACCCGACTAACGCAAAATTCGTTTCAAATCCTGGTTGTAAGTCTTCAGCCCCAGCTGTGACAGTTGCAGTATCCCGAAGCATCTCCATGCGAGCCTCTATATGCTGTAGAGAACCAAATATTGTGTTGAGCGTGCGCTGTCGCCTTCGCCACACGCCAGCTTCAGCAAATTGTTCAGAAGGCTGCTGCAAAGAAGGCGGTGGGGCTGGAATCTCCTCAGGTACTGCAATGCTTGGTTCAACACCAGTTGCAAGCTGGTTTACAGTCATTGGACGTACGAGTTGTTGTGCTAGTCCCACAGTTTCTTGGGCGCCAGCAAGCACGGCGCGCCATTTTTCCAACTCATTCCCAAACGATTGAACAGGCACAGAAAGCAGGCAACATGCGTAAACACTTCTTAAAAATTGTACTTTATAAAGCTCGAGTCTCAAGCGAGCCAATGATGCATGGGCCCCAAAGCTGGTAGTTTCTTCAGGAACTGGGCCACGAGCATCCAACAGCTGTAACAACGCAGTGCCTGTCAAAGACTCGTCCACATCGCAGGGTATTGTATTCCATCCAAAGTCAAGCAAGACGCGCACGTCAAGCTCGTAAATATCTAGATATTTGTCAAGATCTATTTTGCTGCAGTGCGGCAATACTCCTCTTACGGTACGCGCAAGCTGCGAAGTCAAAAGACACAATCCGGACGCCAAAGCAGCACGGAGGTGTCTTCCCATGAATGCATCATCATGATTGTTTGATTGTTTTTGTTGCTGTTGTTGTCGGAGTTGAGAAACATAAGCTGCAACGTTATGTACTACTGGTGTTGAGCGTCCCAAAGTAGCTGATGCGTCACCAAGATCAGGGCGGTACCCCCGTGCAAGGAGATCAATTTCACGGAGAACAGCAAGGGACTTTGAAGCTGTTGCATCCAGAGCTGTAAATGCTTGTGCTAGAGACTCTGCAGCAGTAACAAGACGCAGGCGAAGAATGCGATGAGCGCGCCGGCGCGCGTACGCGTGAACAAACAGCGAAGCACCAAACGTCACAGCCACCAGGGCCAGCGAGCGCACTGCGCGGTGAGTTGTTTTGACGTCATTGCTTTCTATAGGTTGTGTAGGAAGATAGCGAAGAGAGTGTAGTAAAAGAGCTAGAGGGTTTTCAGAAGCGCTTAATGCCAATGGGGAGGGTTCAGGGGTACTGGGAGTAACCAATATAGAATGACGTGATGAAAGAGCCCAGGCAAGCATGGCCAGCACAACAATTGCACAGCTTGCCGAGGCTGACGACCGGGTCCAAAATCTGCGCTCAGCACGGACCTGGGCTGCTGATAAGCATGAGGAGCACCTTGCGTGAGCCTTTGCTGAAAAATGGGGTGATAATGATGCTGGCCCTGAATCTGTGTGGGTAAGTCCAAGCGGTAATGAAGGATCTGAAGAACCTCCAGCGCGTCGCGGGTCACCACCAGGACGGTCAAGAAGCCTGCTTGATACAATAGCATATCGGAACCGTTCAAGGAAAGTGTGTGCTTCTTGTGCTGGCGGTCGTGATGTTAGTGCAGTCGTCAGGAGCCCCACAAACCGTGCACGTAGACGAGATTTGTCAGCCAGCGGGCTATCAGCGGTACCAAGAGTGAGCGGGTGAAAAGAGGTTTGGGATTTAGTTGCACGATGATGATGATGATGATGATTATGGTTATTATTCTGCGACGATGCGTTGTTGGGTTCGTGTATCGGTTCAGTAGGAAGAGCCGAATTGTTGTAAAGATCCGAGGTTGTGGAACCACCATCTGTTCCCCGCACATGGGTGGGCCATTTAACACTGGGTTGTGGGAACTCGAATCTAACGTTTTGGTCATAGTTTATATTATCATCGTCGAAAAGATCTATGTCTCCAGTCCCGTCGCTTGAAGACCCATCGTAATACGCGCCGGTTTCGTCATCAAAAGTTAGAGGTTCTATCCCCCACCCAGCTAGATTCGCTGCTGTATGGCTTCTAGGAAGTTTGTCTACAAATCACTCTATTAGTACTTATGAAAAAATATTCACATAATAAAGATCTTGGACTTACTCATATATTCGGCAAGAGGCCCGTCGCCAAAAACCAACGGCTGTGGCTTTTCTTCTGAAACGATTGCAGGGCGCTCCGGTTCACCGGAATCCCTGCTCTCGTTCATTGTGAATTGGGTTATTGAAAAGCTGAAGATCTGCTAAATGGGTTGAGAGCAGTTGCAAAAAGAATTTCAAATGGTGTAAGTTTGTGTGTGTGTGTGTTTTTTTTTGTGGGCTGAGAAGAGAAAAAAAAATAAAATAAATAAAATAAAAATAAAAAAAATAAAAAAAATAAAAACACACGAGGAATTGAGCGGTTGCCGTGCGGGCGGTGGGTAACTTTGTAATGTTTGAATATAACTTTGAGGTGACTACAAAAAAAAATAACACAAATTTAAAATGCGAAATTGGGGGCGTGAAATCTGCATTCCATTGAAATCTTGTAAAAAGTTCAGTAGGGAATGAATTTGTTTTATTAGGTTGATTCCCCATTGTTTGTAACCACAGCGTTTTTTATCCAACTGCAATTAAATATGGATAAAAAATTAAAAATTAAACAAAAAAAAAAGAGTAATTACGAAGGTCAACACTAGGAATTAGAGTTGTGTATGGGGTCAGGTTTAGATTATCGTTTCTTTATTGGTCTAAGTCTTTGCTTGATCATTACAATATGGGATGATAATATATATATATATATATATATATATTAGATTCTAATGGCTTTGATGTGCTTGTGATATCAGTTTTATGATTATACAAACAATTAACACTATAGGTTAATCATCTAAAGATTGTTGTTACTGTTATTAAGACAATCTCTTTTTTTTTATCATTAAAAGAAAATGTAAAAGTTATACGTTTCTGTCATCGGGACTAGTTGAAAAAATAGAGTATAAAGATTGAGATGGGTTTAGATCTCTGAATACTTCTATTAAATTTTTTCTTTTCTTCTCATATTGATATCAATCTATATTTATATAAACAATTAACTTTAAATTAGAGAAATGATATCATTATAAATTGGGATTCAATTAAATATAACGTAACTAGTTTTAAAGTTAAATAAACATTTGTGAAAAAAAAATTTTTTTCACGACTGATACATTTGCTTAAATTTCATGTCCAGAATTTAGAATTCACAAATAGTGTATTTCTGTATAAAGGAATTCTACAAAGAAGCTCAAGTCCTTGAGATTGATAATATAATTGTATTTATCATTCAGTTATTCAATAACCAAAACTTATAAAAAAAAAAAGACTGTTTTTTGTAAAGATTAATATGAAAAGTACCCAAAATAAATAAATTAAACAGTTTTTTTATATAATTAAAAAAAAAATTCCCTCTAAAAAAAGGCATTCTTCTCTCAATATAAATATTATATATATAGAAAATTTTGTTCTCTTGGTAAGATTTTTTTTTATATTATTCATTTGTTAGTTATTAATTTGTTGATTTTTTGTTAAAAAAAAAGAGGATATTTTTGTATAATTGTTTTTTTTTTTCTTTCCTTTTCTCAATTCTTCAGCTACCCGAACTTTTATTTCGATAATACTTCCTTCTCCTTCATTATCTTTGCAAAGTCTCCTTACACTTCATGTCCTGTTTCAACGGTATCAGTTCCCCAGGGTTGGAAATAATTATTAATATCAAAATCCAGCTCAATTGTCTCATCGTTAGGGAATGCCAAAAAGTCAGACTGCAGGTCAGATGCCATGCTGCCAGGACCCAAAGAATTAATATCGCCCAAAACTCCAGGAACTGAAGAGAGACCCCCAGCATCGGTGTCCCCAATGCCTGCACTGCCATTGGCTCTAGCTCCAGCTGACTCCGAACCGTTGCCATTGGCTCCTTCACCAGAAGTTCCAACACCGCTAGGATCATCGCCATCTCCTGCAGAAATTCCAATCTGCGGCGCCGAAAAAACGTCGCCTGCAAGTGCAATGGGGGTACTGGCAGCAATTACGCCCGAGCTGAACCCGTTGGATGATCCCGTAGACACTGGAGTAGGAGCATTGGCTGCATTTCCGTTAGCTTTGCTAGCCTTATCGGTACTACCTTTATCATTCTTGTCCTTGCCCTTGTTGCCACTGCCAGCAGTAGCGCTGCCATTCAACGTTACCGAGGCAGCAGCGACGGCAGCAGCGACGGCAGCAGCGGCGGCGGCGGCAGCAGCCGGTGTCGCTGGGGTTGTAGGTGTCGGCGGCTCAGACATGCCTGCAGGCGTTGTTGGGTTGTTTGCACTAGCAGCAGCTGCTGCTGCTGCATTCTTCTTCCCCCGCTTCTTACCCTGACCTTCCTTTTTCTTTGTAGGTTTTTGAGTAGTAGTAGGTGTGGGCGGGTTTACATTAGGTGATGGCGGCTGTGTTTTTGAAGAACCAGCTCCAGTGCTAGACGCAGGAGTACCTGTGGAAATGGGTCCGCTGGGTGGGGGCATTTGCTGGCCAGGGCTCCGCAGCTGCTTTGCAGACGTTGCCGGGGAAGAGCTGGCTTGCGGCGCACCCAGTTGCACCACCCCAGATGCTCCAGGTGTTGTACCTTGCCGAGCCGCCAGGTTCGGGCTGTGAGTCTGGCTCTGCTGGCCCGATTGCCACGTATGAGGGGCGGCCGGCGACCCGTGATTGTTGGTAGTGCTGCCCGCAGCAAGAACGCTGCCAGGTGATGATGCGTGGTCAAGAGGCGATGCAGGAATCTGGTTGGACAGTTGTGGTGTACCGCGACGCGAGATATCTCCGCTTTTAGTGTTTCCACCAGCCGGTGAAGCAATACTAGACGTCCGCGATCCATGGACGTGTTTAAACTGGCCAGGTCCGCTAATAGACTTGGAGCGTTGTTGTTGCAAAAGCTGTTGTTGGGGGTTATTGGAATCTATACCATCGTCACGGTTTTGTTTAAGTTTGAGTTTGCTTTGCTGCTCGATATGCATGAGCTGATTTTGATAGTGCTGGAGAGCTTCAGTAGAGTGGGACCCTGGAGTACCACTGTGTTGTTGCTGTTGTTGTTGTGGACGCGCTTCAAACGCGTAAATGGGCTGACCTGGGAGGGACTCTGTGGATAAAAGGGGCGATGGGCTAGGAGCCATACCCATATGTTGTTGTTGCTGTAGTTGAGGAATCTGGCCTGGTTGGCCAGGCTGGCCAGGTTGGGCTGGGAATTTACCTGGAGGAATCATTTGAGCCATGGTAGTGCCTGGTCTGGGGTTAATAAGCATTCCTGTGGGGAACTGCTGATCATTAACTGTTTTTATGGGGAAGACTTGAGGGACAAACTGGCCGAATTGGTTAAATGGACCATTTATAGGTTGTGAAACCATAACAGGGTGACCAGGTTGTTGTTGTTGTTGCTGCTGCTGAGGTTGTTGTAGAGCCGCAGCCATTATTGCTTGTTGGGTTTGTGGAACACCGACATGAGGAGGAACCGTGTATGATCCATCAGGAGAAATACGCAAGCGCTTTGAAGGAGATGATGTTTGAGGAGTGGAGACGTGAGAAGGATTTGACGGGTCCATGTTAAAGTCACCAATAGGAGACTGCTGAGAGCCTGTTTGATTAAGGACAAGGGGACTTTGTTGTTGCTGGCCTGGAGTCGGTTGGCGCTGAGGTTGTCCTGTCCCTGCAGCAGCAACAGCAGCGGCAGCAGCGGCGGCGACAGCAGCTATGGCTGAAGCATTTGAGTGTGGTCGTTGGCCTACCTGGCTAAAACTTCTGCGAGAAGCAGACTGTCGCTGAATATTGTTGCGTTTTTCAGCTTCGGAAATTTGTTCTGGAGAAGGGCCTTGGATAGGCCGAGCATTGACAAAAACAGGTTGTGGAGTGTTGTAGCCTAGAACACTACCATTGTAGATGATTTGACCTGCAGAATTCATCATGGGGAAAGCTGGGTTGGTCTGGCCGGGAATATGCATGGCGATGGGCTGTGGCTGGCCCTGAAGATGTTGTGGCTGTTGTTGTGGCTGCGAACCAGCTACTGCACCAATTTGCTGTTGCTGAGCTGTAGTCGCAAGAATTTGTCTAGGTAAGCCGGGTTGGCCTGGCTGACCAGGTTGCATTTGCCCTTGCTGAGGAATGGCAATAGAATGAATAAATTGTTGAAGGTGAGGTTGTTGTTGTTGTTGCTGCTGCTGCTGCTGCTGCTGCTGCTGCTGCTGCTGCTGCTGCTGCTGCTGCTGCTGAAACTGAAAATGTTGCAACTGTTGTTGGTGTTGTTGGTGTTGATGTTGTGGCTGCTGTTGTTGGTGTTGATGTTGTGGCTGCTGTTGAGGATGTAGTTGTTGAAGATGGGGATGAGGATGTAGCATTTGCTGTTGAGGCTGTTGCATTTGCTGTTGGGGCTGTTGGGGCTGTTGCATTTGTTGTAGAGGTTGTAGAGGTTGTAAAGGTTGTAAAGGTTGTAGAGGTTGTAGAGGTTGTAGAGGTTGTAAAGGTTGTAGAGGTTGTAGAGGTTGTAGAGGTTGTAGAGGTTGTTGCAGATGTTGCATTTGTTGAAGCTGTTGCAGCTGTTGCATTTGTTGAGGCAGTTGATGTTGTTGGCCTGGTTGGCCATGTTGGCCTGGGTGTAGCTGCTGTAGCTGGTTATAAAGCTGTTGCTGTTGGCCTTGTTGCTGAGCCTGTTGAAGTTGCAACTGTTGGACTTGTTGTTGTTGGGCCTGATGAATCATTGAATTACGAGTCCATACAGCTTGAAGATACTGTTGGGCGAGTGGAGAACCACCTTTTAGACCTCTAGCACTATAAAGATCACAAAAAATACCCCACCATTCAAATAAGAATCCGTGGGTCGTATCAATAATACCGGCGGGGCGCGGGCACTCGGACGGGCCTGTGTCTGTGTCTGTGTCTGAAAAATGTATTAGTTTGATTAAATCCGGGCGCAATAAAACTTTAAAATTACATACCATTTTTTTCTTCCTTTTTAATTGGAGTCTAGAACGTGTGTGTTAAAAATTTAAAAAAAAAAATTAAAAAAAATTAAGCATACCTTTGATTTTAAATGGCCGTTGGGCATGTGTGATCCTAGAGACAATTGTTAGGGAGGGGTTGCATGGTTGCGTGAGTTGGTAAAATGGTAGAAATTTGTTAACATACCGTTTGCTGGACTATTGCTACCACTATTTGGGCGAGAAGTGTGAGTGGATGATGAACCTTGTTGTTGTTGTGATGACGGTGGGAGTTGAGGAGGTTGTGGTTTATCTGAAGCAGAAGATGATGAAGATGTAATCGATGAATTTGTTGCTGCCTCTGTTGCACCTGTAGAGGCGATTGTAGCAACTTCTGCTTCTTTGAGAAAGGCTTTGGCCGACTCTGTAAGATTTTGTTTAATTAGGTAGTCATAAATGTAATTGTTAAGCATATCTCTATCAGACCTTGATGGCGAGGAAGCAGCAGCCTGTGCAGGCCCTGTTGGGATACTACCTAAACCATTAGTAAGACCTGAAGCCACAACAAGTGTATTTGTAGAAGAAGGAACAGTTGTGACCGGGTTTCCAGAAGTAGGGCTTATGGAAGATGTAGGATTCGGAGCAGGTACCGAAGAAGCTGCCGTAGTAGAAAAAGGCTGCTGCTGCTGCTGCGGCGGCAGTGGCAGTGACAGTGGCAGTGGTAGTGGTAGTGGCAGTGGTAGTGGTAGTGGCAGTGCTGGTGCTGGTGCTTGCGGTTGCAGTTGCGGTTGCGGTTGCGGTTGCGGTTGCAGTTGCGGTTGCGGTTGCGGTTGCAGTTGCAGTTGCGGTTGCGGTTGCGGTTGCAGTTGCTGTTGCTGTTGCGGTTGCAGTTGAGGTTGCGATTGCGGTTGCGGTTGCAGCTGAGATTGCGGTTGCGGTTGCGGTTGCGGTTGCGGTTGCGGTTGCGGTTGCGGTTGCAGTTGCGGTTGCGGTTGCGGTTGCGGTTGTGCTTGTGCTTGTGCTTGTTCTTCCGGTTGCGGTTGCGGTTGTGCTTGTGCTTGTGCTTGTTCTTCCGGTTGCGGTTGCAGTTGTGCTTGTGCTTGTGCTTGTGCCTGTGCTTGTGCTTGTGCTTGTGCTTGCGGTTGCGATTGCGGTTGTGCTTGCGGTTGTGCTTGTTCTTGTTCTTGTTCTTGCGGTTGCGGTTGTGCTTGTGCTTGTGCTTGTTCTTGCGGTTGCGGTTGCGGTTGTGCTTGTTCTAGTGCTAGTGACTGCGATTGTGATGGTGATGGTGATTGTGACTGTGACCGTGACCGTGACCGTGACCGTGACCGTGACCGTGACCGTGACCGTGACTGTGACTGTGCTTGTGCTTGCGGTTGCGGTTGCGGTGGTGATTGCGGTTTTGCTTGTGATTGTGACTGTTGTGTAGTTGCAGGTGTGCTAATGGAAGAAGCTGGAGCAGCCGTGGTTCCAGAATCGGTAGTGGAGCCAGTGGTAGGCCCGGATGGGTCAGGACCTGGTTTTGAATTTGATTTTGATTTTGATTTTGATTTTGATTTTGATTTTGATTTTGAATTTGAATTTGATTTTGAATTCGAATTTGATTTTGATTTTGAATTCGAATTTGGGTCTGGATCTGGATTTGGGTTTGAATTTGAATTTGAATTTGAATTTGGGCTAGTACCATTTGCAGGACCAGTGGCACCAGGAGTGGTTGTGGAAGTGCTAGTAGAGGACGTAACAGAAGGTGCGGTTTCGGAGCCTACAGGGACCGATTGGGCCTGGCTTTGTGTTTTAGATGATGATGGAGTAGAGGATGGAGTAGAAGCAACATCAGCAGCATCAGCAGCATCAGCAGCATCAGCAGCATCAGCAACATCAGCAGCATCAGCAACATCAGCAACATCAGCAATAGCAGCAACAGCAGCAACAGCGGCAGCAGCTGCAGCAGTGGTAGTAGCTTGACTTGTCAGAGAGGCACTTGCATTCATGGTTGAGATGAAAGGCCCTCAGAGGGAAAGAGAGAGAGAGTGTGTGTGTGTGTGTGTTTAATGAGGGTTGTAAAGTAGTGTGAGGGAAGGTAGTTTTTATATATGAAGGTAGTGATAATGTTTTGGACTTTTTGATGTTGTTGGAGAGAATGATTGTGGTGGTTGTGATGGAGGAAAAGACACGGCTGCACGACGTGGAATCGGTGCCATCACAGGGAAAAAGAGGGTTGATGTGAGAATATATGAAAAATGTGTAAAAAAAAAAAAAAAATGAGGATGATGAAAGAAAAGGCAAAATGAAAAAAAAAAAAAAAATGAACGTGTATTGCCTTAATGATGGGATATAAAAAAAAAAAAAAAAAAAAAAAAAAAAAAGTAAAAAGACTTTAAAGGACAAAGATAATTATGATGATGAAGATGATTGTTTAAGCAGTGGAGGATCCTGTCGGGTCTGTACGCACTGGGGATTGGAGGTTTTTTTTTTTATTTTTTTTTGGAGGGGGGGAAAGAGGTGGGAGGGGATGGAAGAGGAGGTGATTTTTAAGAAAAGATTTGGATTGTTGTTGTTGTTGTTGTTATTTATGATATTGGTGGTAGTGACAAAAAATTAAAAATTAAAAATTAAAAATTAAAAATTAAAAATTAAAAATTAAAAATTAAAAATTAAAAATTAAAAATTAAAAATTAAAAATTAAAAATTAAAAATTAAAAATTAAAAATTAAAAATTAAAAAAAAAAATAAATAATTGAAAATTCTGGGTTTAGGGTTTATTAAAAAAATATATATATATATATAAATATATAAATATATATGGTGGTGGTGATGGAATTTTTTTTTTTTTTTTTGGTCACTCATCATAGACGTGTCCACAATCTCTTCATCTTTTTTTCCTTCTTTTTCATCAACTTTTTTTTTTTTTTTTTCAACCCCCACGGCCGCACTTCTGGCTTTTCCCGCTACTGCCGGATAGGCGCCGCTGTCCTTGGGGTCTACAGATCATCAATCAAATAACAAGGTGTATAGATATATATTTTTTACACGTTTAGTCTTGGAGGAGATAAAGTTATCATTTGTTACAGATAGGAAGAAAAAAAAAAATTTTAATAATAAAAAAATAAATAAAGGACCGACGTTGCTGTTCTTTTTTTTTTTTTTTTAAACGGTAATGGTTTTATGAAACAGTGAACAAACCTCTCTATTGGTTTCGTAATTGCATTCTCTTTGTTTTTTTTTTTTTGTAATCTTTGTTTATTAAAAATTATAAAAAAATAACAAAAACAAACATATTCTTAATGATTTCTTTTCTTTAAGAAATATATATGTCCTAGGTTTCCTTATGTGTTACAAGTTTCTTTTTTTGTTCTTTTTCTTTTTCATTCGTTGTTGTTTTTTATTTTTTATTTTACGAGCTCCGAAGATCCGATAAATTGAAAAAAAAAAAAAAAAAAAAAAAAAGGGGGGGAATTGAAAGATGTGAAATAAAAAAATGAAAAATGAAAAAAGTGGCATCTTGTTAAGACCCGCCGTGGATTAAGGTCTTGGGTGGTTTTGATATTAAATGAAAAAAAAAATTATATATATATATATACTTATCAACGTTAACAACAGTCACCAAACGAGACTTTTAATCAGATAAACGTAGAAATGTTATATAGAAGCTTGAGTAGAAATGCGCATTCACACTAACAAACTAGTAATAAAATATAGTACTAATACTACGACTACTACTAATAGTAGTAGTGGTGATGGTTAAATCCCTAGTAGTACGTGGAAACTTCTCAACACACAAAAATATGATATGCTGGCAATCAAAAGCGGTTGTTGTTTTTTTTATTTTTTTGTTTTTTTCTATTGGTGATTGCACTTCGAGAAGTTTTTGTGTAAAGACCATATGTAGTGTATATTAAAGTATAATAAGCGTATATATCAGTCTTGTTCCTTGCCCAGGATTTTTTTTTTTCAACACTTTAATATATGTGCCACATGTAAAATAGAAAGGAAGAAAAAGGAAATGTAGTAATTGAATACAAGACTACTAGGCTATTGGCTATATGGAATTACTAAAATATTCAACAAGTTGTCTTATATAGATTTGGAATGGAAATTTTTTAAAGATTCAATTATGAGACTAAAATAAAAAAAAAAAAAAATAAAAAAAAAGAGCATGGAATGTAGATTTCTTTTTTGTTTTTTGTTTTTTTTAAATAAAAAATTCAACTTGAGGCATTCAATGTTATTTTTATTATTTATTTTTTTTTTCTGTTACCAAAAGAATTTTTTTCTTTTGTTTAAATTTTTTTATCAATATCAAATATTCATAATTTTTCTATAGAAAGAAAAAAAGAAAAAAAAAATTAAAGTAAAAAAAAATAATGAGTTTAAAAATTTTGTCTAAAAAAAAAAAAATATTAAGTTAATCCCATTTAGTTAGAAGTTTCTTACTTTTTCCTTTCTTTCTTTTTCAAACACTCACTCTCTCATTTTTTTTATGTCTCGCGTTTTAATGACTTGTTTATGGTTGAAACGCGTCCAAAAAAAAAAAAAATTTGTATATATATTTCAGAAGAATTTAATACTTTGGATCCGACACTTGAAGTGAACCCTTTACTTTTTTTTCTTTCTCGTGTGTTTGTTTCATTTACTGTCTGCAAAAGATGTTTATCTTAAAGGGTTTATCTACAATACATATAAAATTGGAGAAAAGAAAAAAAAAATTACTAATAAGAATATATATTCCACAATATCTTCTTTCTTTTTTTTTTCTCTCTCTCCCTTTTTTTTTCTTCTTCTTTATCTTTTTTTAAATAATTATACTTTTTTTGTTTTTTTTTTTGCTTCATCTAAGCTTTTTTTGTTTTTTAGTAAATAATTCTAAATTAAAGTAAATCGATCATTCATTAAAAAAAAAAAAAAAAAAAGAGAGAGAGAGAGAGAAAATGAGCTTAACATATGCTTTGAGAAACCTCAACCATGAAGATATCGACATTATATACCGCGCCTTACCCTTCATTAAAACCTTGTCACCAAGCAAGGGAACACATGCAACACCACTTGACAGAAGACAAGCAGCTTTGGCAGAAGCTTTGACACTTGCTCGTGACAGTTTTTCATTAACACATGAATCACTGCGTCGCAAAAACAGAGCAAGCAGGGCTATGCATGAGAGTGAAGATGAAAGTGGTTATGAAGAAGAAGAAAAAGGACAAGAGGACAACGAGAGTGATGAAGAAACAAGAGTTTTTTATACAACTAAACAGAAACCGTTAAAAAGACTACTTGATAGAGTCATTACAAATCCAAGTAAAACGGTTACAACCATCCAGAACAAGACGTACCCCGCACAAGCCCCTCCTTCTCCAGGAAGGTCGCCACCACCGCGCGACGATTCGTTGGCATACCAGCGCAAGTTAATGGTGGTAGGTAGTAATATTTCTAGCCGCAGGGACACGGAAGATGATGACGTTGGTAATGAACAGAATTTACGGGGGGGTTTCTACAAAACAGAAACAAGGGAGAGAGGCCTGCGGACTAGAGACAATGATAATGAAGATGAAGATGAAGATGAAGATGAAGATGAAGATGAAGATGAAGATGAAGATGAAGATGAAGATGACAAAGACGATGGCAATGACGATGACGACATTAGAATTGAAAACAAGGCCGGCTTTAAGGGAAAATCTCCGCGCAAATCCATTTCAACCCCGGATTTGAGCAGTCTCGTGGACCGGGCAAGAGGGCGCGTGGCTGGTGCGGCGGCAGTTGCGGCGGCGGCAGCAGCGGCGGGGAGCAAAGAAGGGCCTGGCGATGGTGGGGTTGTCAAAGACTCTGGTCACCATCATGGTACTACTACTACTACTACGGATACTGGGCAACCCCCACATTTTCATCAGCATCTTTATCAGCATAGGCAGAAGCAGAAGCAAAAACAGAAACAGAAACAGAAACAGAAACAAAAGCAAAAGCAAAAACAAAAGCATAAGAAGCAACAGAAGCATCAGAAACATCAGAAACATCAGAAGCATGACCTAGTTGCAAACTCAGGGATGAAAGATGAGTTGCTTCCACCAGGAATTATTCCAATTACAGGGACAGATGAATACAACTCTCCAAGTACGCTGGCTAGTAGTAAGCGGCAATACCAGCTGTCACCTGGATCCCAACATCATTATCACCAGCAACAGCAACAGCAACAGCAACAGTTTATGAGAGGAAAAAATCAGCGAGATGGTTGGGGGAGGTATGCTCCGATTGAGTATGTACGTCCAGGCGATGGGCTTTTTTCATCCACATCATCATCATCATCCGATGGAATCTCTTCTTCTTTTTCATCTTTTTCTTCTTCTTCAACAGCTTCTACTTCTACTTCTTTTTCTACTTCTTCTTCTACTTCTTTTTCTACTTCTTCTTCTTTTTCTTCTTCTCAACTGTCGTTTGTTTCAGCTCAGGAACGGGCTCAAAGAAGATACGGAGTACATGGCCAAACCCCTCCTCAACATGGGACTTATACCCACGGTAAACGGCGGCGAAATACCAAAGAACGTAAATTACCACCCACGCCGGCTTCTTCTCTCTCACCACCACCACCACCACTACCAACACCATTATCAGAACCACCACTTGGTAATATAAATGCACAAAATGAAGTAGCAGCCAAAGCATCAAGAATAGCAACTCGACGAGCTGACCTTAAAGCGCTTGTTCAGACCATGTTTGCAGTACCTCCAACGGTGCCTCCATATGATCCTGTACGGGATTATCTTCCAACATGGCTTATACGGACATATAATTACTGGCGATGGACATTGCGTGTTCCAGCACATGATGTGCCTCAGAGGTATGCTGTTTGGATCAGTTTACATTTACGGCATGCAACGTTATGGTACCATATTGAGGATTTGGCTGTTCTTGCAGATGCTGGGGGGTTTAAAAATTCTCCGGATGTAAATGGGTATATATTGAGACGGGCTGCTGGGCATATTAAAGTTCAGGAAGAGATTGCAAGATTAGAGTTTAATGTTCTTGTTCAGCCGGAGCATGATGTTCCTGTTCTTGTTTTTAATGCAACGTTTAGGAGAATTTTTGAAAAGGTGCGTCACTTTTATCACCCGGACCGACTAGCGGTGCAATATTATGATAGAGTGGCAGCTCGGGTCCGCAAGAAGTTGGATGTATCATTTGTAGAGAGGTATAATAATAATGGTGGGGGGTTAATAACTAGGGGGGTAGTTAGAGGTGGTATAGAAGAAGAGATTAATGAAGATGGAAATGGAAATGGAAATGGAGGGGTTATTGTTGGGTCTAAAGGATTTATTGCATTGGAAGAATTGATGACATTGGCAGAAAAGGCCGATGACACGTACCGGCCAAAGTTAGGAGGAGAAATAAAGCAACAACATCATGCATTTTTAGGGCAGTTGTTGGGCCGACATAAGCGGAGGAAGGAGCCTAAATAAATAAATAAATAAATAAATAAATTATTTAGTGTGGGGGCCGAGGTTAGGTTTAGGGTGGGTTAATATAGCCTTTATTGTGGGGGGGAGGAAAGAGGAGAAAAGTTGTTAGTTTTTGTAAGAAAAAAACCCGCTTTTTTTTTTTTTTTTATTTTTTTTTTTATTTTTATTTTTATTTCTTTCTATCTTTCTAGGAGAGTTTAACTTAATTACTTAAAGTATAGTAACATTTTTACAACAAATCTTCCTTTTTTATTTATTTTTTTTTTCTCTTATCATCATCATCAATTATAATATACCAAAAAAAACAAGAAATTGACTATTCTAAATTTTTTTTCTTTTAATTAACTATTATCAATCATAATGGTGGCCCCAATCGAGACTCAACTTCGTCTAGAGAAATTTGAAGAAAATTTATATCGAAGTACAGAAAAGTTATGGAAACCTCGAAATGCTCGTGGAGTATTTGGAGGAGTTGTGATTGCTCAATCTCTCATGGCTGCTGTACGTACTGTTGACCTCAAGTTTCATGTGCACAGTATGCACTGTTATTTTGTAGCAGCTGTAAGTTTAAAGATAAGACAGAGAGAGAAAGAGAAAGATAATAAAAAAAAAATAAAAAAATAAAAAAATAAAAAAATAAAAAAAAAAAAAACAGGCAAGTCGAAACGATTCTAATGAATGATTTATATCTAGGGTGACAATCAAATTCCAATTGTCTATAATGTTGAGCGAGTTCGAGATGGTCGAGTAAGTATATATATATATATATATATATATATATATTATTCAAAGATATATATTAAAAAAAGACAGACAAACAGTCATATTAACTGATGATTTCTTTTTTTAAATAGTCATTTGCAACACGCACTGTAAAGGCTATTCAACGAGGCAAATGTATTTTTACTACGACTCTTTCATTTATGATTCCTCCTCCTGATGGTCATGTATCATTGTCACATCAATCACTATATCCGGGAGTTCCATCACCTCGCGAGTCACAAAACTATGTGAGTCATCTACGTCTTAAGAAGAAGGGATTTGCAAAGCGTGGAAGCCCAGAATCTAGTTACAATGCCTTTGCAGTTCAAGCAGATAAGTTATCACCTCCTATTCCTGTTCCTCCTAGTGCAGATAAGAAGAGTTCAGTTCCTAAGGAAGAAGAGGGGGAAGTTGAGAATGGAATTGATGTTCGATTTATTCCTCCAAGTGAAGAGTATATTGGACAAGCACCTTCTCAAAGACGGATCCGACATTGGATTAAAGCTCAGGGGAAGATTGTTGATCCTCTTGCACATGTGATGGCACTTGCTTATATGAGTGATTCATTTCTTTTAGGGACAGCCATGATTGCCAATGATGTACATTTTTCAGATATGTCAATGATGGTATCATTAGATCATACAATTTATTTCCATAAGCCTCCTAAGGCTGATGAATGGTTGATGCATTGTGTTGAATCACCATGGACTGGGGATGATCGTGGGCTTGTTGTTGGGAGATTTTTTTCGCTTGAGGGAGATCATGTAGCGACAGTGATTCAGGAGGGGCTTCTTCGGTTGAGTGATTCAGCTCAGCGGGATGCCAAATTGTAGAGGGAAGATGAAAAGGAAAAAAAGAAGAAAATAAAAAGAAACATGGGGATTTGTAAAAGTAGTTTTTTTTTTTTTTTTTAGATAGTAGATATAAACAAACCATACATGGTGATGACAATTATGATGATGATGATGGACTGATAGCCGCCGACGGTGCAACCTTAAAAAATAAAAATAAAATATAAAAATAAGAAAGATCTCCTAAAAATAATAATGAAACCAATTTTTTTTTTAATTGTTATTTTATTTTATTATATATATTTTCCTATATTTATTTTCTTAAATATATATAAAATTAATTTTTTTTCACATTGTGAACGATGAAGTTTTAAGTGGCTGGTTATTTTTTAATTATTAAAGAAAAGATTTAAAAGATTTAAAAGATTTAAAAAAAAATTTCCATTAAAAAAGAGCGTTTTTTTTCAGGGCCCTTTTTTTTTTTTAAAAAAAAATACTGAGAGAGAGGGAGAGAGAGAGAGGGGAGAAGAGAAAATTTTAAAAAATTTTAAAATTTTTTTTAAATTTTTATTTTTTTTATTAATTAAAAATATTAAAAATATTAAAAAAAAAAAAAAAAAAAAACTCTCTCACTCGCTCGCTCACCTGAAATCTCACATTTTGTGTATTTTTTGTATTTTTATATTTTTATATTTAAAAAAAAAATAAAAAATAATAATAATAATAACACCGAGCGTCTCTTTTTTTTTTTATCTCAAAAAAATAAAAATAAAAGGGTATATATATATTTAATATTTAATATTTAATATTTAATATTTATTATATAAACTTTTTTTTTTTAAAAACCGTCCATCGGTACTTTTTTTTTTTTTCATATAAAAACATTCCGCTTTTTCCTAAATTTCCTAAATTTCCTAAATTTACTATTTTTTTTTTTCTCTTTTCTTTCCATTTATTATAAAAACCTTTTTTTTTTTCTCTTTCTCTCACTTTCTCTCTTACTATCTCTTTCAAGGAAAAAAAAAAAAAAAAAAAACTCTTCTAATCTATATATATCCCTATCTCCATTCTATAAATCTCATGACGGCCCTGTAATATCTAATAACCTCCCAATTCACGCTTGCCGTTTTCATACCGCATCCAGAAACAAGCCTTCATCTCCATCATCTACCTATTCTATTCTATCATATCTTATCATTGTCATTATCATTATCATAATCATTATCATAATCAATTAATCAATCAATCAACTTAAATTTATTTTAATATTCTTTTCTTTTTCTTCATTTCAAAATGTCTACCGGCCCTATTGCAACTTTATCAAACCCTTGCGGATCTTATAACCCCGTTGTCGGCCCTCAACATCGCCACCATCTTCTTCGACGTACAGAATCAGACCTAAACCCCCATGATCTACCCTATTCATCATCATCTGCAGCAGAAGATATTTATGACCCTAGATATATGACAATGTTGGCTGCATTTGATCGAATCATTGATCTAATACATACACACACCCCAGGCTCTTACTTTTGTCCCGATCATGAGGTTGTTTGCCACTGTGGATCACACCCTAATTCAACAGCTTATCTTTGTGACCATTGTACTCCTGCAGATGCTGCTGCTCTTTCAAGTCGGCGATCTAGTGGAGTTTCTTCCACATGTGAACCTGGTGGAATAGAAATGTCAACTAGAGGATCAGTCGAAACTATCGCTTCGGCTGCTTCTATGGCTTCACTTTCGTCCGAGGCTTCCTCTACCCTTTTCTCAATGACTAGTAACTCCACTTCCAGAAGTAGCACCATTGCAAGCTCGCGCTGCTCGTCATGTCCTCCAGTTGCTCATACAACTGGGTGCTCAACTACAAATTCACTAATGGTGTTGCTCAATGTGGGAGGACGAGGTACTGCTGGTAATTTAGTCGCGGCTAAGTCACCTACCACCAAAGCCACGTGCCCCGTGGTGGATCCCGACTCGAGAATGACGACAAGTGCATATGGGAAAACGAAAAGTCGTAATGGTGGTGGTGCGTTTATTAGTGCCGATAATACTACCACTAACACTACTAATACTAGCAGCAATACTACTACTACGATTACTACTACTACTACTTATGCATTTAACTCTACTTCAACACATATAACCACCACCTCCAATAATAACAAATCAACAAGCAAGATGATGGCTCTCAGACAGCTGTCGCCGTGCTCCGAGGCTTCAGCCGACACGGCCAAGCCTAATGTGGTGGCTGCAAGTCCACTACCGGAACCTTATTATGATGAAAGTAGTTTGAGCTTAGGTACTACGACGACTGTCACAACGACTGCCGACGGTGACCAGGCTCAGTTTCATTTCGGTCGGCCGGCACGACTGTTGCGACATCGAATGCTTAATTCGGAGTACTTTGAGCGTGCAGATTTGGATTTGAGTAGTGATAGTGAGGATGAGTTTGAAGAGGAGGAGGAGGAGGAGGAGGAAGAAGAAGAAGAAGAGGAAGTGGAAGAAGAGGAAGAGGAAGAGGAAGAAGATAATGGTGAAGAAGAAGAAGAAGATGTTTATGAAATTGAAGAGGTTGATGAACATGATGACTTTTTTGCTGATTCTGAAGAAGAAGAAGAAGAAGATGACGATGATGATGATGACGACGATGATGATGATGATGAATATGATAATGATAATAATGGCCATCCATTAACAATATTTAAAAAACGGCCATCGATTGTTACTTATGGTGGTGACTTGTTTACATCTACTGGAGTTTCATCTTCGGAGGCCCAAACATTGGTTGAGACTGAAGCTCGGTCGAGTTCTCGCCAGCCTAGTGTTAGTACTCGTGAGGTGACTCCAGATACTCTTGTTCAACAGGAAGAAGAGCATTATAATAATGATGATGATGATGATAATGGTAATGGTAATAATAACAACAATAATAACAATGGTAATAATAATGGCCGCCGAGGAAATAATGGTTCAACATTTAAGGTTTACCATCATCACCATAGCCATAGCACTGGAGGAATGGGAGTGGAATATTATACAAATCTTATGGCTCGGTCTTCTCACCCGGCAGTTGCTGGAGCTTGTGCTAGGGCGCTGGCCGCCGCAACTATATCTTCATCATCATCATCATCATCATCATCATCATCATCTTCGTCATCATATCCTTGTTCTCCTACTACTGCTGCTACTGCTACTGCTACTACTAATACTAATACTACTACTCCGACTGAAACATTAAATAGTGGTTCATCTTCTGGAGCTGGCTCTTGGCCTTGGTTTTTACGTGGCTTTGGACGCCACAAAAAAAGTGCAGCTAGTATTTGTACAGTAAGTGGTGATGGTACTACTAGTACTACTAGTACTATTAGTACTATTAATACCACTACTCCTACAATAGGTTGTTCAAAAAATGGAGAATCACAGCAGCAACAGCAGCAACAACAACAACAACAACAACGGGCACTAAGACCAGCACAAACATTACCTCCACCTTCTTTGCTTGTATCGTTTCTTCCACATCAATTTGAAGGACCAATTACTGCCAAGCCAGTCGAGGAAATATTCCCCGCAGATGAAAACTTGAGCAATGGCTTGTGTCTTGGCCAAGAAGGCACTAGTGAACCCCACTTGATTGATGAAGAAGAACGACGACGACAACAACAACAACAACAACAAGAGGAAGAAGAAGAAGAAATAGAAGAACATCATTCTGCACCGGAGGGTCGCCGGAAAAGTATTGTGGGGAGTGTACGAGGGTTTTATGCAGAAGTTAAAGCTTGGAGAATGCAACGGAAAGCAGAGCGTGCTTTTCGAGAGTTACCAGTTGCAGCCAAGTGTAAAGCTCTTGCGAGAGATGAGGGGGCTGCATTTATGGCCATGAGTGCAGTTCGTCATCAAGAAGGAGCTTAAAGAAGAAGCAGAAGAAGATTTTTAAAATAAAAAATAAAAAGTGAGAGAGAGAGAGAGAGAGAGAGAGTATATAGATTGTGCCTTTTTTTCTTTTTCATTTTTTTTCAAATATATATATATATGTCTACACACATCTGGAGTTAATTTAATTTACTATTCTTTTTTTCATTTTTTCAATTTTTTTTTTATGAAACACTTTTTTGAAAAAAAAAAAAACTTTTACTTGAGAATAAATAGAGATTTTTATTTATTTATTTAAAATGAAAAAAAAAAAATAAAATAAGTTTTCTTGGCAAGGAAAAAAAAAAATTAAAAGGAGATTTTCTTTATTTTTATTTTTTTTTTTTTGTTTAATGTTGATGAAATATTTCAATCAAATTGCAAATCATTAACAGGTGCTTCAAGATTGACATTTTGTATGGGGGGAATGAAAAGAAAAGAAGTACAGGAAGATATACAAAAAAAAAAAAATAAAAAAAGTTTTTGGCTTTTAACCATATTATATAAAATAAAAAAAAAACCGGCTTAAAGAAGAAGAAGAAATATTTAAAGAGCAAAAAAAAAAAAAAAAAAAAAAAGCCACTATTTATCAAATGACCCCGGAGTTTTTTTTTTTTTTTTTTTTTTATTATTGATTTACCAAAAATTTATTTAAAAAAATAATTCAAAATTCAAAATTCAAAATGAGATATTTATATTTATATATTTATATTTTAATTTAATTTAATTTAATTTAATTTCATTTCATTTTATTTATTTTATTTATTTATTTTTTTTTTTCAAAATATCTCTCATTCGGGGTTTTTTTAATTAATTAATTAATTCGTGTTTTTTCGTTTAAAAAAAACACAAAAAAACAAAAAAACAACAACTTCAAATCTCCTGTTTTAACTCAAAAAAAAAAAAAAAAAAAAAATACAATTATAAATATATATAAATATATATAATTACTATAATTATACAATTATACATTTATAGAATTATAATTATCCTCTCGTGACCTTTTTTTTAATTCTTCTCTTTTACTCAATAAAAAAAACCAATTAACCAACCAAATTTGGTATTTTATAAAAATATAAATTTAAACAAATTCAGGGCCTTCCCCCTCTCTCTATCTCTTTCCTTGTATTTTCTATATATATATATATATATATATATATATATATATAAATGACCTCATCAATTTTTTTAAAAAAAAACCAGTTTTAGTTTGTATTCGTATATATTGTGGGAAATTTTAATTTTTTTTTTTTGACAGATAACCGTTTATTTCTTTTTTTAATTTTTTAATTTTTTAATTTTTTAATTTTTTAATTTTTTAATTTTTTAATTTTTATTTATTTTCTAACCTTTTCGTAATTATTTATAATGACGACATACATGGTTATATTAATTAATTAATTAATTAATTAATTTATTTATTTATTTATTTAATATAAATATTTATATTAGCCTCTCATAATACATATTCTTCTCCTACAAACTCAACCCCATCATAATATGTCCCAGCCCATCGTTTAGCCTGAGAAACAAGCCCCGCTGGACCACAAGCACACACCCAACACCCACCAACACCACCAACACCACCAGCACTTTCTTCTTCTTCTTCTTCCCCTTCTAAATGGAAAAATTCCTTTGCAACTAACCGGAAATCAGGCCGACCCTTATGAATTCTAACACCTTTAGGACCTCCACCACTCACAAGCGTACCCTCTTCTTCTCCTGATCCATTCGTCAATGTCGATCCAACAACTGTCATGTTAACATCTTCATCATCTTCATCATCATCCAACAATTCCTCCAATTCAAACTCATCATCAAATGGATCCTCAGACCTTTCTTCTTCTTCTTCTTCTCCTCCTCCAGTCCTCTTATTACCTCCCCCATTACTTGTTACATAAACCTCTGCACACGTCACTTCCAACAACCCCAAAGCCGTAATTTCATCCCGCCGTCTAACCATCCAAATAACCCGTACCTGGGCCCCCCGCATCTCCAACGCCCTTGCAACTCCAGCAGCAAATGATAACCCAGATCCACCTGCAAATATCAGAGCCTTCCGCGCCTCACGAACTAACTGCGACGCCCGTCCAGATGGCATATACGGGCCATTGACCGCAAGCCATGTTTCTGTGGCTGCAGGACCATCCGGCAGAATCGGATGCGAAAGATCACGCACTAGTAACCGCACCTCAGGGTCTGACGGCAACGATGCAATGGTATATGGATGCAAGCCTAACCTCAGATGAGATGCAGGAGCAAAGTCATTAGGAAGCACTCTTCGTGGTAATACAATAACACTTAAGGTAGGTGAGAGTCTAGTAACTGAAACTGCCTTGACAACCTTGGTGGCCCAAATACGAATTAACGCTTCCACGAAAAGAACAGATAAACTCATAATTGCTAAAACCAAAACTCCAGGCCTTGCATGGAAAATAATTAATATAACAATAGCCCATGCTGCAGGATAATGTATAAAATAAAACACTCGGTACACGCGCCGACGCACCGGCTTAAGCGACGTGATCCCAACAACTGCCATCAGAATCGCTGCAACCAACCCAAGCAGATTATCCTTTTTTTTAATCTTGTCTGTGCGTCCCGTCGAAATATACACCGCCAGGTATATAACTACATGTACAGCAGCTGATACCAATACCACACGGGCAATCCACTTGTGCAATCTCAAAGTGTCGAGGTAAGATGTGATAATGACTGAGTTCCCTGGGACTCTTAGTGCCAGTAAGAGAATGACAGGTACCATTGAGTAGGTGATACGGCCTGCACGTTTTGCCAGTTTTTTAGCTGTAAACTCTGGCAGCCCCACTGTACAGAAAAGAATCATGAAAAACCCCCAAAACATAACTACCACAGGTAAGGGTACTCGACCTTCAAGTAATAGTAATAGTAACCTTGACCCGGATTTTTTTTGACGGCCTTGTCTTGATCGGCTTGCTGATTTTGAAGAAACAATTTTGGCCACAAGTGTACGTGCAGTGGCCAGTAATAGTAGACTGGAGGCTGTGGCCAGTGCAATGTAGCCGTATTTGATGTTTGCGTAATGAGGTCCGCTATGGTCATGACCTTCATGACGGGGGATTAAAGATTCCACCGACATTTATTAAGATAGAGTTATTTGGATCTGTGTTTTTTAAAAAAAAAAAAAAAAAAAACAATGTAGAATATAATTGAAGAGAGAAAAGAGAATAGAAATAAACAAAAAATAAAAAAAAAAAAAACAAAAAGGAAAAAAAGAAGAAGATCGGAGTTTGGGTATATCGGAGAAAAAAAATAAAATAAAAATATGTTAGTGATAATATATATATATGTTTTTTGTTTTGTTTTGTTTTTAGTTTTTAGGGTGATTGTGTAACTACCATCAAAGGTCCTTAAAATGAGTTTCTAATTTGCTCAAATATTATGCTTTAAACAAACAACAACAACAACAAAACGAGTAAATTTCTCCACCGTTATATGAAATGAAATATGAAAATATATAACAATAATATTAACATTTTATAATATTTTTTAATATTCAATCATTATCACCAGTCATAATAAAAACAAAAAAAAAAAAAAATATCTAAAGACATTTGAATTTCGTGGTAAAACCGGTGACTTTTGATTCATGCTACAAGGGTAGTTATTATGAATCAATCTTAATCACCAAAAAAATATATGAAAATCTTCTTTATTCTCTCTCTCTTTTTTTTTTTTTTTCAACTATCTTCCCCACCTTACTTTTAATCATATTTCTTTATTTTTTTTTATTTTTTTATTCTGTATTTATAAATCTTTTCTAAAAAAATAATGCTAACTCAATGTAATATTTATAGATATTCCTTCCCAAAAAAAAAATGTATTACTTCATCATTTTTACTCCTTAACCAGACCAAGCGAGTCAATAGAAAACTGCTTCTTAACAACATCCAGAAGCTTACCTTCCTCATCTTTCCGCTTAAGCATCTCATTTGCTATTAAGATGGCACGACCCTTCTAAATCATTTTGTTAGTTAAACTTCTCTCTCTCTTTTTTTTTTCTTATTGTTTATTGCTAAAAAAAACGCGTAGATAAAAATCATCTCATACCTCTTTCTTGTGGTGCAGGCACTCGTAATAGTCTGCGCTCTTGGCCTGGCACTTGGTGACATCTGAAGTCGAGCTAGCTGTGTAGCATTCCAAAAAGCTTTGCCATTCTGCAATTGATGGTTAGTCAATAACTCTGTTATTCTTTTTTTTTTCTTTCTTTCTCTCTTTTTATATCTGTTTTCCAACATACCAGGAAAGCATCTGCTGGAACCGCCGGTCAATCCAATAGCTGAAACCATGGTGTATTATATGTGAATATTATTAATGGAAATTTTTTTAGAAAAAAAAAAAAAAAAGAGTGTGTTGTATGATAGGATTACTGGGTCAAAAAACCTTGGACTGGAATTTCTGATCGGTGTGTGTGTGTGTGTGTGTGTGTAAGTGAGGATTTTTTAGCAGATTAATTTGGTGGTGGTGATTTGGGAAGCTCTTTTTTTTTTATTTACTCCTACTGATTGCTTCCCAGTAGAGGACGGAAAAAAAAAAAAAACAAGACATCATAATCGCAAAATGTCTGATTGGATGAATAAAATCACGTGAATGGATCACGTGAATATTACATACTTATTACCTATCATTGACTAAACATGACTAATAATTATTGATCTTATTATTTTTTTTCATTTTCATTTTTTTTTTTTTTTGCAAAACCTCCATTCTTATTTTTCCCTTGATCAAACTAACATCACCACCCTAAAACAAAATAAACAAAAAGATCACATCAATCACCACCACTACCAAAACTTTTCTTTCATCACCAACAAATGTTTGACAGGCGATCCCGTGATTCCGCCTCTATAACAGGTATATTTAGCTTTTTTTTTTTTTATTCTTCATCTCCATTTCAATTCTCTAATTTATTTCTCCTTTTCAGGCACAAATAATATCCCCCTGGGACACCGCCAACAATCGCCACAGGGCCGCAACCGGTCGCTTTCGCCCCCTGATACCCGAATCAAATCTGAACACCTACAAGACCACTCGTCTTCCCAGGAACGTGCAGATACAGCTGCCCGTCTTGACCGTGTTTCATCCCGCCGCAAAAACTACCGCTGGGGAATTTCTGCAGACAAAAACCCCTTTGTTAAGATCCACCACTCTACCGTCTTTGTCGAAGCCCCACTCACTCCAGAACAGCTCGAGGCTTACGCACTTGTTTTACGCATTGAGGAAATTGGATTCAAGCTACGTGAAAATGATGTTATCCCTCGTGAAGCTGAACGCTCCCCATCCCCCACCCCACAGTACAATGCCCAAGGCAAGCGCACAAATACCCCTGATGTACGCTACCGCAAACTTCTTGAAACTGAGCGACACAAACTCATTCAACGCGCCATCAAAGCAATCCCCAATTATAAACCCCCCTCAGATTACCGCAGACCTTCGAAAATTGAAGAAAAACTTTACATCCCAGCTAAAGAATACCCGGAAATCAACTTTGTTGGTCTCCTCATGGGCCCCCGTGGCAATTCCATCAAACGAATGGAATCAGAATCGGGTGCAAAACTGGCCATTCGTGGTAAAGGTTCCGTCAAAGAGGGTAAGCGCAGAACTGATGTCCCTAATCAAATGAATGAGGACGAACCCCTGCACTGTCTCATCATTGCTGATGATGACGAGAAAATCCAAAAAGCTATTGCACTCGTCACAAAAGTCATTGAGACTGCCGCATCCACTCCTGAAGAACAAAACCTACTTAAGCGTAACCAACTTCGCGAGTTGGCAACTCTTAACGGTACCCTCCGTGACGACGAAAGCTATTCGTGCCAAAACTGTGGCGAAACTGGCCATCGCAAATATAATTGTCCCAATCGCAAAAACTTTACTGCAACAGTCACATGTCACATTTGTGGTGGAGTCGGCCACTTTGCTCGTGACTGTAAAGAACGGCCCTCAGCTGGCTACGGCAATTCATACAAATCTGGAAACGGTTCTGGCCCTATGCCTGTTTCTGCGGCCGACCGCGAGTATGAGCAGCTCATGCTCGAGTTGGGTGCTGGTGGAGGGGCCGGCGGAGGAGCCGGATTTAATAATAATAATAATAATAATAATAACAACAACAACCCGCCAAACGATCACCAGTTCCGGTTGACTGATGGAAGCAGTGGCCCTAATAACGGTGCTAACGTACCTCCTAAAAATGGTTCTGGCCCAGCACCATGGCAACAGCCTCAACAGTTCCGAAGTGGCCAGGCCCCGCAACTACCATCCATGCACGATCACTCTGTATCAAATCATCCTTGGCAAAAGCGTCCTACCAGTAATACCGGTTTACCGCCAGGAGCTGGGAGTCCAGGTGGTGGAATGCCACACTCTGGCGACAATAGCTACCGAGGCGGTGCTCCAAACTCTGGTCGGGACTATGACCGGCCGCCGCAACGAGGAAACCCTGGAGGACCACCCGGTGTCGGGAACACTGGCCATAATAACGGTCCGGGCAGCTTGCCACCTCGGCGGTATGATGACTATGGTCGCCAGGGAGGTTCTGGCATGAATGGTTCGGGCCATGCTGGTAACAATGGATGGGGCCAATCGCGACAACATCACCAGAACCATTACCCACCGCAGCAGCAACAACAGCACCAGCACCAGCATCAGCACCAGCACCAGCAGCACCAGCAGCAGCACCAGCAGCAGCACCAACAACAACAACAACCACAACAGACTTATGACCGCGGATTCCCTCAATCACATACCCAGTCCCCCCCACCTTTGCCCCCAGGAATGGGCGCGCCAGGTGTTCGACAGAGACCACCAGGAATGGCAGCTCCACCGGGAATGGCAGCTCCACCAGGGCTTCCAAGTGCGCCACCTGGACTTCGCAAAAATGCACCACCACCGCCACCGCCAGGTACTCGTTCAGGTGCACCTTCAGCTGGGCCTCCAGGCTCGAGGCTGCCACCTCCACCACCGCCTGGATCCAAATAATAAACGGATCTCTGTTTTGATTGCTTTTTTTTGTAAAAATAAAAAATAAAAAAATTAATAATAACCAAGTAAGTATATTGTACAATATTTTTTTTTTTTTTCTATTTCTATTTCTATTTCTACTGAGCCTGAGTAAGCTTCCATTTTTTTGCATTTTCCAAAAATTTGGAAATACTCGACGCCTTTTCGTCAGTGGGGAAAATGTAATCAGTATATTCCTCGAAAGACCCATCCTCAAGCTTACGTGTCTTGGTCACCACATGTGGTGTCTGTTTGGCTACACGCTCTTGTGTCTCAGGTGTTCCATATACCGTTTCAAATTCGCGCCATGCTTCATTCAATATCACGCGTTCCTCTGTCTTATGGTTGGCCTTGAAAAAGTCCCATCCACGTTGGAACACTGCCCGTGCCCGTTCTTTGGCTGCTTCTGAAACTTCAATTTCCTTTTCTTCATCTTCATCTTCATTTTCTTCATTTTCATTTTCATCTTCATCTCCCTCATTCTCCGGTGTAGACACTTCAAACTGGGCATACGAGATCCATACTTTGACATGCCCAGTCTTTTCCACCAGTCGCTCGTACAACCCCCGTGCCCGTTCGTACTCTTCTTCCTCGGTCTCAAACTCAATGTACCGCTTCCACACAAGTTCCGGCATCTCCATCTCAGGCTCGCCCACCGCCATTTCGAAAATGGCTCGCCCGCGTTCCACATCACCCAACATCTGCTCCATCATCGCATACTCAATCCAGGGCTGAGGCAAGTCCGCATATCCCTCAATGTACTTCTCATACAACACCCGGCACCGATCAAATTCTTTCAAACTCTTTTCCAGCTCAATGTACCCCTTAAAGATTCGCGGCTTACCTGACAACCCAAGTCCCTGTCCTAAAATCTTCCGTGCTGTCGCAAGTGCTCCATGACGAATCTCAAACTTGGCATACAGTAACCATATCTTATCAAAAGAAAACGACTTGTGGGGAATTAGCTTAATGCATTCTCGGTATACCTCGCGAGCCCGCACAATATCCTGCGTCTCTAGCTCCTCGTAGATAGCATATTTGATCCACAGGAAAATGTACCGTCGCCAGTATCTTTTTTCTTGTTTTTCTGGTACATTGGCAATTGCTCTTTCGTAAACATCCCGCACATCGTCAGGTTCCGCAGAAGCTTCTTCCAGTAATGTCAAGTATGCAAACCATGTATCGTAGTCATTGGGATCCTCCTTGAGCTCTTCCTCATATTTGACTCGTCGTTTTGACAAAATCACGTCCTCAATACCGTCCTTGTCGCCATACTGTTTTGTAAATGCAGTGTATGAGTTGTACAAAATCCGGCTCCGGCTCTTGGCCAGTCGCTCCAGTCCATATTGGTATATCGCACGTGCGCGTTCCCACTCCTTTTGCCGTGCCTCCCATTTCGCCCACGAGTCCAAGATTCGCTCGTCCAGAAACTCTTCACCAGCAGCCGCCAGAGTATCAACACCAAGGGTATACACCTCGCGCACGTTTTCAGCGCTCCCCAGTTCTTCCTCAAAATGCGCCCACTTGATCCAATTCTCGGGCTCCGGGTGCACCACTGTGAACCGTTGGAAAACATCTCGTGCTCGATCATACTCTTTGTACCGTTTTTCCATGCCGATATAAGCCAGCCACCCTGGAGCATCGGGTCGCCATGCCATCCAGCGTTCAAAGACTTGGCGACATCCTGGAATGTTAAGTAGAGCCTCTTCGACTTGAACATAGGTGAACCACAGTTTATCGATGCGAGGAAGAATTGTTACTGCACGATCAAGCAGGTTCCGAGCATGGTTAACATTCCGCGTTTTCAGCTCTGACTTGATATACCGGATCCATAAAGGTACTTGGGTAGAGTCGACGTCTAGCGCGCGTTCAAATACCGAACGCGCTCGTGCAAACTCCTGCTGGTCTAGTTCCCATTGGGCATACCGCATCCATTGTCCAACATTCAAGCGGTTTCGACGGAGAGCATCTTCGTATTCTCGTCGCTTACGGCCTTGATATTCATTGAGCTATAGAGTTAGCCGAGAAAAAAAAACAGGCAATTTTTTTATTATTTTCTTCAAACTTACTTCTTCAAGATCCACAATCTTTTGGTGGGGTATCTGAAGTGGCTGTTCTTTACGTTCATAAGCCTCCAATAATAACTGCTCTGCAGAAATCTGTAGCTCGGCCACAGACTTATTTTTAACTCTTCGTTTGGCGTTTTCACTCATCTTGATGGTGTTGTTTGTTTTGTTGTTCACACTTGAAAATATTAAAAAAAAAAAATCTACATCAAAAAAAAATAAAAAATAAAAAAAGTGGCGGTCGTGCGGCAAGTTACCCTACATCGCCATATATCAAACCCAGTACAAGAAACACAAGATATTGTTGGTCCAGTGCCAGGTGTTAAACCGATACTTTGAAAAGAACTTGAAAAAAAAAAAAAACAGATTACTTTTTTTAATAGCCTATAGACTTTATACTCTAGCAGCCACCTCTCAAAGCAAGAACCAGATGGAGCGTGGCGCCAGCACTGATTTTGTACTCCTCAATGGTCTTGTTGTCATCCCTATCAGTTCTTGTTAGTTTCTCACTCATTCCTTAACGTAGTTAACCGCCACTCACATTTGCTTGCCATCCCAGATGAGCTTCTGTTGCTCAGGAGGGATACCCTCCTTCTGCTGAACCATTTCTTTAATATCGGCGGGCTAGATATGTCAGTAACTAACCATTGATACTATTAAATACGAACTTACAGTATCCTTGGGCTCCACTTCGATTTTGATCTAAAATATATTGTTAGTCGTTTGCCATCAATAGCCTATATCTAATCAATCCTTACATTTGCGCCGGTTAATGACTATAAATATCTTGTTAGTAATTGCCAATTATTCATCTTTCCAATCTTTCATACCTTCAAGTTAAGCTGCATTGTGAATCTAGTTGTTTTTGTTGTCGTTTTATTTTATTTTTGAGTTTTGTTTGGGAGGAAGAAAACCCAAAGTCTTTGTAATAAGCCTAAATTTTTAAAACTAAATTTCCTTCTTAAACCCTCAGCAATGTCATTCCCCACGCCTACAACAAAATCCGTCGACTACCTCAAAGTCTATGAGCCCGCAGAAGACTCCTTCCTTTTCCTCGACATGCTTGAGAAGGATGTTTCGAATATCCATTTTCGTTTCAAGTCCAACTACCCGGCCATAGTGCTGGAAATTGGCACCGGCTCAGGAATTGTGACCACTTTTGTGCAACAAAACATTCTCACCGGATCCCAAGGACTATACCTCACCACTGATCTTAATATCCACGCATGCATAGCATCTTTAGAAACGTCAAAAGAAAACGGCGGGTGTACATATATGGACACTCTACGTGCAAGTCTCGCTACTCCACTAAGACCTAATATAATCGACCTGCTACTCTTTAACCCTCCCTATGTCCCTGACGAAATTGTCCCAACAATCCCACAAACAGATGACGATGATGCATGGTTAGATCTTGCCCTGCTCGGTGGCTCAGATGGTATGGAAGTCACTTGGAAGCTCCTTAATGAATTAGATTCTATATTGTCCTCCCGAGGCGCTGCATACATCATCTTTTGTAAGCGAAACAAACCCGAATCAGTTGCAGAAATAATGCAATCTCGTGGATGGACAGCTACACAAATAGGTGAACGCAAAGCAGGCTGGGAAGTCCTCAGTCTTTGGAGATTTAACCGATAATTTATTTATTTAGTCCTTTTATTGTTCCATCTTGTACATAACCACTAAAAGTCAAAAATATCTTGGAGGATCTCTTGCTCACAAGCAACAAGATCAGGAGGTACAAGTGAGTACATGGCCTCATAGTTGTAAATGCTAATGTTGTCAAAGAATGGTCGTAGTTGCGAAATAGAAGTAACGTTTCCAATATTTGTCAAAAACGGCTTTCGGGTCTTGGTCTTGTCTTGTTTATGTTCATAAGATGCCTAGTAAAAATGTTAGCACAGTGTAACAATTTGTTTAATATGTACTTACCCCTGCAATGCTTAGTCCTTTAGAAGTGGCAATCTTATCAACAATGCCAGTAGGAGGATGTTCAGAATCTTTAAAAATGGCATCAATGCTATCACAAATGAAAATCCATTCGTGTCTAAAAAGTTAGTCATATGAAAATCACTTTTTAAAAAAAGTTTACTTACGGATTAAAATCCTCTAGCCCTAAAATCAAAAGCATATCCAAAAGTTTGCAAGCAGAAACAAGTCCTTTTAAAAATATCTTTTGCTTGGCTAGTTGCTCAGTAGATACTTCACCATTTTGGTAGATTGAAAAAACCATGGTGAACGTCTTATAAAGCTCACTGTAAACAAAAGTCCAAATCGTTGATAGATGAGTTGGATCAACTCTGAGAATAATGGCACGCAGGCATGTAAACACCTCGTTTCTAAGTGTATCAGCCACCGTCTCAGAAGACATAATTTCTTCCAACTTTTCTGTAACACTTTTGATGTTCAACATATATCCGTCACTAGAGCCACTCAAAAATATAAACGATAACCGGTTAATGTTTCGATGAGTATAGGTAGCCTCTTGGTCAGACCAACCAAAGAGCACATTAGAATTAGAGCCATGGCTTAATAATCGATTAATGTAGTCTTGAAGTCTATCCTTATCAGATTGTGCCCATTTTTGGGTAATATCCTTCCATTTACTTGATTGAATAGGATTCATATTCATAAACCTTTGATCGAAAATAATATCCCCAATTGATGTTTTCCACGCTTTTTGACTTCCTGGCTGTGACATAACAGTTAATAAAAGAGTAGTCAATCTCTGTGAAAACGAGCTTGGGAACGCTTTGGATTTGGCAGCAGGTGCAATGAAATTGGCAACTATTGTTGTCAAAGATGTTGTTATTTTATCATTGTCGTTAAGAATAAACCCAAGAGAAGGAACCACGTCGATAAGAGATGCGGCCAAATTTTCGTGAAGAGCATTTCCTGTTTTTCCAACAGAAGTTGTAGCAAGCGCTGTTGTGGAATCGTTTTCATTCGATAAAACTGGCTCAGATCCTTGCTCAGTTTCAGCAGCGAGTCCTGACGCATCGGACGCAGCAACAATGGACCGTGACGATAACACAGTGTTAAACAATCTAATGAAAACATCACTAAGATCTCTCCGAATTCTGCGTTGTTCTCCAAATGATAAAGTGTCAACCTTTTTAGCCAAAACGGCAATGAATCGAAAAACATCTGGCATCAAATGACGATAAAGTGTATTACTCGCCTGAATCTCTCTCAAAAATCCAATACTCTCGTTCCAAATATCTTCTACTGCATCATTTTCCAGAGATTTCAAATAGTCAACTAAAAATGACATCAATTCGACATCAGAAAGATCGGAAGTTAATGTAGACCTCTCCTTAAGATCAACACTGGATGGATTGACACGACTAATGAGACTGTTAAATAAATGTGGTATTGTCGATTTGGGTTTGGAGCCATCAAGACCATGGAGAATCTTAAAAATGTAAGGAGAAGATTTGCCAATTTCAATAAACATCTCTAGTGTCTCCATGGTTTCCATGTTGTATAAACTTTCCATAATCTTGCGTGTCCAAAACTTTAGGCGAGCTGAATGGTACATGTGAGAATCAACTTTTTGACTTTTGGTTTTTAAGCTGTTGTTTTCTTCAACCCAAGACCAAATCTCAAAGCACCCTTGAATTGTGTCTTGGAAGCTAAGTAAAACAGTTAACCTATTGTTGGCTGCTGTAGAGCGTGCTATTGGAGATTCAACAGTAAAAACCCCTGACATTACAGCTCCAAAAAATCCAGGTTCTGTAGTAGGCTTGCCAGAAGCAACATTGTTACTTGTAGTTAGTTGTTTATGAGCAGCAGCGAGAAGTTTCTCAAGAGCTTTCATGTAAGAAAATAAAGCAGAAAGAGAAACTGATTGACTTCCACTTTTATTTTCTTCCAAATCTTCATATGTCTTTTTGATTATGGTAAAATTTTTAGAAATTTGGTTAGTTAGTGATTCAACTAAAGGAAGAAGCACCTGTAAAATCACTTCTCCAAAAAGAGGAACACAGTCCGCAAGAAGAGATGTCCAGGCCTCTACCACATAAAGATCATAATTAGATGCAAATCCTTCAATTAGAGAGTTGACAAGATCTTTACTAAGTTTCTCCAGGCGTTGAGAGGTTTCATTCTTTTTTTCAGATTCTGGGTCTGCCTGAACTGATGTATCAAGATTAGAGCTAATTTGATTTTTTCCAAATGGACCGAGTTCATTGAGATCCTTAAGTAAATGCGAAAGAAGTTCAATGATTCTGATTTCTGATAGATTTTTGGCATTGTTATGACTGTTGAATTTTTTAAGCAATTGCATCAAAACTTCAGTGATTTCTAATATGTCATCCAAAGTATTCTCCACAAGAAGATTTAATAAATCAAGACAAACAGATAATATTGATTCATAAGTCTTGAAAAATTCGTCATCTGAATGGGAAGACTCTGGAATTTCAAACGAAAATAGGCGTAAAATCGCGTGTTTAATAAGAATCGCATATGTTGAATCTTTCCCCTTTAAATTTTCATTATGCACAACAAAAGCAATAGTATGCTCCATGGGAATAAATTCCCGAATGAACACCTGTTTTAGTAAGGGGTGAGACTTAATGACAGCAAGAAGGGTTTCACATTGATAGGAAAACACATCTAAATCATCTTCTTCCAAAAACACTGGCGTCTCTCTATGTATGAATTGCGTATTAAGAATTGGTGACGTAATGAAACTTAAAAGTCGATTCACAGATCCACTGGAAAAAACTTGTTCAACCCAATGTTGTGCAACAAGATAATCAATTGATGATGGCTTTCTGAGATATTCTAGTACCAGGAATATGCAGCGATTTAAAATGACATCTGCATTAGATCTTTCGCTACTGTGATTCCATAATGCGCTCAAAGCTCTTCCACGTTCTTCGGCAGAATATTCACTGTTGACAAATAAAGAAGCAATGCAGGCTTCAATTCTGCGGTCTTGAAAAGCTTCTTGAAGTTGCCACAAAGATTTCACAGCTTCAACTTCTCTTGTTCCTGAAACTGTGATTAGAGATCTCCAAATAATAGTAACAATAGCTGTTAAAAAGTTTTCAATTTCTCGAGTAGTGAGGCCGTCAATAATAGTAATGAACAAATTGTTTACATCAGACACAAATTTGTAATTGTAATCTTCTTCAAGCGAAAGTGTTTGAAGAGCCAGAACTAAACTATCATCGCGCCATTTACTTTCGTGGTGATGAATCTTTTGCAAAAATTGTGCAAGAAAAACAGAATAATGACCTGCCATATCATATTTCTTTTCATTAATGTTTTTGACGGTCAATTGGGTAATATGATTTTGCAATATTTTAGTGAGTTGGGCTGAAGAAAAAGGTAATTTATCTGCTTCATCAGGCTGACTTTGATAATAGCTTGTTATTTTTTGAGTAATAGCTTCGTCGTCTAAATTTTCATCCTGATCGTTATTTTCTGGCTCTATAAATAGTGGTAGAAAAGCGCGATCTGGTATAAGATTAAGAAGTAACTGAATAAGTTGAAGTTTAGTACCTGTTGGAGAAGGTGGAACTTCGGTGATTATGAGAAGTATAAGAATTAAAGGCAATTGCTGGACAATCATTTCTTCTTCTTCGACATTAAAGGATTGCAAAATAAATATCAGTAAAGAAAGACTTTCGTCAGTTTTTTCTTGGATAAGTTTAACACAGTCGGACCAAATGGTAATAGTTTCAACGCCATCAAAAAATGCACCAGCACTTTTTAAAACTTCAGTGTAATAATGTTCGTCATACGAAAATTCGCACCGCTTGACGCTTTTAATAATTGGTGTAAACACACTAGGCACTACACTGGCGCCAATTTCCCAACGATCCATAATACTAAGACATATTCTATAAGGTCGACAACGTTCAGTGATACTATTGGTGTCACTGTTAATGTAACTGAGAAGTCCGTTAACAAGAGAATCACGGCCATTTTTAATAAAGTAAGCTTCTCGACTAAGGTTAGGACCTGAAGATAAATCTGTTGATGACATGTCGGGACCAAGAAGCCAGTTCCAAAGTCTTCGGTTGAGAGACATGTCACGTCTTAACACGGTAGAGCAAGCACTTAATACTAATAACTCCAGATCTTTAGGTGATGTCACAAATTGAAGTGCAGGGCTGTGAAGTTCAATGTTTTTGACCAAGAGTTCTAAAAACCCACGTTGAACTAAAAGCTGATCATCTTCTAAACCTTTGCAAAAGGCTCGAATAAGTAGCCCCGTCTCTGGAATGATGGCAGTTTGTGCTTCATAAGAAAGGGCTTGAAATCCTGTTGTCTTGTCGGTAGGAGGGTCAGCATTTGAAGAAAGAGTGGAGTTGAATTTCGGTAGTCGACGATTAGCCCATACTAGTGCACCCAACCTGCGGTCGCTCGAATTGATAATAACGAGAAAGAAGCATTGCCAAAAATGACTGTCGTCGTTTACTCGTTTTTTGATATTGTCTAATAGCTGGAGAACCGCATCAAAAGATTCGTTGGATTCGTCATCTATACCGGGAAGAAGAGAATAAAGAAGTGGCAAAACTAAATGTCGTAATGTTTTCAGAGGAAGTATGTGTGTGTTAAAAAGCTCAATCAAAATTGGCTTCACATTAATCGAAGCATAAGGCATTAATGGGATTATTCCCGGTATCCATATGTCAATTTCGTTTGATAAATTCTCTCCAAGTATGGAAAAAACAGTGCTGTATAATTCTAGTGCTTTTTGGTGAACACCAGAAGGCAAATCGGATTGTAAGCACTGTCCAAGTCGCACAGCAACTAATGAGGAGCGAGGAATTGTTGGAAAAGTGTAAGACCTAAGAGCCTTATGAAGCTTTCCAAGAAAGGATATATAATCTGCCCATTCTTCATTTTTATCCCAAGTGGTTAAAGCTCGGTCGATGGCTGCTGAGTACTTCTTATACTTTGGGTCCGTGTCTAGGCATTTTATTAGATACGTGGTCAATTCAAAGAAAAATCAAAACATACTCTCATCATTTCTCGAAACAATAAAAGGTAACGGAGACAGTGACCTCAGCAAAGACTGGCCAGATTGGTCTAACGGTGCCATCCTCTATTAAAGTCAAGTCTTTCTGAGTATAAAGAGTCTATTTGCGTTGGGAATAACAGTCTAATGAAAAAAAATAGCGTCAAAAAAAAAAAAGTTCCAGGTGTCTATTATAATTAACTGTAAACACGCGTAAATTACTGGGGTGAAAGTGACAACAAACCCTAACATCAAATAATATTCACGTGCAGCTCCACAAACGTAACTAATTAGTTTGTATACATACAACTACCAGTAGAAATGTTAAGATTTAACTAACTAGCTCCCATAACCATGTGTAATGTAGATTTCAATTGCAGACAGATCCTAAATCTCATAATCAACCAAAAGCACTAAACGACAGAAAAATATATACAATTTAAAATATAAAAATGTATTTGCTTTTTTTTTAAAGCTCTTACCCAAATCTATAATTGCATAACTAATAAGAAAAACTTAATTGTGCCTAAATAAACTTACTGATAAGACTTTGTAATTATGTTGATTAAAACTTGAATTAACAAAAACAAATTGCTCCTTAGTATGTTACATGACGCATATTTGTAACAAAAATTTTATCTAGAACTTAAGTGCACCTGATGTACTCTGTATTTCCATTGTTGTATTTTTAGTCCAAAATTTATTCTTAAAGACCAAAACGGTACAAAGATAATGTCGAATCCATTGAATATCAATAGCTCCCAGGATGTTTCAGGGCCGCATAGATTATTCGATATACCTAAATCTCATAAACCCCGCAAATCACTAAGTTCATTTCCAAAAAATTCTATGACTGATATTCTTAGGGCCGCTGATAAAGGTATAAATGATAAGCACCAAAGAAAGCTTTTTACTAACATTCCATTGTAGATCATGACAGTGACTTAGAAATGAATAATGTTCCAAACCCTTCGGAAACTAAAATACTCAGTGAACCTTCTTCTATTTTGTTTAATAACAACACTAATCAAATCACAAAAGAGATTCAAGTAGAAACAACAAGGATTTTCAACAGTGTGTCCAACAAAGTCCTAGAAAAAAAAGGTAAACATTCTACATTTCGCAAGACTAACATATTTGAAGACATGGATGTTTTTGGTGAAAATAATACTTCAGCAACGGGGAAGAGTCGTACCACGACTAAACCCCACATTAAACAACAAGCTAGCGGCATAAAATCAGTATTGCCTTACCGCAAACCAATCATTACTAGAAAATTTGGTCGGAGTACCAGTAATTTTAAAAAAAATTCTTCTTTTGACTCTGAGATTGGAGGTAACACAGTTTTGGAAGATCGGATAAACAAAGAACCTATGAAGTATACGCAAAAGTTTCTGGCATTTCCTAAAATTTCTAAAAAGCAAGACGATAAGGGAGATAATAAGGGAGGCGACCAGTCAAGTGATATTTCTAAAGATAGGGAGTCTGAAAATCAAGAAGCCAGTAGTTTGGAGTATGATGCAGGCGCTGATGATAATTCCATGCCTGATGTTTTAAATAATGAAGAATCTAAAGATTCTGAGTTGAATTTGACATCTGAACAAATTAGCCAGGTTTCTGCAGTATCAGAAACTAGTCAATCCAAGAGAAATCAAATATCCAGTCAGCCTTTTATTTTTGATAGTGATGATTCTGATGACAGTGTTTTATTTGGACCAAGGATTAAAAATGAGATTTCAACCAAAAGTACTGAACTAAAAGACTTTATTAAACAGGAGAAGGCTTTTGGTAACGATCCAGCTTCCTTAAGTCTTTTTGCAGGGTCAAAGAGTGCCACAGAAGAATTTCCTCCAGAAAGGTTTTGTTATGAACCTAGTATTGCAGGTAAAGCCAACGAAAGTTTAGTGGAGATTCGAATTGAAACATCATCTAAAAGCCGACTTAACTCAATGATTTTGAATCCTAAAATAGATCACAACGTTAGCAACGACGGTGACCATAAATCTGAGGATAGCAGTATTAATGAGACTAAAAATGCAGCTGTACATAATTTTGAGCGTGAATTGGAGCCCACTGCCGGCTCTGCACCAATGTTAAGATTACCTTTACCGCCTTTGGATTCATCAAATAAACCATTGGCTGTTCTTTCTGTGCCTACTACCTTTTCATCGGCCGCATCTACGTCAACCATATCTTCACCAACAGTTTCTTCTGCATCAACTACTTCTCTATCAGTCGCTACTTTGGCACAAACTTCTATTTCTGGTTCAGCTATTCCTTCGGTTTCCATAGCTTCTCTGAAGTCAACAAAACCTCTTGCTTCATTAGTTCCTGCTGCTCCTGCTGCTCCTGCTGCTCCTGCTGCTCCTGCTGCTCCTGCTGCTCCTGCTGCACGGTATAGATCAACTACCCCACCTGTACTTAAAACACCTTTGCTTGATTCTTCTGTTTCACCCGATACTCCTCAAGCTACTACTACCACTGGTATTTCCCAAAATAACACTTTGTCTCCAAAACGAGTACTGCGACGAAGACCTGCACGCGAAGCAGCCACGATGGCACAAAAACGAGTTACCCAGTTGGCTATTGCCCAAAGATCATACAATGAAGAAGAGGTTTCTCAGGACGACATATTTTCAGAACATTTATCTCAAGAAAAGGAAAATTCTCAGAAAGACATACCCCAAAAAACATTATCTCAAGAAGAAGAGGTTTTTCAAGAGAAGATACTCCCAAATATATTACCTGAGATTGAGTCTGAAGCTGTAACTACATTGGTTCCTGATGATAATGGTTTTCATGCTACTGAGGATCAGCGAAGCATCACGGATGAAAGCATGACTGATACAAGCAACAACAATGTAAACGCCAAAAATAAGGAAAAATCATTGAGTAACGAAAACCCTGCTCCAAAAGTTTCACAGCCCTCTTTACATAGAAATTTTAAACGCAAATTTCACAATGAAAGTAGTAGCAATATTTGTGCTGCTACTAGCGACACTAATGATGAGAGTATTGAATCACCGAAGAAGCGCCGGCGCAAAACTTCGACTCCACAAGCACATTCTCATGATTTGTGTGAGTACGAAACTTCAACATCGGCATGCTGTTCTCATGGACATCATATGCCAGCTTACGGATACCCTTATATGTACCCACCTTGGATGTATGGAGGATACCCTAATGCACCAGTAGTAGTTCGTGATGCTGCTGGAAATTTGTATTTAAAAATTCATGATGCTGTCCCTACAAGAGATCTTTTCCCCCTGACAGAATCCCCAAATGCACCATCGATGGCTCTTGAACCTGTTTCAGGACAGGGAAGGGAAGATTTGAGGCTGGGAAATCCTGTGTGGACAAGCACACCTGTGCGGGGGTTTCGAGAAGAATTGCAGGACACGGCTGGACCGTTGTCCGAAAGAAAAGCCCCATTAATACCTGCCGAAATTCCAATAGAAAAAAAAATTGAAAATGAAAATGACGACGACTACAATAAAGATAAATCCAACTATGGAACCGGGAAAAAAGCTAGTAACCGGGATGACTACAGAAAAGAGGGAAAAGACGACGGCTACAACGATAATGATGAGAGTGAAGAAGAATATGATGATGAAAATGATGATAGTGATGATGATGAAGAGATAGAAGAGATAGAAGAGATAGAAGATCATCAGCCCGGGTGGGCGGCACGGCATGCTCGAAAGTTTGCACTCTTTTTGGGAGTTGCAGCTCTTGGAATCTTACCTCATCTATCTAGTAGTGGGCAAGAAATATGATTGATAAAGATGATCTTATCTTCAATTTACTGCTCCTTTTGATCAAGATAACAAAAAAAAAAAAAAAAAAAAAAAAAAGAAATAATAATTTATATCAAAAAATTTATCACTATTTCTTGGAAAACTCAAATCGTCTATAAATCGATATGAAAATAGAAACAGTAAAGGTATATCTTTTTAATACTTACTAAAGTATTCCCATTAGTTTTTAGTAATAAATGTTTTCTATAAAAAAAATTTGAATGTTTTTATTTTTGAAATTGTATTTCATTCATTTTTTTAATTAATAATATATATTTAAATTTATTTACATAGCATAGCACTATTTAAATTTGTCTCAAAAGAAAAAAGAAATTTAATTAAGTAGTATTTATTGCATATAGAGCAACTTGATTTCTTTTATATTTTGTTTCTTTTTTTAAAAAAAAAACATACGTATTAAAAAAAAAAAAAAAAAAAAACCTTTTTCTTTACTATATTCAATATTTTACTCCTAATCAAGATTTTTTTTTTTTCAATTTCTGTTCTTGAAAAGAAATCCAGATGAAATGATGTCGGTATGCATAGTTCGGTTAATTCTTGGAGAGTCTTATAACTGTCCTGGTATTTATGCTTTTTGTGTCTTGTTTTTGTTTTTCTAAAATACGAATAACAAAAAAAAATTAGGAAATAATAAGTTCAAAATTGATATAAAAATCACGTTAGTATTCGTGTTATAGTTAGTTAAAAAAGGGGTTTTTTTTTGTTTTTTGTAAATATGAAAAGAAAATATAAATTGTTTTTTCCTCTTTTCAATATAACAGTGAACTTTAAAAATATAACTATTGAAATGTATAAATGAAAAAAAAGAGACTTTATGGCAAGTATAAAAGTACAAATTTACTAGTTATTGCAAATCCTCATATCAAAAATAAACTCCGATCAGGTTTAGTATCTGAGTGACTTACGCTTATTTGGAAAGAAAGAAAGAAAAAAAAAAAAAAAAAAAGTCACAGCCCATTACTAGTCATAGTGTCGATTAGTTAAGAAAATGAACATCCGGTTAAAAAAAGGTAAAAAAAAACTTTGATAACTTCTCAGGTAGTTATTAATTCATTATGGCATATGATTACCTATAATAATTGAACTTATTTCAAGATCAAAGTTTTATAGATATCTGTTTTACTATATCTGTTGAACAAACTCAATTGATTGCAAAAAAAAAAAATTTTAAACAGTAGAAAGATTGAAATCCAAGTAATTTACCAATATTAAGTTGTTTGTTGTTAAGAGTTATACTACAAACAGGATCAAATTCTACCTGAAAGAATTTGGGGGTAACTCTATTGTTAAAAATAGCCTATATTATAATCGAATGATTAAATTTTTAAAATGAATTCAGGTTAATTTCAGTTGATTTTGGGTATTATTCTAAAATAGAGAATTCAATAATATTAAAAAAGTATTAAAAAGTAGAAAGTAACTATGAATAGTTTATCTCTTGGTGGTATGATTAAGGGCTATGATTTTGGCAGTTAAATAGATGAAACCATGTTATTTCATTTTTAAGAACAAATCATTAAAAAAAAATTGTTTGTCTAACAAACTTATAAGTTAAGAGACTAATTTTTTTTTATTTAACAATTTTCATAAAATTTGATATAAAGTTAACTGTATATCTATGTCAACAGTAGTACTACTGGCCAGTCATCAATTTTGAGCCATATTGATATCAACACCTCAAATTCACTTCATTTGTAATTTTTTTTTAAATAAAAGATGTTAGTTATCCTTAATTTTTTTTATAAGAAAAATAATTGTGAATTAGTTTATATTTTTGAATTATTAGTGAAAAAAAAATATATATAAATAAAAAATGAATTTCCCAGAAAAAATAGTCATTCATGACAAGGACAGGAAGCAGTAAGAAAGACTGTTGGATAACACAAAACATTTTTTTTTTCAATACTAAGTAATCGATATAGTGACATATTATTTATTGAGCAAGAAATTAAAGGATTTCAGAAACTCTCATATTTAAAAAAAAAAAGAAAAAAAAGATTTTTTTTCTCTTTTCATGGCTATACTATTTAAAGAGCACGATATATATATTGACTTTTAAAATGACTTCCAGGTTAGAGAAGCAAAGAAGTTCATGAAATGGATTATGAAAGAGTTACTATTGCAAGCACTGAAAATCCTAAATGTTTTTGTTTTTGTTTTTGTTTTTGTTTTTGTTTTTGTTTTTTCATGATTGATACTTGTTGGCTAACACTAATGCTATATAGCGGGGAAAATCTTTACAATGTTGATGACATAGGATTCTTTAACACTTGGGGGGGTTTTTTAAAGTATTCATAGGAATTATAGTATTTAAAAAGTTTTTGGTAATAAATTGCGCAACGATACGTTGGTTTATAGGAGAAATGAAGTTCTTGAAAGAAACAGAAAAAAAAAAAAAAAAAAAAGTAAATTTTGCTAACAAACCCCTCACAGGATTGACCACTTTAGTAGAAATGAAAATAAAATAAAATAAAATAAAAAAAGAATGAATTTGATGCAGTAGTATGTACATATGAACCTGTTACTTTCACGTTATCATATTTATATTACCAACACCATATATATGGTACCAAAGATAGTTTATTAAATCATTTTTAAATTAACTTTAAGAGAAGCATGGGCGCCTTGTATTTTTTTAAAATTTAAAATAAGTAATTATTTTTTTTTTTTATGAAAGCCAACAACAACAATTAGCTTCATCGAAAAATATTAGTCTTTTTATTTTAGTTTAAATATTTATTCTACACGCCCATGATGGTTTTCAAAAGTACTTTTTTTTGGAAGAGGTTAAAGCATTTAAACCAAACTGGATTTTTGCATATTCCCTTTTCTTATTTATCCTATAGTATTAAATGAAAAAAAAAAACTAATCTATGAACTGTTCTTTTAATTTTTTATTTTTTTTTAACAACACCTTTAGGAATGAGAAAGCGATGAGATTTTAGAATAAAATATTATTAATACCAAAAATTTTTAGTTCTTTTTTTTTTTTTTTTATTTGGATTCTTTGGATTCTTTGGATTCTTCAAAGGTACAAGCTTCAGGGTAATATTAGTGTGTTTAATTATTGAGTTATTTCCAGAAGAGTTCGATTCCCAATTTAGGATTAATATTCAGTTTTCTTACAACATTTGTATTTAAATTATATTATATATATATATATATATTTCATATGAAAAAAAAAAGTAGCTAACAGATATATATATATTTGTTATGAAAAAACTGAGAATTTCACGTGGAAAGTCTTAACGTGCACAAGCAGATGAGGGGTTTTGAGCTTATTGAGCGCACGCCAATATATATATATCGGCTAGTCAACGGTCAGGAGAGTAATGTTAAAATTGTTTTTTTGGTCTAACAATATAACGTTAGAAAGAAATCTCAGCGATTCATGCAAAAACATTATTGTGTCGACATCAGAAGCCCATTGTTTTTTTTTTTTTTTTTTTTTTCTATATTATTGTCATACAACGTAACAAAGTCTTTTGATAAATATTTTTGAAACATTTTTTTTTTATTTTCAAGCAATTAAAGGAAATTGAAGCGAAAAGCAAAAGTTAAAAACAGAAATTAAGTATATCACAATAAAAAAATCAAAGTTCAAGAAAAAAAAATTCCATCTGGAAGACAATTCTAATAAAAAGCAATCATATATATTGAGAAAAAAAAAAAAAAAAACTATTATAAGAAATGCATGAATACTAACAGAGCTTATCAAATTGTTATAAGCTCAGCGCATTCTTTTCCATTTTCTGAAAAGAAGAAGAAGAAGAAGAAAAAAAAAATTAAAACATATTCTCATGTATTATATATTTATAAAATATATACTATACTATATAAATTTATTAAATATATTTATACTATATATATATGGTACCAACTAATTGTATTATTTTTTTCTTTTGATTTGAAGTTTTGTTTTTATTTTTTAAATATAAAAAAACCCAAAATGAGTGGGGGGAGGGGGGGGATTAAAAATAATAAAAATAAAAATAATAATAATAAAAATAATAATAATAAAAATAATAATAATAATAATAATAAAAACAAAATGGGAGGGGTAAATAGGCGGGGTGGCTTATTTGAAAAAAAAAAAAAAAAAAAAAAATTATGGAGAAAAAGTCCAAAAATTTCTATGATAAAACTTTTATCTTTAGTGTTTCACTGATTGATACTGCCGCGGTAAGTTGGCGATGTCACAGATGTGAGTTACTACTTAAGTGCTGCGTACCCTTACTTTTCTTGCCGCCTTTCCGTATAGTAATGTGACGTAATCCATTACATCACATTAAAGTGAATCATATCCGTCGGGGGAAAGAGAGATGAAGTTGCAAAGTGCGACTAAACCTTAAAATAAATGGTTCAGACACGATACAAGATCTCTTTTTTTTTTTTTTTTTTAATCTGTGACGTCTATATTTTTTGTGGCTAAAGAAAGGGATGAAATGAAAGAAAGAGAGAGAGAGAGAGAAGTTAATAAGCATTAAATGTAGAGAATAATAACGTGGCTTATTGTAAATATTTTAATTGCCTAAAAAAAACAAAATTTAGTATTTAGGAGTATGAAATAGAAAAGTCAATTATATAAAGTTCAGAATAATAATTTATGTGATTCCAGCAGTTTTAATATATCCAAAATTAATAATGACCATTGTTTACAAAAAAAAAAAAAAAAAAAAAAAAGTATATAGATTGAGTAGTTCTTTTAAAATTTAAAAAAAAAAAAAGTTAGGGATTGACTTTCTTTCTATCCTCTTAAATATTCTATTTTTTTTTTTTTTTTTTTTTTTTTTTTGAAATACATTGTTCATTTCATTATCATAATTAGGTCTAATCAAACAGTTTTTTTCTTTTTTTTTCTTTAGTTCCCCCTCGAGACAGACATCACAGTAAGCGATTTTCAGGAGAACACTATTTTTGGGATAGATAGAGTACACACATGTTGATAACCAAATTAAGAATAATATTTTATAAAAGCCGCATTCGTCAATCTAACGTAATTATTTCTTTTACTTTCAAATAAATAAATGTGTATTTAAAAATTAATTTATTTTAAACAAAAATAGTTAAGAAAACTTGAAAAGTCAACATTGAATTTTTGATAAAATGTTAATTATTTGAAAAAGGCTTTAGGTTAAACCCGAGGGGGGGGGGCGGGATTTCTAACTTTTTTTTTTTAACTTTTTTTTTAACTTTTTCTAACTTTTTTTTTTCTCGGTTAGAATGGTTTTTTTTAAGACTAATATTGATACAATTTCATTTCCCCACCCCCATTTCTCTCCATCGTCTTAAGACTCAATTTCTGTAGGGATATTAGTGATACGGATAAATAGAGGCTTATTTAACCATGCTGCTGCTGTTTAAAAAAAAAAAGAAAAAAGAACACGATGAGATTTTTAAGTATGCCTATCAACGTTGAAAAACATCATAATTTAAAATTGAGAATAGTATTGGAGATCTGGTGATATCATTATTAAGAGATATGTTTTATTTTTTATTTATATATTTATATATTTATTTATTTATTTTTTTTAAATAAAATTAATTCGGTAAATTTAATGAAAAAAAAAACCTCTTTTAATGATTGGCATCGTCATCAATCATCAAAAGAAATCAATAGAAATCAATAGAAACAAAAATGAAATCAATGTTCTCTAATGAATTTTAAACGATGACGAAACTATTTTCATTATAAAATTTTGAAAAAAAAAAAAAAAAAATTAAGTATCAACACTATAACACTACCTTGTCAATTATGACATCAAAAGATCGATTATTTATAATTGATAATGTCATCTTACATATTACACATTATATTACAACATCTGATAAGCTGCGCCTACTTTTTTTTCATTTAGTTTGACACAGAAAGTCTTATTTAATATTTTCCCTATCGAGTTAAACCCGAAGGAAAGTTTTTCAAGAATACTGTTGCTTGGTATATATACCAATTCAACAAACAAAGAGCCATAATATGATCAAGTATGCTAAACTTTTAAATGAATATTTTTACAACATGTAATCAACTGAAAAAACAAATAATAATAATAATAATAATTAAAAAAAAAATAAGTTTGTAGCTAATGTGAAATGTTTTTTTTTTTTTTTTAAAAAAATGAAAAACAATGGACTTTTGTTTAGTAGTAAATATGTTAAAATCATAGCTTATTACTCAATTCAATAAGCTTTATTTTGGGTATATATGTTATTAGAGATAAAATAACCACGGGATATCCGAAGGAGAACAGAGAAATGCCAAAAAAAAAAAAAAAAAAAAAAGGTTTAAGTTCTTTCTCTTTTTACTTCTCCTCCTCTCTCTCTCTTTCGCATTCACATCTGACTGCAGAAATGATTGCTAATAATCAATTTACCAAATTCAAAAGTATATAACGGAATGGGTCAAAAAAAAAAAAAAAAAAAAAAAAAAGTGAAAGAAATCTCCTTGTGAAATTCAAACTTAAACAGGTAAAAGAAATAACCTGAGCATAGTGGAAAACTTAATTCATTTTGATGCAGGTATATATCTGAGTATTGTTACAAAGGGTGTGCCGAGGTTTATATATTTACGAATGTAGAAAAAAATGGAGAAGTATAAAATTAAATATAAATATACTGGGAAAAAAAAAATAAAAATAAAAATAAAAAAAGCAAAAGCAAAAAAGAAACAAACAAACAAACAAAAAAGTTAATAAACAAATAAGTAATTTGAAATTAAGAAAGCGAATGGAGTTGTATCTTGGATGGTGATCAAATGTTTGCCTTGTGGGAAGTTAAAAGAAATGAGTTACTAGTTGCAGTTGCAGTTGCAGTTACAGTTACAGTTACAGTGAATTGAGTTATTCTGGACCAAATCATGGACCAAAATCTGGGCCAAATAAAAAAAAAAGAAAGAAATAGCCACCAGCATACTATTAATAAGGCTTGTTCATATCCGCTGACAAGCGGGGAAACCAGGCGTTTATACTTTTGATTTTTGATTTTTTTTTTTGATTTTTAAATTTTTAAATTTTTAAATTTTTAAATTTTGATCATTTATATTTTATATTTTATATTTTTTTGAATTTTGAATTTTGATTTTTGATTTTTTTTTTATCTGAAAAGAGATTTCTTTAAATGGCACTTGTATTTGGAGGGGGAGAGTTATTGTATCAACAAACGAATTAAAAGTTTAAAAAGGTCAAACGAAAATAAAAAGAAAATAAAAAGAAAATAAATCCATTGAATCGCGTCACCGAATAAAGTTTTCAAAGTTGACCAACGCCCAAAGATATTAAGCCTTTAGTTGTAAGCGTTTAACATAACACTATTAAAATAAATATAAACATTACTTGCAAGTAAAAAAAAAAAAAAAATGACAATTTAATATACTGACCGTCTAACTGCCTAACTGACTAACTGACTAAGAAAAAAAAAAAAAGAAAATAATAAATAATAAATATTATAAATAATAATAAATAATAATAATAATAAAAAAGAAAAGAAAAAGAGTTTTTAAACTAAAGGATATACATATATCCCGGTTATAACTTGTTTTTATATCACACACACACCCACACACATCCCTATACATATATTACTATGTTCTAATTCTTTAGACATATATATATATATATATATACTCATGATATCCCATAACATTAGAAAAAAAAAAAACTAAATTTTTTAACATTTTATTTTTATTATTTTAAAATAAATATTTTCTTTTATATATCTTTTTCTTTTTTTTTTTTTAATATTTTTGGTCCTTTGAAAAAGAAAAATACCAAAGTCTTGAATTCTTTGTTTTTTTTTTATTATTATTATTAATTCTTAGCCATATTTTCTTTTTTACCTCTCCTCTCCTATTTTTTTGTTTTTTTTTTCTAAATAAATTTATTTCACACCACCAAAATCTTACTTAAAAAAAATTTTTATTCCCTCTTTTTACTTTAAACAACCCATTACACTTTTATCATCACTCATATATAACTAAAACTCAACCTTTAATACTTCTTCCAGAAACCAAATATTTCTCAGCTTAAATCAGTTTATCCCATCACTTGTTTTTTTTTTTTCACCATACCCAGTTATTGTCATCACTTGAGCTGCTTTACAAAAAAAAAAACCCTTCAAAATACAACAACTTTGACCTTTTAATCCTTTTCTAGAAAAAGTTTTATTGGTCTTGTTTAAGATGAACACTACTGCTCTTAGCCCAAATACAACACCCCCTACAAACCCTACTGGCCAGTATCGCCCATATTCCTCCAAAAAAGACCGGATACTTGCCGTCTTGACAAAAGATAGCCAAGCTACAGGCTGTTTTGTCGTGGTTGTTGGTCAAGATACTGATAATAAAGATGCTATTATAAATAATAATAATAATACCACTTCTGATGGCTCCCTTAATAATTCATCCTTTTCATCCTCTGGCTTCTCGGAAATACCGATACCCTCATCATCTCAAGCTAATCCCTTACTATACTGCCGACCTGACTGCCCAACCATTTCTTCTCATGTTAATGTCGAAAACCTGATATTCTTTGATACATCTGATCAAGCCCTTCAAGCCAATTTCAAGGCTTGTCTAAAGTGCAACCCCGACCTTCCTGTTCATGTCGACTCTTCTATAGTACAGCAAACTGTCCAGACTGTTAATGCAAATTTCAATATTGATATTGGCGCCATTGCTGAAGAACCACACGACTCTAATACTCCTACCATTATAAATTCTTCAGCTCCCACTCTTCCTCCTGTTGGCGAATCTTCATCTAATCCTTCTGCATCTTTTGCCTCTATGAAAGCCGACCCTTCAAATTATTGCGAAGCCGCCATCTCCTCTCCAAATAGTTCGCCACCCTTATCACAGATGCATAAATTCAATACATATGGACACTCGCGTACTCCCTCTCTTGCAGGAACCCCTCCTGATCAAATAGAACAAGAGTTTTGGAACTCTCGTCCAAGAAGAGCCTCTATTGCTAATGGTCATATCAGTGTTGTTGCTGCTGCTGTCGATGAGATTTCAAAAGCTGAAGGAAACTCCATGGGCTTTGAAATGCCTTCTGCCACATCTCCAGAATTCACTCGTAACCAATCTAACTCTCCTAGCATTTCTCAACAACAGCTACAACTACAACTGCAACAACAAATACTTCAGAGCAATCAAATTAGACCACAGACCCAAAATAAGCGTCGTGATGATCGTGTCTCTAAAGGTGAGGGTGAACATGCGCGCCTTGTGAGTGAAGCTTGCATGCATATTGCTGCTGCTGCCGCTGCCGCTGCCGCACAGGCTGCTTATGGTCCCGAAGAGTCTGTGCCAGAGAGTAGTAGACGTCGCAACACATCTCTTGGACCTGCACGAGCGTCTTCTCAAGATCCTATGCGCAGAACCTTTAAGCCACAAAGAAAGAAGCGCCGTGGTGGAATTCTTGGATTCAAGGAGCTTGCTGCCAAGGCAGGTTTAAGTCCATGGCACTTTCACCGTGTCTTCCGCTCAGTCACTGGCTTGACTCCGAAAGCTTATGGTGATGCCTGTTGGAACACTGTGAGCAACCTCTCTCCTCAAGATCTCCTGGAAAATAAGCCTTTGTCTGCATCCTCGTCCCCTGCTCATCCAATTATGACTGCACAACCGCCACCTCAGCAAGAAATGTTTTCGTCGCTCCCTCCTCAAGCAATTAAGCCTACTGACTCATCCAACTCGCTCCTTAACTACTCTATGCAATTTTCATCCCAGAATCAAGTTCTTCAGCCAGTTAACAATCATCCTCAATCAAACTCTATCTCACCAACCCCAACGGATTTGTCCACACCTAGTACAAATTTAAGTTCGGATAGCCAGTCCACTTTAGGTACACATCAAACAACTCCAGGAAATAACATGGAAATCGATCCTGCCTCTGTTACTAGGTCGCATTTGCCCATTGCCCAGGACCTGAGTCAACACGCGAAAATAGTGCAAAACATAAATCAGGTGATTGGAACTCCAAGAACTGTCCCCAATGTTACAACAAATAACGTTGTTGCCACAATCCCCATTACTGCAACTACTTCTTTTGTTACTCCCCCTTTACTTCCCACTTCTTCTGAACATTTTAATTATGTTGGGAATAGCAACAATAACCATAACCTCAACAACAAGCCCGTGGCCTTTCACCAAAATCCATTCCCGCTAGAGCAAATTCCACAAAAACTGCATCAGCAACCACAATTATCACAACTTCACCAGGAAAAGAGTGACAATATTCGTGAGGGCTGGTCCATTCATGATCAAACTCAATCCAGTGATGGCGTTCACTCTGATCTGAAACACTGGCCTCAGACCACTAATAATATTAATGATATCGGCACGGATCCTCTTCAAGCTGTCCCAATTTTGTCTGATGTTGATGCCATTCTCAAATCTTTGGAGCCTGAAATGTACATGATGCATATTGATAATGGCTTGAATAACTTTTCGCCACCACATCATACCCCCATATCGATGTCTTTTCCTCATCACCAGCAGCAGGGAACAAAGGAAATTAGCCCTATTCAGCACCAATCTATTGCTACTGCTATTTCCATTCCTCCTCCAGTTTCATCAATAGATGCTACTGTTCAATTGGAATCGCACTCTCTTCCAAACTCTGTTCCAATTACACATAATATATCTTTCCCAATTGGACCAACTTCTGGTGAAAATATTCCAATTGATGCTTACAATATGAATTTCCCTATTCCTTTGGACCCATTCCAAGGCTCTAAGAACCATTTGCTTCATCCTACATCTAGCAACACTACTGTGTCTGATGGAAATGTCAGTCTTTCTCATGAAATGACAGCCCATAATTTTACTCAATTGAACGAATTTCCTGGTGTTTCTCGTCCTCATAGTCGACTTCAGGCTGTCAATTCTAGATTAGAGGCACCCACTTTTGATGAAGACCTTGAGATTGGCACTGTAGATGAAGCCATGGGAATGTTTGCTCCGACTCCGGACCGCATTAACCAGGGAATTTCTGATAGTGGTACCAACACTCCTAATATGATTATGCGCAATGGTTTGCCTTTATCCTTTTCTGGTTTTTCTCAAAACAATATTGGTCGACCTGATTTTCAAGATATCAATTTTCACTACTATCCTACTGCCGATGGCCAAGTTGATTTACTCCAACAACAACAACAACAGCAGCAGCAGCAGCAGCAGCAATTACAATCAAAAGTTACATCTCCCACTGATCCAAATTTTCATTTATACATGCAACAAGTTCCAACAACTCAAGCAAACTCCAACCCAGGATTTATTACTGATTCCTTGGTTTCTTAATGACATTGTGTAACCCACTCTTTACTAATATTTTTGTTTTCTTCTTATTTTTGGTTTATAATTTTTGTTTTTGGTTTTTTTTTAAAAGGGAAGATGAGACCATTCTACGACCCGGTTTTTTAGATTAAAAAAATATATATTTAAAAAAATATATATAATTTTTTGTTAAAAGTACTTTTCTTTTTTAATGTATAGTTAGTTCTTTCTGTATTATTTTAGCATCAATTTATCAAAATTTAAAAAAAAAAAAAAAAAAAGAAAGAAAGAAATTCTTTTTTTTTTTTTTTCATGGAGGGTTATTATTATTATTACCTTATTTTTTAGTACTAGAAAAACAGTTATCTGGATTCAAAAAGTTTTCCGTTCTCCGTACGCAGATCCATGCGCAGAAATGAGGTGAGTAGGTGCGGAAACTTTATTGATCAACTTAGACTTGATTACTCTCGATTTCGCTTTTTTTTTTTTCTTTTTTTCTTTTATTTTCTTTTATTTTTTTGTTTATTTTCTTTTATTTTCTTTTATTTTCTTTTATTTTCTTTTTTTTTTTTTTTTTTTTTTTTTTGAATTATCACAATGTCGCAAATAACAAACCTTGTTCTTTCGTTGCGCCTAAATGCCGACAGATCGCAGTGTGAGCGGGGATGGTGAAAGAGGAAGAAATAGACTCGTTCATGAACCATGGTCGTAATTTATGATGAGAGGATTTTCAAAAGAAAAGAAAAGAAAAGAAAAGAAAGAAAGAAAGAAAGAAAGAAAGAAAGAAAGAAAGAAAGAATAAAGAGAAAAAAGAAAAATTCCCAACAAAGCATAAAAAGTACGATACAAGTTTCAAGTATTTATTTTTTTTTTTTTTTTTTTTTTTTTTTTTTTTTTTTTATTTTTTATTTTTTTTATTTTTTTTATTTTTCCCTAAAAAAAAAATTATTATTTAAAATAGATACAAATAATTTCTAAATTTGTAAGTCAAAATATATATGTATTGAATATAATTACTTATAATAGTTTGAATATGTCTATTTACTGCTTAGGAAAGTGGGCACATCTAATTGAAAAAAAAAAAAAAAAAAAAAAAAAAAAAAATTTGGGGAAAGGAGATGGTAAAGATAAAAAAAAATAAAAAAGAAAAAAACAATTTAATAAAAAGAAACATGAAAATTACAACTTTTAACTTCAAGTAATTATTGCAACTGTTTAAACCATTGATAATACCTTGCTAGGAAGAGCTACAAATTGGATTCGCTGAATTACCTTAATAAGATTAAAAAGAAATAGATAAATATATTTTTATCTCTTTATTTCTTTCTTTATTCCTTTCTTTTGGAAAAAAAAGGTTTGGAAAAAAAAAAAAAAAAAACTTAACTTTTTTTTCTCCCTTTAGTGATTTGTTTCTCTGAATGGTCCATTGACTGTTTCCTCTATTTTTTTTTTTTTTTTGTTTTAAAAAAAAAATACTTTCTGAATTGTTTCTTTTTTTTTGTTTCTTTTCATGGTTTAAGTCTTAAGTTCTATAGTTTATACTGCCTTCCAAACATGTAACATTTCGTCCCAACCTACAGTAGCAACCCAGCCAGGTTCACCCCACAAACTCCAGTCGGCTCCCATGACAAACTCGGTATGATTATGGAAAACATTAACCATACCACTGCCATGATTAAGACGTGACATGTAACGAGAAGTTGTACCTGATGTGTCACTTCCAGCCGTCATGTCGCGCCAAACGCGTGCAGTCATATCATATGAAGTCGATAACAGCATCTCCGGGCTATGGGGCGACCAAACAATTTTCCGAATGGCATAATCATGACCTAGTAACTCATTTACAGGTGCCACAATCGAGTGCCTAACCCGTGCAGGCGCCATACCTACCCTCCCAGCACTCAACTCTGCAGCTGAATTGTTCGAATCCACCCCTGGAACCATGCGCAAATCCCAAATCTTGATTGTCTTATCTACACCACCCGTCGCTAGCACCGTCGGCCGATATTTATTCCAGTCCAAAGTTAATGCCTCTAACCCAGCATGTCCCAGAAAGTCGTGTGTCAATGCGGGGTAGGCCCGCGTGTCCCAAACTCGGACATGGGAGTCAGCATGCACCGATGCCACAATGCTGGGATTATGTGGTGAAAACATGGCGCTGTGAATAGATGATGGTCCTGTTCCAGAAGCTGCTCCACCTCCAGCTCCGGCTGCCATGGCTGACTGAGGGCCTGATCCAGGCGCATGTGCATTGTTTTGCTTTTGGGCCGGAGCACCGGCTGCTGCTGCTGGAGGAACAGCCGCTATGGTAGTTGTATCAGGAACAGGTGCTACAAACGTTGAAATGGATTGCGCACGATCCGGCGTCCAGATCTTTATGGTGCCGTCCCATGAACTGGTACAAAACAAGTGTTTTTGTGCCAAGTTCCAGTTGACTGAAAAGACTTCACGAGTATGTTCCTTGTAGACTTGGATTGGGAAATTGATTTTCCCAGCAGTTGGAGGCGCTGCTGCTCCTACAAACCCTGTAGCTGGTGGAGGGGGGCTTGCTGTAGCCAAATCAAATAGTTTGATTGTTCCGTCACCGGAACTAGCCACAACCTGATTCTCGTGCACCTCAGACCATGCCAAATCAAACAACCCATCCTGGGTATCAAAGTATGCTTGAGGTAGTATTTGACCTGAATCTGTCAGATTCAAGACATATAGTCGGCCATTTCCAACAAGACCAAAGTTAGCAGCAGCAGCAACTGCAATTTTGGAGTCGAAGAATGGTGAATAGGCAACCGAGTATGGATTAAAGCCTTGTGTTCGGTATGATAACATCACAATGACAATTGTATATTAATGTATGTTTTTATTAATGTATGTTTTTATTAATGTATGTTTTTATTAATGTATGTTTTTATTAAAATCTGTCTCAACTGATTAGTACTTAATAATGAAAAATAAAATGAAACTTGAATTTTGAATTGAACGAAATGGGAAAATGAGTTCAAAGTGGGGTCGTGTTGTTTCTTTTTTTCTCTTTTTTTTTTGGTTTTGAATGTGATGATGATGATGATGTTTGTGGAGAAGATGCTGATTTTTTTTTTTTTTTTTTTTGAGAATGTCTTAGCCTTGGATCCTCGGATAGAAACCCCCACCCACCGAGAGCAATGTATAGAAAGCTTGATTACAACTCTTTTAGAATACCAAGTCATGTAACAATTTCATCACCACCAAAAAAAAATAAAAAAAATTTCAAACCCTCCTTACATTTACCAATGCCTATAATAAGCATATACTTGATTTGATTTCCCCCATCTCGTATTCGTTTATTGTTATTTACACCTTCCTAACTCGCTACGTACCTTCTATTTACAAATATGGCTTTATCTTGATACGAGTCTTTGTTTAAGTGAAAAAAAAGAAAGAAAAAAAAAACTTCCTTAATAGTGATGTGGAAACTTTGCAATTAGATTATCTGGCTTTCATGAACCACCATTCCAGGATTAGCTGTGATTTTCTGAATTTTTCCACCAGGAAGTACTACCATTCCTATATGTCGAATATGCCCATCCAAAGGTTGTACTTCATATGTATTTCGTAAAATGAGGTTTCGATCCTTATCAAAACTGTTAACAATGCTAATAAATGGAAATAGATAATTGACTGTATCATTTAAAACAAAAACTTACCTTGTCTGTGCATACCAATGAACCAATATATTGTCGTTCATCTTGTATTGTAACTTTGACTAATCTTTCTATATATGATTCTAAAATTCTGCGCTGATGAAATCTCTTAGTTTCGGTGTCCATTTTTATTATTATTTTTTTTTTTTTTTATTATTAGGAGAAATGTAAGTAAGTCCAGAAGATCTTGAAGGGAATGTTTCCTTGCTTAAAATCAATTTGTGTCTGAGCGGTGAGTTGATGCAACTGTTAAAATTACTAAATCAAATGTTTATCAAAAAAAAATAATTCAGACTGTATTAACTTAAAAACATGTAAGTATTAAGTTTTATCTCTCTGCAACTCATTTAAGCCACTATTTTTTTTTTTTAATCTTACTCAGAGACAACAATAAAATATGTAACCTCGCTTAAGTTCTAAGTTTTATTATAGTGGATAATTGTTTGAAGATCAGGAGTCTACTAAAAAAGCTTAAATCTGACATACAACGCCTGACTTAAGTATCAAGTGCTATGTAGTATTATCATCATGATGCTCATTCTACATTCCTTAAATCCAAATAAACTGAACTGCATAAAATGTTTTGAGTTGATTTAAAAAAGAAAATACTTAAAAAAAATTAAAAAAATAAAATAAAATACGATACTCCCATCCCTTCTCTTAAAACTCCTTGAAAAACCTATCTTCTTTGTGCTATGAGCTTACATAGCATCAATCACCCACGCTGAACTTGGAATTTCAAATATTTCCAGAGAAAATCGAACCACTTTTCAATCGTACGTTAAATATTATAATAATTATTAACAATCATCATGATGAAAAATTATTTAGAGAATTCATACTTTTGGCTCTACAGTAAGTATATTTTGAATGTTTTGAATATTTTGAATGCTTGATTAAATTGCAAGTTAATCAATTAAGTTTACAAACAAATAAACTTAAGATATTACTTTTGGTACTATCATTTTGATTTTTTTCTTGCTTAAAAAATACAACTCAATAGCTTGCAACATTTACAAGTATAATTGATAATTATGATGTTAATTAATTAATATTAAATTCTAATTAATTGCTTATTCATTTGAAACTTTAGCAAAAAAAAAAAAAAATAAACAAAAATGCTAATTTTTAATATGGTTGTTTGCAGCTATTTGCTGTTCGACTCCCTTCACAAAAAAAAAATAAAAACAAAAACAAAAACAAGTTGCTATTATATAAGTTTATTAATCTTATTACGTAATAAATTTAATGGTATCTCAAAATGTGATATTTTAAGCGAAAATCATAATAAAGATAAAAAAAAAAAGACAAAAATATGGGCAGCATAGTAATGAGATTATTAGAAAAGTGATATCATCATAGTATTTCAGCAAACAATTTTTAAAAAAAAAAGTCATCGGGTGTGAAAACTATTATCAAGTTAAAAATATAAAAGGTTAACTAAAAAAAACAGGTTTTAAAATGGTTGTAAAGTCTAAACTTGAAGCTTTTGTCAATTATTAATAATCCGCACAATAAGTTCTATGGGTTAGGTTTTTGACCTCGTAAGGTTGCTAGTGTTGTATTTAATGCTTACATTTCTAATCTAGTGTGGTAAACCAATTTACCGCTAATAATTATTGCTAAAACGTAACACAAATATTTCATAACTTTCAATAATTTTTTTTTTAACCCCGAAACTTGGATGAATATAGATAAACAATCCATTGTTTATCTGTAAAAATATATTTTTAATAATTACACAGATGGATGAATATCAATCAACATCTGAGCTTGAAAACGTACCAGCTGAATACCAATCCCATATCTACTTCTACAATTCACCTCCTAAAGAAGATGGCTATTTGAAAGCATCAGCAGCACCAAGTGATTCGGGACATTATCATGGCGAATTTGAATTTTTGCAAAATCCTTCTCCAGGTCTTGACAATAATTCAGTTATTTGCTCATCAAATATGAAACAACTAGTAGCTAGTTTTCATACCCATGTTCACGACCCTCTAGGTGATAAAATACCTTCATACCACCCATTCCACCCATCAGATATGACAATAGATGATAAAGGGATACTTCGGATACCCCATATCAGTTATGATCCAATAATAACAAAACAAGAGGCAATGAAACCTTCTCATACCTTAACTTCAAGTTCTTCAAATTCTTCAGCTTACTCGTTTTCTTTGGATCATCCAACTAGACAAATGTTTCGATCTTTAGCAGAATCACCTCTATTTGATTCATTTGATCAAAATAGTGGTGCTTCCGAAAACCTGCGGCAGATTTATACCCAACCAAACGCTAATACTACACCATCCGAACATGGAGATTCTCCAGGAGCCCCCCACTTTGCACGAGAAAATGATGCAGCAAGCTTCATGTTTGCATCACATCCGGAAATTAATGATGATGAAGAAGTTACTCAGTTGATGAGCTCTTTCCATTTTTGGGATCCTCTTAACCGTTCACAGTTTCGTAATGAAGAAGAAGATAATAGCCTACAGCCATTGTATATGTCTGAAGAATCAATGCAACAAAACACAGACGCCTCTGTAATCTCACATCAAGATGGGTCGGGGTTTCCCGAAAACTCAGAAATTGTTCATCGTTCAACACTAATCCGGCATTTGACAATCCATGTACAAAATACCCTTCGAAGAATTCGATTGCGCCATATTTCAACTATTGGTGAATACCAAACAGATGATTCTTATACCAACCATACTAATGATATTAGAGCTGAAGAAGAAAATGAAATACCAATTTATAGTAATAATTCTTATACCAGACTAGGTATACCTGAAGATGAAGAGGAATTTCAAGCGCACCGAGGAATTAGACGTTATCTTCGAGGGTTATGGACCAGCGGCAGATCACCTGAGGATTCTGGAAGACGGCTTTTTAGTCGAGAAAGGAGAAGAGCTGCTGATACAATTTTTGGTTCACTTGGTGAATCTCAAGATGTTGATAACACAGCAAACAGTATACAAAGAGGTCATACAGCATTTTTTGGATTTTCTCGGTTTTCTCGAGGAGATAGCTAAATTTAACTGGAATTAATGAAATTCATCAATGTAGAACAAAATATATTTAATATTTAATTAATATACTTTTTTTAATTTCATATCTTTTGGAGAAAACCTGTTAAGATGTAGCCATTTGAGCGGTTTTAGTAGATTAGAATCATATTCTTAAAAATGTCAAATTCGTGCCCTCAAAAGTAAAAGTAGCTTGATGAACATATCAAAAGCCAAAATGTTTGATATCTCGAAAAAATAGAAAAATAAATTTAAAAAAACCAATATACTACGTATGATATCTGAACTAATAGATGATAAGTTTTTAAATATTCATTTTTATTAGGTTCAGGGAAGAAAAATTTTTTTATCCTTATAATGAGTATCAAATAAAAAAAGGGCAAATTTTTTTTAAAAAAAAAAACCATTCGATGTAACAACTTGGTTAAAAAAAATTGGCAGATACTTATTATAAGTATCTTATAATAAGTATCTGCCAATGTTTTTTTTTTAACCATCAGAATTGCAACGGAAATTAGTAGTTTTTCAATAAGTCCATCCTTCGACTATAGAATATAATGATAATTTTTTTTAAATTTTATTTCTAATATATATCAATATATAGTTGTTCTTTTAATTTTCATAAAATGAGATTTGAGGAATAAATATGACGGTACCACATATTTCACTTTAAGTGCACTTTTTTTTATACACAGTTAGTTAGTCAGTGTAACCAATGGAAAAATAACACCTAGTGATAGAATCTTAGCATTACATCACTTCAAAAACAAAAGAGCAAACTATCGCGATATTTTATCAATAGTATAACTCGTTATAATATGGGATAAAAAATTTGAAAAAAAAAAAAAAGAAATCAATATAGATTAACAAACTATAAATAAAAAATTAGGAAAAAATTTCATAAGGGGGAATTCTATTGATGGAAAGAGAGAGATGGTAAAAGGTTTTTGAAAATATCCTTTTTTTTTTTATTCTATTGGTATGATATCTCACGCGCTGAAACAACTTTGAATTTCAACTTTTCTTTCCAAACAAAAGAACAAACCGAGGGAGGGGTTAATATTATTAAGGTTTTAAAGAAGGGAAATTTGTAAAAACATCCTGTAGATATTGTTCATAGGTGATTATTCCAAGATCAACATCAGGTAATCTATAAGTCAAAGCAAACTTTTTGCATTTTTTCTCAAGTTCCTTTTGGTCGTAGAAAACATTGGTCATATGATATTTCACATCTAAAAGGATTTTGATTGATAGTTTGTGACCTGAAAGTATTCTTGCAAGGACAATATATATTATATCCTTCATGAAATCTAGGTCGACATTGGAACTTGTTCGGAAAACACCTGGGGCTCTGAGGAAATAGTCTACCATGTTGTTATTAGATTGACAATGTGTCTCAATAGATTTTTCAGTTCCATTTCGAATTGACGCCAGTGTAACTCCTGCATCTTTAAACCAGTTGGCCATGGTGGACTGGGAAACTGGGTGATTAAATACAGTTTGAGCATATTCACCGATATCTTTGTAATGGGCTTCGATTTCTCCCACCAACACTAGTTGGACAATCTTTTGGGTTATATGTCTTTCATAGTTGTATCTGACTGAATCTTGGGACATTTTATTTACTGCAATTTATTGATGACAGCTGTTGGTGGTGGTTGTTCTGATGCTAGAGAAGTGTGTTTTAAAAAGAAAATACTAGAGAGAAACCCGGGCATTTATAAATCTTTAATTAAAAAAGGGAGGGATAATATATATATATATATATATATATATAAATAAAAAATTACTCTTGAGCGGCAATATCAATGAATGTATCATTGTTCATTCGATAATAAAAGTAATAAATTGAATGCTTTTCTAAATTAAAGAAAGGTTCAGACCACCAATTCCTTGATTAAACATAACGTGGCGTAGCTGTATAAAAAGCAAATTCACCGGCTTCTTTATCGATGTTTTTTTCAAGTTAAATTTTCATTCTGACTTTCGACTTCTAATATCGAAGAATGGTTCTTTCGGGAGAAAAAAAAAAATAGGAGTCACAAGGAAAGCTGGGCATTCTACACGGTCACGTGGGACATTTGTTCCTGTTTGCTTTATTGAAACATGGGACAGTGACATGGCCGCATTGGTATTAGAACAATAGCAAGAAAAACAGAAAAAAGATGATACACTCAATTGGTGTATTATTCTTTATTTATTTATCTATCAATTGTAGCATCAGAGAACTAAGGAAGAATAAAAAACTGAAATTTCCTACTGGAATAAAATGGTATGCTGTATAGGTTTACTTGAAAACCCGGAAATAAGGAACTATTTCAACAAAGCAGTATAAGCATTACTTATTATTTTCCTGTAACGTTTACAAAATTTCTTCATTACCATTAAATAAAGAGCCAAATATCTCTGTTTATCTTATTTTAATCTAAACTAGTTGTATTCATAATCATGATTATCGCAAAGAAATGAATGCAAAAAAAAAAAAAAAAAAAAAAAAAACTTGATATCAACACTATGGAGACTATCCGTCAGCCTTTTCCCCTCCATATTATCCACTTTTAAACAAGTACAGCGTCATAAGCTTACTTCGAAATGATCTAGCATCTAAAACCGTTGAATTCTGCATTGATTGGATTGATTGAATAAGAGGGAAAAAAATTTACCGGCCAATTCTGAATTGACAATTAAACATTGTACAGGATCGATAAAAAAACTGAATGGAAACTTGGAGTATAAAACATTCAATTGCTTTTTAATTCAGTATTATAATTTATTTATTTATTTCACTAAAATCATGAAATGATTTTTTTTTTTTCGATCTTTTTACTTTCGAGAAGCTAAATATTTCTGGTACGCTTAATTCAAAGTCATCTCTCCATTCAATGCAAGTTTAACCATGACTACGTCATTTAAAATAAAAAAAAATTACAATCAATCATATAATACACGGGGGTAGTCCAAAGGCAAGTCAAACCCGCGGGGCTTTTAAAGACCTCCGGATTCAGGTATATTTATTTTTATGTTCTGTTGCCCGAGCCGAGCAATAAATAATTACTTTAAATAACTTGTAAAGTATCAAGACTGCGCCACCACTTTTTTTTAAAAAAAAAAAAACTAATGAATTGATTTAAAAAAATAAAAAAAAAACATCGGTGATAAGAAAAAAAATTAAGATTTGATGTTTTATTTTTCTCGAGTATTCGATAATTAAAATATCGAGCATTTCATGTATGTACACCTTAAAAAAAAATTTAATGAAGTGAAAAGTGAGTGATTACATAATATATTACAACATATAATTGATACGTGTATTAACCCGTAAATTCTCTCATACAAGTGACACCGACTTTCTATGCCCACTGCCCTTTTCCATCATTAACTTGCCAATATACTCGAATTCACTAGAAAAAAAAAAAAATAAAACAAGAAAGAAAAATGTCCATCACAAGAGGTATGCATCTATTGAAACAATTTAAACGCCTTTAATACTAAAAATCTGTTTTAGATGCTATCTGGGCCCCTCTCCCTACCACTAGAAGAGGTCATTCTGTTCAGTTGTCTTATGACAAAAAATCGAACCGTATCGCATATGCCGCAAATAAGTCCATTCACGTTAGATCTGTCGAAAAGCCTGAAGAAAGCATTCAATACACTTCTCATACCACCACTACCACAGTGGCTAAATTTTCTCCTTCCGGATTTTACATTGCTTCAGGTGATTCCAATGGTGTTGTACGAGTTTGGGATTGTGTTGGGGAGGATTTGATTACCAAGGGTGAATATCACGTCATCTCTGGCAGAATCAATGATATTGCTTGGGATGCTGATAGTCAGCGTATCATTGCTGTTGGTGATGGAAAGGAAAGATATGGTCACTGTTTCACTGCTGATTCTGGCAACTCTGTGGGTACAATTAGTGGTCACTCTAACATTGTCAATGCTGTTGATATTCGTCCTGTGCGTCCCTACAGAGCCGCTACAGTTTCTGATGATAGCTCTCTTGTTTTCCTTCATGGTCCTCCCTTTAACTTCAATTCCTCTGTCAAGGGGAAGCACACCAGTTTTATTCATGACGTTAAGTTTTCACCCAATGGTGAGTACATTGTCACAGTTTCTGCGGACCACAAGGTTGCCCTTTATGATGGCAAGACTGGCGAGTTTAAAAGCTTTGTTGGCGAAGAAGAGGGCCACTCTGGTAGTGTGTTTGCAGCTTCTTGGTCTCCTGATTCTAAGACTTTTGCCACTGCTTCTGCTGATGCTACCATTCGTTTATGGGACGTGGAGACTGGCAAATCCACCAAGGTTTGGACTTTTGAAAAGTCAGTTCCCAACCAGCAGGTTGGTGTTGTTTTTGCTGGCGATTACATCATTTCTCTTTCTCTTTCAGGTGAGCTTAACTACCTCACATTGGACTCAGATACCCCTGTTAAGGTGATTAGTGGCCACCAAAAGAACATCACATCTCTTTCTGTTTTCCCTGATTCTCCCAAAGACCTTTACACAGGGTCTTTTGATGGTAAGGTTGTTCAATGGGAAATCAAGACTGGAAAATCTGCTACTGTCGAGGGAGATGGTCATGATACACTTGTGACTGCTCTCCTGCCATCTTCTGATGGAACTACTACCTGGTCTATTTCTTGGGATGATACCCTCAAGGCCTTATCAGGAACCAAGTTTAAGAGCAACATTGTGGCTTCTCTTGGTGCTCAGCCCGTGTCTGCTTCTAATGATGACGATATTTTGACCATTGTTACTGAAAATAGTCTTCAGGTTTACGATAACGCTACCGGCAAGCAGATTGCTACAAAGACTCTTCCATTTTCTGCCAGCTCTGTTGGCGTCAGTGTTGCTGCCGGCTTGATTTCTGTTGGTAGAGCCGGTGACTATGGCATTAGCTTATTTAACATTAAGGATCTTTCCGATGCAGATTCCTCTTCTACCAAGCTCCCCAATCTCCGATCAATTCCTAGTAACACTTCGTTTTCTCCTGATGGAAAATACCTTGCAGTTGGCACAAGCTCTGGTAAGATTACATTGTACAATGTCGCTGAACGAAGTCTTAAGACGGCCCGATGGGCTTCGCACTCGAGTCGTGTCACGAGTATTTCATGGCACCCGTCTGGGGAGTATGCCGCTACTGGTGCTTCTGATGCCGATGTTTACATTTTCTCTTTGAACACGCCTGGCAAGGTTATTAAGAACTTGAGAGCACATAAGGACGGAGTCAATGCAGTTGCCTGGACTAGTCCAGAAACTCTTGCTACTGTTGGCGCTGATGCCACGGTCAAGACTTGGACTGTTAAGTTTAATTAGATTCTATAGATGAATAAACAAACAGATAAACAAAATAAACAAACGTAATCGATATATATATATATATTTTTTTTATAAATATTCTTTTCAGCCGGTACCTGCGACTTTAAACCATTCTTGAATACAATTTTCAGTATCCAAGTCACTCCAAGGAGAGAATTTACCCGCAACACATCCCTTACATTTTTTAGATTTTGGGCAGTTTGAATATGGCAGATGGTTATAGCCGATATCTTTGAACCAATGGATTCGTGATTTATCAGTCATAAGACCCAATGCGATTGAATGAACTGGAGCATCACCCCATCGTTCGTAAAAGAATCCACCTTCAGAGTCCAGGTAGTTGAAATACTCTTGGTATTGTTTTGATCGGAAGAAATCCAAGCGGCCAATTTCGAAATTTGACCAAAAGTGGCATGTGGAGTAGCCACCTGTATAGTCATTGTGATCTTTGCGAGATTTTTGCAATAGCCATTGTCTTGAGCTGTTGGGGTGCATGTATTCTGGGTGTTGTTTAAAGAAGGAAACGGTTGTAGGCCACAGGCTTTTGATTGTGTGGGGGGAATCATAAACATTAACGGTGAACCCGTAGTCCTTGTTGTTATCTTGCATGTATGCAAAAACATCATAATCGATGGAGCAGTAGTAGTGAACATTTGGCTCGACACGCCAGTAGTAGTCATAATCTTTAAGGGCAGGGTTTGTGTAAAATGGGCCTGAGTTCCATCTGCACATGCGGTGGTACGACGCCATTGCGGCGTATTGGACGTGGTTTTTGGATGACATTTTGTTATTGAGTCTAAGAGCCTTTTCAGTATCGATCCAGTCTGGCTCCAGCCAATCTTTAGGGTCTAGGGTGACGTATTGGCACTTTGCTTTAGTGGCAGCTTGTGTCATTTCTTTAAAATCCTTGGTGAATTCTTTATCGTTAAAAAAGATCCAAGGGTAGTTAAATTTGGAGTTGAATTTTTCTTCAAGTTCTTTCATGGATTGGATAATGCCTTTTAGTTCCTCATTTCTAACAAGGGATATAAAAGCGGCACGGGCCTTTCTTGTTGGGGATTTCTTTGATGGTCGTACCAGAGGGACTATTGATTCTGGTTCGTTTGTATTTTCAGACCAAGGATTTTTAGAGGGACTAAGGTCAGATTTTTCCCAGGGGAGTTTTTTAGAATCATTAATTGAGTCGATTTGTTTTTTAGATAACGGTGATTGTAGTTGAAACGATCCATCTGGAAGTGAGACATTGAGGTGATAGTATTGGACCAAATCCAGTTTGGAGCCAGGTAGTAAGAATGAGGGATCTTGTGAGTCTCCATCTTGATTTAATGGCCAATGACCATTGGTTGATTCATAGAGCCAAGAGTTTAACGTGGACCCCATTGCAACACCATCTTGCCATTTCTCTTGAGTTATTGACTGGAAGTTTTCCCAAGTTTTTTGGAAATCGGGTGGGGTTAGCATGAGAGTGACGAAGACGCATAGTGAAACTATCCCAGTTATAGTAGTTAACAAGACTAGTAAGCGTTTTTTGAACTTCATGCTGGGAACCTTGTTATCTCTAAAAAAAATATTTTTATCTCAAATGTTCATGAAGAATATTAAGATGGCAAAAAAAAAAATAAAAAATAAAATAAATAAATAAATAAATAAATAAATAAATAAAGAAGAAGATGGGATAAAGAAAAGGGTTAAAAAGACAAAAGGGACAAAAGGGACAAATGAACTTTAATCTGCACGCTACGTCTCTTAGAAAGACTACGTGTATTTGCTAACGTAGGCCATGTGTGTCTTGTTATATAACCAACTTGAATTCAATTAGTATTAATAAAAAAATTTTAATTATTATTTTTTTTTCTTGTAAGCAAGAGAATTTTAGATAAATCCTTTGATATAAAAGAATTTTTTTTTTTTTGAATGATGATGATGATAATAATAATGCTGATACTGCGAAAAAGGTCAGTTACAAATTGATTTTTTTTTTTTTTTTGTCCTATCTGAAAATGTGGGCTTTTTTTTTTTTTTTTTTTTTTTTTTTCTTAGGAAGGCCTCTGGAGGGTCCTAAAAGTTGCCTCTTTTTTTATTTTTCTTTATTTTTTTTTAGTTAGTTAGTTAGTTAGTTATAACTAAGTTAGTTAGAGTGAGTGGGGGAAGGAGAAGGAGAAGCTTGTGAGTGTGTGGCACCCAATTTCCATTTTAAGAAATGGTTCGAACCATAAAAATTAAACCGAAGCAGCAACAATTACTGTTTTTAGTAAAAAAAAAAAAAAAATTTAAAAAAATATATTTGTTACACATTAAAAACTTGAAAAAAAAAAAAAAAAAAAAACAATTTGCGAACCACCAATCATAGAAATACTACCACCAGTGACAATTTTTTTTTTTTTTTTTTGGAGAGTTTTTTTTTTTTTTTTTTGCACCCACCACCACCACTCATAACTCCAAACCATTACAACAACAACAACAACAACAACAAAAATTCACATCTGCGCTTTCTTTATTGAAAAGATCAGATTCAGTTAGCTATCATATAACTAATAGAAAAAAAAAAGAACAAAAAAAAAGAAAAATGTTTGGTCGCATGTTTGGTCCCTTTCGCGCCACGATGCCTGCTTTGGGTGGTCTTCTTTGGTATGTTTATGATGAAATAAATCATTTTATTTCTCAAAAGAAAGAAATTCAAATGAAATATATATATATATATATATACTAACAACAGTTTATAGGAAGAACCCTCATACCATGTCGAAATTTCAAAAGTCCCGACACAGACTACGCATGAGAACAGTTGATGCAGTTCTTGAGAACCTACAAAAGGGTTTGGATGCTGTAAACCAACGCTGTTTGACACTCCAGAAAATGATTTCTAATACACCAAAGGAAAGCGACATGTTGCCAAGAGACAAGTACTGGATCTTTAACAAAAAGTCTAAGGGATACCGCAAGTCTGCGCACCGTCAAAGCAAGTGGACCAGAATAACAAACCGTGTCCCTCCAGAGCACTTTTAAAACAATCTCATTCTTTCCCCCCTCTCTATCCCCACCTGTCCTTCTTTCATTTTTTTTTTCCTTCTTTTGTTTTCTCTTGTTACTGATTTGGATTCCTAAGAATTGATACCCTCATTGTCAATAAAAAAAAAAAAAAGAATGAGAGAAACAAAATTCCTATTTCTGTATATATACTAGATCATTTTATCATTTCTTTTTTTTTTATTTTTTTTATTTTTGGCTTCTCATGAAATTTTTATATGCATATTTGTTTTGTAAATAATGTAAAAAAAAAAAACACCTTATATCTTATCTTTTTTTTCTTCTTCTTCTTTTATCGCTTGCGTTCGTTGGCCCAAACATATCTGGAATATCCATCTCTATCAGTCACTTTTCTGCGAGCACCCTTTTTCAAAAGTTCTCTTTGAAGATCCATGGTCTGTTTAACCTTGGTCAGATCTGACTCACGTTCCATTCTCTGCTCAAGTTCCTTATATTTTGCCAATCGCTGCTTGTTAAGTTCCTTTTGTCGTTTCTTATCCAAGGTGGTTGCTTCTGCTGTCGCAACAGCTAGCCCAGCCTCAGAATTTGTGCCCACTACAATTCCTCCCTCACGCTCCAGTTGCCGCCGTCGTAATCTATTTTCTCTGCGGTTTAATAGCGCCTTGTCTGTGTCGAAATACTTTGCTGCTGAAAACTTGTCAGCCTCTTCCACCGAGTCCACAAAAACAGTATGTTTGCCTGAACTTCGGAAAGTCAACTCCTTTTCAAGTCGCTCGATATTTTTCTTTTCCTTAGAAAGGTATGTTTGCACGTATGAGCTGTCTTGTGTTTTGAGCAGCTTGACAGCATCTGCAGTCAAAGCATCTGTTGATACTGCAGGTCCCTTTTTGCTATCGTAAACAACCACACCAGAACCATCTTCTTCACGACGGGCGTGTGACATTTCATGGTAGTACTCATCAGGGTTTCTTTCTTCAGCCTTTTTCCTCAGCAGTTGGAGCTGGGCTTGTTTTGCATGGTAATCTTGTGATCGCAGCTTGTAGTCTTTTTTCTTTTCAAGCATACCGAGCTTGCGACGCTCGAGAGGCTGCGAGCGCTCTCTATGCTGTTTCTTTTGAACGCTTAATGTTAATGATCCCATTGATGTGGTTTATTTATGATGATTTGGGGAGGGGCTTTTTTTTTTTTTTATTTATTGATTATGGGTAATGTGGATGTAGATGATTTAAAAAAAAAAAAATTATAAAATTTTTTTTTTCCTCTTTTTGGAAAAACCCTAACCTGGAACTTATCAATGAGCGCCGCACACATATATCCAACACCACCATAATTTCTCTTTTTCTAATCAAGATTTTTTTTTTTTTTTTTTGTATTTTATTTTATTATTTTATTTTATTTCTTTTAAAATCAAATATAAATGGTTCAAACTAAACTATTTTGGAATGAATGCCAGGGACTAAGAGAAAAGAGTGGGCTCTATGATCTAGACCAAGAATTATTAATTACGGTATTATCTTCTTTCATTACACGACAGAATATTGTTGTAACAGCTGACAATAGTGAAGCGTCGTCGTATGTGCAATGTTGGCTAGAGTTGATTGCATCCAACATTCTGGGGATTGAAGATGTTGCGACGATTCGGTTTAAGCCAACAACAGTGTGGGCAGATGTGGAAGATGCGTTATTATCTATGGGAGAATTACGGCGGATGAAGAATGAAATGCAACAGCATAGAGAGAATAGCAACACATTGACTACAACAACGACAACAACAACAACTAGTACACAAGATGTTGAGAGTGCATCACGCAAATCCAGTTCAATGATTTTGCCTGCACGAACTACATCTCATACTTCTCATAAGAAGCAGAGACAGGGATTACCGCGGTTTATTATTATGAAGGATCTTGATCGGGCGTCTCGAGAAATTCAGTCTCTTGTTGTACAAGGGCTTGTTACTAAGACTGTTTTTTGCAATGGGGTTGAGTATCCATTCCCTAATACCAATTCACTAGTAGTATCGTTGATCAACTTGAAGCGTGGACAAGGAGTTGAAGGGCTGATGCCACATTTGAAGGATTTATTTTTTTTCCGGCATCATGTGAGTTTAGAAGATTCTTCAGGGATTCCATTATCGAAGGAGGAAATTCGGGAACGAAGTCTTAGGTTACCCAATATTGCGCCGGCGCAACTTGTTTCCAAGGACATGATTGATGAGGCAGTGTCACAGATTGGGCGGATAGTGATTATACCTGAGATTAAGATTTACATGCAGGACATTGTTGTTTTTTTAAGAACTCACCGGTTAGTACAAGCAGGACGTGGGGTATCTCCTAAGGGTGTTAAGGATTTTGAAAAGTTATTAAGAATCATGTGTGTAGTACATGGGAATGAGTATGCGACGCCATCACTTGTGGCTTTAGCGGCTCGTAAGTTATTCCCATTAAAGGTTGATATGTGTCGGTTGCCAGAGTATGAGCCGACGTTGCATTATGGGAGTGATATTAAGCTTGTTACGCAATGGATGAAGAAGTGGGACGCTGAGTTGATTATAGATGATGTTTTGAACATTGTTCCAGCGCCTCTTTGAGATAATGGGTTTATTTTTATTTTTTTATTTTTTTATTTTTTTATTTTTTTATTTTTTTATTTTTTTATTTTTTTAATAATTTAAATAATTTTAATTTTAATAGTTTATATAACATACAAGTTATGGATGGATAAAAGTATAAGCATTTGTTAATTGCCAATTATTTTAGTTATTTTAATTATTTAATTATTTAACTGTTTTAATTATTTTAATTATTTTAAAAGTAAATTGGGAAGAAATCTATTTAGAGAGAAAGAGAGGGAGGGGGGGGGAGGAAGGCCAAGAGAGGGGGAAACCCCCCAAAAAAAAAAAAAAAAAAAAAAAATCATTTAATAAAAACGAAGAAAATCAATGACTAATTGATTACCATATATAAATTGAAAAAGGCTCATTGAATTCTCATTGAATTCAAGAGGGGAAGAGTTTATCATTAAATTAGGGGTGCAATCTCGGCAGTTGGAAATTATTGTAAAGAACCCTGATGAGCCATAAAAAAAAAAAGATGATGAAATTAGAGAAGGGACTTTTTTTTATTTTTTATTTTTTTAAAGACTTGAATAAATATTTTTGATTTATTTATTAATTTATTAATTTATATATAATAATAATAATAATAATAATAATAATAATAATAATAATAATAATAATAATAATAATAATAATAATAATAATAATAATAATAATAATAATAATAATAATAATAATAATAACGACTTGTTGATGATCAGTTAAAGTAACTGTTGTGGCACAGTCGGACCGTTGATTGAATGGTTGCGGTATATGAAAGGGTACATGTTTCCTTTATTTCTCATAACGTGGGGGTTGGTGGAGGGGGGGGGGGAAAAAAAAAAAAAGGGAAAGGGAAATTATAATTAGGAAGGAAAGAAAATTGATTAAATAATTAATTAAGTAATAATGAAATATAGTAGTGAAATAAAAACAGGAAACTAAGTGTGGCATTAAAATCCGGGGAAGATGTAATAACCAGTAAAGATGAAAAATGGGCAATTAAATGAATGAATGAAAAAAAAAAAAAATTATAAAAAAAAAAAAAATAATAATACACAAAATGCATAAAGATTGAAAGATTGATAAATGTTAAATCAGAATTTTAAAAAAAAATAAAATAAAGGACCGAGGATGGTTTATAGAGGGGAGTCATTTTGTGAGGGGTGGAAGAAAAAAAAAAAAACAAGATGATGAAGATGAAGAAAGAGAATAAGATAATTATGGTAATTATGATAATTATGATAATGAAGAAGATGGTGATGATGAAAAATAATAATAAAGAGGAGGTTAAATGATGACTGACCGACTATTTTATTTTTTTATTTTTTTTTTTTTTTTTTTGTACTAAACAACTTAGTAATTAATGAAGTAACAAAGCATTTCATTGATCATCAAAGCGGAGATTTTTTTTTTATTGTGATTTGGATGGAGGTTTTGTATTTTTATTTTTATTTGTTTTTAAAAAAAAAAAAAAAAAGCACCATTTAATACAACAACAACAACATCTAGATGTGTTTATTATTATTATTATTATTATTATTGATGATGATGATGATGATGAATATAGTAATTACCAATCAATTTATTTTAAACAATGTTGTAACAATTGAAAAAAAAAAAAAATTATTTTATATCCGTTATATCCATTGTATCCATTGTATATACTATATATATATATATATATATATATAGTGTTGATTCCCTCCCCGAGGCGGGGCTTAAAGGCGGGGTAGTCTTGTGTTGTTGTTGTTATTGTTGTTGTTGATATATATATATATATATATATTTTTTAAAAAAAAAAAGAATGTATGAAATGGGCCGGTTAAGAAGAAGAAACTTGCAGTCCGATATGACATCCGGAACTTTTTTTTTTTTTTTTTTGGAGGGGGAGGAGGAGGAGAAGAGAGGAACGTCACGCAGACAATTTATTTTTTTAATTTATTTTTTTTTTTTTAATTTTTAGTCATTTACTTTCTTTCTTATTCACTCACTCACTCACTTGCATGTATATACAAGTAAAGCAAGTAGAGGGGAAGAAGAGGGATCTAGGCGGGGTCGGGTGCACGGTACCGGATCCGGAGAGAAGGTTTATTTAGAAAAAAAAAAAATAGAGAGAGGGAGAGAGAGAGAGAGAGAGAGAGAGAGAGAGAGAGAGAGAGAAGGAAAGAAAGAAAGAAAGGAGTTATTACGGAGAGATATGTGATAATTTTAAAAGAGAGTTGCTACAACGGACAGACGGTGGACGGTGGACGGTGGACGATGGGAAGGCGGTGGTAAGGCGGTGGGAAGACGGTCAACAAGCGGAGCTTTAAGAAGACAAGACAAGAAAAATGACGAGAAAAACAAAAACAAAATAATTATTATTATAATAAATAATAAATGAAAAAAAAGAGAAAGTGGCAAATTATCCCAAATAGGAAATTTATTATAGTTGACAAACAACGACAAGCCAAGGAAAATATATAGTTTACAATTGTGGTAGCAAAAAAAAAAAAAAAAAAAAATTGTTGTTGTTGTTAAAAAAATTAAAATTAAAATAAAAAAAAGTTAAAAAGTTAAAAAGTTAAAAATTAGAGAGAAAGAAAAAAAAAAGTAGACATTTAATTTTCTTTTCTTTTTTTCTTTTTTTTTTTGGATTTATAATATTTGCCGAAAATATATATATATATATATAAAAAAAATTGATTTGTGCCGAAATGAACAACAACAAACAACGACAAACAACGACAATAATTTTTTTATTTTTATTTTTATTTTTCTTATTCTTCTTTTTGCTCGTAAAAAAAAAACCTAAGATTTATTATTATTATTATTATTATTATTATTATAGACTATCTAAGAACTATTATCAAAGTGAACAATTGTTTAACTGTTCAATTGTTTAATTGTTTAATTGTTTAATTGTTTAATTGTTTAATTGTTTAATTGTTTAATTGTTTAATTGTTCAATTGTTCAATTGATGATTCTCTTGATATATGGGTAATATATATATTAAAATAAGAATATTAATACTGATTGTCTTCTTATTTTTTTATTTTATTTTTTTTTTTTTTTCAAGTAATAAAAAAAGTGTGGAGAATAAACTGCCGTTATATCCGATTGTAGTTTTTTTTTTTATTTCAATCAATAAATCAATTAATAAATCAATTAATAAATCAATTAATAAATCAATTAATAAATTAATTAATAAATGAAAAGGTTTGCCTCCTTTCATCTTCTTCTTTTTCTTCTTCTTCTTCTTCATCTTTCCCTCCCTCCCCCCCACGAAAAAGCGGGGTAGTTAGTGCTTCAGCCTCACTTAGAGTTACCAAATTAGGAAAAGAAACTTATCGCCCAAGACTTTGATTGGAATTATTATTTATTATTATTATTTTATTTTTTCTACAACTTAGAGATTAAAAATTGTTTTATTACTTTATATTTAGAATAAAACAAATCTTTATGAAAAAAAAAATTGATTTGTTTTTTTTTTTTTTTTTCACATAGTAAGAATAAGATTAATTAATATAATAAAATAAAATAGATTAACTATATATATATATATATATATATATATATATATATTTTTAAAGACAAACAAAACCATCTTTTGCTAAAAAAAAAAAAAAAAGTGTAGAAATAATAATAAAATCCAATATATAAATAAAAAAAATAAATTAAAAAAAAAATGGACATTGCAGCATGGTGAGCGAGCTTACAATAAATAAAGACAGCCAAACTATTTATGAGAGAGAGAGAGTGGAGAACAAAAAGACAGTTTAATACCAAATATATCAAAAAAAAATAAAAATAAAAAGAAGAATTACTTTAACATTAATCAATCAAAAAAAAAATTCTTAATGAGATGATCTTCTTCTTCTTCTTCTTCTTCTTCTTCTTGTTGTTTTTCTATTATTTTATGAAAAAAATAAAATAAAAAATAAAAAAAAGAGAAGAGAAGAGGGGAATTACCAGTAATGCGTAACCATAAAAGAAAAAAAAAAAAAAAAAAAAAACGGTCCGTTTGTGTGTAGTGACGGCTGCTGCCCTTTTTTTTTTTTTTTTTCAACAGCCTTATAAGAAAAAAAAAAAAAAAAAGTCTATTGAGCTTTTTATTTAATTATTTAATTATTTAATTAATTATTTATATATATATTTTATATATTTTATATATTTTATATATATAAATGTAAATGTAAATGTAAAGGAGGGAAAAAAAAAAAAGAAAATCTACACTGCAAAGATCTTTTTATATTAAAAAAAAAAAAAAGTCTTTATATTTTTATTTTTATTTATTTATTTATATATATATAAACACTTTTCTTTAACTTTTTTTTATTTTTTATTTTTTATTTTTTATTTTTTATTTTTTATTTTTTATTTTGCTCTCCATTTATTAACTATCACCACTACCATCACCACCCTATTTTAATTTTTAAAAAAAAATTAAATTAAATTAAATTAAAATAAAATTTATAAATTTTAAAAATAAAAAAAACCTTGAATATATATATATATATATATATATATAATAATAACCCAACCAGCTGACAACAACAAACTTTTATCCCCTCCCCTTTTAAAAATAAATCATAAACTCTTTCTTTTTCTTCTTTTTTTTTTTCTTGCCATATATTTATTTATTTAATTGCATTATTACAAATAATAATAACTTTTCTTCTTATTCTTTCATCTTTTTCTTTTTCTTTTTCTTTTTTTTTTTTATATTACCCCAGATATATTCATTTAAAATTGCATTCAATCAAACTCATACAAAAAAGACACACTCTCTCCACCTTTTATTTCATGACTCCTAAATTATCAACATCATAATCATCATCACCTCCACACTCTTACAACTATTCAACCTTTAAAAATAAATCAATAATAATAAAATCAACAACAACAACAACAATGACTTCTTCAATCACCTCTTCAACTACTCCAATCAAACAAAAACAAACTCCTTTAAAAGTCCGCAAAAATGGCCTCCCATCCCAAGGACGTCGTGCAAATACAAAACCAAAACCAAGCTTTATTTGTTCAATCTGTAACGTCACATTCAAACGTTCAGAACATTTAGTTCGTCATAAAAGATCTCGTAAGTTTTTACAAAATAAAAAAAATAAAAATAAAAATAAAAATAAACCTCTTCTTCTTCTTCTTCTTCTTCTTCTAATATCTAACTTTATAGACACTCTTGAAAGACCCTTTGGATGCCCACAATGTGGCACCTGCTTTACTCGCAAGTATGTATCTACCATAATATCACACACATACCCCTCTACTCTCTACCAATACTAATCCAACCCACCCCACCATCTAGAGACCTTCTTGTACGCCACCAAAGAACATGTAAAGGTGTACCCTCCCGACGACGCAGAAAATCAGTAGTCCCAATCATCCACTCGGTAGAAACAACAAACGGCGTTTTACATCCTGCAACTACCCCAACAACTTTGGCTCTCCCAGAATCACCAGACTCCCAACGTAGCCGCCGTGACTCATCTGTATCTCTCCTATCACCATCTTTGCTCCCAAACTCTCCCATACAGCAACAACAACAACAGCAACAGCAACAGCAACAGCAACAGGAATCTCTTTCTTATAAGCCCTATAATAATCATCACCCCCTGTTAACCCCACCAACCCCACCACCAGCCTTGCTTACACAAGCTTCATTTTCTTCCATGACGGATAACGATGACAATACCGTAGACAATGATGATGACCTCTTAAATGCAGCCATTGATCCTTTTCTAGCTGGGTATTTTGATGACCCAACTGCTCTAGGGAATATGGACTTGACCTTGGACCTAAGTTCAACAAACCACTTTTTCGCTGATGACCCAAATACTACATCCAATATTGATAGTCAAATTGAGGGTATCTCAATGCAGTTAAACTCTCCTTCTCCATCTCTTTCTGCATGGTCAGGAGATGACGCTACTGCTGTTGTAGCTGCTACTGCTGCTGTCAGTAATTCTGATGTTCAAGAAACTGCAGATCATCTTAATAACTCTATTTATTCATTCTCTGATTTGTCACCACCACCTTCTTCTTCTTCTTCTTCTTCTTCTTCTTCTTCTTCTTCATCATCATCATCATCTTCTTCCTCTGCATATATGGATATCAATAACTCGGCAATTGATCCGGAATTGCCAATGCTTTCTCTTTTTTCTCAAAATAATTCTTCTGCGATACCCACACACTCTACCCAAAAGCACCAGAATCAAGATATACTATTCCCCCTTTCAAATCAATTAAAAACATTTCGAAAACGGGAAGACTTTGAGCGTAGCAAGACTTTTAAAACTATTAGCTCAAATGTCTCAATAACCGACTGTGCTATCATCAACAATAAGAAAAAGGCAAACTTGGTACCCAAGTCTGATGACTACCAAGTAAATGAGGAATTTAAAAATCAATCAAATTCTGGATCCTTAATACATGAAGTACTCTTTGGCCAAAGTTACTTTAACATGTACAATATCCCAGGCGCAGAAATCATTAACCGCTCAAATGCAGGACTTCAAAAAATGCGTCGCAGCAAGAGTAATAGTTCTGGATCAGCAATAATAAAACATCCACTCACTGATGGACCTGTGTATTCTATGCTCTCTTCATCCTCATCATCGCTGCTCTCACATAACCATGCCTTTATTAACAATATGAATATGATTCATAAGAAGGAATGCTTGGGAAACGATTTATAAAGAGAAGATGAAAAAAAAAATGAGTTTAATAGCATTTTTTATGGGAATTAACAAAATTTAAAAGAAAATATCCAAAAAAAAAAAAAAAAAAATCTGGCTGGGCCAGGTTTGTGTTTGCGTGTGTTTTTTTTTAAGACGAAATGAAACTAAAAAACAAAAAAAAACCCTCCTGTTTATGCCAATTGTTATATATATATATATATATGAAAATAATGAATTTAATGATTTTGAACCGTGATGGAAATTACCATACTTGGATATTTTTTTTGTATATCTTGATACTTTTTGCAAAAAAAAAAAAACTGCAAGTAAAAGAGTTTTTTTTTTTTTTCAAATAAATATACCCAGAGAAGTAATAATCTCACTGAGAAAAATAAAAGAAGAAGTTAAAAAAAAAGCAAATAAAACTGGGAAATTGTTTTTTTTTTAAAAAAATAATAATAATAATAATAAGAACAAGAAAAAAAAAAAAAAAACTAAAAGAGAACAAGATTTTGTGAATCTGACAAACTAAAGAATTTTCTTTTAAAAGGAATAAGAAAAAAACTTTAGAAAGTGGTTAAGGGTTTTTTTTATCTTTAAAAATAAAATAAAAAAAAATTTCAAAACACTTTCCCAAAAAAAAAAAAAAAAAAAAGTTTATAAAGAAGAAGAAGAAGAAGAAGAAGAAGAAGAAGACTTTTTTCACTAAAATCAGAGCTCAAAAGCATTTTAAATGTTACCATCACCACCACCACCACCACACTACTAAGCATTACCAAAATGGAGTGAGTTTTTAATTAAAAAAAAATTCTTTTTTTTTTTTTTTTTTTTTTTTTTTTTACAAGAATTAAAAATCTTAATTATATTTGGGAAAAACAAGTAGTTGGTGACTGATGAGTGAAAATGAGAGGGGGGAAAGAATATATAAAAATGAGAAATGATAAAAAAAAAAAAAAAAGAAAGGGGGTTTTAAAAAAAAAAAAAAAAAAAGAATCATTTATGCACTTTTAAAACTGTTTTTGGTTAAAATATGCGGGTTTTTTTTTCTCTTTCTCTCTCTTTCTCTCACTCGTTTACTTTAACATTCATCCATCTTATTAACCAATAATATTAGATTTAACATCATCTCCCCCTCCCTCTTTTTTTTTTTTGCCTTCATACTAAGCTTTTATAAAATAAATAAATATTAATCTTAATAGTTAGCTCCAGTATTCTCTTTCAAAAATCTTTAATTGATATTTAAACCCAGTTTTTCATATACTCAAGTCCAACTTTACTTATTTCACAGACTTCAGGATCTCCATTCTTTTTTACAAAACTCATATATAACTTTAAAAACCCTTACTATGTATAACTCATTCTTTACATCATCTCAAGTGTTCACTCAAATTCCTTTACTTCAAAACTGGATTTTAATCTCAAATTAATGGTTTTTTTTTTTATTTTATTTTTTTTCGAAAAACTTTCTTTACTGTTAATCATTGATCTTAAAAAATACTAATTTCCATCATCTGGCCTCACCTTAAATTGATTGAAAAATAATGAACCAAATTGATAACAATATTGTAAAATTCAACAAACTGTATTATACTTAAGTATATTACTTTTAATTCTCATAAGATTTATCAACTATATGGTTTTACATACTTGTTTAACCATTTCATATCTGCAATCATCCCCAAGCTTGTTGTTTTCTTTTTTTTTTTTTCAAACACTTTAATGGAAACACATAATGGGTTTTTTTTTTTTTTTTTTTTTTTTTTTTTTTTGACAATGACTTACATTCTGACACTTATGGGTAAATCTGATACCCAATTTTCCTCCAATAGCTTCACTCGAATATATAAAATCAAGGTACCATAATCAATCACCGGATCCCTTTTCTCTCTTTGGACTCTGTCGAAAAGACTATGGAATCCCTGAACACCTCTTACTCCCATAAAACATTTAATTCATGTACGGTATCCCCCCTCCCTCTTCTTCTTTTTTCTTTTTTCTTTTTTCTTTTTTCTTTTTTCTTTTTTCTTTTTTCTTTTTTCTTTTTTCTTTTTTCTTTTTTCTTTTTTCTTTTTTCTTTTTTGTCATTCACCGGTATTGCTTCAGGTTACTCTCACAAGTGATCCATATTCCAAGCTTGAGCCTATATAACTGTCTTTTTTTTTTTTTTTTTTTGAAATTACATAATCTATTTAATTTCTGCCTTATTTCTACTGTACTACAAAATATATTACAAAAAATTAAATATCTTTAATTTTCCCTAATTTATTATGCCAGCTGTGAAGGCGCGTGGTTGCTTGCGAGTGGTTTTGGAGTTGGTTTTTGGTCTGCCAGAACTTTGGCCAAAATAGAATTATTAAACGTGGAGGAACTATATAACTGTCCATTGATATCAATTTGCAAGCCTTATAAAAATGTTCACGTGACCTTACTTAAATGTATCCTCTTTTTTTTTTTTTTTTTAAAGAAAACTCCATAAATGGGTGACTTCTTTTTTTTTTTCATTTCTACAGTTGAATTGTAGTTTAACTTAAGCTTTACTAATATAATACTGCTAAGAATACCTTTTGATCAAGTATTATAATATATTCTAATATATTAGAAATTTTGATTTAAAGTCAAAGGATCAAAACAGATCTCTGTAAATTACAATTTAAAAGAATTAAATGAAATGTAACAAAGTTGTAATTCGCTAATGCAAGAGATTCATTTGTCTGATATAATTAAGTGGGGAAAAGAGAAAATAATTACTATTGACTCATTCGAGATTTGAAAAATAAATTTTCATAAATTTTTTTGGAAGATTTAATGAATCTTTTTTTTTTCATCTTTTATGAATATAATGAAGATTTTTTTTTTATTTCCGTTCCGATTTTAATATATGCTTAACTTTTCTTTTCTTTTCTTTTTTTTTTTCCCTGACTGTGTTTTTGAAGAGATTTACTTAAAATTTTTCAATACATTGACAAAACGGCATTTCTAATGAAACTATAGTTATTTTAAACCCATATAAACAAACAAATAAAGTGATTATAATTAAATGTACTTTGGGAAATATAAACGAACAAATAAAGTGATTATAATTAAATGTACTTTAGGAAATATAAAACTAATTAAAACCGTTTTTAAATAAATCATATAGTATATTTTAAGACTTTGTCTTGAAAAAAAAATTTTTCAAAGAAGATTTTAACAGAAAATCTATGATTATTAAATCCATCCATCATCTAAAATCAGAATTATCATACCACTTAATCACATATTAAAAAAAATAGTTAAAAATACTTGGTAAAGATTTTAAGTAAAGATTCTAAAAAAGAAAGAAAAAGTGGACGTAAATTTTCGTATTAAAAATGATAAAATGACAAATGCTTATTTAATTCAGATTACAACAAAAAAAAATTGATTCTGAAAGTATTTATGCGTAAGTCCCCTTTGTCATATTATTGAAAACTTGGCAAACAAAAACTCATTAATAATTCTTTTAATCATATTTTTAAACGTATGCCTACAATTTTTTTTTTCTTTCTTTAAAAAATACTATGAAATCTTTAAGCTTAAAAAGTAAATTTATCTACAACCTGTTTGGCTAATATTAGATTTGTTAATAAACCGTTATAATGGTTTAGTAAATGTAAAGTCTCTTCTGTAAATCTGCTACTAACATAAATCAAAAAAAAAAAAAAAAAAAAAGGTTTTTTAGCTATGAGTTTCTGTCAATCAACTGTGTTTGAACCAATAAATGCTCATTTTTTATAAACCATTTACATTATTCCGTTCATAAAAAGATTTCAGTATTGAATTATATAACCTCTAAAGTTTTTTTTTAATTTTTTCTCTAGTTTTTTTAACTGATTTTAAAATGCGACTTTTATTATACCCATCTCATCTTGGTAATGAAATTCCATTAATGGAATTTTAAATATTTGAAATAAATAAAAAAAAAAGTCATTCAAAATAAACTAGATTTTTTAATAAACACCTTTATACCAGTGAAAAAAAAATTATTTATATGTAATTATACAAACTCATTAATTTCTAGATATAATTCCATTTTTCCAATCTTTTCAAAAATATATGATATTAAGTTAGTTGAAGATTAACAATAGAAATTTTTTAGCCTAAAATCTCTGTTTGTTGTTCTTTATTTTTAGATTAGATTTTTAAACTTCAAATGATTTAAAAATTATTAAGACTGTGTTCACTGATTCCAGTAAAACTTTTTTACTACTATTTTTATTGGATAATGAATGACTCTATTAGCTAAGAAATGAGAAACCATCTTGACGGTGACCTATATAGGTATTTTATTCACAATGTTTTTTCCGGAGCCAAGAGAAGCTAAGTTTATAAATTATTATTACTTTGAATATAAAAAAGCTAAATAGACACCATTAATTTAAAATTTTCAAATTCAAATTTTGGTTCAATAGATTGAAAATATTTTTTTTTTTTTTGGTTTGACATAAAAAACTTTAAAAAATACAAGACAAATTCACAATAAGTATAAAACAAATATAAAAACAACAACAACAAAAGTTTACCAGGAAAAGGCTTCTTCGTAATAATCTACACGTCCTTTGCCAGAACCAAGATTATCAGTGACAACACGACGAGCAGTATCATTGAGAGTGGGTGGGCCACAAACCATAATAGCTGTAGTTCCAATGGATTGTTCAATATAAGTAGGAATCAAAGAAGCCACATCGGGACGATGTCCCGAAATAACACTGTATCTGCCACCAGAGCTATTACTTCCAGTATCACTAATCTTCTTTTCAGCATCACTGCTGCTTTCAAGATGAGAATCTGAATCAGGTGCGGTAAGATAGATTTCAACATCACACTTATCACTTTGTGACAAGAACTTTAGTTCATTTTCAAAGCAGTCCAAAGAGGATTGATGACGAGTCACCCAAAGAAAAATAAGGCGCTGGTCATGATATTTGTTTTTAATAATATCAATAGCATAACCAATACCACTGGTAATACCAATACCTCCACAAACAAAAACTACAGTGTCGTAACGTGCAACATCGTGACAAGCACCATATGGACCGTCGATCAAAACTTTCAAAGACTTGTTTCCATCAGCCTTAGATAAATCACTAGCAATTTTCTTTGTCATTCCTTTTTTGACAGTACCGCTAATCATGAGCTTGCCTTCATTCTCTGGAAGGGCAGACTGATAAACAGTAAAAGGATGAGATTCCCAGAAGCCCCAAGAACGCATGATATGAATATAAACATATGATCCAGGATAGGCCTTCCATCTTCTTGGGTAATCAATGGTCATATGGAAAAGATCATTAGGGTAAAGTTTAGTTTGAGTAGTACCGAGTCCCGACCACACAAGTCTACACAATCGGGCGGCTCTGTCAAAACCCCAAATAGCAATAGTAGCATACATCCAGTTCATCCAACCAAGAATGGTAAGATGGTACCACATACCAATGACAAAGAAAACAGCAAGAGCAATGTGAAATGCAAGGAAAAATTCGTAAATCTTAGATCGGAAAAAGTAGATACTTTGTCCCAACATGATACATGATGTCACAGTAGCAACAACACCCCATCTCCAGTAAGTTTCTGCAAACTCAGCAGCAATATAGCTTCGGACCAACCATGTATAAGTGACAGAGTGAATGAAGGCAAAGAACACCATAGCTCTGGCAACCCATCTGTGGTATATATTAAATGTATCAAAAGACCACCCAGTAAGCCATTGAAGAAGATTATTTCGGCCCGCAAACAAAAAGATGGGTGGGATTTGGGTTAGGGAGATGAGACCAGTTCGATCCGCAATGTATCGGATAAGCTGTTCATGTTTGTCCGGGAACCACATATTGGGCTCAAAGGGATTGAACTTGATCATGCCAAGAATGATACACATGATTAAGTATCCAGAAACAACTATAGACTGAGCACGAGTGGGTGTGGCCATTGCAATAAAGTTGTGAAGGCAGCCAATCGGAATAGAATGTTTATAACCGAAAGTTGCCGGTGTCACAAAAGTGCGACGAAACTTAACAACAGCAGAACTGTTCATAGTGAGGAAAAATCTGGGTGCGGCTTTTGAAATCAGGTTAATGATGATGGCAATTACAAAAACTCCACACCAGTATGATAGAATAATGCCACTATATTTGAGTTTTAGTTTTCAAAAAAAAAAATTCCATGATAAGGCTAGTAAAAAAGTTAAATTATAAAACATACCCGTAATTTTCTCCAGTCGCCAATTGCCAATAAAAGGAATTTACACTGTCATAAGCTAAAGTTAGGTTTTCTTGAGAAAGAATAAGTGGAAAGGTTACATTTTTGGTGAGATCACTTCCGAAATCATCAATTGGAGTAAGTTCATCTTTATGTTCTTCATATGCGTCCAAAAAATCTTGCACTGTAACGTTTTGCATGCCGTATTCATTACAGTTAAAAGCCAGAGTTTCGGCTTCTGATTTAATAGAGTCTTCAGTAAGTCCATAGTCTAAAAGACACCGATAAAATGAAGTGATGAAATTAGGTTCGTTACAAAAACACCCATAAAAGTCGTCATTACACCCAAAGTTGTAGTTCTCAAGAAAGTCTTCACACATATAGACGTAATTTTTTTTGTATGCCTGAACTCCCATAAAAGAAAAGGATGCCATAAGTGCCAAGGCATTGTGGATGCTGGTCACCTTCATTGTGGTGTACTAGTGTATAATTTGTATGATAAAAAAGTTATTGATATTCTTGGCAATCCCTATTTTTTGATATTTCGGAGTTAGATGTAAAAAAAAAAAGAAATTGGTGCCAATTTTATCAAACCATTTAATCAATAGAGGACTCTCCACATATTTATACATAAGTTAAAACCAGAGAGTACTATGCCATTCAATTTATTGAATTGCTTATTTATTTAGATTCTAATTAGACTGTTTTAATTTTTTCATTACAAATCATTACAATATAATAATTGCTAAAGGACAGCCAGGTTTGGTTTGTAGATGCCGGCTTTTGAAAACTCGAACATATTTTTTTTCAGGTGTAATTTAAAAGTAAACGTCCCTGAAATACTCACGAAAGTAATTTAATATTTTAAAATGTTTTCATTATATGGTAGGAACTTCCGTTTTAGGACTTAACTGATTGATTTTTTTGTTGATGGTTTCTTGTGATTGGTTAGAGTGTAATGTTAATCACCGCGGGATTAGAAAAACTGACTTTTTAAAAATAAAATGCTTTGAGATTTTAAAAATGAAAAAAAAAGTTTTTTCATGAATGGTGACAAAAAAAATTATCAGATGTTCTTCAACAATTAACAACATACATATATATGCTTATTTTAAGGTGATATTTTAAAACATATTTAAAATAATAATGTTGATGTTCATTATGAAAGTTTTTTTTAATTTTAATTTTTTCAAATAAATTGGCATAAAATGCCAATTAGGAAATACGTAGTTATTTACAGATTTATATCTATGTAATTGTTAACTGTGATCACTGGTCATAATCACCAATTATAATTATTTCGTGAGAGAATTTTTTTTCATTGATAATTATCAATCATATCAGTATAAAAACCTATATTTTAGGTAAATTATGCAAAAGTTATAAGAATAATGTTAGGTGTAAATTTCTGAATAAAAAAATGAAACTTTTACAAATTCGATGGGTTACCAACTTAAAAAAAACTTTAACCCCAAAATTTTCATAAAACCCTAAATCATTTTTGTTAAAAAAGTTTTTACCATTTACCATTCGTTAAAAAACGAGAGAATAAATGTGACCGCCTCAACTTTAATATGAAGGCATTTTTACACTATTTATTTTAATAAATAATTATTATAATTTTTCTATTAATATTTACATAACCTTTGATGCCCATAGTAGTAAAGATACCGGGAATCAAGCTAATGTTATGCAAGTGTAGGCGGGTGCCTGCCAGTTTGGCGACAACGACCAAAAGGTCTCCTCAGAGGAACTGTAACTACCGACAGGATATTAAAGTAATACGTATACCGAACCTAATACACTTTTCTAGTGTTGAAAAGATTAAGCGAGCTAAAAATTGATGTGCATATAAGCAGCGTGGAGCAAATTAATTTCACCATAACTTAAATCGTTTTTAAATAAGCTGGCCAGCTAATCAATATCAACATATTAATATTGAGAAGGGTCTTTGGTTCAAGTCATATTTTAAAAATAAATAAATAAAAATATTTATTTAATTAGAGAGGTTAATAAATTACTTTAAAATTACGGTTCAACCCAAAGTTTACCATGAAAATGCTTCTTCGTAATAGTCAACACGACCATTACCAGCGCCGAGATTATCCGTAACCGTGCGGCGAGCCAAGTCATTCAAAGTGGGGGGTCCACAAACCATCACGGCTGTAGTACCCTTAGACTGGCTAATGTAAGTGGGTAAAAGTGTTGCAACATCTGGTCTTTGACCTTTAATCACAGAATATCTACTGTTGGAGTTGTCACTACCTGTATCACTCAACTTCTTTTCATTGTCGCTGCAGCTATCATCACTGCTATTAGCGTCAGGGCTTGTAAGGTAAATTTCAACATCGCATTTGTCACTGTCATTCAAAAACTTGAGTTCATTTTCGAAACAGTCTAAAGACGATTGGTGACGTGTAACCCAAATGAAAATCAAGTGTTGATCATGATATTTGTTTTTGATAATGTCCAAAAGATAAGAAAAGGCAGCAGTAACACCAATACCACCACATAAACAGATGACTGTATCATAGCGGGCAATATTATGGCAGGTTCCATAAGGACCATCAATCAAAACCTTAATAGCCTTATCACCACCAGCTTTTGTCAAGTCATTAGCAATCATCTTGGTCATTCCTTCTTTGACAGTAGCACCAATCATAAGCTTACCTTCATGTTCTGGAAGAGCAGATTGATAAACTGTGAAAGGATGAGATTCCCAAAAGCCCCAAGGACGCATGATGTGGACATAAACGTAACAGCCAGGATAGGCCTTCCATCTTTTAGGATAATCGATAGTCATTCGAAAGAGATCATTAGGATAAAGCTTTGTTTGTGAAGTACCAAGACCCGACCAAGCTAATCTACCAAGCCGTACGGCTCTATCAAAACCCCATAAAGCAATTAGAGGATAAACCCAGTTAAGCCAGCCCACCCATTCTAAATGGTACCAACATCCAATGACAAAAAACACAGCTAAAGCAATATGGAAAGCTAGGAAAAATTCATATGTTTTGGCACGAAAGAAAATAATACTTTGTCCCAACATGATACATCCACACACTGTGGCAACAACTCCCCATCGCCAGTATCTATATTTAAATATCACAGAAAGATAATCACGTTCAAGCCATGTCCAAGTCACAGAGTGCATAAAAATATGAAACATCATGACTCTGGCAACCCATCGATGGTAAACATTAAATGTGTCAAAAGACCATCCTGTCAACAATTGAAGGAGATTGTTGCGGGCCGCAAAAATAAAAACAGGAATTATTTGAATAGTTCCCATCATTCCTGTACGATCAGTAATGTATCGGATTAATTGCTCATGAACGGTGTCATACCACATGTTGGGAACAAAAGGCTCATATTTAATCATTCCAAGTATTATATTCATAACAACATATCCAGCAACGACCAACGATTGTGCACGAGTAGGTGTGGCCATGGCAATTATATTCTTACAGCATCCAATAGGAATAGAATGCTTAAACCCAAAGGTAGCGGGTGTACTGAAAAGTTGACGAAACTTAACGACCATCGGATTATTCATTTTAAGTAAAACCTTGGGAGTAACAATTGTTAAGAAATTAATAACAGTTCCAATAACAATAACACCACACCAGTAACCAAGCAAAATTTCACTAAAAATTAAATATATGGTTAAACTAAAACTAATAATAAAATTTTTTTATTATAACATACCCATATTCTTCGCCCAAGTAGTACTCAAAATAAAAAACAGTAATTGTTTTATATGCAAGTGTCAAATTCTTTGCATCAAAAATAATTGGAGACGTAAGTGGCTTTGTGAGATTTGTTCCAAATTCATCCATTGTAATCAAACTGTCTTTATTTTTGTTGTAAATTTCTTTCCATTCGTCTAATGAAGTTGTGACATTTCCATATTTGTCACACCATCGAAAAAATGATTTTGATTCAACTTTCAAAGCTTTCTCGGTAAGATTATAATCGCTATAACAATTCATCATACTTGTAACATATACTGGATTTTTGCACCTGCATTGATAGTAACTCTTTTTTCCGCAATTGAGATTATAATCCCCAAGTATTCCAGCACACATAGAGTAATAGTTTTTACTGCGAGCCTCTACCGTAACCGAAAAACACAATAGGCATAATAGAACCCCAAAGATTCCACTAAAGATTTGAATTTTCATTTTGTTGAATAAACACTTATTTTTCCAGATGATTTACAAATTATTGTATATATGGAAGATAAAGAAAAAGTACTTATTTATATAAATTTGTTTTAAAGATAAAAATAGATTAATTAAATTTAAAAACCCCATATTTAAACTCGAATGAATGTTACTCCATATTTTTAATTCAGTTTTGATTCAAATATTGAAACCCATTTTAATTGAAATATTTCAATTTATTTGGAAATTGATAATTATTAATTATTAAAATAATTAAAATTTTAGGCTTCTCGCTTGGATCGTAGTTTAGTTTAGTTTAATATATTCCATCATTTTTAAAAACATGGACCCATGTTGAAAATTAATTTAGGAACAAAATCATGATTTCATGTATTTGAAAACATGGAAAATATACGGCAAATCAATTGATTTTTTTTCGTTAATTTGAAATTCCAGTCGAGTTAGGTCTGAATAAGTTAGTATGCAATCATCAATCAACCAGTCCTTTGGAAAATATTTAATTTTAATAAATATTTATTTTTTTGGTTTAAATGCTTGAAATCCAAAACTCGAAATTTTCATGAACAGATAACAAAAAACGCAATTATCAGACTATGATTATTTTGCAAAGTTTTAATTTTCCCATTAAAATGATCAGTTTTAAATTTTTGTCATAATTATGATAAAACCATTATAATGATTTTGTCCTCCTCTCGTATTTTATGTATTTATTTGTTTTCAGTTTAATATGGTGTGCATCTATATGATCCATTTATTAGTACTAGCCCTTGTACAGGAAATTTATTTTTCTAATAGACAATTTCTTTAAACCTAATTAGTTTGTACTTAGCCGATTATTAATTAATGAAGATTTGATCTTCAAATATCCTCATATTTTTAAATTATTAAAAATAAATATATTTTCCTGGGATTTTATTAAAAATACCTTTTTTGCAAATTTTCAAAGGCCGAATTGATCTGTTAAGTTTTAAAAATCATTCCCGAAATACTTATGCAGTTTAATTCCAATTTGATCTTTTCAATACATCTAAATTCCAAAATAATAAAAAGGGTTATAACCTTCTTTTTTAAGTGTTTCATTCAAAAAAAAAAAAAAAAAAAGCAGTTAAAAATATGTGAACTGCTAATTTTTGCTTCAAGAAAATTTCCAAAATTCCGATCACAATATATCACAAAAATAAAACAAACTGAGTTCAGGTTTTTTAATCTAAGAAAACGCTAATACTGCGTATGCATTTAATAATTTTAAATACTTCATATTAATGAAGTTAAAAGATACAAATATTAATTACTCAGTTAAACAATTATGGTTATAAATAAAATAGCAACCAGCTTTTATCAATTAAAATAATAAGTTTTCCTTGAATAAAAATTGAATCATTAACAAACGGAGTTAATTGTTTTTTATTTTTTATGGAGTTGAATTTTCTAAATCATTTATAAAGCAATTTACAAAAACACATTTTGGTGATAAAAAAAGTAATTATTCTATCAATTAACTTCAATTGGTTAAGGGCCAGTATTATTCAAAAATGGTTTCAATATAGTACATGTGATTATTATCTAATTACCAGGAAGTAATTCCGATCTTAGTAATTTCTTTATTTTTATTAAATTTTATCTATCTGACCTAATTAATTGATTCAAAAAAAACAAGTTGAACGAATTTATTTGTTTTCAATTAACCAATCTCAAATAATTATTTTTAAATTTAGAATTACTCTATTCATTAAAAATTTCGTGAGTATATGTTTTATTTTTCCATTTTCCATTTATAAAATTATCTCTAAACTTTAGAGAAGCAATTCATCTTAGGCTTTAAATTTTTAATTTTCTAAACATAAAAAACTTTAATGCAAACTATATATTTGATTTAAAAACAACCTACCAAGAAAAGGCTTCTTCAAAATAGTCAACACGACCATTTCCTGTGCCGAGATTATCCGTAACCGTGCGGCGAGCCAAGTCATTCAAAGTGGGGGGTCCACAAACCATCACGGCTGTAGTACCCTTAGACTGGCTAATGTAAGTGGGTAAAAGCGTTGCAACATCTGGTCTTTGGCCTTTAATCACAGAATATCTACTGTTGGAGTTGTCACTACCTGTATCACTCAACTTCTTTTCATTGTCGCTGCAGCTATCATCACTGCTATTAGCGTCAGGGCTAGTAAGATAAATTTCCACATCACATTTGTCGCTTTGTGCCAAAAACTTAAATTCATCTTCAAAACAGTCTAAAGAAGACTGGTGGCGAGTGACCCATAAGAAAATTAAATGTTGGTCGTGATACTTATTTTTGATGATATCCATTGTATAAGAAAGACCACTAGTTACACCAATACCACCGCACACAAAGATCACTGTGTCATAACGAGCAACATCGTGACAAGCACCATACGGACCATCGATAAGAACCTTAATTGTTTTTTCTCCACCAGCTTTTGTCAAATCCTTGGCAATCTTTTTAGTCATTCCTTCTTTCACAGTGCCACCGATCATAAGTTTGCCCTCGTTCTCTGGAAGAGCAGATTGGTAAACGGTGAATGGGTGTGATTCCCAGAAACCCCAAGGACGCAAAATATGAACATAAACATAAGATCCAGGATAGGCCTTCCATCTTTTAGAATAATCAATGGTCATTTTAAAAATATCATTTGGATAAATTTTGGTCTGAGATGTGCCAACTCCCGACCATATCAATCTTCCAAGACGAACAGCTCTGTCAAAACCCCAAATTGCAATGGTGGAATACATCCAGTTCATCCAGCCCATTTCTACAATGTGATACCACATTCCAATAACAAAAAACACCGCCAAAGCAATGTGAAAGAGAAGAAAGAATTCGTAGAATTTTGATCGAAGAATGAATATACTCTGTCCCAACATGATACAGCAAGTAATAGTGGCCACAACACCCCATCTCCAATATCTCCATTGAAACTCATAAGAAAGCCAGTCACGTTCGAGCCACGTATAGCAAACTGAGTGCATAAAAGCATAAAACACCATGACTCTGGCAACCCATCGATGATACACATTGAATGTATCAAACGACCATCCAGTCAGCCATTGAAGTAAATTGTTTCTGCCAGCAAAAAGAAAAATTGGGGGTATTTGAGTTGTAGACATAATACCAGTTCTATCAGCAATATAACGAATCAACTGTTCATGTTGGTCTGGAAACCAAATATTGGGCTCGAAGGGTTCATATTTAATCATTCCCAGAATAAGGCACATAGTGAGATACCCAAAAACAATCAATGATTGAGCACGAGTAGGAGTAGCCATTGCAATGATGTTTTTAAAGCATCCAATTGGGATCGAATGTTTAAACCCAAAGGTGGCCGGGGTAACAAACATTTGACGGAACTTTATAACAACTGGACTATTCATTTTCAAAAAAACATGAGGGGCTGCTTTTTTAATGAAATTGATAGCAATTGCAATCAAAAAGACACCACACCAATAAGAAAGAATGATACCGCTGATAATTGTTAATACATTTAATTTTAAATTTTAAATTTTATGATACTCACCCATAATTTTCACCTGTTGCAAGCTGCCAGTAAAACATGTTAATACTTTTGTAAGCCATAGTCATATTGTATTCGGGCATGATAATTGGCTTAGTGAGCGGTGCAGTCAAATTAGTTCCAAATTCTTCAACAGTAATGAATTGATCTTTGTTTTCTTCATATATCTCTTCAATTATTTCGGTAGTGACATTCATATATCCGTATTCATTGCAGTTGAAAATGATGGTATCTATTTCGCGTGATAATGCCTTTTCTGAAAGATTGTAATCTTCAAGACATCTTATAAGAGACGGCATAAAGACTGAACTCTTACATCTGCATTCGTAAAACGTTGAGTTTCCACAGTCAAGATTGAACTCATTAACTAGGGCTTGACACATATACACATAATACTTTTTGTAAGCCAGGACGCCCTTGGAAAAACAAGAAAAGTATAATATTAAAGCAACAATCGCATTTATTGTTTTCATTTTTCGGGAAATTTTGTTTAATGGGATACAAAAAAAATAAAATGAAATGAAATAAAATAAAATAAAATAAAATAAAATAAAAATTGAAGAATTTCTAATCTTTTTATATTCAACAGTCATATATCATTTTTTTACCTTTTTTTAATAGTTAATAATACAATTTTTTTAATTGTTAGATTTTTATATTTTAGAAATTTGCAATATTGGTTTTAAAAACCCACAAATCTGATAAAACAAACCACAAAAAAAGGGTTATAAGCTTGGCGAAATTTGCAAACATATGTTTCTTGAAATTTACTTCTTTTAGTTGTGTTAGATAATTGGGTTAAATTTAAGTTTTGAATCTTTTTTTACTAATGCCAAGATGATTTTTTGTAAATTGTGCGATATGGAAAAATTTGTTTCCCCACACTATTTGATTATTAATTAGTTAATCATTATTTACTTACATATAAGTAAATGCATTTGATTATAATTACTTCTACCCAAAAAAGTATATTTTTGAGGTTAAAATAATTTGAACCTCCAGAGGTTCTGTTAAAAAGAAATGGTAAATTAACATCGACAATGCACTATTCATTTTTAATTTTTTTTTCACAATATCTCAAATAACTTATAATAATTTGCAAAGTGCAAAAGTTTTTACTTTTTTAAAGATCCAGAATTTTTCAGTGCCAAGAAAAAAATTTACCATATAGTAAAAAATTACAATATATTGTAATTTTTTAGGTAGTAATGCAATAACCTCTAAGAGTATCTCCATAAAAACATTTTATTCTTCACTTCCCATAATTATAATAAAATGACAATATAATCAATTTATATATTTTTTAAAATAATCAATATTTCATAAAAATCTGAAATAAAAATAAGCATATATGTTTATATTGATACTCTTAAATTATTGCATATAGGCCAGTAATTATATGAATAATCATATATATATTGCATGTGCCGGTAATCTTTCTAGGATAATCAAAGAAGCTAGTGACAAATATATTCATTTATTCATTAATAATTAATAATTAATAATTAATTTTTCTCCATAAAAAAATTTTTTGTGAAAAGTTATTGGTCTATGAACTGTGTTTTATGCAGTTAGATAATGGGCCAACTAATTTTAATCAATTTTTTTTTTCTTTTCTTTCAAATCTAAATTAAAAAATCAACAAAAAATAATAACAAAAAATAATAACAAAAAATCAAATCTACCATGAAAAGGCTTCTTCAAAATAGTCAACACGACCATTACCAGCGCCGAGATTATCCGTAACCGTGCGGCGAGCCAAGTCATTCAAAGTGGGGGGTCCACAAACCATCACGGCTGTAGTACCCTTAGACTGGCTAATGTAAGTGGGTAAAAGCGTTGCAACATCTGGTCTTTGGCCTTTAATCACAGAATATCTACTGTCGGAGTTGTCACTACCTGTATCACTCAACTTCTTTTCATTGTCGCTGCAGCTATCATCACTGCTATTAGCGTCAGGGCTTGTAAGGTAAATTTCAACATCGCATTTGTCACTGTCATTCAAAAACTTGAGTTCATTTTCGAAACAGTCTAAAGACGATTGGTGACGTGTAACCCAAATGAAAATCAAGTGTTGATCATGATATTTGTTTTTGATAATGTCCAAAAGATAAGAAAAGGCAGCAGTAACACCAATACCACCACATAAACAGATGACTGTATCATAGCGGGCAATATTATGGCAGGTTCCATAAGGGCCATCAATCAAAACCTTAATAGCCTTATCACCACCAGCTTTTGTCAGGGCTTTGGCCATTCTTTTGGTCATACCTTTCTTGACAGTAGCACCAATCATAAGCTTACCTTCGTGCTCAGGGAGTGCAGACTGGTAAACTGTAAAAGGATGGGATTCCCAAAAGCCCCAAGGACTCAAAATATGAACATAAACGTAAGAACCAGGATATGCTTTCCATCTTTTGGGATAATCAATTGTCATTCTGAACAGATCGTTAGGATAAAGTTTGGTTTGGGAAGTACCAAGGCCAGACCAGACCAATCTTCCCAGGCGTGCAGCTCTATCAAAACCCCATAGAGCAATAGTGGCATATTCCCAATTCATCCATCCTAATTCAATAAGATGATACCACATACCAATTACAAAAAATACAGCAAGACCAATGTGAAACGCAAGGAAAAACTCATAAATCTTAGAACGGAAAATAAAAATACTTTGTCCAAGCATTATGCATCCGGTGACAGTGGCAACAACACCCCAACGCCAATACGTTTCTGCAAATTCTTCAGCAAGATACTTGCGTTCAAGCCATGTGTAAGCCACAGAATGAAGAAAAGCAAAAAGAATCATGACTCTAGCAATCCAGCGATGAAACACATTAAATGTGTCAAAGGAAAAACCAGTAAGGTATTGAAGCAAGTTATTTCGACCTCCAAATAAAAATAGCACTGGAATCTGAGTCAAAGATGTAATACCACATCTATCAGCAATATAACGTATTAATTGATTGTGCTGGTTAGGAAACCAAATATTTGGTTCAAATGGTTCAAATTTTATCATTCCAAGAATAAGAGCCATAATAAGATACCCCCCAATAATTATTGATTCCGCACGAGTTGGAGTAGCCATTGCAATGATATTTTTACAGCAACCAATTGGGATCGAATGTTTAAAACCAAAAGTTGCAGGTGTTACAAACATTTGACGAAACTTAATCACAGCAGGACTATTCATTTTTAAAAGAAAACTAGGAGCAGCTTTACCAATGAAATTGATAACTGTCGCAATCAAAAACACACCACACCAATAACCGAGCATGATTCCACTTTTTTTCATTAGTATTTTTGATAGATAATAAAAAAGAAAAGTTTCTTACCCATAGTTTTCACCTGTTGCAAGTTGCCAGTAAAACATTGTGATACTTTTTTTGGCCATTGTTAAATTATACTCAGGAAAGGAAATGGGTTCTGTGAGTGGTATTGAAAGATTTGTACCAAACTGTTCAATGGTGATAATATTGTCTTTGTTGTCTTCATATATTTCAAATACCATTTCGTTGGTAACATTCATACTTCCATATTCATTGCAATTATAAACTATTGTGTCAACTTCCTTGTTGATGGCCTTTTGGGAAAGATCATAATCATCGAGACAATTGATTAGAGAAGTCATAAAAACCGGACTAGTGCAACGACAAGCGTAGAAGGTTTTTTTTCCGCAATTTAAATTAAATTTACTGATGAGAGCTTGGCACATATACACATAGTGTTTCTGGTACCCCTCAACGGCGGAAGATAGAAGAAAGATTGAAAAAAAGATAGAAGAAAGATTTGTTAGTGAAATCTTCATTTTTTTCTTTTAAGAATCAGTAATGTGAATGAATGATTGATTGATTGATTGAATAATTAAACTAAAAAAGAAGGAAGAAGGTGCGAACATTAAGTTTTTATACCTTTTCAAAAAGTATTCCTTAATCGTATCAGGTCATTTTGACATTTAAATATATACCATTTATATCCAATATCATTATTTTTTCTAAATCTCAAGTGTTAATTTAAACTCTTAATTTTTTTTTTTTTTTTTTTTTTTTTTTTTGGTTTTATTATTTTTCAATTTATTTATATGGGAGTTTAGTGTTTGGATTTAAAAAATGAGTTTATTATGTTACCCAAAGTTCAAATGTAGTTGGCACAGTATTTTTTTCGGGTAAGTAAGTTTATTCCCAGAAGTTACAGCGTACAAATGATATGAAGCGGCCCTTTCCTAAAAGTGCCTCTTCGAGGGTTAAAAAGATGCCTTGGCATCTATGAAAAAACAAAGTATAATCGGTTACCAGTCTTAAGGTAGTTATGCTCGTTACAAAACTATTAATGAAACCCAAGTTGTTTATGTTGATGGACCTCCTTTGCTTTGCTTTAATTAATTAGTTATGACTAGTTGTGACTGTAATTATTCAAAACTGTGAAAACCAAAAAAAGACAAAAAATTATTGCCATCTTTCCATAGGCCCTAAGTTTTATTTCAAAAAACTCACATTCCTTTTATCAATTAACTTTTACTCTAATTTTTAAAAATAATAAATGATAGTTTAAACTCTCGGTAGTTTAGATGTTTATTTAAATTTTAAAATACGGACTATTGTTGTAGAAGTACTAAGTTTGGCGTACAACTTGAAATTTTTAAAACTCCTTTGCGGTAGATTATACCGAATATGGAAATTTCATGCAAAATAAATGCGTATGTACCCATTTCCTTTTTTTTATTCAAGGGATAAGTGAAAAATGGTCGGGTAAGTTTGGGATCGACAAACTGGTTAAGTTGGCATCAGGGCTCATCTTCCGGGCTTCCGAAGGCCCACAGATCAGACATACACGTACTGAAAAGATAAATAAAGAAGACGGAAAGTCAGCAATAAGAATACCGTTGATAGATAGACCTATCCCTTAAATAAAAGCAAACAAACAAGGTACTAGTACCTTATAAGGTTATTATCATTATAATAAAAATATGATCCAACAACAAAACTTTGTTTTCGGATATTGTGCTGCGCTGTAATCCTTATTCAATTATTCGTATATACATGATTATAATTATAATTATGTGGTTTAAAAAAATAAAAAAATAAAAAAATAAAAAAATAAAAAAATAAAAAAATAAAAAAATAAAAAAATAAAAAAATAAAAAAATAAAAAAATAAAAAAATAAAAAAATAAAAAAATAAAAAAATAAAAAAATAAACCAAAACTGAAACTGAAACTGAACGTGAAAGTGAAAGTGAACGTGTACTCATTCAAATTCAAATTTAATTTGTAAAACCCAGAAATATGGGTTTGATCAATTTACTTTAAAACTGATAATTATGTAATATAATTTACTTATTTGATCTTATCTAATCAATCAGACATATTTTACATCAATTTTTTACTTAGGCAATAGACTTTTACAATAAGTTGATTTTATGATCACTTTTTTTTTCCCAACTTATTATTTTTAATCTTATTTTTTGTTCTTATTTTTATTTTAAAAAAGTTTTTTTCTTCTTTTTTATTCTTTTTTAAAAGCTATATTTGTTAATATTTTTTTAATTGTAACTGATTTTGTTGTAGAAGTTTGTAAACCTATCCAGTTAATACTAATATTTATTAAAAAATAAAACTCATGCTTTAGAATTATTTTAGTGCAATGAAATCTCTTTGGTATTAATACTCATTGTCCATTTAAGGGCTCTTTTCAAAGATCATCTGATAAAAAGTTGATCATCTCATATTGTTACAAAAGTAGAAAGGCGTGTAAAAAGTTTTTAGCTCAAAAATTAGCTTTAAATCTATTTCACTGTCGACATAAATAGCTATTTATTTAGGCATGTCTAAATTTAATAAATTTAATAAATTTAACATATTATGTTCTTATTTATTGGTTTATATTTACGTCTAAATGTAATGCGATATGTCAAATTGTCTACGCCTATGGTTTCTTAATTTTTCTAAGAAAAGGTGACTTTCGTGAAATTCTTTCGATTTTTGGAGCCACAAGGTTGTTAAAAGTTTTACATAATAGTTGAAAAGTTTTACAAGGATGTTACCCATCCCCTAAAAAAAATAAATTTAGACGTTAATATTTGAGTAACGACTAATTATTAACTATTCTAACTAGCATGCTGTGAAGGTATGAGGAAGGATATCGGTCCGATCTATTTCTTAGAAACTGTACAGTAACTAAAATGAAATACAAAATGTTTGTTTGTTTGTTTGCCCATCTTTATTCAAGGATTATAGGTTATAATATCTACATCAACGATACTATTCGTTCATACTATAACTTCCCTTTTTCACGACAAACTTTTAATTTGGCTTCAACATTGCATCTCCAACAGGCCGAAAATAAATCCTGATGCAAATGAAATACAAAAATTAAATAAATACTATTTATTTTCCATATTTTATTATTCCAGCTGTGAAGGCGCTTGGTTGATGCAAAGACAAAGGACTAGTTGGTGTAAAGGGTAAACCATTCGTTTTACTACGAAAAATACTGAGTTCGATTTCCAGAATACTTTCCATTTCCTTCGAGAGTGTATGGAAGTACACACCTCAATTGAACCCCCAGGCTACCCTGGTTACAAGAAAGCCATCTCTTCCGCTCAGTCTAATTAATTAGACTAAAGGCGATTGTGGGCCTTATCTCTAACGGAAAGAATTAAGAAATACATGGACTTCCTTGAAAAACAGTGGAAATGGGTTGGGAATATTTGGGGCCGATAGACTATTTCTCCATGTTACTCGTGAACTGGCATCAGAGTCCATTTTCCGGGCTTCGGGAAATGCACAGAGATCGAAATCACTCGTACTAAAAAAGTACATGATAAGACGACAAGTCCCCAAAATTAGACAATATGAAGATAGTGTATTTACCGATGCTATATATTTCTATAACCCTTGAATGAAAAACAAAAAAAAAAAAACGCATAATTGATGGTGATGATCTTGGAGAGGATTCTTACACTGCCAAAACTTGGTCATTATAAAAATGTTAAACGTAGAGAAAATTCCCGTGGTAACTCAGCATCTAATAAAACTTACCCTGGTAATCAAGTCTTTGAGTCTGGATAATCGGTGTGGTCATGTCATGAGATTTGTTCGTAAAAAGGTGAGACTTGATTTCAGAGTTGAGTGCATCCCGTATGAAATCATAGCATAGACGAGCTGTGAAGATATGTTTAGGGGTTTCTGATTCAGCTCCACAAAGTGGGCATTTGTCTTTTTCTTTCTTGGTATGCTCAGAAATTTATTTGGCAAAACCACCATGTCCTATTTTCAGATGAATGGTACCAGACAGAATGTGTCTAGGGCCCTCAATGGCTTTTTGGAGCTGTAATTTGCCATTATTAGTTTCTACTGTTGTTTGGGTATGTACCAGGGTTGGTAGTTGGGATAGCATGGTCATCCTGCCATTGAGTAAGGACAGCTAAGATATAGAATAAGCAAAAGCTTTTGTAATAACTTCACGATATCATGGTATTGAGCATGGTATTAAATAAACAAATAAACAAATGTCGTGTTCTCAGGGTAAATTGGTTGTTATTGATTAATGGCACTAGTCTAGATAAATTATTAGTCCCAGGTTCCATCAGCTTAGTCCAATCTATCGTACCTTTGATCTTAAGATAGACTCAGTTCCCTCTTAAGTGATAACTTGTTCTGCTATGCTGATGGTGGTGATTGTGGTGGTGGTGATACCTCTTAATCTCTGGTTGTGTTGCTACTTGATCAACGCAACCTTAACCACTCAGGTCATGGGGCCCAGAAGCACCCTGTGACAATAAATAAATAAATAAATAAATAAATAAATAAATAAATAACCCACAAATCTTTAAGAATTTGTGAAAAGTGTAAAAATCCCAAATTTTTATATTTTATTACAATAATGTTACAAAAAGTTACGTAATGCTAAGGAAGACTATGCAAAGGTCTCGATAATCCTTTGATTTTGTGGATGAAGCCTCTGATATACCCCACAATTTTTTTGGATTTGTTATTTTTCACGGTAGACCGGGGGTTTTATGAAAGCTAAAAAGGAGTTATATGCTTTCAAAACAGTTTTCACTATTATTATTAAGAATACCCTATACCCTAAAAAAGTCAGAATGTAGATCTCTAAATAAGAGAAAAAAATAACCGGATTATGGGTAAGGGTATCATTACAAAAACTTAATGGGGCTACTACTTAGTAGCAGTAGAAAACAAAAAAAATATATTCAATAATGTAAAAGAAAAAAATCTTGGAATTAAACTATAAAGTATCATAATTATGATACTCATGACCATGATTGTTAAAATTTGTAGAGCAGAATAATTAAAGTTTATTAAAAAGGTAAAACAAATATGAAATATCATAAATTTAAAATATTATCGACATGAAAGATAATCCGCTGATAAAGAACTTTAACATTATTAAAATTCAAAAAGGACGTAGTGATCAAAATTTCAGAAAAAACAAATTCCATTAGTTACTAAAATCATTAAATAAAATTACAAATCATAAACAAGCAAAAACAAAAATAGGGATGAACCGTCACGCATGAAACCAATAAAATAGATGAACAAATGAGTTCACCAGAAATTTATAATTCCTGGCTGGCACCGGTCTTAGCTGCCTTAGCAGTTTTCTTAGGGCGTAAATTCTGGTGGATATTAGGCAAAACACCACCTTGTGCGATTGTAACGTGTCCAAGAAGCTTATTCAGCTCTTCGTCATTTCTAATGGCCAGTTGAAGATGACGGGGGATAATACGCGTCTTTCTGTTGTCACGGGCGGCATTACCAGCCAGTTCCAAAATTTCTGCAGCAAGGTATTCCAGAACAGAAGCGAGGTAAACAGGAGCGCCAGCACCAATGCGTTGAGCGTAGTTGCCTTTTCTAAGAATGCGATGAACACGGCCAACAGGGAATGTGAGACCTGCCTTAGAAGAACGAGATTGAGAAGACTTAGTAGAAGCGCTAGAAGCAGCCTTTCCGCCAGATTTGCCACCAGACATTTTGTGAGTTTTAGTTAAAAATAGTTATTAAGTGGGTAGTTGTGTTAAAGAGCTAAGTATGACTTAACAGTATATCAAAAAGAATTATAAATTATGTGAATGAAGATGAAAAACTGCAAAGAAGAGGGGGAAAGGTCAGGTATTTATAAAAAAAAAAAAAAAAAGTCTAGTGTGGGAAAGATAGTGGCGAGGGGAGTTAAGTCACGGTGACAGAACGGAAAAGAATAAATGACGCGCCGGGACGGGGCAGCGGGCGTGCTCGGTGACTGCAATCAAACATTAGAATTTTTTTTTCTTAGTGGAGACAAGGCGCTATGTAAACCGCGACATTGCGAGTTGCTGTATTATGGAAATTCGAAGATTGTTGAGCGTTCTGTTCAAAGTGGCCATTTTGATTTTCAATTTTGTTTCCAAGAAACAAATTTACAAACTCTGATTGGTCCATAAGTACCCAAAAACGCAATGCTACAATTTACACGTGTGTAGATCAGAGTCTGGGATGTGATCTACATGGTGTATATTTGAGAACACTAAATCCTCCACTCAGAAGACAAAAAAGCGCAAAACAGGGCTTTTCGTTAAGGAAGTGATGACCGCTTTTTTGTGTCGCCCAAATCACCGGATGCAAATAGTGGCGCCAGCGGTACCCGCCCAAAGATAGACTTTGCACATAAAAAAAATATCAATTTCGCAGACAACGCCAAAGCAAAAATTCTCCGAAAACTAGCACATTCCTTGCCACACAGCATTTTCTTCAATATATGCACTCAACGCTCAGCTTCCCCTCCACACCCGCGTCACACTTTTTTCTTAAAAAAATCTCCTTTTTTTCCTTACACACAGAAAATTATATAAACCCTCTCTTTTCCTCTCTACAACCCAGTTTTTTATTTTTTTAATAATTAATATTTTCCCCTTACAACACTCATTACTTCAAACAATTGATATTAATTATTAATATCTTATTACGAATTTAATTATATTATACTACATTTACACAATCAAAAATGGCTCCTCCTAAGACTGCTGGTAAGGCTCCCGCCTCCAAGGCTCCCGCTAAGGCTCCTGTTGAGAAGAAGGAAGCCGGAAAGAAGACTACTACCTCTGTTTCTGGTGAAAAGAAGAAGCGCACTAAGGCTCGCAAGCAAACTTACTCTTCTTATATTTACAAGGTTCTCAAGCAAACACATCCCGACACTGGTATTTCTACTCGCGCCATGTCTATTATGAACTCGTTTGTCAATGATATTTTTGAGCGAGTTGCCACCGAAGCTTCTAAGCTTGCTGCTTATAATAAGAGATCCACTATTTCTTCTAGAGAGATCCAAACAGCTGTCAGACTTATTCTTCCTGGTGAGCTGGCAAAGCACGCGATATCAGAAGGTACTCGTGCTGTCACCAAGTACACTTCTTCTTAATTGGCGTTTTTATTTTTTCTTTTGGTTTTTATATTTAATTTTTATTGTTATGTTATGTTTTTGTAATTTTAATGAACTTGATGTTTAGCTTTTTATGAAATTAATTTTCTTTGTATTCCTTTTTTAAATTGCGTTCAAGCTTAGCTTTAACTGAATTTACTTTATCTTCAGGAGTTTGGTGTTTATCAGTTCTAATGTTAAGTTAGCACTTGTAATTTTTTTGTTTATTTTAGACGCGTTTTCTAATTTTTCGCGTTTGTTTAGTTTTTTGCTTTTGGTCAAAAATTCGCCACGTGATAATATTATATATCACATGATAAGTTCTAAAAACAAGAAAAAAAGTTTTCTTTTTTATGTTCATTAAGCTTATCATAAAAAACAAGACAAAACTTACCGGGTACCAATTCTAATGTCACTTTGAATTCTAACGACTCCCATAGCATGAACCTCTTCATGAGCCTTACCGATTACAGCAGTAACTTCATCCCAGGGGCCTTCGATCGTAGTTCCAGCTGAATGTAGTGTGTACTTAAGACCGCTGTCGCGAAAAACCTCCACTACCTTGGTGACATATTCTGATACAGAAGAGGTAGGAGTGCCAATCTGCTTGAAAAACAATTTAAATTCAGTTATTTATTTTTTATTATTTATAATTGAGAATAAGAGACGGGATTCATCTATATCTTAAAAAAGTTCAAAAAGAAAAGTCTAAGATTACTCATGCTTACGGGAATAAGACAAATGTCTGCTAGACAGTGAAGTTTTGTCATTTTAATAAGTGTGTGGCGCATATGTTGAATTGATAATTATCCAGAGAGAAAAGTTTGAGAGGTCAAATTGTTAAGAACAAACCTATCATTTTTTTTTTAACCTTGGGCAGATACAGCATCTTAAATTAGGCTTAACATAAATAAACATAAAACTACTATTTAGCTCCCCTAATAAATATTATTGGTGATTTTTTAAACAACATTACACCATGTGATATTTACCCTAAACCTCACAATTAATTGAAAAAAAAAAAATTAGAGGCATTCTGATGAGGATTTTACTATTAAATACTATGAACGACAGTGTTCGAACTCTGGTATTTTAAACCAAAAAGCATTATGTTATCTTAGAAGAAATTTAAAATATGATACTAGTCACAGTTATCACACTCATATGACAGACATTTTTTGACCAAGATTTCAGTAATTAATAGATCTTAATCAATATAGCTTAACTTCTCTATCTTCAATGGTTATATGTTGAAACAATACACTTATAGTTTATTATTTATGTTACTTATTATTATATTTTGATGATGATTATGATGATAATGATAAGTTAGTATATAATTTGTTTGTTTGAGAGCTTTTTTTTGGTCTTAAGTTATAAGACCAATACGATGCTATGCCTTTAACAAGTATTACAGGCTTAATACTAATATCGACATCATTTCCGGCCTTTTTTCTTCTGCTATTTTCTTGAACTCGAGTTTTTTTCCAGATTTGAATAAGTATAAGTATTTATATTGTTTTCAGACAGGTTCATTGGTTGTGCCTTTTCCATCTTTAGGCTTTCTAGATAATCTTTTGCGCATTCGTTTTGTATAGAATTTGATTGCTTGTTAACCATATCCATTATCAACAACAAGTCCTCTTTTTTATTTGATTTTAATGTATCTTCATTATACAACCTATCCAGGTGAAACTTAATAGTTTCTCTTAAATCTTCTGTTTTATAAGCTTCTTTTTTGATTAGAAAATGATCTTGTTGTGAAGATTCTTCTCCTTTACCCTCATTCATATTACCTTTAGCTTGATGCTGCTTCATAGGTTTGATTCAAGAAATTGCTTTATTATAAATATATTTTCAGAGAGATACCAGCTTATTTATTTCATTATTTTAAAATTGGTTTTTGTGCACAGGAAAAAAGTGAGAAATGGGGGGAAAATAATGATGATTGAGCAGAAAAAAAAACAGAAAAGTTTAAATATGATTTTTTTATTTATCCCGGAACTTTTTCGAAATTAATATTTCTGTTCATTAAATAAGTCTTTTTTCAAATAAACACTAATTAGTGTTTAGGGCTTATTAACATATATTAATCTAAATTCCTAACTAAAAAAAATACTGATTTCAGGACAAAAATTAGTTATCATAACTGTTTAATATAATATTCATAATATATAATCAAACAAAATTGAAAGAAAAATTAGAATAAATCTAGACAATAGAACGTTCAATTCAATTATCTTATAAATTTGTAATAATACATCTATGATTTAATTGCCAGTTTCTTAAACCAAACATCGTTCTTAGAATTTTTTTGAAAGGGAAATTAAAACAAATTACCAAACTAGGAATTTCAATTTCTAGTTTTAAATACCACCTTATTTTTTGAAATTATGGGTTTTTAACCTATGCAGGTAGGACAACTTCTTGAAATTTCATGTTTTAACGAGGATACATTTATACGGCTATGCGGTGACAAAAAAGTGATCTGTAATTACAAAATTTGTTACAAAAATATTACGTAATTTTATCTATCACTTCCTGAAAATTTTTTTTTTCTTCATAGTTTTCCATATCGTTGCAGATTTTTGGAATTTCAGTCAACTTTGATCCCAACAGCAATAGGCTTTAAATCTAGAAAATATCTTCAGACATTATATTTATAAAAGGGATAAAATAGATCACAGACTTTAGACAATGTCAGCACCATTAAGACGCTTGGAGCCAGCGAAAAATCCAGGTCTTCCTTCAAAAATTACGCCAGAACAAACGTACTGGCGTGGGTTTCGGGTAAGTCTCTACTTTTAATGATATAGACTAGTTAAAATGACTATTCAAGGAATAATTTATTAATTTTTTAATTAAGAGCCCTTTATTAGTCAAGGAAAATAATGCAGTAAACCACATCCATTTCAATCCTCAAAGTCCGCATGATTTCGCAGTCACAAGCAGCACAAGAGTTCAAATATTTTCAGCTAAAACGCGACAAGTAGTTCGAACTATTGCGCGGTTTAAAGACACTGTTTATAGCGGTGAATTTAGATCTGATGGCAAGCTACTTGTTGCAGGCGATGCTACAGGGTTAGTTCAGGTTTTTGATGCCAGTTCGCGCTCAATTCTTGTCACATTACAGCCTACTCTCCATCCTACTCATGTAACTAAATTTCATCCATCATCTCTTACAACTCTTCTTACCGCTTCTGACGACAAAGTGGCTCGATTATACGATATAACTGCTTCAAAACCAGTTGCCACATTTGATCAACACGGGGATTATATCCGAACTGCTTGTTTTGTCCCTGATTCTACATTGATAGCTACAGGCTGTTACGATGGCATTTTTCGCATTTTTGATTCTAGAGCTCCTGCAGAAGGCCCAGTTTTTCAATACAATCAAAATTCTCAAGTTGAAAGTGTATTGGCCTTAAATTCAACAACAGTTGTTTTGGCAGGAGGTCCCTTTGTTAAAGTTTGGGATATAACTGCTGGAAAAATGATTAAAAACTTTTCCAACTTCCAAAAAGCAGTCACTACATTATCAGACGCTGGGCCTGGAAAAGGATTAATTGCAGGATCTCTGGATGGCCATGTTAAGGTTTTTGACTATTCTACTCCTAACTGGGAAGTAACATTTGGTTGGAAATTTGGTGGACCTGTTTTAAGTAGCGCAGTGAGCCCAGACCATAAGCATTTTGTTACAGGTTTGGCTTCTGGCTTACTGTCTATTAGAACTCGTAAGACAGAAGGAAAAGAAATCAGGGGTCCTAAGGGTCCTAAAACTAGCAATATTAAAAGATTATTAAGGGGTTTAGAGTATCACGGCGAGCTGGAGCACCGCATTATTGATGATACTGTACCACATGATCATATATCGAGGAAAAAGACACCTTTGTGGGAGCGCCATTTACGAGCATTCAGATGGGCTGATTCATTAGACGCTGCTATAGAATCAAAAGCGCCTATTGAAGTTAAACTATTAGTTCTTGAAGAGCTAAGAAAACGTGGAAAAGTTCAAAGAAGTTTGGCAGGGCGAGACGAAGCATCATTGGAACCTCTATTAAGGTGGTCATTTAAAGCAATTAAGGATTTCCGTGCTTTACCAGTAGTTGCTGATTTCCTTTCTGTTATTTTGGACATGTATGGTCCACTAATCGAAATCTCTCCCCTTTTAGAACAACGAATTCTTGAACTGCGAAGTTTACTTATTTCAGAAGTCAATGTTGTCGAGGAAGCTCAAAAACTTCAAGGCATGATGGAACTGCTTATTGGCTAAAGATGTATGCTTTATTATATATATCCCATGGCATAAATAAATAAAAAATTTGCAATAAATTCTAGAGACAATAGATAAATTTGGAGTTATTTTTTTTTAAAAAACTGTGGACGACCTTTGAAACCTGAGTTGTGAAGTTTAAGTCGTTTATAGTTTTGAGGAATAGGCTGTTTAGAAACTTTTGTAGAATCGATATCAATAACTGGTTCATTTATAGACTCAAAGTCAGGCCTAAAAACGTGTCGTCTAGTGGTTCGCTTTTGACCCCTTTTTTTATAAATCGGGCGTGAAGAATTAGAAGTGTCAATCTCATTATCCTTTTCTTTTGTTTCGCCTAAGTGATCAAAATTTTCAATTTCATTTAAATCATTATTTTGGTTTTTCACATGCATTTCAAAATCTAACACTTGATTCTGAGTTTGGGTAACACTGTCTTTTCGCATTTCTGCGATAATATTTGAAAGTCCACGTCGAATCTTTCGTGGCCCTAATGGGGAAAGCCCTATGCAATCGTGCACAATTCCTTGGGTCTCTTGAAATGAAAGGTTTCTACCATTTTCAAGCTGACTAGGTGATTCAGTAGGTTTGACAACTGGTGTTTCCAAATGCTTAAAGCTTGTAAGTGATAAAGTAGAATTATGAATGTATTTTGGTGTCATCATCAAGCTGTTTGAGATGTCAACATTATCGAAGGACGACGAAGAAGGGGTGTTTGGTGAGTGTATTGAAAGCTTTTCCTTATTAGGGGTTTTAGGTGAATTAGGAATAACTGGACAATCATCATCATTTAAACTGCGTTTCGGATTATCCAATGAAGAGTTATCTTTATTTATTAACGTCGATTCTGGGGTTTGCCTTAAAGACGAGGAACATGGAGAATATGACTTTAAATCAAACAGGCCCAAAACCTGACCATGGACTTGAGGGGTAGGCCCAACCTCAGTAACACTTGCTAGAGCTGAAGATTTTGATATCGGGGTAATAAACTCTTCTGGTTTTTGCTTTCTATTAGGTGTCGATACTTCGCAAATAGACTGATTTTCATTTTTCTTTTCATAATCAAAAAGAGGTTGCCTTTTTTCGGGTTTCAGGGATTTTGCAGGTGGCCGTTTATACTCAGAAAGACTTTTGTCAGCCCTTTTATGTGAATTAACAGCTCTATTTACTGGATCAGACAGTGATTGCTTTGACTTTTGATAAATTTTGTATTTTTCAGCTAAAATTGCAGGTTATTAATACGAACGTCATATCAACAAGAACGCGTTATAAAAACGTACCAATTTCCGGAAATTTCTTGATATCCGATTTTCCAGGAGGCCTGTTATTATCTTTTTTGAATTCATATTCCCATTTTTTAAGTTCTAGTTTTAATTGCAAAACTTTCTCGGATTTAGTTCCCATCTTAATATTTAATATAAAGGTTGTTTGCTAAGGCAAGTTCTAGTTTGTCTAATAAATAAACACAAAAAAAAAAAAACAAATAATCGTTAGGTTTATACGCGTATTTTTGGCGATTTATTTTTTTTTGTTCCTATACATTCAGTTTACTGTAACTAAGCATAAACTTGTTTTTCAACAGTTACCCTACTTTTATGATAATCTCTGACAACTTGAAAAAAACTATGTCTCCACACTTCAAAAAATTTTTTTTGCTTGAAATCAGCCAACCAGAGGCTAAGGTCTTTTTTACCGTTTAATGACCTACAGTTTTACTCCATTGAAATACATCAGTTGCTACTAAATTCATTTTTTTACCATTCATCCACAAACATAGTGAAAATTTCTTAGCAAATACTACAGACGGTCGATGATGATTCGAAGTCTGCCTTCTCATGTGGCGAACTCATGCCACAGAATTTTTTTTACTCGTTCTCTGCTTTTAAGTGCACCAAAATTTATGCCTATAAGCCTAAATACCAACACTAGCAAATTTTCAACCACCGCAACCACTTCCACCTCTGAAACAGATACCGAAAAGCACTCGAGCTTTTCAAAAAATATTTCCACTGAACATGAATCTCAAATAGAAACATCAATAGATTCGTCTATTCCATGGTATATGCGCAACAACAATGAAGATCTTGATCAACTTAACTCAGCTTTGAAAGAACCTATTCCTGAGCTTCCTCATGAATCTCCAGAGTCACTTGGTTTACTAGTTGAATTTCTTGTACGAGATTTAGGCCTTACCGACATTAAGTTTATTGACTTAAGAGACCGTGATCCTGTTACTGTTTTTGGCCCGGATGCAATCATGATTCTTGCAACAGGAATGAATGATAGACATATAGGCAAGGCTACTCAAAGTCTTCTTACCTGGATTAAGCAAAATCATGGAATAGTTCCTCACAAGGAGGGGATATACACTGCCGGATACATTAAAGTTCAAAAGCGGCGTCAAAAGAAACGGTCAAAAAAGTTTGCTATGGCAGACGAGACATATGAAAATTTGAACAGCAGGCTTTCCACCAATTGGATGACAATGGATACCAAGGTTGACGATATTTTTATTCATGTTTTTACCGAAGATAAACGCAGGTCTGTTGATCTTGAATACGTTTGGGCGAAAAATAAAAAAGAACTTCGTGCTCAACGTGCATTGCTGAAGGAAGAACAAACTCGAAATACTCAAGATCATTATGAAAACTCATATGCTAACATTTCCGAACCTAATCAGACAGAAAATGAACCTTTGCAAAGAAAATCTTTTTCAAACGAATCGTCAATATCACCCTTTGGATCAAATAGTGGGTCTATTCGAAAATTTCACACATTCAGATCAGGAAATTTATTTGCTGCACCTCCGTCAAACCCGTCATCTACATCTCTTTCGGATTTATTTAAAAATATTGTTTCGCAATCAAATCACTCAAATGAATCAACTCAATCAAGCAACAGACCTCACCCAACTGATTATAAGGGATCAGAAGAGAATACCCCCATTCATCAACTGCAGCTTTATTCATTTTTAGGAAACTACAAAAAAGCCAATGAAATTTATCGCACTTCATTTTCACATAAAGACCTTTCTCAAGATTTTGATATTCTTCAAAATAGATTGAATGAATCATCAGAGCACAAAGTTCGACGACACAATAGTAATGAAGCTATTTTACTTTTGTTAAAATCGCATATCAATTTTCTCTCTAAGCTTAAACCATCATCTCCACACAAATCCTCGAACGATTCACAACATTTAGAAGAGATTTTGAATGGTATTGGAGGTAACATTGACCAAAACAAGATTCATTTCAATCATGGAAAAGTCACATTGACTAAGAACAGCGATGTTGTTAATTCGTTTATCAGCTGTTTCCCTTATTATACTACTAGAGACCATTGGAAGTTACGACTCATTTTTTTTCAACGTGCTCATATGATTAATCCAACAGAATTTCCTATTGATATGCTTGTTGACATTGCAATCTTACAACAAGCGTCGTGTGAACCAGTTGATAACTGGGATATTGAATTCATTATCAATTCTATTATTCATACTAAGCAATTTGATAAACTTCCTTTTATGAAATCTTCCCAAGAAAAGTCTAAAAGAGTTTTCTCACTTTTATGTGACACGGTTCGTCCTTTATTGCCCGGCAGCAGATCATCTTCTAATGTTCCTTCTGTTAACGATTCAATGATTATGCTACTTTATCGTCTATGGACTAACGATAAAAATAATGATAGAAAAATTACCATTACACCTTCTTCATCGCGTTTAGATCCATCACCATTTTTAGACAATGAAGGCGAAATAGTACCTATATCGGACCAGAAAAATGAGAACCCTCTTGCTCGAGTTACTACTCCAATATCTCTATCATTATATCGTTATTTAATGGGTGAAATTGATATCACCGATAATATCACCCTTGTGACCGCTGATCAAGCTTCGCGCATTAGATCATTTTTAATTTTATCACTTACAGCTTTTGCCAATGATGGATATTGGTCTCTTTACTGGTCTCTTTGTGCTAAAATATTCAAGTCATATTACATTGACCCAGAAATGCTTCATATAATATCAGCACTTGTTACTAAAAGCGGTGACCAAAAAGCTATGGATTTCCTTCTTTCTCGATATATCCCTAAACTTTTCATGCATAATTCCAGCTATATCACACCTGAAATAACAGAGATCATTAAAAGCGGTTTAACAGTTTTGGATCCTAATGGCCAGAAATACATCACACTTCGTAAATACATCACACCCCGCACCTAGTACTATATATTTGTTAAATAATTAAAAGAAATGATTTTATCATAAATGATTGCATAGATAACGCATATTAAAAATTTCAAATGCTGGAGTTCGAAAACATTATAAGAAGATTCACATATGTGAATTTTATAATTCATTATAAATTGTTCAAATGAACTTGATTAAACCGGTCACATTTTGGGACAATAGTTTTTAAATGCGGCTTAAATAATTCATTACTAGGGTCTGATTTTCCGGAGTCCATTTCGGAAGTCCGAATTTTGGTTTCAAGATCATCTAATTAACCTTATTTCACATCATTGATGGACGTAATTGTTAAGTAGATCATGCCAATGATTAGTTATTGTTCAGCTATTAAGAAAATAAAGATATTTCACAATAAATCAATATATTATAGTTTTCTATGAATAATTACGTCATAATTATATATTATTTTTAAGGTCAATGATAATTATTTCCGTCATTATCAATTACACAATTTTTTATTCTAATTATTGAATCATTTTGATCTTTTACGGAGTTTAGAAAATTGTTGATTTCCATTAACCTATGGATTATGTTGGCTTTGTAAGCCACGACCAGTGTAGTATCCGATAAACTATATAAGAATAAGGAAATCAGCTCATCTAAATGATTTTTTTCTATTTAAAATTGAAATTATCAAATATATATCTAGTTACTCAATTCGGAAAACAATTTCTTATTTTCTTTAAATATTTTAAGCAATATTCATTCACTATTAATATTATAAATCACTAAAAAAAATTAACTAAATCCAAAATGTCTTCTATTACTGATCTTGAATTTACTGTTAGTGACCAAACCAAATTTCCTTCTCGAAAGAACATTGAAGGCCCTTCTCCTTTTTGGGACAAGTATACTGAAGGCCCTTCTTATATTAAGCCTGAGGATCGCCAGAAACCTCTGGTTCCTTCTGGAAAACTGGATCAAAAATATTCGGCTTTTGCAACGGATCTTTCGCCTCTTCTTGGAACAACCTATGATGACAATGTTAAACTCACCGACATTCTCGATAACGACGAATTGCTTAAGGATCTTGCCATTAAAATTTCTCAACGTGGCGTTGTTGTATTTAAGCACCAAAAAGATCTCACTATTCCCCAACAAAAGGAATTGATTCAAAAGCTTGGTATTCTTTCAGGAAAACCTAAAGGTAACGGCCTCCATATTCATCCTTCTGCTCCTGGTGCTGGAATTATTGGAGAAAATGGGTTGGTTGATCCCGAACTTTCTTTCATAACAAACAGAAAGAAGTCTAAGGTATTTGCTCAGAAGTATGAAGAAAAAACAGCCGCTTGGGGATGGCACTCTGACATTACTTTTGAACCGGTCCCTGCTGATTATTCTTCGCTTCGTATTTTTGAACTCCCCCCCACTGGTGGTGATACTCTTTGGGCAAATGGATATGCTCTTTATGAGAAACTTTCTCCATCGTTGAGATCTTATTTTGATACATTGACCGGTACTTATTCTCAACCAATTTTCAAAGAAAATGCTAATGAAGAATATAACCTTTATTCGGAGGAACGTGGTGCACCTGAAAACATTGGTGATGATTTGAAAGCTATCCAGCCTATTGTCAGAACAAACCCTGTAACTGGGTGGAAAACTCTCTTTGCTGTTGGTCATCATTTCACTAAAATTAATGAGGTTAACCCACTCGAGTCCCAGGCGTTGAAAGAATTTGTTTGGAACATTTTGGTACAATCACATGATATTCAGGTTAGACATAAATGGGGAAAGTACGACATTGCCATTTGGGATAACAGATCTACTTATCATACTGCTAATCCTGACATTAAATTACTTGGAGATGTATATAGAAGTGGTGTTAGAACCGTTGGTATTGCTGAGCGTCCCTACTTGGATCCCAATAGTATCACACAAACCGAGGGCTTACAGAAGCTTTCCACTTCTGAGAACGAGTTGGCTGATTCTTTGAAAAAGGTGTCTATTTAAAGCTTGATTTCTTAGTTCCTATATAGTTTCTAGTTGAAGAATATGCTTATTTATTCTAGTGGGTTAATTCCATTATTAATGAAATATTTAAATATTAAATTAAAATTTCTTTCCATTTGCATGTTACATTACAAATCCAAAAACATCATCCATTATATAAATTGCTTAAAAAAATCGACTTATTTATACAACAGTCTCCATTTCAATATCATCTTCATCATCTTCATCGTAGTCTTCATCACCTTCGTTACCTTCATTAGAGGGATTTCCGCCAGCAGAACCGTCCTCTACTTGGGCTTCACCATTTGATTTGCTGCTTCCATCAGCAACACCGTTACCAACCATGCCATGTTTTTTATACTCAGGCTTTAAGGAGTATTTCATTGAATAGGGTCCCTTTTTTATTAAAATAGCAATCTCATCCAAAACTTCTTTAAGATAAACTTCAGGCTGTTTGGTGCGTTCTTTTAAACCCTTTAAACTCCAGTAATCATAACTTTCAAATAATTTGAACAGCAAATCCAAAAGCTCGTTGCGCGGAATACGTGTTGCTTTTCCTTCTGATGATGCTTTGGAGTCCTTTTTTTGGGCCCTCATGAACTGGCTGGCTTGACCACGAAGAGTCTGTGAAAATGCGCCTGAAGAGACCTCTAGTGAGTCAGACAAAAGAGTTACCTTAGGTCTAGGCTCCTCTTCTTGTAGACGTCTTCTTGAACTGATCACTTTGTTGTAATTAGGATCATTAAGAGAAGGAATCACATTGCATTCATGACAGACTTTTCCCACCAAAGAAGTTCTCTCTAAAGCAAAATGGTTAGCATTTTCTACTAAAGAGAAAATAAAAAACTTACTTGGAATAGTTTTCACATAAGGGACAAACCTATCCTTATTAAATTGAAATCTTCCTCCTCTTCTCGAATGTTGTTGCTGTTGCTGCTTTGCAGCAAGCGATGTTGCATCTTGAGACTTCTTTTTATCATACTTAGGAAGATCTTTTTCTGTAAAAACAAATGTATTATTGTTATCACGTTGTTCCGCCAACATAATATCATACTCTCTAGGAATATCTTGAGTTTCAGGAGTATCATTAAGTAATAGTTTTACGTCCCACTGTTAAAAAAAGTTAGCAACCTAAATAAACAATATCAAAAATATTCAAAATAGATATTAACCTTTTGTTCACTTGGATTAGATGTATTGTTATGAATCATAACTTTTCCTAGATTTTGTCCTTGAAGCTTATCATGATCTCTCCATTTTTCCATCAAAAATTTGGGAAGTCTTACTAGCCAAACCTTGGTATCCGCCTTCGAAGTATCTAAGTCTAAGGAATCTTCGTCATCTTCCAAATCATCTTCGTCGATGTCTTCCAAATTTTCAGAGCTGTTGTTACCTGAAACTCTGTTGCCGTTAACAATTTTGGATTCAGAGGTATCATTACGCCCAAGAGATTCGTCTTTTGGTTCTTGTTTGATTGCAACATTTGGTGCCATACTGATAATTATGAAAGGTGCTTTTGAAAAAAATCCTTAAAAATTTAAATATAAATAGATTAAATCACTAACAATAAAATTGCAGATATTTAAGATTAACCAAAATCACCCTTTTCGCGGTGATCGTTGACAAAGTACAAATAATTAAGTTTGAGAACAAAAATTGATGGTGGTAATAAAATCTTTAATTCAGTTCTATAATATTTGCCATGACTTATTCTACACACCAACCGTTTTTCTACTAAATTCTATTAATGCTCATGGTAGCTTTCTATCTAAACCAACAACTTTACAATATTCTCTGCTCATAAATTTTTAAAAATGGATTTTTCTCAAATTTTAGCAAAAGAGATTGCTAAAAAAAAAGCTACTGTTCAAAATGCCCATGAGTTTAAAAATAATCTTGATGAAAGGGCCAGCATACCATGTTCAAATACGCAACCAAAACAAAAAGAATATATTCCTAAAGCTGATATGAATGATATGAAAAAAGCCAAAGAGGAACCCAGCAAAGCTAATGATAAAAGTGCAATACCCCCAAAGGAGAGTGACACAAATTTAAAAAGGCCAAGAAATAGAGATGATTTTGATGAACGTGAAAACCGTAAACGAAAGGTTCGAGAAGAATGGGTACAAAAAATGAAAGAAAAAGAGTTACAAAAGGAAGAAGAATTAAAACAGAAGGAAGAATTACAAAAATTTGAAGAAAATTTATTAAGTGATGAGCAGATTTTAATAGAGTTAAAAGCTAGGGGCTATTTGGAATCCGACTTACAGAACGAACCTAGGTCTTCTTTAGTAAAAAAGCTACACAAAATCAACGAAAGAGAAGAGAAACAAAGACGTATTCAAATGGAAAATAGCGTGAATATGGAAATTATTGAGAGTGAAATTTTGCATGATCGTGAAAAAGTACAGGCACAAATGGCAGCTACTATTCGCACTTTACTTTCTGAGTGGAAAAACGTATTAGAAAAAAATAATGACACACCTGACCAAGCCAAACAAGTATTACGAGAAACTGTTTCTTATTGCAAGCCACTTCTAACTCGACTAAGAAGTAAAGATAATCCATTTCCAGAGAAACTTTATAATAAATTAGCTCGATTGTTTATGCATATTCAAAAGCACCAATATCGGGAGGCGAACTCGATTTACATCAAAATGAGCATAGGTAATGCAGCTTGGCCAGTGGGTGTTACAGCTGTAGGCATACATGCAAGAAGTGCAAGGGAACGTATTACTGGTGAAAATAATGAGAGTTCAGGTGTTGATGTTGCACACATATTAAGTGATGAAGACACTCGCAAATGGATAATTGCCGTGAAAAGATTTATTACGTTTGCCGAAGCACATTTACAAGACAAAAGCTTTCAATCATAAATGACAGGGGCAGATTAATTTTAACTTAAATGATATATAAACTCATTTACCTAACAAAACCACATTCTTACTTATTAAGATTAGTTGAGTTCCAGTACTTGGCTTCCATTCCATCAGGAGGACTAGTTTCAATTTTCTTTTGAGATACTTCTTCCCAATTTGTAGAAAGAGCAGTTCCATTGCTTTCTGTATAACTTTTAAGCATTGCACGTTGAGTATCAGAATCAGCGTTTTGATATAAAATTCTAAAAAATGCATTAGGATCACCATCGGCTTCATTCTTCTCGATCTCCTTGATATCATCTTTAGCGATAGAATCCCAGTTTTTAGGACCAGACTTTGACGAACTTGGATATAAAAATGTATTTGAAGGTGGAATGCCTAGTCCTTTCTGTGCCTCTTCAGCAGAAACTTTAGTGGCTTCTCCTTCGGTGTTATCAGCACCTTCTCGTAACAAAGTTGCCCATTTTAAATCAGTTGACTTAACCAAGTTAAGCTCAATTTTAGTACCGAAAACTCGAAATGTGGATTCTTTAGTATTAATAGTTCCATAAAGTGGATCGAAGTCATAAACAAATTCAGACCCAGTAGGTAAAGGAAAAGAAACTGAAACTGATGACTCAGAAAAGTCTACATTGACTTTATCTTTTGGAGAATTTTTAATGAAAAGAGAAATATCAACATTTTTTCCGTTTTGATACCAGTCAAATCGAATGTTCTCAACATTGGGTTCAATGGAGACAGCGGGTTTCGGTGCAGAAGACTGCCCAGTTTTGTCTGAATTATCTGTTGAAGTACTTGAAGTAGAGGGTGCATCCGAAGGTGGCAAAGCCTTTTGCTCATTTTGAGAAGGAGAAGGAGCAGGTTTTGATTTAATAATAGGCTCAGGAATTTTTATACTTTGAGGAATAGCATCAATAGTAACAAGATCAGGATCATAAGTATCTTAAAGTAAAGTTAGTAAATCTTAAAAAACTCTGAATTTTTTTCTTACCTTTTCCCAAGTTAGCTCCAATCTTTGCTTTCCAGACGCCATGAGTGGCGCTTTCTTCAGGTGCGTATTCTATAGATTTTTCTAATGAAAACAAAGCATCGTCATAACGTTTGAGGTTGCATAAAGTAATTGCTCGCCGAAGCAAACCTTCACTGATTTTCTCTCGTTTACCAGAGTTGTAAGCTGCCACGATTGCCAGTTCCGAATCTTTATAAGCTTTTCCAAGTTGACCCAGGCGTTGGTAGGCTGTCGATCTATAACAAATATTATGAAAACAAATTGGTTAGTACATAACTTGATAAATTAAAAACAAAAGGGATTATAATACCTATTGATATAAAGAGTAGAAGAGGCTGGGTATTCTTCTAAGGCTTCAGTACATTTAGATACAACCGCATCATAATCTTTGGCTTCCATCAAACCTTTGGTATTATCAATTAAAGAAGTAAGCGATTCAACTACCATGTTTAAGAAGTTTAAATATTGACACTACTATTAAAAAGAAGAGAAGAAAAGTAATATTGATTGTTTGTTTTTATTCCAAGGGGAAAAATATGAACAAATTAATTGACCTTTAGGGTTTATTTATATAATATCAGTAAAACCAACTAGTGATATATCATATGAGAAATATGTGGATAAAAATAGAGTTTATTGCAAAAATTGCTGGTTAAATGTTTAACGATATAGGTTCACTTATGGAAGGGGGATCATGGAAAAAACTAGAAAAAACATACGCATATATTATGTTACCCACAAAATTTAATGACACAACGACATTAAGTTTTTTTTTTGTTTTTCGTTTTAATCATAAACATAAATGCTGAATATTCGAATATTCACTTAGTAGATCTTGAAGATCTATCAATGATTAATTGATCTAAAGCATTAGGTTTTATATAGTTGATTATTTTTCAAAATAGTAATACATTTACAAGAACAAAATGCGTTAGCATATCTTTTACAGAAAACAAAAATACCTAATGACAACTGTTACAAATATGAAAATATATCATAACTATGTACTAGATATATCCTAATATTTAAACTATGGTGAAACCCTCTATATAAGTTGAAGGGAATTAAGTTCTTTTAACTTAAAAGAACCTTTCTCTGATAGTTTTAGAAAAAATCTAGCTTTTTTTCTAAATATTTCAATCAAATAATATTCCAAAACGATTTCCGGGTTATATAAAAAAAATTTGTAGATACAAAACTGCTCCTATAAGAAGTTATTAAGAGTAGGACTGTAGCAAAAATACTGTAAAAAAAATTGTTGCATTGACCACCCAAATTTGAAGCTAAAATCAAATTAGAGATGAGCTAAATGCTATCAAATTTTACATTGGCCTCATTTATCAATAGGCATCAAAATTACATTTACATAAAAAAAATTAATGTCTGCAGCATGGGTTTACCCGAATAACAATCAGTCAATGACTTATCAAAGCGTTTAGGAATATGCTGCTGCGAAATACCAACGAACTACACATAAACCAGTTTCAATTTCCGAAAAAAAAGAAACCTTAAATTGTTTATGGAGCTCAAGAAGTTATGACGCATTATTATAGAATCAGCCAACGGGGTCGTCTCGTAAAAACTAAGTTTTCATTACTCAATCTAATGAGAAGGCAACACATGCATTTCTTAAAATTTCAATGATGCAAATTCCTATAATTCACAGAGACCTCACACCAAACAATACCAATATCATGAATATAAGAAACCCAAACTCTTGTAAATACAAGGGAGTCCCCATATATCCCAATGATGGTAAAGTCAGCGTTAATAGCGGCACCCTAAGAAAAGAAAAAGCACATCAAAAAATTAACAAATGACTGATAATATTGTCATTTCAAACGTCCACACTCAGCGTTGAAATGTGAAACTCCTCCTAGTAGAAACATTGAATATGTTTACTAGAAAAAACCTCACCCGATCCATGGTTGTTTAGAAAAAAAAAATAAAAGGAGAAAAAAACTGGCTATTTATACTTTTTCTAATTTTTTTTTTAAAAAATAGACCTGCAGGGTAACACTTAGGGTTGAAATTTTTTCAAAAAAGTACCCTAAACCTTAAAAAAAAATTTACTTGATGAACATAATGAAAGGAAACTTTTCCTTTGATCTAGTTATTACGTCCATTTGCATAGACAATCATCTTCAGAAGATATCTAAAAAAGAAAAAAAGGATTTTCTATTAAAAAATGGGGAAAAACCAGACTGCCTCTGTGGCTAAAAAAAACCTCAGCTTGCAGGCCAAAAAACGAAAGAAACCATCATCTGAGCCCAATATCAATCAAAAGAATTCTCCTTCATTAAAAGCACATCCAGCAAATGTACAGACACACCCTTTTGTCAAAAAACTTGCCGATAATGGTACGAAGTTCAAATATTATTAATTAAAACAGAGTTTAACACATATTTTAGAAAAAAGCGTACGCGATAATGCCCTTAAATCTCTTAATGTGTTCTTACAGACATCAAAAGAAATTCCGTCATTTGAACTTTTGAAACTTTGGAGAGCACTTTTTTATTCCGTGTGGCTTTGTGATAGACCCTTAACTCAGCAAGCATTGACAGATGATTTAGCAAATATTCTTATTAAAATTCATTCAATTAATTTTTCCACTTTCCTCGATGCCTTTTGGGTTATTATGGCACGTGAATGGGAAGGATTGGATAGATATCGATTAGACAAGTTTTATTTGCTAATAAGAAGGTATTTTGCAGCATCTCTGAGACGGCTTAAGAATCAAAACTGGGATGATGATTGGACAGACGATTTTTTAAAGCTGATGGAACATATCCCTTTGAACTTAGATAATATAAAGGTTCCTAATGGCATTCGTTTCCATATTTTTGATATCTTTCTTGATGAATTTGAAAGAGTAATGAAGGAAGACGATATATCTTTTACAAAGGGTATCAAGTCGAAAAGAACTAAGAAAGGTATAGATGAGGAAGACAGACTCGAAATCGACAATGTTCCAGAATACCACACTGTGAATAGTGATAATGAAGAAGAAAGTGATGATGAAAATAGTGATGACGAAGATAGTGAAAGCTCGGATTCTGAGGATGAAGGTTGGGTTGAGGAAACAGAGGAAGAAAAATCTCAAAAAGAGAAAAAGAAGATGGATGAACAACAAAGAGAGCAAATCGAACGTGAAAAAGAATGGGTGGTCATTGCGAAAAAAATAAAAGAAAACAATGTACCTTTAAAAAAGCTTCTTAAACCATTGGAATCTCTGGCCACTCAAAGTCAGTATAGATTGATTCGAAAGGCTGCCCAAGAAGTCTTAGATGACGAGAGACTGATAGTTTGGGGAGTTAATAAATCCTCTACATTAAAAGAAGCCGATAGTGAAGAAGAATTCACTGGTTGGAACTGATTTTTTTTTAATTGTATTCTCTTTTGTACATGAGTTTCTTCAAAAATGATTCATAGAATCTTTTAAATTAATCTTGATTTGTTTTTTATACTTTGGTTTAAAATTTTCCAGGACCAAAAAATTTATTTAAAGATACAATAAATTCCTATAAATTGTCAAATACACACAAATTTACTCGTGACGAGCACGTTTGTGGTTCCAATCGCCTCCTTCTTTGGAGTTTATGTTCCTATTATTACTACCCCCTTGTGAGTTGACTTGTCCTTGAAACGGAACAAAATTAAAACCTCCAGAAAAGTTAGGAAAATTAGTTTGTTGATTCGATCTTCCTTGTACCATCCCAAATTGAGACATATTAGTGAATCCACCCATAATGTTCATCTGATTTGTGTTATTTCCCCCATTGAAACCATTGTTACTCATGCCTCCACCGTTTCCTCCCACATTACCTATACGGGAATTATATCCATTTCTCCCTATTCTCCCATCATTATGCCCCCCAGTTCCTGTACCACGGTTGTTGTGATATTGCTGATTATGATGAAAGCCGTTATTACCAGAGTTCATATTGTTAGCATTACTGAACTTGCTTGTTTGAATTCTAAAAGGCGTAGAAGAGGGAGAACAATAGCTCACATTTATTGGAGTGCTGGATGAAAAAAAATCGGAATCTCTTTCTTTAGCAACCGTATTTTCAATATAGGTTTTGGTTTTTTCAGAAGAATCAAGAGTATTAAATTCGACATATACCACGCTAAATTAAATTTCAATTATTATATTACTATTATGATTATTGTAATTATTGTAATTATTGTAAAGTTTTACTTTTTTAAAAAACGTACCCTTTTGATTTACCATTTACCTTATGTTCATCAAAAATGATGACTTTTAGGTAGTTGTCTTGACCAGATTCTACTGCCCAATTTCTCACATCTTCTTCATTAGTCCACCAGTTCAAGTGCTCTATAAGGATAGATTGTGTAGCTGATATACTTTTATTTGCACTATATCCTGTCTGATTGTAAAAATTTCCAGTTGTGTTATTTTTATGAAAATTGGAATGATAGTTATTTCCTTGGTAGTTTTTATTTTGGTAATTGTTAAAATTCTGGTGACTTTTGTCAATATTTCCACTTTTGTTGTAATCAGTATTAGTATTATTCGTAGAGTTAATACCTTGTGTATGCTTATTCTCAGGTATCGAATTGGCAGGAGACCCTTTTTGTATATGATTCTTGGAATTATAAAACGAATTGGAATCTAAATCGTTACCTAGATCAATTTCAAAATTATATTCATCACTAGACATCGTAAAACAACCAATAAATATTATTCACCTTCAGAAATATTGTAAAATGTTAAATATTATTGATATATTGATCATTAAAAAAACTATAGTAGAACAGTAAGTTTTTGTTCTTGAAAAGTTAGAGATTTAAATATATTTTCAGTGTCTTTATAAATGTTACAATATCAACCATACGTATTTTTCTATTATTTTTATTTTTATTTTTATTTTTATTTTTATTTTTATTTTTATTTTTATTTTTATTTTTATTTTTATTACCTTTGAAACATGAAACCAGCTGACAGCGTAAAAAAATTATAATTTCAGTTCATACACTTACTTCACTAGATAATATTTGGGCAAAAATCACGATTGTAAAGACCAAACTATGTAGAAAGGACTTTGAAATAGAGGTTAGTCTTTTTTTTTTTTTTAAAAAAATGGATGCAATTTTTTAAAGCTTCTTTTTAAGCGTTGAGAAGACAGACTAAGATATGCTTTCTCAAAGTTTTGAAAAAACAGAAATGACCAATTTAGATTTAGTGTGATTTGTTTTGTAGAGAAATTTTAGCATTCGTAAAGTTACAAAGTTTGTTGCAAAAAAGCCTTAAGGAGTACAACGATTTTTTCAAAAATGGGCATAACCTTTTATTTCTCACTAATTAAAAGCAATATCTTGCAATATTCACTCTTATTTTGGGTTAACTGGCAGTTAATAGACATCGAGCTGATTGATAAGAAGTGAGTTAAAAAGGTTTAAAGAAAAATTTTCCATATGTCGTTCTTTTTTGTCGCAATCCAAACAAATTTTCATGTAATGTCGAGTCAAGTCCCAAATCCATGCTCCTGATACTGAAAGACAGACTAGAGCTCTCTCAAATAAGTACCCATACTACAGTGTTATTTCTGATATTGCTTCTGATATCAACTTATCTTAGATCTATCTTTTCTATTCTTTTAATATCATTGGAATAATAATATCATGCTCAAAAGAGCTTAAATGCTATGTACATATTAAGCAAAGGGCAGGTTTAATCCATGATTAATTACATAATAATTACATAATAATTACATATTTAAACTTGTCATTAATATTTCTTTTTTCTTATTAACAGCACATCAAATCTAGAGTGAAATATTATATAGTAACAAAAACTACGTCTATTCTTCCCTTTCCCTCTTAATTTTCCAAATAATTTCAATAACACATCTTCCCTAGAATCAAGTTAGATATTTCATTTTTTCGGTTTATTATTGGAAAAAGTTCTTGAGAGTTGATTAAAAAATGGCTAACGACGGTTTGGAAAAAATTTCTGAAATTCCTCTCGAATTTATCAAAGAAGGAAACACATTTATCAACAGATGCACGAAACCTGATGCTGCTGGTATGTTCAACAAATTTCTGATATAAGAATTTTATTTTTCTGACATGAAGCTTTTTATAGAATTTTTAAAGATTGTCCGTGCTGTTGGTGTTGGTTTCATTGTCATGGGAGCTATTGGCTACCTTGTCAAGCTGGTAAGTGTATATGTTCTCAAACCGCTAAGTTATCTAACTCATTTTTTATTTAGATCCATATCCCTATCCGACATTTAATTACTGTTTAAGGGGTTTGTCCTTTCTTTGATAATTTCTGGAGCAATTGATTTCCAGAAAGATCAATGTCCTTCAATGGCAATGTTCACAATTGTAATACCATACACTTACCATTGCCGATTACGATGATATGATATGATTTTTATAACGCCCTATACCCATGTATTTAATAGTTTCTGTTTTTTATTGTCATCCTCATTTTAGCATAGCTATTAAGTTATGATCTTTTAATATTTACTTTAATGGACTCTTAATTAACATTATCCGAAGAATTTATCTCTGGAAGTTGTTTGAACTTATATTTTATGAATTTTGGAATGGTTAATCATTTACTTGTGACTTATGAATTGCTCCAAGTGAATACGCTAGGCTTACCGATCTCTAATCAACTAAGCAGTTTGATCTGTCACAAACTAAATTTAGTAACCCCAGCTGAAAAGTATTAAACAATACAGTACATTTGGTTATTTCTGTAAAATCTGTAGAATAATAGTGCTATGATTTTTAGTCTTAGAATCTTTCTTTATTTAAAAAAAGGCATAATCTTAATAGAAAATATTTCCCCAGACAAACACTTTATAAAATTGTATGAAAGCTAATTTTTGCTGCCTGAACAGGCTACGGGTTCCTGCCAACAAAGTCGAAATCGACAATGAAAAAAACTTCAACTTCGAATAATTGTTGCCTGGTGCTAGCCAACTAAAAATGGGGCATGGCTGGTTCGCGGGATACATATTCGAATGTACCAAAAACGAAGAAGCAATATTATGAGACATCCCCTCAGATCTCTCCAACTGTGTAAATTGCAAAATTATTAATTATTTCAATTTTTGCAAATATAATTTGTAGTACAGTACACACAAGAAATAAATAGATTATGTAATTATGATTAAAAAATTAAGTGGCAAAAATGGTTACTTACAGTACCTTTCAACAAATTTAGTGAGGTCGTGAAACTCCTATATTTAACTTGATAATTTTATAAGAAAAAAAAAAATTCACAAAATATTCACGAAATAATGAGTCTCTCCACTTTGATTTTTCATTAGAATTTGCCCAATAAAAATCATTTTCACTATTTTCTGCTGCAACATGTACACAAGAGGTCGTGGAAAAGGTGGTCGAGGAGGATCTAATAGTACTGGACATCGTGGCAAACAACAACCTGAAGTTGGACCTGACGGTAAAGAAATCAACCCATATATTCCAAGATATATTGCAAATGCGCCATGGTATCTTGAAAAGTCTGATGATTATTTAGAGCATCAGCGATCTCATAAAGATGATGATTTTAAAGGCGAGTGGTATGATCGAGGAAAGAAACCAATTTCTTCAGATGCGACCAAGTTCAGAAAGGGCGCATGTAAAAATTGCGGATCCATGACACATAAAGCAACAGACTGCTTAGAACGACCGCGAAAGATTGGAGCCAAGTATAGACCTGTTGATATTAGTAATGACGAAAAAATTAAGGAAATTAAAACAACTTGGGATTCTAAGCGAGATAGGTGGAATGGATACGATGCAAATGAGTACAAAAAGGTGATTGAAAAATTTGAACATGATGAAACTCAAAAAGCAATACTGGAAGAACCAAAAACCAACAGCCCCACTGATACCATACCCGAAGAAAATATATCTAACACTAGTCCACAACGGCTTTCAAAAGATGATGAATATGGATTGGATTCTTTAGATAATGATGATGATGATTTTAGTGAAAATGAAATCAGCCTTGATAAAGGTTCTCAGAAAAAAGATGGGGCATTGGCACCAACCACACGCTCTCTTCGAGTACGAGAGGATAAAGCTAGATATCTTCAGGATTTAAGCGAAGATGCAGCAGTTTTTAATCCAAAAAGTCGTACTCTACGTACTGAAGAAGAGGGTAGCATTAATGATCGAGGTCAATTTATAAGGAAACTTACAGATAAGGCTGAAGAACATAAGATGTATACTCAGTTAGCTGAAGAAGCAGCTGAACGTGGTGAAAATGTTCACATGGAAAAGGGTCCAACTGCGAGTTTGCTTTTAATTCAAAAATACCAAAAGGAAAAAAAGGAATCACACGACAAATCCCAAAAAGTTTTATTTGATAAATATGGTGGTTCAGAACATTTCGATAAAAACCTGAAAGAGAAAAAAGGTGACTTGCTGGATGATCATTTTGAATATTCTCAAGAATGTGAAAGTCCATCAACCCACGAACTCCAAAATCTAAAGAAACCTGAATTAGAAAGAAATTCAAAGACAAAATACAAAGAGGACAATTATTATCTTAATCATACTTCAGTATGGGGATCATATTGGGAAGATTTTCAATGGGGATATGCATGTTGTCATTCTTTAGTAAAACAAAGTTACTGCACTGGAAATCATTTAGAAAAACTTCACAGCTCATTTGCAAGAAACGAAAATATCAAAAGCAAAGATTTAAATCAGACACCTTTATCGTCTAAAAGAAAATTAGGGGATCAAAACTGAAGTTTGATTTTCTTCATCTATGCCAATATTTGTCGTTTCAATTTAACTTTTTTATTTAGTACGTATACTGTTTCACAGTGATTTTCTAGAATTAAGAAAGCAAGCAGGTCTACGCTATTAAAAATTAGCTGGATTTCAAAAAATCATATCCAAGCTATTACAAGTACAAGAAATAAAGATTTTTTTTTTGTTATATTGTAAAATGTAATTATGTGCATATAAGCATATTTGAAAAATATTTTTGTGCGGAAGAATGGTTCCGATGACGGATATGTGCTTCCGATATGTGTCCGAAAGGGTGAATACACCCAAAGACTACTATCCGCAACTCAAGTATTCTATTAAATCCTGATAATAGTCAAGATATTGTTGAAAGGTGGGGATGAAGTGGCATACAATGGCTTCTTGTTAATAACTTGTTCCAACCCTAACCACTATTAATGAATCAGATTGCAATAGTGAAATTTTAATTCAAATGGAATCGATGAGCTATTTCCTGCTTTTATTTTTAAAAAAATGTGTCATAAATTATTTTTGATTCCATTTTTAAGGTGACTGATGTATTTGGAATAGTCGGCTCTTACTCTAGGCTTACTACCCCACTTTATTTAAACAATATATATTTCTGAGAATAAGCATAAGATTCCTTGCATTTTATACTTTCATATTTTATTCTTCATATTTTTACTTGAGTTCTAATCAACGTGAAAGATACAACCAAGGGAGTACCTTATACAAATTAATTATGGATGACAATACAACGACCCATAAAAATCAAACAATGCTAAATAAGTTGGATACCAAGCAGATCCATAATACCTTGCCTAATTCATCTCACAGTATCGATATTACACCAAACAATTCTTTGACAGTTCAAAACTTATATCAGGATACACATGAGGATGTTGAAAATCCACTTGAATGTTCTGTTGATGACACTCTGAAAACGTCGGGAAAGTTTGAGACCTCTATTAAAAGTTCTAATTCTCAAGAACCTACTATAATACCTCGACACGATCGTAGGGGACTTTTCAGTAATTTAATTTTACTGGATGAATTGGCCAACCCTATTGAGTATGGATCATTAAAAAAAACGTTCATATTAATTATAATTGCATATGCTGCCATTATTGGCCCAATGGGTGGTTCAGTATTTTTGCCCGCAATAGAGGAAATTTGCACAGAAATGAAAGTAGGAAAGGATGTGGTAAATATTTCTTATGGTATCTATGTTCTATCTCTAGCCTTTTTCCCTCTGTGGTGGTCTAGTTTTTCCGAACAGTTTGGACGTCGAAATATATATATTGTTTCTTTTGTCGCTTATCTTTGTTTTCTTGTTGGATGTGCTTTAGTCAAAAATATAGGCTCATTAATGGCACTTCGCTTTCTTGCAGGTGGATGTGCTGCTTCAGTTCAGGCAGTTGGGGCAGGCACATTGGCTGACATATATATTCCCACAGAAAGAGGTTCAGCAATGGGATATTTTTATCTTGGTCCTTTGCTTGGGCCTATGCTTGGACCTATATTTGGAGGCTTAATTGTTGAAAGGTGGGGATGGAGAGGCACACAATGGTTTCTTGTTATTATAACTGGTTCCATTATTCTTAGCATTGTCTTTTTTTTACCTGAAACTTTACATCGAAGAGTGCGGTCAACATCTACGCCAATAACATCGGCAAAAGATTTGGAGAATAATCCAGTTGATACCGCAAATTTGGAAAAAAGTCAGAAAGAAAATCCTGATTTATCTCCATTTTCGAAAAACAGTTTACTAATTCAAGAACCAAGTTCTCTAAATACCAAAAAAGTATTGGAGCCCTCAAGGCAAAAAGAGTGTATAAATAGTAAACGCCGCATGTCTATTTCATCTCTTATGAGCCAGCTTCCAGTAGATGATCTAGATAATTCTAATGTAGGTGATACATTTTTGCCAATGATCCCCTCCCCTTCTCGTGTCTTGGAAATGGAGCCTGAAGCAAGCAATCTCAATTTTCAAGAATCAGACAATAAAAACACTATTACTGACCTTGAATACCAGGTTTCTGAGCTAGAAAAAACTCAGAAAATCAAAACAACAGCATCTGAAAAAGAACGACGACTACTTAATTCAAGCGGGCAGGTTGATTTTCAATCTTTAAGATTTAATGAAAAACTTGAATGGCTAATTATTCGGCCTCTTTTTACCTTTAGATTTTTACAATACCCACCTGTGACCTTAACAATTATCTATGGCTCAATATGCTTTATGGTGTTATATTTTTTAAACGTGGGGATAGAAACTTTATATTCGGCATCTCCTTATGAATTTAATTCCATTTATGTTGGACTCTGTTATATCCCTAATTCAATAGGCTACATTATTTCAAGTATTGTAGCTGGTAGATATAGTGATTTTGTTGTTAGAAGAGAAAAAAAAAAGTTAGGGTATTTTAATGCAGAGTCACGATTTGCAGAGCATGTTTTACTTGCTATGATTTTATATCCCATATCTATTATTTTGTTTGGATGGACTGCATATTATAAATTACATTGGGTAGTGCCATTGGTAGGAAGTTTCTTGTTCGGCCTATCGTCTATGGTTGTCCTTGGTAATTCAGCAACTTATCTCATTGATGCTTTACCTGGTCGAGGTTCATCAGGTATCGCTCTTAACAATTTTGTTCGCTTTATTTTTGCTGCTATCGCTACCTTTGTTGCAGAGCCGATGAAAACGGGGATGGGATTTGGATGGATGTACACATTTCTTGGGCTGCTTGCGGTTGTTTCATCTATTGCAATTTTTTCCATTAGAAAATGGGGAAATAAATGGCGCAATGAAGCTGATTTTGAAAAAATGTATAGGTAAAGTTATCAATTTGAAAATGTAACAATAGGCATTGATTTGACCACCGGTTTTAAAACTTTACAGTTGTATTATAGAAATGTATATTTAATTTATTAATCACACGTTAGAGTATTGGATAAATATGTAAATGTTTTTTTTTTTTTTTTTTTGAGGCTCTAAGGCTTATCGTTGAGATTAAGCATACTAAAAAAAATAATGCAGCCATCTGTAACGTCAAACGTCTGAAGTATCTGAACTATTTAACAATTTCTAAAATTTCTTTAACATTTGACGTTACATATAACACACATGTCTGATCCCATGAGACCCAGCCATTTAATAATCCTCTAATATCCTAGTTTTTTTTTGACTATAAATGAACGTTCAATTGATCAAAAAATGAAAAAATGAAAAAAAAAAAAAAACTGAGATCATACAAACCTTAAATAATTGGAAAAAAAAAAGGGAAGCATAAAATCAAAGATGAGTGAAAAAGAAGATGAAAATCAAGAAGAGAAGCCATATACTCTAATTTATTTATTGAAACCTAATAACGTCCCTAGTCTCATTTGTTTTGTTCTTTTGCTTCTTTCCACAATCATTTGGGGTAAGGAATATCGATGTGTTTAAAATTTATAATTTTAATAATTTTAACACCATATAGGATTTGTTGCTACTTCATGTTTTAGTACTTCGGATACATTTGCAAGAATGCATATGGTGAATCTGCGATACAATTTCAATAGCACTTTACTTCAAGAACATATTTCCACCACTGAAATATTTGGGAATGATATTAAAGTATTGGTTGGTCTTAAAGGTAAGATTTAGGATTAGATTTAAGTTCTTTTCTAACAGTCTATTTAGGACTTTGTTCAAGAGATATGACAGCAATAAACGGGGTATCGGAAAATCTGAATAAAGGCGAGCTTCTTTGTAGTAGGGGAGGCGATATTTCCAAACTTCATCAAATCCCAAATGTTACATTCTACGATGAAGATACAACCGTTATCGACTCGTTCTCTCTTTACACTATTGCCAGCAAATTCAAAAAGCATGCCTCCCATTATGGACTTGTGTTAACAACTTGTATTGTCAATTGCATTGCTCTGATGGTGTTGGTGTTTTATGGATTTATTGCAGTTAGTCACGATAATATCATCAATTATTCAGCACTGATTTTATTGGTAATACAAGGTTTATTGTCGTTCTTAACAGCCTTTCTAATATCTTCCTCTATGTGAGTATAACAAAAACCATTTCAATTATAGAAAAGTCACATTAAATAAAAACAGCGATGTTACTAATTCGTTTATAAACTAACATTCTTCATAGACGATCATTTTGCTATATTTTGGGAGCAGGGAACTTTCATATGGTGAATTGCAGAGGAAGAGCAATGCCTATTGGTATTTCATGGCTTGCTACTTGTGCATCTCTTACCGTTTCATGCTTTGTGTTGATTCTCTATTTTCGTGGAAGAGATGAGTCGTTAAAAGAAAAAGCTTATCGTGAAGGCGAAAAAGTGGAAAAGGTTTGATTTTTTTCAGAAACACTTTCAAATATGCTTATGCGGACTTTTTTATTTATTTATTAACCATTCCTAATTATTGCTTTAATATATGGACAGTCTATTATACATAATAATAAATGAATTTGCTAAATAGTTTATTGTTAATTGCAAGATGGCAATGATATAGGAAAAATATTAATATTTTTCATAGAGTTCAAAAAATTATTGTAATATTCGTGTGAATTTTAAAAAAAAAAATAGGGAACAAAAAGGCTGATTTACACGATTATATAATAATTATTACCTAATCTATAACAAACCATGTATATACGTGGTTTGTTCAATCTAGAGGTACCACCATTACTAGCATTTCTTTCGTGTTTGCCTCCATTATCAACTAAGCATATTTATCACATATTTTGAGTTATCTCGATACATTGACAAGATAAATTTTGTTGCTAATGATATAGTCTACCTGTTTAACGGCCTTTTCTTTATTTTGGCTTTCATTGACTCCACTAGGTAGATTTATCGACTTTTTTTTTCACCATTTTTACTTTGTAAATTGCTTTTACGAATCTCAACCGTTAACCTAAGAATTATATTGCATGGTACTATAGGATTACCTTCTCTTGACCAATTATCTTAAAGAATCAGGGGTTCAGTAAAAAAAAGATGATACATTTTTTTCTATATATTGTTGCTAGTATAATACTTGCTATTTTTGTGGTAGGCATACCCTTAATTAGTCGACCGAACTTTTTTTCGGCATCAGTCATGATTTACCAAAATAGCGTAAGCATGCTGATTCTTGGAAATGTTGGTGTGGTATTTGCCCTTATTTTAGGGAAGATTCTTCAGCTACTGTTTTTTGGGCAATTATACACACTTGAAACTGAGCGGATATATGAAAGTGCTTGGTATGCTGTTACGGAGAGTCTTCTTTTAGTCCCGCTGTTGAAAGACGATTCCAAGATAGAAATAGGCATTTTTTTTGCAACTTTACTATTTTTACGAGTTTTTCACTGGATATCTTCTGGAAGAATTGAGACAATATTTCAAACGCAATCTTCATACTTTAGTCATTTCAGACTTTGTTCAGCAATTGCCTTCCTGGGTTTAGCAGATGTTTACCTAATTCGATACTGGGTCATGGCCTTTCAATATTCTTCAAATTCAGATCGCAATTCCGTTACAGTTCCTACTTTTGCATTCGAGTGCCTTTTACTACTTAACAGTATTTTAACAACAACCGGGAAATATTTCTTGAACGTGGTGGAGGCTTATTATTTAAAAAATCACGAAGATGAAGACATTTGGGAATCTAAAACTTACTGGAGCTTTATCTTAGAAGTAATATCGCTATTCACACGTCTATCAGCTTACTGTACATTATTTTTTCTTATTTTACTACCTTATCGCTTGTTACCTCTTCATATTATTCGTGATACCTACATTACAGCAAAATCCCTTATATCTACTGTTCAGAAGCATATCAAAGCAAGACGCGCAAAACGTCAGATTGAGAATGTCGTGCGTACTGTAACCCAAGAAGAACTATCTAACGCTGATGACGTTTGTATTATTTGTCGAGAAGACATGATCTTAGAAGAAGGGCAACATTCTCGTACCATTCCTAAAAAGCTTTTATGTGGCCACATCATACATTTTGGATGCCTAAAAGGCTGGTTAGAACGATCACTTCGTTGTCCAACATGCCGAAGATCGGTTATGGATGGTACTTTCCCCGATCAACCTGGTGCGGCAAACAACAATGCTGCTAATGGCAATAATGAGATTAATCAAAATAATGGTATAGGTTTCAACGCAAACTTTGGGGGTCAAAATAATGAAATTCCTGGTTTAAACAATCCTGCCAACCCTCAGCATTTAAATCATATCCATCCTACACCAACATTGAATTTAAATCAGCACACATTCTCTACATCAGCCACTGCATCACCATCAAATTCCGAAAACTTAGCTTTTGTTTCGACACAAGTTTTTAACTTTCCTCATCAAGCTGAAATTCCAGAGGGATTTCAAATGCCTTATGGTTGGAACGTATTGGCAGCCCGTGAAACGCCTGATGGTGAACTTCAAGTGCAAGTAACTAGTGATTATTGGGCTACAGTCATGCCTTCCGATCTGCCTCATACAACCAACGATAATATCGACTTGGCCAAGCACACCGAAATTTTAAACCAAGAATCAAGTCAAAATAAGACTGATATTAACACTTCATCAGCATTTTCTGTTCCAGATCAATCTAAAAAAGGCAAAGAAAAACCTTCCTTTGATGACAACATACAACCTGATTCTCACGAAGAAAAACCTAATGAGACTATACCTGATACTAGTCTATCGAGTCCGGAGTTAAAACCGGTGAACACATCTATGGAGACATCAAACTTATAGTTTGATAATAGTAATAACAAAATTACTCTTAAACATTACAAGTAAATGATGTAGTAACTGGGTTTTAAAATAAATAATTTGTCAGAAATGAATTTAACGAGTTATTTGAAAAAAAAAAAAAAAAAACAATATTTTTTATATTATCTTAGTTGCTTTCCTCGTCATTAACTAGAGACTTTTGTAGTTTTCCAATGTTTTTTCGTTGTAAGGTAATAAGATCTTTGGGATAAAACCCTTCACCTCCTAATTCATGAACATTTTGATAATCATTCTGAATACTATCAATTGCTTTTAATCTTTCTGATGTATCAGCGTTTTCATCATAAGCTTTTTGAGTGTTGGCAAAGGCACGAAGCAAATAAAACACAGGTTCATCTAGATAAGGTGCTTTTCTTAATAAATCATCCAGATAATCGATTGCTTCATTGTATCCCCTAGGTTCTGGTTTATAAAGCATTTTCATTACGTATAATTGAGCGTATTCGATATTTTTAGGAAAGCTTCGACTAAGCTGAAAATACTCAATCATGGAAGGATAAGCAACAATCATCCATCTGATTAGCTCTTCATCTTCAGAAATTTCATTTACATCACCGTTCTCGATATCACCATTTTGATTTAAAACATTGCTGCGTTTTTCTGTTTTCCTATAATCCAATATTTTTAACGCAGCGCTGTAAACCAATCTCATATCACTATCGTCATGTCTAACATATATTCCAAGAGCACGCCTTGCCAACTCATACTTTTTATCTAGAATCGATTTGCAAAGGATATTAGCCACCATTTGCTTAGCTGTCACAGCTTCAGTAATTTTCTGACCCGAGTTGTTGTTTAATTTTGCACATGAGTGAAAATTTATAAATACATCATCCTCTCGTGGTAATTTAAAATGGTTATAGTCAGCGGTCGGTATATTTTTGTTTTTGAAATCATTTCTGGAACGATTTTTGGAAAGAAATTGAAGAGTGGTAGAACTAAGAGATTTCATTAGCATTTGAACACGAGGGCTCTCACGTCTAATCTTTCCTACCTTGAGAGGCTGAGGGAGAGATTCAATTCCACTTAGCTCGCAACGAAAAAGCAAATCTTGTTTTTTACGTCTCAAGCTGTCACCAAGTAATTCTGGGTTACTTAAATTTTTAGAGATTCGGCTCTTTTGATCTTTCAATAGATGAAAAGTAGAAATCTCTTGGCTATCAACGCCTAATAAACTTTCGGAATTGTTTTCATTTATTTCGAAGGCAGGAGAGTAAAAATTTTCTTCATCTGAATCAGAACTTCTTTCTATATCAGAAAAGTTATCAGCAGAAAAGCCCTTAAACTCTTTTGTATTTGATTGGTATTTAGGTTTTAATCTTCCAAGAAGATCATATAAGTTACGGGTATATAGTCCTCGGAATCTCAAGGGTTCTATAACTGAATTTGCTTCTATAGCATCTTCATCTTCATCTTCACCTTTTTCATCTAAGTTTACAGTCGTTTGACCAGAACTGGACATATCACTGGATCTCTTTGAGTTAGAGAACTTAGAGACTTTATTAGATTTCTTTCCAGAATTACTTTTCTTTTTTGAGGCACTCTTAGAACTGGAACTTCGGGATTCTGTCTGAACAAAAAGACCCTTGTAACAATAATGTGGGTTGTCTCTTATGTCTGATAAGTCATTTCGGTTTGTTTTGTACCACTGTCGAATTTCGCGTTGTTCTTCATAATGGAATCTTCGAACAGTTTTATTTTTTAAAATACTAGGAGTCAATAAAGAAATATGCAATGGTTCCATTGTATAATCACATTTAAAAACTTAAGAATCTTTTAGATAAAAGATTTGTTTATTGATTATTTCATTTGAGAAAAGTTTAAAATTTGGTCTGTGATTATATTTTATGATTATGAAATCATATTAAATTGTATTACACAAATATATTTTTTAAATGTTGTAACACTTTCTCTGAAGTTTTGAACAAGTAAGATCTTGAATTTCTCTCTTAATATTATTAATAAACTTTCAAAGTTTTTTTGATTTCTTCGGTATCCTAATTTTCATTTAAATAAATCAAGTTAAAAATTTATTTCATGTATGAAAATGTAAAAAAATGTTAATTATTGCTTTAAAGTTAAATTTTAAGTTTATTAGGCATGCTTAGTTTAATATACTATCAATTAATCTGTTACGATGGCCGAGTGGTTAAGGCGATGCCCTGCTATTACCAGCAGTTAAGGCATTGGGTTTTACCTGCGCAGGTTCGAATCCTGTTCGTGACGTTATTTTTTATAATTTTTTTGCGTAATAAACATATCAAAATTTTTGAAAAATATATGTCAAGTTTTTTAAGTGTTCATATATCCTTTTTAAAATTACATTGTTTTGTATACAAATTATTTAAGGTGTTTCATTGTTCATTAGGTGAGTAGCAAACGCTACAAAAAAAAAAAGGCCATAAGTCATAAAAGAGTGGATAAGGTTTTAAGTCCTTTATGGTTTGACTTTAACCAAACCATGTTATGCTAAAGTTATTCAAGTTATGCTACTGAGGCAAAAATTGAAGAAATGAGAGAAATAGAAAGCGATACCCCAACAATTTTCATCAAGTAAGCAGAATTGCGACTGTTTGCAATGCTAGCAGCATTAACCAACGCTGGGGTAGTTGGTGAAGTAGTGTTTCCACTGATGCTTGTTGAAATAGGAACAGCAGAGAGGGTAGAAGTGCTACTGTCACCTGCTGCAGCTGCTGCCGATCCTGAACCTGTACCCGAACCTGCAGCTGCTGCCTCTGATCCGCCTGATCCTGAGCTTGAGCTAGAACTGGAGCTAGAACTGGAGCCAGAACTGGAGCTAGAACTAAACCCGGATCCTGCAGAAGCGCTAGGAGATGCTTGAGGTGATGAAGAGGCAATAGAAGAGCCGCCAATAATAACGGCAGTCGAAGTACTGGTAGCAGAACCAGCAGCAGCAGATGCGTCAACAGCAACCGAAACGACATTGGTCGGGGACGCGTTGGCATCAGCAGCGGAACCTGCCGCACCGGTTGCTGCAGCACCAGCAGCACCAGTAGCATCATTTGAGCCTGCTGAAGCTACAGCACCTGTTCCAACAGTAACCGCAACCCCTGCTACACCAACACCAGATGCTCCTGCAACGCCGGTACCGGATGCTCCGTCAACTCCAGCACCTGCCTGGATAGTGGTCGCAGTAGTGACAGTAGTACCACCTGCTGCCGCCGCTGCACCTACCACAACATTGTTTGCTACAGAGGTTGTTTCTTGGGCTCCAACGTCATAGCCTGGTGATGTAAATGATGCTGCTGCCCCTACAGTTGTGGAGCCAATAACCCATTGCTTTGTTGTTGGTGAAGCAGTGTCGATAAGGAGAGGAACATCTTGAAAATTGAATGCTGATGAAACTTCAGATGGATGAATGGCTGATGGAAGTGATAAAGAAGAAGTCATTGTTATGAATTGTGTTTAGAAAATTTTGTGAAACTTGCTGGAAATTAGATATTTGACGTTTTCGTATCTAATATGATTCTATTGTTTTAAAAAAAAAATTAAGAAACGAGCGAGTAAATATAATTATTAGAAGAAAGTATTATCAAAAAAAAAAAAAAATAGACAAATAAATAAATAAACAATAATCTTTAAAAGGACAAAAATAAAAATGAGGGAGGATAGGCGAATTCCCAAGATATATATATATACAAATCAAGATTTTTTCAAATACTCCTTTTTTTTTTCTTTCAACTATAATTTCTTTTTGTCGAAACAGTGTATTTTTTTATTATTATGACGTATTAAAGTTAAAACCTTTATTTTTTTCATGTATGTCTTAACCTGCAGTACTGCAGATGTTAACTTTTATTTGATTGAACATTCCCTTTTTTTTTCAAGACATGGAGTTTTTAAGCTTCTCAAGACTTATTTCTTTCCTAGCCCATATTGAACTGTTAACTTTTTTAATTTTTTTTTTACAAACCATTTTGCAAGTTTTCAGTTTCTGATGTTCAAGACTTAAGTTTTTATAGCGGCATTCTTTCCGTTTCTAATCTAACCGAAAAAAAAAAAAATTTTAACTGATACGAGAATCAATAAGTTAATAACTTGTTTTGTCCACAATGATTCTTTTTCAACTATCAATTGTAAATATTTATTTATAAACTAACAATTCCCATAAAAAATATCTACATTAATTATTATTAGAAGTTCAGATCTTGTTTCTCTTGATTAGATATATGAATATACAGACTATTATTAGCATGATGCTAACTTCATGAATAGGTCAGGTCAAGGTTTATTGACGTTTGGTTGTGTGCCCTTTTCCCCCCTTAATTTCAAGTTTTCTTTTGTTTCTTATTTACAAAAAAAAAATTATTTTTTTTTTTTTTTTGGAATTAGGTCCATAGAATTGGCTACCCTGAAAAAAAAAGTAAATAAATAAAAATTTGCTTCCATATACCGCAAACAATTAAGAATTTTTGTTTTTATTTTATTTCTTTTTAACCCATTTTGAACACATCCCCACTGGTATTCACTTAAAAATCTTGGAATTCGGCACTAACCGTGATAAATGTTGCCTTGTTACACAGGAGTGCATAATAACAACCATCAGCTGGTCAACTACCTCGGTACCTGCATCTTTGTCCTAAAGATTCGTTCCTGAATATTTGATGAGTCTAGGAAGTCATTAATATCTGTATTTTTTTTTTTTTTTTTGAAAATTTCAACTTTTTTATTTTGTTTCAAGAATCAAAGAATGGACCTAAGATAATTTTTTATTTTTATCCAAGCACTAATAAAAAAAACGAAACACAAAACACTCAGCAAATTTTTTAAAAACTCAATTGTCTATATATATATATTTTTACACATTATTATCTCTCAAGTTAGTTTTAAACTGCTTTGGTGTTGCCTATTTTTCCATAGCAAAAAATATTGTTTTCTGTGAATGTTGTAAAACTTTAAAACTTTAAAACTGATAAAATAATTAAAGAAATACTTTTATCATCATATTTGATGAATTATTTTCTATGAAATCTTACACTTTAACAAATAAACCTGCTGTTTTCTTAAAAAAAAAAAAATCTGGAATACTAAGTCTAAACTTTAAACCAAATTTTTTAAGAAAACAATAGGGGCGTGTGATTAAATTGTGTATTCCTTCTCGTTTTATAAATATATATAATACTTCTCTTTTTTTCTGCAAGAGTTTGTTACAGTACTTTGTTTTATTACTGGACGTATATTAAAGCAAAGAAGTATTAAGAACAAAGAGACGGAAACAACCGTCACAGAATTAGGTGCTTGTGAGTTCGACTTTCAAACAAATTCTAAAAAGTGAATGTTGTAAATTTAAAACTCTATTATTTTTTTCAACTTTTATGGAGATAATGACGAAGCAATAGTGCATAGTGTGTGTTCTATATTTTCAAAAAAAAAAAAAAAAAAAAAAAAATTTAATACGGAATCAACCCAATTTTGTCTTTTATATTTTAACATTCGCTTAATAATTTTCATTTTTTTTCTACACGGTGTTATTAAAAAAAAAGTATTGACTTCGGTCAAATCATCAATTACATTCTAGAAATCAATTTATCTAAAAGTTTCCTAGTGAAATTAGTTGTTTATAATTCTGGATAAACTTTTGATTGTCCAACTAAAATAGTGGCTTTAGTAATACACACTATGTTTATATAGAAGTCTATGGTTTTTTAATCTAGTATTTCATTTTAAGAATTCAAATTGTTATCTTATAAAGTAATTTTTTGCAGTTTTAAAGAATTAGTTGACTGTCGCCGGGTGCCTGGAAGGGCCCTGACCTATGTGGCTAGGATTATGTTGGCTCAGCGGTAACATAACCATAAACCATATAGTATCACCACCACCATCAAGCACACCACAACAAGAGACTACTGAAGAGGGAACTAAGTACATCTTAAGATCAAAGACTACAGCCTTTAATTAATAACTTTTAATTATAACTGAATTACACTTAAAGTAATACCGACTCTACGACATTAACCAAAATTCCATATTAGTAATAATGACATATATTGCTGTATTCCAAGATATAAAGGAAACTTTCCCTTCAACTTGTAAACAGTTCAAAAAGCTAAGATTTCCAACTCTAATCAGAAAAAAAAGCCTTTGCAGCATCTTGCTATTGATTTGGAAGATCCAGAGTATATAAACTGATATATTGAAACTTATTGGAATTGTAGATTTAAATATAAGTGACAAGCAGAATTAGACTTCAACCAGGATAGATATATTGGTATAAACTTTGGGAATAAGTTAATAGTGTTGGTAATTACTCCAGTATGGTCCCTCAGTTCCACAGTGCCTATAAATCAGTACTGAGGAATGTTAAAATATCAGAAAACTAATAGCAAGATCACGGCAAGTTAACAGACAAAAGACCCAAGTGTGCTACTAGGTAAAAAAAATGATGAAAATAAAATTATAAATAAAAAAACGCCCCAAATGGAATAAATATATTCCCTCTTTACAAACAAGCTTCAGTGTTTACTGAATACCCCGGTATTTTGGCCGTACAGTGCACAGGGCCATTGAGAAGCGATATTAACATATTCGGGTGTGCGGCCACTATGTGTTGTGCAACAAAACGTCAGGTTGCACCTATAGCATCGAGTTATAGCGACTTACTCTGATCGAATGACGGTACTTCTCAACATATCCCAATCTAATAACAATTACCAAATAATAAATATTTTATAATTTCTTTACTTACAAAAGTTTGAAGTTTGAAATTTATCTTGTAGATAATCGGTATTATGAAAAAAAAAATTATATATATGGGGATCACAACCTTTTTTTTTTAGTATGAAATAATAAAAACAAAAATTGAAGCGCTTTCCAGAAAGTTTTCATGAAAAAAACAAATCTAGGATACATAGCTGATAAGAAAGGAACGATGGTAAAAAAATAATTTTAATTTAATTTTCTTAATATCTAGTCTCGAAGCACTGCATTTGGTTAAAAAAAAAAAAAAGTGAAGTTTATTCAAAAGTACTTTTGTTGCATATACGTTTTAAAATTTGGGCTACTTTTTTGAATTAAAATTCATTAAAAAAACTCAATATTAAAAATCAGGAGAGCTAGTATTTTTTTTAATATGATCATATTATCAATCATGATTGATATTCATGATATCATTGATTAAATAGTTATATTGTCAATTCAAGGGAAAATCCCGTCATTCTTAATTGAGAAACAACTTTTTAAGATATATTAATTGTATATGAAATCTTTATACAAGCGACCCTTTTTTTGTCAATATTTAAGACAGTTTGGAAATCATTCAATTCAAAATTCCTACAGTTCAGAATACCAATATACATAATAAGTTGCACCACTTTACAAATTTGTGAAGTGGAGGCTTTAAAGAGTACGACTAAATAAAAAAAAAAAAAAAAAAAGGGGGGGTATGTGGAGGTTCCGGGATGAGTGATACATACTTTTGTAGAATCACATTTTCAATACATCCTGTCGAGTTTTAAAGTGAGACAATTCCCATATTGTTTTTCTCTTCATTTTGTCGGTTTACTGCATTTTTCAAATCAGCCGTATTTGCATGATAGACAAGCAATTGCACGATTAAGAAAAGTAAAAAATCCTGACATTGGCAACGCCCTACAAGGAAAGCTAACAGTTTAGAAATTTCAAAGTACTGAATATTTGCATTTTAAACTCTTTTTTTAGGTAAACACAGCCCTTTTTTTTCATTTGATTGTGAAAGGGCGTCAAAACATTGTAGACATAATAGAGGGAAAAGGAGGAGGAGAAGAGATGAAAAAAACTAAAATTACAGGGTCTAAAGGTGTAAGACACTAGGTTGTACTGGGGCTCAACGGTTATTCAAAAAAAGAAAGAAAAATGTTTAAAACCCAATCTTTGAAACTAGACCTTAAAAAAAATAAAATAAATCAGTTCAAGGTGGGTGGGTTCAACGACATGCTTTAGTAAGAAAACACTTTTTAAATGTTATGTATGAGTGAGTTTAGTTTCATGAAAAGTAAATTGATATAAGGGATGGGATGCATGAAGAAATCTAGAGGATAAAAAAAAAAAAAAAAAAGGATAATGTTTATAAACATGCATAAAAAATCAGAGAAATAAAAAGATGTATGTATCCTTAGAATGTAACTCGGAGACAGTACAGATGATGGAAACTATTAATAGGAAAGAAGATAGTAAATGTAGGCATAGAAGAATGGGGGAAAGTCAAAATGGCAATTGAAAAAAGAAGAAAGAAAAGTTTAAGAACTTTGTTAGTTAAAAAAAGTTTCAAACATACAATATATCAAAGAAGTTTAATCAGAATATACCATATATGGAGATTTCCGATCATGACAGACTTGACCTAGTGACGGGGGTATGATTTTAAGGGTCCTTGGAACAATTAAGGGGTTCGGACCCGAATTTACATTCTATGTTATACATATATTTAAGAATATTTGAGACCGTTTTTTTAAAATGTAAAAAAAAAATTCAGCCCTAAATAAAATTAGCCCTAACATTTGCATTCCAAAATATACACAGAATACTGAAACATACACTAAAAATTTTTAAAAAAAAAATTAAAGGAGGGTAACTAGTGTACGACTCAAATGTCTTTGAGTTTCCTTCCACCTCGTCTCTCCCCTTTTCCGATTTTTCTTTTGAAATTTTTTCCAGCCCTGCTACACCTCGACCTGACTCTACAGACAGTGCTGCCGTAAATATCAACAAGTAAGTTAATTTGAAAGAAAAATAAAAAAAAAAATGAATAATTGATATATGATGTCAGCATGAATGAATATCCCTTTTCAAAGAGTTTTGTATTTCAATGATGTCTTTATATAAAAATGAAGACAAAATCTGAAGATGATGAGATTCTTTAAAAAGGCATTTTTACCCATAATGACTTTATAAAATGAAGAGAAAAAAGAGAGAACTAACATAAGATTTCTTTTTTTTTTCTGAATTTTTTAGTGGGTGCCTACAAGTATCTTGAAGAGCTTCACAGAAAGAAGCAGTCCGACGTTTTGCGATTCATTCTCAGAATCAGATGCTGGGAGTACCGTCAGCTGAAGGCCATTCACCGTGCCTCCCGCCCCTCCCGCCCTGATAAGGCTCACCGTCTCGGTTACAAGGCCAAGCAGGGCTTTGTCATCTACCGTATTCGCGTTCGCAGAGGTGGCCGCAAGCGCCCTGTTCACAAGGGTGCTACCTACGGTAAGCCCACCAACCAGGGTGTTACTCAGCTTAAGTACCAGAGATCTCTCCGTGCTACTGCTGAGGAGCGTGTTGGCCGTCGTGCTGGTAACCTCCGTGTCTTGAACTCTTACTGGGTTAACCAGGACTCTACCTACAAGTACTTTGAGGTTATTCTTGTTGATCCCCAGCACAATGCTATCCGCAACGACCCCAGATACAACTGGATTGCTAAGCCCGTCCACAAGCACCGTGAGGCTCGTTCCCTTACTGCCACTGGCAAGAAGTCCAGAGGTATCAACAAGGGCCACAAGTACAACAACACCAAGGCTGGCAGAAGACACACTTGGAAGAAGCACAACACTCTCAGCCTCTGGAGATTCCGTTAAGCGTGACTGGTATTTTGGTTGCGTATCTCTATACTGTTGTAAAAAATTGCTGTGTATGGCCTTGAGGTTATTATGAAGCTTTTTAAAAAATAAAAATATATCTCTATGACTTTTAATGACTTAATGATGAATTTTTTTTGAATGTTTTATAAGTTTTAGAGTTATAAACTTTTTTTTCTAGATTGTTGAATCGAGATAATGTTCAATTTGGGCGTAGGTAGAAGTTATCTAAGAGATGTTTATAATCAGATTTATTAATCTAATGATTTTAAGCATTGTTTTAAAAAAAATAAAGCACAATTTTTTATTACCAATCCTTTATGAAATGTAAAATTTTTTCAAAGATTAAAATGCTAATGTTGAAATTTCTTATCGACTTTAGTTGACAAATATTTGATATACTGCAAGTCTAATTAAAAAAAAAAACTTATACAAAATGCATTTCTACAAAAATTTAAAAAATTTTACAAAATTTACAATTGAATAAAAAAAATTAAAAAAATAAAATGTACAACCGATCATTGCACCAGACCCCATTCGAGGCCACGAAGGGTCACCCTTAGTCGACTAACAAGAGTCGACAGATGGTCCGCTGCACCCAAGATCGATAGATTAGTCTCCAGTAAGACATGCGAATAACGTCCAGTATGTCCTGGGCAGACGCCGAGAGGGTCGCCTCGTATGAACACTTCCTAGGCAAGGATTACAAAAAGATCCTGTAAAGAACCTCTCCTCCAAGCCGACTTACTGTGGAAAAAATGCGTAAGGAAAAAAAAAAAAAAAAAAGAAGAAAAGAAAGTATATAAAGGGAAATTATTTTTGTTATATTTATATTAAATAATGTTTTCACGTGATCAGGTGGTTTAATTATAGGGTATGGAAACCGGGTAACTTTTTTTAATATTTGCTGTTTGTTTTTTGTTTGTTTTTTAAAAAAAAAATTTTTTTTGTGTATGTAAAATAACATGAGCATGTGAGAATGGTTGGTTTTAATGTTAGTGATGAGATTGTCACTTAAGAAATTCCCCAACCATGACGTAAGGCATATATTTAATTAATTAGTTATAATTATTTTTGGTCTTTTTGGTTGTGTGATTCTGCCAATATTAAAGCATAATAGATAAATAGATAGATCGATATACACATTATTAAGTTTAAGGATTTAATTTTAACATAATGATAGATCTATAGTTTTAATGAAATAATCAAAAATATATTTATATATTTATATACATAGAAAAGGTCCAATGATAAAATAGTACATTATATTAGGACTTTAAAGAAAAGTATTTAAATCCATTGTTGCTTACTTGCACTGACTGACTGTCTGTATGTGTCTGTCTGTCTGTCTGTCTGTCTGTCTGTCTGTCTGTCTGTATGTGCCTGTGGCTTACTTGTGATGGGCTGCTTCACTAAAGTGGCCGGTTGCACTGCCCAAAAGTCCCAACTTTAGAAGGCAATTAAGCAGAGTGAATTCTTTTTAATAAAAAAAAAAAAAAAAAAGAAAAGTAAAGAAAAAAAAAAAAAAAATTTCAAAGGTATTTTTTTTTGTGAGTCACATCACATAAATTATGGAAAAATATTTTAAAACAAACAGTGCAAATAGTTTCAAGTTTTTGAAAGGGTTTTTTTTTATTTAATTTAATTTAATTTAATTTAATTTAATGTTTGTTTATTGTAGAGAAATAAAGATTTATTAACTTAAAAGATTTTGGTTGATTGGATGGGATTAAAAAAAAAATTTTTTTTTGAATGAATCTGACAGCAACAATTTAACGTTAATATTAAATTAACTTTTATTAAATTAACAATTTAATTTTTTATACTGTTAACGGCTGTGCTGCCCCAAGAAAGTAGTAGAAGAAGAAGAAGAAGAAGAAGAAGGCCTATGTCAAAAAAGAAAAAAAGTTTTTTTTTTTTTTTTTTTTTTTTTCCTTCACATATTTTTTTTTTTTTTTTTTTTAAAATCTTCTCCACCCTCCAAAACCCTTCTTCCCTTTTGCTTCTCTTAGCAAATCCAAACCATCTATTCTACACATATAAAAAGATGTCCGGCCAACAAAAAACCGCCATTCTCTCCGTCTACGATAAGACTGGTCTTCTGGACCTTGCTAAGGGTCTTGTCGATAATGGTGTCCGTATCCTTGCCTCTGGCGGTACTGCTAAAATGGTCCGTGGCGCCGGGTTCCCCGTCGAGTAAGTCAATTCCAACCATTGCACTTGTTTTATACCTATCCTATCCTATCCTATCCTATCCTATCCTATCCTATCCTATCCTATACTATCTTATACTATACCATGCCATGCCATGCTAACCTCTATCCTTCTATTTTTTTTTTTTTTTTTTAAATAGAGACGTCAGCTCTATCACTCACGCCCCTGAAATGCTTGGTGGTCGTGTTAAGACTCTTCACCCAGCTGTTCACGGTGGTATTCTCGCCAGAAACATTGAGTCCGATGAAAAGGACCTCGAGGCCCAGAACATTGACAAGGTCGACTTTGTCGTCTGCAACCTCTACCCCTTCAAGGAGACTGTCTCCAAGGTTAACGTTACCATTGACGAGGCCGTTGAGGAAATCGACATTGGTGGTGTCACTCTGCTCCGTGCTGCCGCCAAGAATCACTCCCGTGTCACTATTCTCTCGGACCCCTCCGATTACCATATCTTCATCCAAGAACTTTCTCAAGGTGGTGTTTCCGCCGAGACCCGCAACCGCCTTGCCCTCAAGGCCTTTGAGCACACTGCTGAGTACGACTCTACCATTGCTGACTTCTTCCGCAAGCAATACTCTGAGGATATTACTTATCTCCCCCTCCGTTATGGTGCCAACCCTCACCAAAAGCCCGCCCAGGCTTTTGTCACCAAGGGTGAGCTCCCCTTCAAGGTCCTGTCCGGATCTCCTGGTTACATTAACCTTCTCGATGCCCTCAACTCTTGGCCTCTTGTGAAGGAGCTCTCTGCTGCTCTTTCTCTTCCTGCAGCTGCTTCCTTCAAGCATGTTTCCCCCGCCGGTGCCGCCGTCGGTCTCCCCCTCTCTGATGTCGAGAAGAAGCTCTACTTTGTTTCTGACATTGAGAACCTCTCCCCCCTCGCCAATGCCTACGCCCGTGCTCGTGGTGCTGACCGCATGTCTTCCTTTGGCGACTGGATTGCTCTTTCCAACATTGTCGATCTCCCCACCGCCCAGATCATCTCCAAGGAGGTCAGTGACGGTGTCATTGCTCCTGGCTACGAGCCCGCTGCTCTCGAGATTCTGAAGAAGAAGAAGGGTGGCAAGTACTGCGTTCTCCAAATCGACCCCAACTACAACCCTGACTTGATTGAGACCCGCCAGGTTTACGGTGTTTCTCTTCAACAAAAGCGCAATGATGCCATCATCAATGCCTCTACATTCAAGGAGATTGTCTCTGACAAGAAGGATCTCCCCGAGCAGGCCATTATCGACCTTACTGTCGCTACCATTGCTCTTAAGTACACTCAGTCCAACTCTGTTTGCTACGCCAAGAACGGTATGGTCATTGGTCTGGGTGCTGGTCAGCAGTCCCGTATCCACTGCACTCGTCTTGCTGGTGACAAGGCTGACAACTGGTGGCTCCGTCAGCACCCCCGTGTCCTTGCCTTTAAGTGGGCTCCTGGCACTAAGCGTCCCGATAAGAGTAACGCCATTGACCTCTACGTCTCCAACCAGATCCCCACTGAGGGCCCTGAGAAGGTCGAGTACGAGTCTAAGTTTGCTGAGATTCCTACTCCTCTGACTGCTGAGGAGCGCAAGGAGTGGATCTCCAAGAACACTGGTGTTGCTCTTGCCTCCGATGCCTTCTTCCCCTTCCCTGACAATGTCTACAGAGCTGTTAGATCTGGCGCCAGCTACATCTCTGCTCCCTTTGGCTCTGTCCAGGACAAGGCTGTTCTTGCTGCTGCCAACTCTTTTGACTTGGTTTACGTCGAGAACAATATTAGACTTTTCCACCATTAAAAACTTGACTGTTATATGGTGATGGAAAAAAAAAAAAGAAAACTTGTTTTATATATAGGGTAATGACTGTTTGAATCGGCTTTCATGTTATGATTATGGAAAAAAAAAAAATTATATATACATTACTTATTAAATATATATATAAAAAAATGATTTATTTAAGACTTTTGATGAAATCTTGATGGACTATTTCTTTTCAATATTGTTTTTGGGTATAAAATTTACAAACCGCCAATTCTCCGAGCCCCACCATCAATGACAATCCTACGTAACGGGCCAGTAACAATTGCCATCTACTGCTTGTCTGAGTTGCTGCTGCTGCTGCTGCTGCTGCTGCTGCTGCTGCTGCTTTTAATCTAGTTTCGACAAAGCGTATCAATGGAACAATCTGTAGCAACAAGGCGAAAAGAAATAACCAGACCCTCCAGCGTGGCGGCCACTTAGCGGTACATGCATACAAGTTCATTTCCAAGATTGTGAGGAGTTGTATACCCATTATTGTAACCAGTATAGTAGTGATTCCTAGGGAGGGGAAAAAAAAAAAAAATTGTTAACTGAATTGTTAACTGAACCAAATTCAAGTCTTTGTAAACACGCTTACTAAACAAAAGATTAAACATCAATTGGCGCAAATCTATAGTGGAATTAATTCGGTTACTCATTCTGCGCCATTGCTCAAGTACTCTGCGCAACCACCCTATAACTCCAGTGCCCGGCATCACCACTTGTTGTATTTTCTCAAAGTCTGTGGTTACAGTTTTCTTCAATGATTCACAATCACTGGTTTCATCATTATCATTATCATGATTATCATGATTATCATTATCATTATCATCATCATCATCATTTTCTTCTTCTTCTTTTTCAACACCCGGCCTCATGAGCGACCCCAGATAGTGCTCCTCAAGGTACCTAAACACGTGCGCGCACTTGAATCCCAGCGGAGCCTGTGCTGCATATTTACAAGCTGCATCAACTACAGTTTGTGTTTGAGGTCCATGTAGTGTTAGTGCAAGATACCTCATAAACAGGGGGTACATTTGGTTTTCGAGCTGGTGCAGATGATGATGATAATAATGATTATAATAATAATGAGGAAGAGGGTTGGGCTGTTGAAAAGAAAGCAAGAGATTTAAAAAGGGGAAGTTTTCCGAAGTAAATTGAAACTCTTCATGAAAATAAGAAATGGTGTGAGAACGCCACGTGGTGAACAAAACTGCTTGTTGGGCAGAAGACCCGGCAATCGTGACAGCCTCAATGTTGGAGCCCCGGTACTTGTGAATGAGGACGGTGCAGATGAGGTTATCTAATTCAAGCAGTTCATTTAAGTTCATTTGGGTGAGGATTTAATTTAATTTAATTAATTAATTAATAATATGCAAGTGGATTTAATAAGAATTTGAGGAAAATGATTAGTTTGCAAAAAAAAAAAAAAAAAATTGATTTTGGGGATTTGAGGGAAAGAAAATTATTTTTATTTTTTTTTTAAATTTATTTTAAAATCATTTTGAGGATTTTTTCTTTAATTTCCCTAAAATGGAAATTAGAATAATAAAATAATCATTTACAAACTATTTATTTTATTTTATTTTTTTCTCTCCTCATTTCCCATAATAATCATTTGATTATTTGAAACTCCTTTTTTTCCTCATTTCTATAAAATAAAAAAATAAAAAAAAAATCAACTCATAAAAAACTTCTTGGGGACTTCAAAAATCTTACCATACAAGTAAAAAATGGCTAGCTGGAGCAACGGAATTACAAATAAACAAACCATCAGCACAGCCGCAACAAACACAGGACCATCACCTTCTGAAAATGAATGTACAGTCCCCCGTATAATCCCAAGAAACAATGCAACAGCAACAGGAGCTAGCTGAATAAAAAGTGAAAGACTAAACACAAATACTTTGCCCTTCTGGTTCGTTGGCAAAGCCTGAATACTTGTCCAAAGAAGTTGCTCCAATTTAACTGTAAAAACAACCATAATCAACGTCACAAACCCCACAATGATAGAGAAAAGCACTAAAAGAAGAAGAAGAAGAAGAAGAAGAAGAAGAAAAAAAAAAAAGAAAAAAGTTAGAATACCTTGCCAATATATATACATGTATATACACCAAATGGAACCCTTTTCATCGGGCTCAAAAAATAAAGAAATACACTTCGTCATAAGCGAAGCCGCGCCTGCCATGTTGCCAGAAACCTTGCTCACAGCCGCACGGCTCCACTCCTGTACCCGGCCTGCCACCCGGTGCCAAATATTTCTCCCATTTCTCCCAGTGCTTCCCCCCATTACCGTAACCGTCAAAGCTGCTGTACGCTCATCACTGTCTTTTCCTCTGACTTCGTTCCTGCCTCCGTCTCCACCTCCGCTTCTTCTAGAGTGAACACCGCCTAGCGAGCATGAAGAAAATGAGTCCAGCGATGACACCGAGCCTAGTCTTCTGCCAGTGTCAAACCCACCCAAATGACCTCCGTATGGGGAATTTGTCAGTGGGGCTGCCGAATGACGCTCCACCCATGCTAATAAACTGCGACAGCGGAGAGCACCGGAAGAAGGCCGGTGAAGTCTTACCACGGCAGCAATGGAGGAATCTCCTGCCACAGACATTTCGACATAGCGTTTAAAGACGTCGTACATTCGCAGATCAAGTTCACGTCTTGCAGCAGGGACCACAGTTCCGAGCTCAAGGGTTGAAGAGGAGTAGTCTAGTTTTCCAGTTATTGTTATTCCTGTTGCGGTATCATAGGGGTCTGGATCGTGAAGAGTTGTACAACTATCGGTATCGTTGAGTTGAGACTCCAGAATTTCGTTAAAGCATCCGGCACCATGACTGTTTGTTCCTGTTTGTGCAAAATATTCTAGCGTTTTGGTGTACCATTCAAGGAAACGGTCATGAGTAAGGTTGATGGCAATATAGGGCATTTCTGCTGTAGAGTTTTTGTCTGGAAGAATAGCACGAATTAACGCATCTAATTGAGCTTTTTCACAAGACATTTTGGAAAAAAGCAATATCAATTGAAGAGTATTTTTTTTAACAAAAAAGAAAGAAAGAAAGAAAAAAAAGAAAAGAGTTACAAGAAGAGAATTTTTTTTTTAAACCAACAATCTGATGGTAGCGAATCATTCTATATTGCCATTTTAAGTAAATATTATACACACACAGTTTCCCATTACTCGCCATTGTCCCATATTTCCACACCGCGAGCCAAATCACTAAAGTCTAACTCACCGTACTTTCCATTAGTCTTTGTAATACCAGACCGTGACGAACCTCCAAGTGCAGCCACTTTGACAGCAAGGTCAGTTTCTCCAGTATGCAGCGCGCGTAATAGCAAGATATCTTTTGCCATGCTAGCTCGTTCCAAATTATTTTTCAAAGTAAAGCTGCTGCTTTCTGTTGAAGTTGTCAAATTGCTAAGTGTGACTATATTGAGTAGAATAGTGGCGACAGTACGAGACTCTGTGACAGAAAAGGGAAGGTTGGCAAACCGCCAGGCCATAGGAGCAGCTTTAAAGAGCCGCTTGGAAGGTGATTGCAACGAACTCTTGGGAGAATGTTTAAAAACTAATACCGAATCAATCATGACTTTGAGCAATGCAGTTTTGGCACTAATATCGTCATAAGGATCACGCGAAGCCAAAGGTTCAGCTTGTTCTTTGCTTGGACTGATGTCGTCGACACATCGAATAAAGTCAAGAGCTGCGTAGAGTGATGTTTGGCACAAGACTTTGACGTAGGCCTCAATGACGGGCTGTGTCACAATCTGAGGTGCTTTTGCAGTCATGTATGCAATGGCCAGCGAGTATCCGCCTGTCAGAAACGTACTATTGTCAGAGTTCACTGACTCCTCTCTTTTGGCAGCAGCCGAAGCAGCAGCAGCTGCTGCTGTAGAAGTGTGGATTGATGCAGATTGAGTTTGCGCACGGATAAAGGCAGCCACTATTTGCTCTGTGTAACTCGGCACAATGTCAGGGTCGGCAAGCGCAGCAAGCCCACGAACATAATCACGTGTATCAAGCGCATGCAGTCCTTGAACAAGGTGCAGGTAAGCCTGCGGGAGATCAGTAACTTCTGCGTAGTATTTGGCGAGCGATTCACCTGGGGGGAGCAGGCTTTGTGGGTAGTCGAGGAAGAGGTAATAGATGAGGGAAGCTGCACGTGTACCTGTGGGGGTATTATTTTCAATTGTTTGAAGCAGGCGGGTTAGACCAGCCTTATTTTGGGGAGGGTAAAGGGTGTTCCAGGTCTCGAACGGGAACGGGTCTGAGGGAGATTGTGGTGAGAGTGCAACAATGTCTGCGGCCATGAGATCGATGAAAAGCCGGCCGCCAAGGGCTGTACGGTTGCTAAGGATTTGTTGGTACAGGCCAAGATCATCGTAGGGAGATTTGGGAATTGCTTTAATTAGAGTGACAGCAAACGAGTCCTGCTCTGCTGTGGTATCAGATGTGGGTTGAGCTGTCATTGTGATGTTTGGATATTTTGAAGGAATGGAGGGTTGGAAAAAAAAAAAATAATAATAAAAAAAAAATTAATTACAGGGTTAGGGTAGATATAGTTTTTTTTTTTTTTTTTTCAATAATTAAATTTTGGATACCCCAGAATCGAACAAAGATTTGGAAATTGCCGGTTTCAAATCGGTTCATAGTTAAAAAAAAAAAATGCCATCATCATCTTTTGATTCCGAGAATGCGCCGTTATATAAAGCTCTTTCTTTAGTTTTTTTTTTTGTACACCTATTTTCTTTCCTTTTATATATTCATTCTCTCTATTCTCTTAAAAAATTTTCATTTCATTTCATCTCATTTTATTTCAATTCAATATACAAAATAACTAACAAAAAAAAACGAACCAATTCATTATAAATTTACGAAAGAAAGAACAAAACGTTAAGAATAGTTATCGTTAAAAGAAAACATCACTACTACTACTACTATTACCAAACAATGCTATTTCCGAATTCCAAAGGATTGTCAGTGTCTGCAAGATCGTCTTTGCTTGGGTTAATACAATTGGTCAAGTTTTGAGCAGAAGAAGTCTTAAACAAAGGTATGCCATTTGGGGGAGAGGCAAAATGATCGCCTGAAGTATGGTCAGGTCCACGCATACGCATGGGCACTTTGACTGTAGTAGTGGAAGTCACTGGTGTTGAGACTCGCAGTTGGTCCCAAATGATTTTCCCTGCGGTCCCTGAAAAGGAGCTTTCACGGCGGCCTGGGGTTGGAGCACCAGAACTGCTTGAGCTGGAAGTCCGTCTGGTTGCTCCATTATTTGAAGGAGCAGCCGAGTTATTAGAAGAAGAAGCAATGGGAGAAACTGATTTGTTTTCAGGCATTGGACTCATACTATTTTCTTGGTCTTCCATTTCTTCTAGCAAACGGATACGTTTGCGGAGATAGGAGAATTCGTCTGAAGTGTGATGGCCAAGTTGTGACAAGGACGAGTTGTCCAACTGGAAAAATCCGCGCTTTGAAGGTCCAGCCTGTGGCGGTGGAGGAACATTATTACTTGATTTATGGGAAGGTTTATCGAGAGCCGAAGACATGAAAGCTTTGCCTGCAGAGTGCATGGGGGCTGTGGGTTGACGCAAGTCTTCCAGCACACTTTCAAAGTCTGATGCCTGAGTATGGCGCTCGTGCATTTCTAGTTGCAACTCGCCAATATTGGTGGAAGTTCCAAAGTGGTTGCTGAAATCCGGCATGTGGATGCCATTAATGAGGTCATCCAGCTCGGAACTGTCAATGAGAGGTGGAATGTGAGGGAAAAGATTTGATGATGCAGATGAGGTGTTTGAAAGAGGGGTAGCACCTTTTGAAGAGGATGCAACTGGGTCAGCTGGTGCAGCCGAGAGTTTAAAAGGCCATGATTTTTCAGGAGCAGTTTCTTGAGTAGAAGGAGGAGAGGCAGTTTTACGAGAAGATTTCTTTTTAGGAGAAGAGGAAGACTTTGTAGATTTCTTTGTAGTCTTTTTCAGTGTAGTAGTAGTGGATTTGGCAGCAGTAGCTTCACCCAGAATGATGATATCGTCCGTTTCGGCCTCTATAGGAGATGCAGAAGTTTGTTTCTGTTTTGATTGTTTTGGTTGCTTGGGTTGCTTGGGTTGCTTAGGTTGTTTAGGTTGTTGTTGTTTTTTATTTAAGCGTAGAGGAGGAGCAGAAGGACTTGGAAGATAGTCATCATTTTCTGGTGTTGGGACAGTTGAAGATGTTGAGGAAATTGCACTTTCAAGATCGGCAGAGTCATCTGGTGACTTGATGGGGATCTGACACAGGTGGGGATTGTCATGCATGTTAAGACGGAACTTTGTGAGGGGCTCAAAGTAGGCAGTATCTGGGGGGGACAGTAGGGGGGAAAACGGGCCCCCACCCGGATGGTGATGTTGGGTTGCCTCAGAACCGGTTGGAGCGGTGGTAATGGAAGAAATGTCGTCAGGGTTGTTGTTGTTGACAGCCTTACATGTATTTGTGGAGGTACCGAGAGATTTGGTAGTGGTGATTTGGGTACTTTGACCAGTACTTGTGGAGGAGGAAGCGGGGGGTTTTAATGGAATAAGGACTTCAGAGTTGTTGCGAGCCAATGTAGCAGCACGCGACATTTGCTTGACATTTGCAGGGATAGAAACAGCAGCGGCAGCGGCAGCGGCAGCAGCAGCAGCAGCAGCAGCCAGTTGAAGTTTTCGTTTTTCAGCAATGTGAAGACGTTGTTTACGACGTTCTTGTTCTCTAAGTTGAAGCTTTTTCCTATTAATATAAAGAGCAGCATTCCCAGAGGGACGAAAGATGCGGCCGCGTTCTGTTTGGGCGATAATTTCAGCTCCAACGACCTCGGCAACAAGTTCATAAGCATCATCCCAAGATTCCCAGAAAACCATGCAAACTGCGCCTTGGATACGGTCCGCTAGATCTTGAATGATGTTTTTAGCACGGAGGAGTTTTGCATAAAGAGCAGCAGTAGGCATATGAGCGAGAGATTCCGATACTGCGAGGGGGTCTGATGCGGGGTGACTTTTTAGTGTGTTGGGAGATGCATGGGATGAGGAGGAATCGGATGGAGGGGATATGGATGAGTCAGTAGAAGAATGTTGTTGACGTGGGTGTAAGATTGGTTTAGGAAGAAGAGGAAGGTTTGGACAAAGAGCTGAGATTTCACGTTCAAGGTTTTGAAGGAAATGGGCAAGCCAAAAGAGAACGAGATCATTTGCAGGGTTTGTTTTAGCAATCATAGAAATGACAATGTTGTACTGCTCGACTTTGGATTTTGTTTGTGAATGATAGGCATCAGGGCCTGGTGAAGGAGGAGGTGGATTGTTAGAAGAGTTTGAATCTTTGTCCAAAGAAGAAGTAGAAGAAGAATCTGAGGATCCAAAAGATGAAATTGCATGGAGAACTGGGGCAGCAGCTAAAAGGATTTTAGAAAGCAAAGCCATACATCTGCGACGGGCTTCCATGTCACATTCAGGGACAATCAGGGCTCTTACAATGGGATTTTCAAGAATGACTGTTTGGATACGAATATCAGAAAGACCAGTGTTAAGTGTTGGGTGGTATTCATCTAGGCGGACACCTGCTACTAAAATGTCTTGTAGGGAGGATGAAGATGGAGGGTTTTGTTGGTTTAAAGAGGATGTAGTAGTATTAGTAGTAGTAGTAGTAGTAGTAGTAGCGGTAGATGTTGATGATGATGAAGAAGAAGACATTGGAGAAAGGGCTGAAATAGAAGATTGGGGGGAACTTGACGACATGGATGTTGAAGAAGATGAAGAAGAAGAAGAAGAAGAAGAAGAAGAAGAAGTGTTTTGTAGTGATTGATTAGAGATTGGATTTTGTGGGGATAAAGATGATGCTGATGATGAAGATGATGATGAAGAAGATGATGATGAAGAAGAAGACGAAGAAAGAGATCTATCACGAGAAATGGCAGCTCTCATGGCAGCTGCCTGAGATTTAGACTGGATAGATCGCAAGACGTTTAAAGAGTTAAAGACGTCTGTTGTGGTGACGACTGATGATGATAATGATGATGTTGTTTGGCCTTTTTGTGGGGGGATTATTTGGCCGGAATCTGAAGGAGATGAATTTGATTTTGTTGTTGTTGTTGTTATTGGATCTGGAGATTTGAGCATTTGGATGAGAAAAAAAAAAAAAAAAAAAAAAAAGTTTTTAAATATTAAAGAATAAAAATAATTAAAAAAATAAATAAAAATAAAATAAAAAAATTAAAAAATGAAGATATTAAAAAGAAGACCAAATGGAAGGATTGAAAATTAATAAAAAAAAAAAAAAAAAAAAAAAAAAAAAAAAAAAAAAAAAAAAAAAAAAAAAAAAGAGGACAGTGACGGCTTTTTCGAACCAACAAAAAATAAATAACACCTACACGGAACGGTACGGACAAAAAAAAAAAAATTTAAAAGTTTGTTGTATATCGTGATAATCGTCTATATAATAAACAAGGAAATTTTTTATTTTTTTTTAATTTTTTTTTCTCTTTCTAAAAAAAAAAAAGGATTCTTTTTTATTTTCTTACTTTCTTACTTTCTTTTAATCCAGCTCAGATTTTTTTTTTTTATTTTTTTTTTTATTTTAATTTTAATGTTTTTTTTTTTTTTTTTACTTGTTATTATTTTTTTGTTTTATTCTTTATATATATTTATATCCGATTTGTAAATTCTTTTTTTTTTTTTTTTTTTTTTTTGTTAATGTCCGATGTTCCATATAATTTATTTTTATTTTTATTTTATTTTATTTTTGTCACGTTCCATTGGATATCATCACACCTTGTCTTTCTTCAGAAAAAAAAAAAAAAAAAAAAAAAAAAAGGCCAAATAAAATAAAAAAAAATAAATAAATTTGTAACCCCGCACTGAAATTTTTCTCCACAGGCCTTTTTTCTATATAGTATATATATAATAGTAGTAATTAGTAGTGTTTTAAAAAAATAAAAATAAAATAAAAGACTGACAAATCACAAGCTGCTTTGGGGAAATTTTATTTTATTTTATTTTATTTTATTTTTTTTTATTTTTTTTTATTTTATTTTTTTTTATTTTTTTTTATTTTTTCTATTTTGTGGCCGCATCATCGGCTTTTAAACTTTTTTTTTACTTTTTTTACTTTTTTTCAATTTTTTTTTTTTTTTTTTTTTGCGGGGCAACCAAAAAGGGGTCGCTTCATCTGCACTGGCCAAAAGAGGCCTCTTCCAGCCCTCCCCCCCCCCCCAAAAAAAAAAGAAACCCTAAACCCTGATTTAATCTCCTCTCCATTAGTAAGCTACCACTATATCATAATATAATTATTATTATAATATTTATATTTATATTTATTTATATATAATACTTTTCTTTTTTATTTATTTCTAAACAACCGCCCCCGTGAAAAACGGCTTAAACATATCCTCCTCTGCCAAATTACGTTTCACCATCTCATACACTGCCATCAACAAATATGGGAACCGCCTTAAGAAAAACCTTACATACCCCTCCGGATACGGACTCATCCGCTCTTTTAACCCACTAGGCAAGTCGTTAAAGTGATGAGACTTGTTCCGCATAGCTCGTAACAAATCTGATACCCGGTCTCCGTGGTACTTGCGGTACTTGCCCAGATTCTCCACAAAATCAGTCCCCAGCCGTGCATGCCAGTCTCTACCAACAACTCGCGCTGCATCCCGTTCAACCTCAACAAGTAACGCTGATGCGGGGTCCCGACTCTCCCCCTCAAACCGATCAGATACCTTCAACAAAAAATCTAACCGTTTCCCTAAACTCCAAAATAACGGATGTTGCAATACCATATTGGCATCCGGACGCTCCCGTGGATTCCGTGAAATCATCCGTGAAATCAAGTCCCGAGCTTCAACAGCATCTTCAAACCCTTCAAAAATCCCATCACCTTCCTCTATCTTCATCTTCATCTTAGTTTTCATCTCCATCTTCATAGCAGCCTCCGTAGCCGCAGCTATCCTCGAATCCAAATACTCAAGACTAAAACTATTTTGCACAATGTTGGCCTCTCGTAAAATCTTGTCTCCAAACGGATGCTGCCCTCCAGATAAAATGTAGTAAAACACACACCCAAGAGAAAATATATCAATCGCACGAGTGGCCCGCCGATTAGATAATGTATCAATCACTATCGGCTCAGATGATGACCGGTTATGTTGACTATTATTAGTACCACCACCACCACCTCCTCCTTGCTCATCATCTCCTCCCTTGCCCTTATTATTATTACTACTAGCAAAAGTGCTGGCTCCATAAATCATCCCCTCAGGATCATCAATCAACAACTCTGGTGCACGCCACCCAGACGTCCCTGCCGCCTGAGCAGTCGTCGTCCGGAAACTAGACTGGTCACCCTCAAGTCGTTTGCACAACCCAAAGTCCGATATCAGCATTCTAACTGGACCACTCCCCTTGTTGTTGATGTTGATGTTGATGTTGCTATTGCTATTGCTGCTACTGCCACTGTTGCCACCTACCATACTAAAAGTCGAACTATTGTTCGCACTGCAACTACCCCCACCACGCTTTAACCGTGTAGGTGCAACAAGAATATTCTGCGGCTTCAAATCTCGATGCACAATCTTAAGCGAATGCAAATGTTGCACGCCGCTCGCAATCTGGTACATGATCTGAACTGGCGTCATAACACTCGCCAATTCACTCATCTGTTGCTGTTGTTGTTGCTGTAAACTCTTCTTCCCTCCTTCGCGCTCATCCTCAGCTGTTTGGTACTCTATCCGAGGTGCTGACATAAACCGTTTTTCAATCATATCCTCAAGTGTACCAGGACACAGCTCCAATGCAATATACAGAAACCGTTCGCTCTGCTGCTTGCAATAATACCGAATCACATTAGGATGGTCATCGCTTTCCTGAAGCAATGAAACCTCATGTGACGCAACATCGTAAAACTCAAGCAGCATCCGCTTTACTGCAACCTCCCGGTTCTCAAACTCTCCCTTCAATACAACCGTCCCGTGACTGCCGTACCCAAGCACATTGTCAGATACTACCAGCTGGCTCGGCTGGATAGGTAATATGTTTTTAGAAGGCGATGGAGGTAACGATGGATTAGAAGAAACAACTAAAGGACTCGATGGAGATGCCAATTCCGATAAAGCAACAGAGGAAGGTGTAGGTGTCAAATCAATCGCATCCAAAGAGGATCCCCCTTCTTCAGCTTCTTGATTCTGTAAATACTTTTTCTTATTCTTATTATTGCGCCCCCCTCGACTCCCTCGTTTCCGCCGTTTATGGGTGCCTGGACCAGCCGGCGATTGGGGTCCTGGATTCGGAGCACCAGTCGCTGACAAACCTTCTGGAGAGTCGGCAGATTCTAATCCTTCCCGCCAGCTCTTTTCAGGCTCAATGATTTCAACCTTTTTGGGTGAAGTTGTAGTAGTTGTAGTTGTAGTTGTATTACTCTTTTCATTCTCAAGAGTATGGCTAACCTCTTCGCTAGCAGTGGTAGCCCCAACCAAATCCTTCCTACCATCCTTTTCTTCTTCTTCCTCATCATCATCATCTCCTTCTCCTTCTTCTTCCTCTTCTTCTTCCTCTTCCCCAGTCGAAGCCTCACTAATACCAACAAACCTCACCTTTTCGCGCATGACATACTCTTTACTTTCTTCTTCCCCTCCTTCCTCCCCCTCCTCATCAAAAGTAACCCTTCGTTGACTTTTGAGTGAATCATTTGTTGCTTTAATCACTTCAAAAATATGTAGCAACTGGGGGAACCATCCAATCTTGGTCGCTACAGCAAGCAATAAGAAAAATATCACAAATGCAAAAAAATTCTCCATAATTCGCACAATCGAGTTGAATAACTTCGATTCAGGTGCTGGAGGAACAGCCCCTGTACTTGCATGCTCCTGCTGCTGTTGCTGCTGCTGCTGCTGGTATTTCGGGAAAGGTGCAGGAAGTGCCATTGGCGATGACTTTAAAATATCGGAATGAGACGGCCGTTTCCGTTTTTTAGATCGATCAGCCTCGGGACTATCAATAGCCAAAATATCATGAGGCGGCTCATCTTCATGTTGCTGCTGCTGTTGTTGCTGTCGCTGCTGTCGCTGCTGTCGCTGCTGCTCCTCTTTATTGGTGTCAAGCGTGTGCACCCCTATAATTGCTGACGCAATGTCTTTTCCATACGGCTTAAACGTGTCTGAGCACCACGGTGCAAGAGGAGCACTATGTACAAGGGACGGGTAATTGCTCCCCGACATTGCAAACCATTGACCATCTGCTGTTTTTTGTACATATATGCTTGACAGAATCTTACTGTCAATCTGCATATTTTTGTAGTGGAGAGGCTGTGGCAAAATAATCAATGAATCATCATTCTCCACTTGCTCCTCCTCTTCATCATTATTATTCTTGGTGGGTCGAAACACGTCAAACACTGAAATGGCCACGGTTGAAATCTGCCCCACCCATTGCGCAGGTTTCTTACGTCCATCTGTCGAAAGAGCCAAAATTGAACTGTTGTAAATAGGTGTCACGTAGATATTATCTGGCGATCGATAATGTTGAGCAACTAAATCGTAATCAACTGAGTTGGGCCCCCAAGTCGAGTAAGTTACATTCCATATTGTCTCATTTTTACCATGAATCTCAAGCATGTAATCTATAAAAGTTAGAGTTTTTTTTCGTTTCAAAAGGGGAAAAAAAAAAAAATTAATTCCAACTTACCTGTCCGCCCAATGAGAAAAGAGCCCTTGTCTGCAGACATGTGTGGAAACACATAATCTTCCTCTTCTTCTTCTTCTTCTTCATATTCATTTTCTTCATAATAGTCTGTTTCATCCGTACTATCCTTACGGAATATATTGTTGAGTGGATTTTTCAACTTGCACTCGGCATTGCCCAGATCGGATTTCCCAGATCCGTAAACTTTTAATACTTTTCCTGTTGCAGAGTCAATTGAAAAAAGTGTTGTATGGCGGCTACCTGTATAAATCTTGTCGTCACCATGTAGCGCAAATGGTGATTGTAAAACAAGATCCTTGATGCTGATGGGCAATTGTTGTAGCCCTAGTTCCGGGGTAAAGTAAAACAAATTGCCTTCTCCAAGAGGCTCCACAATCCAAATCAAGTCGCGTTCTGGACATTCTCCATTGTTGTTGCAGTTTGAAATTTCACCCGAAGAGACTTGTGCAAGCGGCCGCTCACCGGGAATAGACCAAATCTCAAGGCCTGTTTGACGGTCGCGAGCATGCAGAGAGCCGTCGATGGAGCAAACAAGAATGAAATCGGAAACTTCAAAGTCCTCTATTGAACGTGGGCTGATGAGAGAACTGATACCGCCGGATGACACGGCTGCAAGGGCGTTTTGAGAAATGGCTGAATTGTGTAGAATAGATGCTGGAAGATTATTTGCCTGCTGTTTATTGTGCTTGTTATTAATTGACATGGTTGTTTGATAATCGTTCATCCGTTGGTACCGCTGACGGCCAGCGTCAGGAGGTTTAGCAAGAGCCGTAGTGAACAAAAGAAATAAAGTCATATAGTGGAGAAGCATTGTTAGGAAGAGACTGGAGCGGACTGGATGGCCCGGGTTACAGGCGCCAGCTTCAGTGAGGGCTGGATGACGGCGGTGGATCCATTTGATTCGGCTCATATTAGAGGAGAGCCCATACGTAAATGAATGGTTGTATATATGTTTTTTTTATTAGGTCAGTTGTATATGTTAAGTGTATGCTTTATATAAATAAATAAATAAATAAATAATAACGATAGTGTATGCTTGAATGGTGATTTGTAAATGGTGGAGTGAAAAAAAAAAAAAAAAAAAAAAAAAAAAAAAAGTGCATAGAAGAAGAAGAAAAAAAAAATTTTAGTGAGGGGAGAAACAGATTTGTTACAATTACACTTTTTTTTAAAAAAAAAATAAAATAAAATAAAAACCAGTTGCATCACGTAAGAAAAATTTCAATTAATTCTGGGGAAAAAAAAAAAAGTCCATTCACAAAGAAATTACCAATGGAAATCAAAAAAAAAAAAAAAAAAAAAAAAAAAATATAGGGCTTTGAATGGGCCGATCAATCAGTTAAAATGGTCAGATATACGTCTATACGACGATACTATTAGTATATACACTTGTAACATATATAATTGCTTAAAAAAAAACAATTAAATTCAAAATAAATAAGCAATTGAGATGCCGTTTTTTAAAAGTCAAATAGATTCATTCATTAATTTCATTAAAAAAGGGTTGTGAGGGGAGGTATATGGATGGAAATTTTTTTTTTCATTTTTTTTAGTTGATCTCGTTTCTTCAAAAAGAAAATGCACTTATTTCTTAAGCTGCTCAGTAAGATCAGGAACAGCCTTGAACAGATCCTCAACAAGACCGTAGTCAGCAACCTGGAAAATGGGGGCTTCAGGGTCCTTGTTGATAGCAACAATGGTCTTAGAGTCCTTCATACCAGCCAAGTGCTGGATGGCACCAGAAATACCGACAGCGATGTAAAGCTCGGGAGCAACAACCTTACCGGTCTGACCAACCTGGAGAGAGTTGTCGGCAAAGCCAGAGTCGACAGCAGCACGGGAAGCACCAACAGCAGCACCAATGGCATCAGCAAAGGGGAAAATGACCTTGTCAAAGTTCTCCTTGTTAGCAAGACCACGGCCACCGGAAACAACCTTGCTGGCAGAGCCCAGGTCAGGACGCTCGCTCTTGGCAATAGCCTCAGAGATCCACTCAGTGGGGGAGGGAGTATTGGGGTCGTTGGCAACGTTTTCAACAGCAGCAGAGCCGGAAGAAGGAGCAGGGGCGGCCTCGAAAGCAGATGAGCGGACTGTGACGAGCTTGACAGGGTCGGTGGACTTGATAGTGGCAATCACGTTACCGGCGTAGATGGGGCGGACAAAAGTGTCTTCACCAGCAACCTTGATGATATCGGAAATGGGCTGGACGTCGAGGGTAGCACCGACACGGGGGAGGACGTTCTTGCCAAAGGCAGAGGAGGAAACGAGAACGTGGGAGAAGCCGCCATCCTTAACGGTGGATGCAATGAGGTCGGAGAAGTTCTCGGCGAGACCCTTGTCGTAGGCGCCGTTAGAAGCAACAAGGACTTTTTCAATACCGGGGATTTTGGCAACCTCAGTAGCGACGGCTGGGGCTGTAGAACCGGCAACAAGAGCAGTGACGGGACCGCCAATCTGGGAAGCAGCGGTCAAAGTCTTGAAGGTGGACGGCAGAATGGCGCCGTCAGCGTGCTCAATGATGGTGAGAGTTGAGGCAAAACGGGGGGCGAAAGCGGAGGCGCGGATGGCAGAAGCGCGGGCAAAAGCTGAGCGGGAGGTAGCAAAGATCATTGTAGATGAAGAGACAGTGAACTATAACAGGAAGAAAAAAAAAAACAAAAAAAAACAAAAAAAAATGAATAATGAATGAATGAATTGATTGAGAAGAAAAAAGAAAAAAGGAAGAAAAAAAAAAAAAAAAAGGAAAGGATGGTAGAAAGAAAAGACTTTAAAAAGATATACACTTGAAGAAAGAGAGAAAAAAAAATTAGATGGTAGTGGTGGTGGTGGTGGTGGTAGTGAGTTTGTATGAAAAAAAAAAAAAAAAAAATTGAAATTTTTTGGTTAGGACAAAACGGCAGAGAACGGCCAATGGTAAGAGTTGATGGGTGTGTGGGGATTGTGGAGAAACTTCGGTGGTTTGGAGGGGCGCCGCTATGAACGATGAGCGACGACGGCCAGCGCGGGACTTTGACGGGGCGGGCCAGCCTCGGCGGTTGGATTTTGTATATATATATATATATATATATATATATTTTTTTTTTTTTGGTGGTAGTGAATAATATGAAACAATTGTGTAATAATTGTGTAATAATTGTGTAATAATTGTGTAATATTTGTGTAATAATTGTGTAATATTTGTGTAATATTTGTGTAATATTTGTGTAATATTTGTGTAATATTTGTGTAATAAGTGTGTAATTTAATGTAATGTAATGTCACGTTTTATTTCATTTAAATTACACTTATATTACATATTAATTACATATTCATTATATATGTATTACACTTATATATATTATGTTTCATTGTTGATCTCTCGGCTGTGCCTGCTAGTAATTTTAATGCCTCCCACGTGAGCGCCCCGTAAAGACCGTATCTGCACAAATACACAATGCCATTTTGATGCATCTTCTCGCCCGGGCTCAAAGTGGCGTGTTCGGGTCGTCTTTCAAATGTTATATTTTCCGGGTTCCCACAATCTCACCAGTTTTTTTTTTTTTTTTTTTTTTTTTGTAGCAAATTTCTTCAAAAAAAAAAAAATTAACCCACTCCATCTATCCAAAACATTTACAACTTCTTTATAAATTCAACTCCTCCTTACAAAATCAGACCAAAAAAAAAAAAACAGACCACCTGCAAGAAAAAAAAAACATCCCAGCTTAATACACAAAAAAAAAAACCTCCAACTGGCCTGTTTTTTCTTATAAAACATTTGAGATTCCCTGTGGTTTTTTATTTTTTCCTCTTTAATTTCAATTTTTTTTTTTTCATTTCATATATTCATTTCATATATTCATTTCATATATTCATTATAATCTTCTTTCTGCTCTGCTCTTTAAAAAAAAACAACAACAACTTCCTTTTTCTGTCTTATTACTGTATTAGTCAAACCTATTTTTATTTTTATTTTTATTTTTATTTTTCAACATGTCTGAATGTATCATTGCTGAAAATCTGTCATCGAACAAATCTCACAATACATCTTCAATAACACCCTCTGCAGTCACCTCTATCGACTCCCAAGAATCCCTCTCAGACTCTCATAAAACATCTATCTCATCACCAAGCTCGTCTACTTCTCTTTCCTCTCAAGGCTCATCTCCTTCAACATCTCGATCATCATCATGTTCTTGTCGAAGTCCCTCAAAACACCACCATCATCACCACCATCATCACCACCATAATCACAATCAAGACCACAATAAAGCAAAATCAAGCAATAGCAACCCTAGTAGTAATAGCAATAACCAATATCAACTCCACCACAACACCCACAATAAAGAAATCCAACTTCTCCAACATCAACTCCGCCAACAACAAGCCCTTACAGCAGCAGCTCGCTCCCAAGTCGATTCACTGACACGCACAGCTGTCCGCATCCACCGTGGACTGATTCGTCAAATGGACGTCCAACACGGTACATATCCAACCCGCATCGCCGTCCACAAGGGCCCCATGACATCTCTCAAATTTGCTCAAATGCTTTATGCCCAAGTCCCCGTCAGACTCACGGCTAAAGACGTGTTCCCGGACTCTTTGCAGGCCCTTAACCTTTGGACCAATCCCGAGTACATGCATAAAGCCCTCAAGGGAACAAAACTCACCGTTGCACAAACCCCCAGCGGCCTCGCAGATGCTCCAGGGCTACGAAACACAGCTTTTATGCAACCTCATGTCGCAGAAATGGATGCAACTGACTTTCTTAAACATCTCCGCAACCCAGACCCTCCAACAACAACAACAACACATGATGGAGCACAACCCACTAGTGTGACTGAATCAGGAACCAACAATCAAGCGGCTATCGGTACGGATGCAGCAGACAATGTTGTGCTTTACATGCAGTCCCAAAATGATAATTACCCTCGCGAGTTCCCCTCTCTAATCAACGACGCGCCGCACAGTATTCCTTGGGCAAATGAAGCCCTAGACGTTCTAGGACCTGCCGCAGTCAACCTGTGGCTCGGAGACTACCGTACCACATCGCGTCTTCATAACGATAATTACGAAAACCTTTACATCCAAGTCTCGGGCTCCAAAGAGCTTTACCTGATACCCCCAGGAGACGCATATGCTCTCGACGAGCGGTTCCTCAAGCCCTTGTCATATGGCGAAGATATGTCACTTGAGGAAAATAATGAATCAGATTCCTTGATGCAAATTTATACAGGTCAAGAAGCCGCGGGCAGCGAGACTCCTAAAAATTGTGTGGATGACCATGGTGATAGTAGCATGAACACGCCACCACGAGCATTGCCAGATGAAGCCTTGACCCCATCCTCCACGGCTACTGCATCAACAGTAACAAATAGTGGTAACCCAAATAATGGCAACACAAACAACACAAATGGGTGCGGTAAAAGCGCGTTCAAAACGCCTCATATTTTATTCCCCACAGTAGACCCATCCAACCCACTCACATTTAATGACATTTACTCTCAAAATGCGTTTGTGTATCGGGTAGTACTTAACCCGGGCGATATGCTATATATTCCTGCGCTGTGGTACCACCAAGTGCGCGTTCTTGACGGCGCACCCAACGTCTCATTAAACTACTGGTATACACCCACACCTACCAATGGACAATGGATGCGCTGGGACTATGTACGATATTGTTCTGCAGTGCTGCGCAGGTACCATGACCCATTTTACTTTGATGAGGAAGACGAGGATGAACCTGACGAGCCTGAAGACATGGAGCTGGCCGATGAATATGACATAGAAGATGACACTGATGTTGGCGGAGAGCACAGCAGCCTCACAGAAGAAGAGGCACTGCTAAGCGCCAAACGCGACAAGGTCCAAAAACTCATGCGCGCTCTGCGGCTCCAGCAGCAGCAGTACCAAGATCGCTTGCAAAAACAACAAAAGTTGCAGCGTAAACAACGCCAGCACTTGATTCGCCAACAACAACGCCAACATGCGCGAGCCAAATAAAGTGTAATGGAAATTTTTGTTTTTTTTAATTGAAATTTAGTTTATTTAGGCAATGAAAAAAATAAATAAAAATAAAAATAAAATAAAATAAAAAGTAAAAGCCAAGATTGTAGAAAAAATAAAAAAAAAAAAAAAGAGTTTTTCTTTTTTAGTTTTTTTTAGTTTTTTTATTTTATTTTATTTTTTTTTCAGAATAGTAAATTTACTAAATGCAATTTATGGAAAGTGTATACATGATGTGTGCAGTGAGAATCAATCAATGTTTTTAGCTCGCGTGCCACGCTTTTTAAACGACCAGCGTCAGTTGCGTTACTCGCTTACTTACTAACTAACTAACTAACTAACTTACTTACTTAAACAGAATAAGGCACACTCTGGACCCACAGCTGGGGCTCAACAGTGTTTGCTTGGATGAGTCTTGCATTGAGTTCATCATTAGTACGGACGCGCTCAAGACCCTGCTCAAGCGACGTCACAATGCCTGCATCAAGGTGTCGAGCAGCCAATCTGCTGGTAGCCACGTCGACAGTCACATCCAGCATCCACGAATCATCAGCGGTGGCTGCAATGTCGCGCCAGGGTGCTTCATTGTAAAGCAAGTACAGGCCTTCGAGCATGACGATGCGAGCGTTAGATTGGACCATAATGCCATTAGGCGTGGGGTCCTTGACAGCATGGTCAAACGAAGGGAAATAAAGTGTTGGGGGCAGTTCCTGCTGTTGCTGGTCCAGAATCTTGTGGACATGGGCATTGGAAACACCATGATCACCCTCGTCATCACGGCCTGGGGTTGCAGGCAGTGTTAAATTGGTGATAGAATCAGAAGCCGAAGCAGGCAGAACTGTGACCATCGTAGAAGGCACGGCTGATGGATTGTGACAGCATTGGGATGATGCATTATCCGGGGTTTTATTAATAATAACGGGGTTATTATTAATGTTTGTGTGATGACTAAGATCTTTGTAGGAACTTAACAATGAAGGTGACATTGAGGTCGACGACGACGACGACATGGAGGACAACATCCGCGCGGGAGGAGACAGCCCCACAATGTCAATTGGTAACAGAGTTTGTGAGGACAAAGATTGCCGGGGGCAAGAAAAGTAATCTTCGCAATATTCGTCTGTGTTTGTAAACCGGGACACGCATGACGCACGGAGAGTCCGTGCCATATCGACCACACCCTGTGCGTCAAAAGTCCATGGGGATCCTCTGCGTGCGTGAGCTTCTGCGGGGTTCGGGAACTTATCGAGCTGGGCTCGTGTGAGATGGTATCCGTCCATGGTGACGGTTGCTGCAAATCCGACTGAGCCAGTGTGGTTTTTATTATTGTCAGTTGATGCACCCGATGGCAAACTGAACGATTTGCGGGGGGTACTAGGTAGAATTAGCGCAGAAGTCGTGGTAGAAGAAGAAGAAGGAGGAGAGAGAGAAGAAGAAGAAGAAGAATTGGATTCTAAAGCTGCAGTATATGCCTTGTTGAGGATCTCAGCCACAGCTGCAGCCAATGTTGATTTGCCAGATCCGGGGATTCCGGCCACAACAATTGTGATGCGCCAATTGGGCGACGCGGCTAGGGTGTCGAGAGCACGTAGTGCCAGTCGGAGGTATGTCGCGTGCATGGGATCGTTTTTGCTAGATGTTCCAGTTTTAAGTTCTTGTTGAAGAAGTGTTCGTGCACTTGCCAGAATTTGTGCGTCAGGATCCATAGCAAGATGTTGTTGCTGTTGTTGTTGTTGTTGTTGTTGTTGTCGTTGTTGTACAACTAAATGTCCTAGGGTTGGATCGCTAAGTGATACTTGTGATGATGCTGTTGCAAGAGCTGTAGAAAGTCGGGACGCAGGCTTCATTGGGCTAGCTGGGGGTGATGAGGGAGTATAAGTTGGAGTTGAGGAAGGAAAGTTGAGAGAAAGAGATGGTAGAGGTTTCCCCATACGAGCTGTGGCCGTGGTGACCGAATAGGCAACACTAGCATTAGCATCAGTATTAGTATCAGCACCAACACCAGATGCACCGCTAGAAGTAAAAGACAAGGTGGGCGCATTGGATGTAGTGGTGGTACAGGGTAAGCGCGAGAATTCGCCGGATGTTGCTATTTTAGTGGCAAGAGGCTCTGAGGCTTCTGCGCCAACTGCCGTGGGTGATGATGCTGTTATTGCTGCTGTTGCTGCTGCTGTTGATGATATGCATGTGGAGAGGTTTTTGCCGACGGACGGACGGGTTCCGGGTATGAGAAAGTGCATGAGACAGGGGTCTGCGTTTGTGGTAGACATGGTTATATTTGATCAAAGAATAGTTATATTAATTAATGAGTAAATAAATAAGTATATTAATATTATTTTATTTTGATTAATCTAATGTTTTTTTTTATATATTATAAAAATACGAGCTGGATAATAAAAAAAAAATAAAACTTGGCAAGTCAAGCGTGGGGAAATAAAAAAAAATTAAATAAATTAAATAAATAAATAAAATAGAAGAAGGTGGGATAAAGAAGATAATATATGAAAGAATAGATTGGAGGATTGTGTGTGATATTTATATATATTGGAAGAAAGAAAACCGGTGATGAAGGAGATTATAACAAGAGCCCAACATCACGGGAAACTGGCAGGAAGAGACCCGGTAAGAAAAAAAAAAAAAAAGATGAAAGAAAAGGATAGCAGCGAAAATGCACTTTTTATTTATTTATTTATTTTGGCGATTAGCCAAGGTTGGAAGTGGTTATTATTATTAACAAGAGAAAATATATTGGATCTAATATACCATAAAAAGTACCCATACATATTATAGAAAATGTCAGTAAATACAGAAGAGTAAAATAGGCTGTAGGCGGACGTTGGGCAAAAGGGCATGTTCGGTCGGACATGGTCCATTACCGGAAAAAAAAGAGGGCGCTTTTTTTTTTAATTTTTTAATTTTTTATTTTTTATGGCCCCAGACTTTTATTTTTTTTTTTCTGTGGGGAAATAGTATGTTCTGTGTATGTGGAGAAAAAAAAAAAAAGTAATGGAAGGGCACATACAGTAACACTCTTGTACGACGGAAAGCTTCGGGTGAAACCGCTTGATAGACTATTGCATGACGGGGCTTTTTAGCAAACTTCTCCACACAAACCCACGAAAATAGCAAAAGCCATCGACAACATCAACATCAACATTAACAACAAAAAAAGGGTGGAGACATCAAACGGAAGCTCTTATGTGCTCCCGCGCCCGCATCAGTGCGCATCAAAGGAAAAGACAAAAATATATATATATATCAGTAGCAACAACAACAGTCTGACGCAGAAATCAAGGATTTATTGAAGATGTAAAGCTACAATATAAATTATATATCCAAACAACAACAATGCATCTTTTTTTTTTGATATTTTTTTTCGTTATTAAGAACGGCCGGTCTTCGGACAAACGTCTCCGAGAAAGTTAGAAGGACAAGAGGGAAAACTTAATGTTCAAACGCAAAGGCTCAGAGACGTCCGTAATTTCTGAAAAAAAAAATATAATAACGAAAAGATGTTGAAATTTTTAAATTTTTAAAAAACTTTTTAAGAAACTTTTAAGAAACTCTTTAAAAAAAAAAACCTTAAGTAATAATGTCTGATTCATTTTTCCTCGGATATATGTTTTGTCATTGGAAAAGAAAGAAAAAAAGATTAACAATGATGTTGACCGTTCAAGACGAAGTTCATCATGTAAACTTTTTTTTTTAAAAAAAAACCTGGGGAGAAATTTTATTATCTTGTAAGAATCAAATACTAAAAAAAGCAGTTGCAAGCTTGTCATTTAAATTTTTTTTTTTTTTTTGGAATTTGTCAAACCCTATGCCCTGAGTCCGGGCTCGCCTCATCCGGAGACGGTCTTTCGGCTGTGTACCACCAAATGAGCCGCACGTAACTTTCAGCTTATATAAGTGTAAGATAAATCTTAGGATCATTGCTTGAAAAAAAAAAAAAATTTAAAATTTGAGATCCTCCCGTCGAGATAACTTTAAAGCAAATATCGCTTTGATAAATTCACCGATACTCCGATCCTCGGATTTTTCCTTTTTTTTTTTATAAGTTTTTTGCTGCCATAATATGGTCATTTTAAAAAGTTGCCATAATATTTGTTTTTTTGAGCATTTTTTCTTTTTCTTTTCTTTTTTATTTTTTGTTACAAATTGTAATGTAAGAAAATGTATCAATTATTCAATCAAGCATACACTATGGGGTGCAAAGACTCTTGGCATAACGGATGTGTTATCCGTTTAAACTTTTTAAAAAAAAAAAAATCTCTCATTGTTTAATTTGATGAAGCCACGTGATCAAATGAGATCCCTAGACATAATGGTTAGGGTTATGGAGGCATAGCCTAAACCTGAGAAAATTCCCATGGGAAACCCGATTTTTTCTTAAGATCAAAGTTGATGAGTGAAACAAGTTGATCAGTTCGTGAAATGAAAGGAAAGTGTAATCTATTCATGTCACATTAACTCAATAACTTTTTAATAACTGAATCCTTCAAGAAACACTAAACACACAAAATTCAATAATTTTAACTTAACTAGTAAATGTATAAATGTACTTAACATAACTTTCTAAATTTTAATAATTTTTTAACTAATTAGTTAATAACTTGATGAATAGGTGATATGAAAAAGTTTCAACCCCACAATGTTTATTTAGCAACTTGGAACTGTATCAAATATCAAACGTAATATTAGGGAAATATTCTTTATCGTAATCTTCATTAAGGTATCGTGGATTTTTTTTTTTTAAAAAAGAAGAATAATAATATTAATTATAAAAACTAAGTCAATATCTGGATAAAAAAAAAACCTTTTTGTTGCATTCATTATACCGAGTTAGAGAAAGATGACATCACATAGCAAATCAAAAAAGAAATCACGAGAGAGCGTGGTCTAAAGGAAACGTAGTAGCAACTAAATCCAGTAAATAGTGACTAGAAGAGGTAGAAAAAAAAAAGATGAAAGAATTAAATGAATAAATGGATTTAGAATCATATGGGTAAAAGAAATAGAAGAGTTGAGTAAATCTATTAGACTTTTTAAATTACCTCCTTAAAAAATACAATTGATTTTCATTCATCAAATAATAAATGAGTAATCTCAAAAGAACGGTGACATTTACCATAATCAAAACAAAAGAAATTTTTTTTTTATTTAAAAAAAAAAAACAATTTACAACTATCCTCATTATCACACCATCAATCAATGAAATATGATTTAGATTCAAAATTTTATTTTATTTTTTCTTCTTCTTTAAATTTTAAAATTGAGGCATACCAGCAGATCATACGGTCGTCAATCGTTAAGATAACACTATTTACTAAATAGTGTTATATATATAGTATTGGTGTCACCGGTAGCAAACTCATCTAACATAAATTGGAACCACAGTTTCTTATTTTGTTTATAAAAAAAACCTTTTTCATTATATTGGAACTTGTCAGACATTAAGATATGAACTTTTAAACATTTTCATATTTAATGTGAGCTTTAGAAATACACATCCTCAGAATTCTTGTTATTCTCAATACATTTCCCATCCAAATATACCATTTTGGTACAGCATTTTGACCATTGGTAATATAAAGTCTCTTTAAAAACCACACTGAATTTTTTTTATTTAACTCGTTTATATAAGAATAGATATACAACAAATTTTTCTATTTTACGAGTTTAAAAGAAATGTGATTTTATGAATAAAAGAAAAAAAAAAGATTCACTTTTTGATTTTTATGTTTAATCATTTCCATCATCTTGGATTCAAAAAGAAATTGTTTAACCCTTATTTCAAAAGATAAATTTAGACTCCAACTATTAGAAAAAAAAATTTTCTTCAAAGAGAAACATACTAACTTTGCAAGTTTATATTTATCACAGAAAGGTCTTCATATATTTAAAAAATTCTTTTTTTTTCAACAAGCAGTATCAATGATACTCAAAAATTGCTCATCGTCTTTGCCACCTTGTAGATTTTTCAAATAGGATTTAAATAAGAAGAATCTTACAAAATCTCTATTTTATTATCTTGTTAATGGGCTTTGAAAGAGGGGTAAATATACATGAATTAATGAGAATCGTAAAGATTCACCAAAGTTACTTAATCCTACTCTTTTTTTTTAAATTTAAAAAGAAATAAAAAGAATAAGTGTTTTCAAAAAAAAATTGTTATTTTTAAAATTTTTTTCATGTTAACATGATGATACTCATGAAGAATTTTATAGGCATCCAATCAACTATTGGAATTTATACGTAGAAAACTTACAAGTTTTTTTTTTTTTTTTTTTTTTTAAAAATAAAGTAAGGAATAAGAAAATTCTGATATTGTATATATTGAATTTGTAAAAATTTAACTTATTCAAAAATTTGATACTATCCACTGTCCCATGCACCAAACTTTTTAAAAAGATAGTGTGATCAAGACCAAGAAATCTGAAAGCCTTATCCATAAGTCCTTTTTTTTTTTTTAGTAATGTTTGCCCTTTTTTTTTAACTAATGAAAACTCAAATCACCAAAAAAAAACATGTTTTGTTTAAAATACAAAATTTGACTAGTTTACAAGCATATTGGAATATTCTCTTATAAAGTACTTTTAAAACATACTTAGTCTTCAAAACTGCTTCAAAATTAAAAAATAAATAAGTAAATGAATCATGTTAATAAATTTACTAAACAAGTCATTCAATTTTGAATATCCCGGCAGGGTAACTTTATTTTGTTTCAATATTTTATTAATTATATATTTTTATATTTATTTATACATTATTTATTATTGTTGTTAGTGTTATTTTCATATTTATATTTAATTTTATTTTCTGCAGCTCAGAAAACATTTTAAAAAAGAACAAGCTCTTCCTCAAAAAATGACATAAAGAGAAGTTTGCTTTTTTTTTTTTTCAATTTTAAACGGAAAATGAAATTATTATTTTTTAGTCAATTTTAGTTTCGTCATTAATAAATTTATTATTTTTTTTAAAAAATAAAAAAAAACCCGTTTCTACTCTTATTATTATGCAACATTAATGTTGCTTGTGTTGATTGAATATCTTAGCCTCGCTAATTTACTTTTTTTTTCTTTTTCTTTTTCTTCTATCGCAAAAAGTTTAAATTGGAACCTTCCAGCTTTTCTTGACCGAGGCCCAAACCTAGTCCGTGCGTTAAAACTTTCTCTGAAAGTCCTTTTGCTAAGCGAGTCATGGGTGGGAATATTTAAAAAAAAACCATTACATGTCAGATATCAAATCAAAATACTTTAAACAAGAAGCA